GCGGACCGGAAGGGAAGCCTCTATAAGATAGGGTGCTAATAGAGAGTACCTAGGACAAGATCGTAGAGGAATTTGGAAGCGATAATGATGCTTAGTTAAAGGTATAGCTAGTAGATCCCTCGGAGGAGTAGGAAGTAGAAAGTAGAGCAATGCTAATAGGATAAATGTCCGACTCTTCGCTAAACCTAACTACGACGGTCCTTATACGGTTAGCTACTATAATAGTGATCCCGAGCGCCGCGCTACTAGAGGAGTCTATAGGTATATTAGTAGTCGCACTACGAGCGACACTAGTGAAATGGCTACTAGTCGTGCTACTAGTACATAGCGCGGTAAGAACGAAGACAGTAGAATAAACGAACTCGCCATTAATCCCGCGGCTAGCGCTTATACGAACTTTGCTAGTAGTGCTACTAGTACCGTCACTAGCGACTCTTATAGTAGGCACGTAAAGGTCGCTAGCATAGGTATTTGTGCCTCGAGCGTCTAGCGAGCATAATTGTCTTAAGATTAGATTATCGCTACCCGTACTATGTAGTAGCGTCGTTAATACGTTGTAGTAGTTGCTATAGGGTGCTATGCCGCTATATAGCACTATAGCAAGATTTAGGATTTTGCGACGTATAGGCGATGTCTATAGGTGCTATAAGGACGCTCCGTAGCAATAAGAGACTTAAGCTAATCCTTAACCTCGTAATAGCACTCTTAAAGAAGCTCCTTTACGAGACGATGCCTTAATAGTAGCGAATAGTCGAGCGATAGATTTAATGCTTTAAACATCGCCCTTAGGTTAGGATTCTTCTCGTACGTATTAAACGGCAGCCCTCCTTAATAAATCGCTATACTAGCTATCTTATTAAGCTTATGTTTCGTTAGCGTCGGAGTGCTTAAAATCGTAGTCGACTAGCTAGTCTTATTTAGTAGCTTTTAACGATAAGCCTCTAGATATTACGTAACCTTAGGGTTACCCTATCTAACTAATACCTTAAAGTCCTTAAGGAAGGGAAGGCACTCGAGTAAGTAATCTACCTTACGGTCGTTACTATTATTTCTAAGCGTAAAATCCGGACACTAGTTATACTTAAAGACGTCTCCGATATTAGTAAACTAACGGCTAATAATGCTAGTCTTCTTGCCTCCTCCCTTCTTTAATAACATTGCTAATTATTAAGCTATATATAGGTGTTAAAACGACCGTCTTAACCTCTCGAATAACCTCTAACTTGGCCTTAACCCCTTACTAATACCGCTACGCTACTAACGTTAAAAGCTCGGCCGAGCTCGGCTATATCGGAGACCGGTAAGTTACTTAGAATCTGCAGCAAGTTACGGCAGTAACTGACATTAAGTAACTTACTCGTAAGTTCCGTAACTTAACTACCCCTAGATGCATACGGGCCTTCGTCTCTACTTTCTACTTCTAACGCGTTGCTAAACCTCTATCATACTTTCTTCATCTTACTTGGAACACTTCTTGAACCTTAGAACTACGTCTGTCAACCTGAAACATTCATCACTTTGTGTGTAGCTTTAAGATCGTCTCTGTTGGCCCTCCTCGTGGCATCGCTTCGTTATGTCAGAGGGCGCAGGCTCAGCTCGGATCAAGGTATGGGGTGGCTGACTTGGGCGTTAGTTCGGCTAAACCTTCTAGCGGCCTCAGCTTACGGCTCGCGGTTCGACCTAAGGGACTAGCTCTTCGAGTCAGTCTTGCAACATCTCATGCGAGTCAAGACATTGCTTTCAGGAGGCAATCACCATCGACGTTGGTCTGATCTTCATGAGTACAGAGTTCGTGCATGACCACCGCAACCTTCAAGCCACGAAAAACGTGAGGAGGAGAAAAATGAACTCGAGCAAGAGACATGGCAAACATGATCCATCTCAATCGAGCTATATATCACCTGACGTATGCTTTACTATCTCCTGGTGCCCTATCTATATGATGATGTGATGGTGGGAGACATTCGGCACTTCAGCCATCGGACTCGCGTTCTACAGATTAATGATGATAGGACAGGTAGTCATTTGTCCTGCCCTGGAATGAAGATAGCGGAGCTACAGCCGGAGATTCAAGGACACACTGATGAGAACAAGCTTGAGGGCAATCCGTTCATTGGTCATCTTTAGATATGTCTCAGACTTTCAGTATTTAATGCTACACATCTAAGATCCCGTGGTTGCACTTAACTTGATATCTCCAGAATGTGGTTGACACCCCTGTCCTGTTCCACGAGAGGATCTTGGGGTCGTTGTTAAATCCACGTGGGTTGCAAGGGATGCTGTCCCGCATCGGCAATGGTCTCCGGTGATCAACAGCAGGCTTTCGTCGATTGCATATTGCCAAAGAACGCGATCTGTTGGGCCTTCTTGAGCAAGCAAAAAGACGTGCAGTGTGTAACTGAGTATGTGTATCCAAATCGAAGATTGAATCATGAGCGAAATCAGAAGGAGACAGAATCCTGCAAGTTGATGATCACGCGATCGGACCAACGTGGTCCGTGAAGGATGGTAGTGGTCCTTGGTCTCTCGAGGCCCGATGTGAACTTTCCAATCTGAGCTTGGCATCTCCGAGAGAGTGCGTGATATCCGTATACCAGAGACTTTCTTTAATACAACTCGGGCTGCAACCTCGCTGAACTTACTTAGAGTCAGCGAAACCCTCGACAAGAGAGCTCCCCGAAGACATGTTTGATTCTCAAGAACACCGTGCCTTTCAATGGTCATGCAGCAGCTGTGGCCGGCTTGGGGGATGCGGTCGGTACTCATCGCTGGTGCTAAATTGCAATGTCATCTACTTGAGTCGCATACATTTCAGGACCTGGTGGTATGCCGCTCCCACACAAGAGCCGATAGGATTCAATGATATCTGCCAGATCAGGGCTGCAAAAGAGTCACGATAGTGTGAAGAAAGGGAAGTGGTTCATCTGCTGTTACAGTATCAGCCTTGACAATCTTGAGGTATCGCCCACTTGCTCGGATATCGCATCCGGACCAAACAACTCCCGCTACCCGCATCCCTGCGTGCCTCCCACTTCGAGACACCCTGGTTAACATATCCAGGCCAAGCCATTCAGACTGAGACTACAAATCGCACCCAAGTTGTAAATCGACTATCATTGTCGACAGTCGATTTGCAGATCGGTAAGATGCAGAACTGATACAATATCAATCCAGCGATTGGCCCTCCACTCGGTTCCAGCACATGCTGAGTGTCGTTGGAGGAGAGAACACCGAGTAGACAGATTGCTCTACGTGGCACCACTGGATATCCATCCAATTGACCATCTTTGAGCGTCTCCAACCTTGGATATATATTGGACTGTGTATGCGGGCTGATTAGGAGAGACGAGTTCGGCAGTCTATCTAGCGAGTGGTTGTCGCCCTACCGCACATTGCCCGCACGTTCGGTGGTTGAAGGCGGACACGGCAGAGGCCGCTATGAATCTCGACCGCAACATGCAGGCGGCTTCGGCACAGCGAATGGCCTTGTTCTCGTCATTTGTCTTGCGACACGGCTTGGTGGTACCCGTAGAGTAGTCACTGGCGAACGATTGTACAAAAGTCTGTCTCCTTGAAATCATTAATATATCAAGGCGCGGTAGCATACATAGGTACACAAAATTAGCACATGAGTTTTGTGACTGGTTACCACGAGCGCTTCTCTCAAAGTGGCAAGTGTTATGGGAGTATTTTCGGAGCATCGAAGTGTTGATAATGCGATGAAAACAAAACAACCAGAGCGACGATCGCTCTGGACCGCGGCTTCCTCTCCAGGTTTTGGTTGAAGAGGATTCCCGTGCACGTCGAAACTTTGTCTCATGTCAGCGTGGAGACCTCTCGTGCGCCAGACATGACTGTAGACGGTCCGTCAACCAGCATGCGGTTTCCAACAACCTGCAGCGGGCGCTTCAACTACTCGTCCCAGAGAAGCTCGACGCCAGCACGTTGCGATCCGAGAACAAACTGCGAGTGACATCTATGATTCACTTCGACCTCGCAACAGCGGGCGGCTCCGGCACCGTTGCGTTCGAGCCTTCGAGGTACAGTCCCTTACTTCGGAAGTTCAGGTGCCATGCACAAGCCCGCAAGCCGCGCTGTCGTGCACTGCGACTTGTCTCGCTCGGGATATCTCGACAGGACCTCGACCCTCTCGCCTGGGTCTTTGCATCATGTTCCCGTACGCAGGAACCCGTGAAACACAACTCTCTTCGACACGTCGGCGACAGACTCCCGACACTCGTTATGATGCTACGTGTTATAATGTCGACACGGATGAGGTGACCACCCGCCATCTGCTTTTCTTGTACGATCCGATCGGAGGATGCAGTCATCTCGACGGGCCAAGCTCCTGCCGCTCGCTCGTCTCGGTGAGAAGAGCCTTTATGAAGGATCATTCACTTGGCTCCTGACGTTGCTACCATGAACATGCTTTGGCAAAAGTTGGTCTCGATTTCGTGGTGGCTGGATATCGTCAAATGGGCTCATCGAGGCTCATCTCATCTCCTCCCTTGACTCGAGCTCAATATCCAAAATGATGTGGAGAGAAACCCGTTTGCGGCGACAGTGCCGAGTCGCAAGAGCCGTCGAACGTAGCGTAAACACAGAGATCAGGTTGAACGGGAGATCGCGTAATGTCCCATACAAACGTCAACGTCCGTCTATACCTACCCTGTGGCGCTTCAATGAGTAATTCGCAGAGCGTATCCACCACCGGCTTGCATGTTCATGGTCAAGACCTGAACTCTACGTCCGTACGCTTAGGGCTTTGTGGACTACGGGTGACGACCGCCCTCTTCATCCTTTGCTTGAACAGCAAGCCAAGGTTGGCAGCAAGCCATCACTTTCAAATTTCAACATGTTCGACAGCGCCATCACAAACACGGGAATATTTACCGGGCCGATACAAACAAAAGATGGCCACAAGCGGTTCATGCATATTTGCATAGATCTTGAAAACACACTGGACATCGCCGTCAAGTGGTGTCGAACGCAGTTTGATCTCATGCATACTTGGCACCTACGACAGGAGCCTCAACCTCCTCGGCGGAGAATGAGCAATGGCTAACTTCATCTCCGTCTGCTCGAGGTATCACGCCCCACTGCAACGGCAACAAGTGCGCATTCTCCTGACCTGGAGGTGGATGACACGCAGCTGAGATGGCAGCGCTACAGCTGCCAACAATCGGTAAGTCCGCGGAGACTTTCCAAAAGCCGACACCAACAATGCCAACAAGCATCAAACAACCAACAGAGAGCGTCAATACCATGGCTATTGGACTATAGCCACATGTCGACACGGGATCCTCGGCTAAAGTCCTTCCATCACGCAGCTCTGTGGTGATGCTAGCCAAGAAAAGACTCTGCGAGACGAGCCAGTGCAAAGCCCCCGAGAGGACCAAGAGGGGAGCTGCAAATCGATAAGGTAACGAGAGGAAGTATGTTGATCGCTGCATTCCTTTTGGTGTTGATACTCGCAGAGGCTTTCGTTCTTGAGCATAATGGCTCCACTCCCGCGCCGCGAGCATGGCAGTGAGAAGACCATTAAACAGCAGGTAAAGAAACGAGAGCATGACTTGCGGTAAATTGGCCACGATGACAGCTGCAGTGACAGATGGCATATGCCAGCCCGAGCCACCGATTCTGCAACACAAAGGTTAGGAAACTACCACAACCTTTCTCATTTGACGGTCGCACCTGCGGAATTACTTACAGCGATTCTTCACGTACTGTTCCGAAACCCATCGCCCAGAGCGCCGACATACTCCTATCAGAAGTCTTGAGGTGCTCAATTCCGTATGCCAACAGACCCGCAACGATGATCAGAGCGGCTGAAAGCAGTCCAGCCATACTGAACCATCTGCCTTTACTCGCTGCATCCTTCAGACGCCGTGATCTTCCCTCCAAGACCATGGGCTCGCTGCCCAGGATGTATTCTCTTTCGGTGCTGGAAATGCCGTGATCGTCATCTCCGTCGTCGCGCCAGTGTTGTTGGAAGTATGTGCCGTCTATCAAACAAGCACCTCTTGTCGTACTATCTGTTCGTCGAAGAAAAGAAGCAACCGCATCACCCACAGTTATCAACGGGGAGTCTTTGATGCCCCAAGCCACATAACTCATACAGAATATCTTGACGACATTGCAAATCATAACCACGACTGCGATTGCGAGCGAGAAGTTAAGACTGCACTTTCCCTCCATCACCTCACTCATACAATATCGAGCGTCGTAATAGCGAGGAGACCACTGATCAGCAATTTCTTGAGTTGTGGGATGGTCTGATAACAGCGGTAGGATAAGCTCCAACCCTGCGCGATGAACTTCTCCGCCAGCATGGGGTCTACACAGATCCAATCGTAGGGGTTGTAGTAGTCCATCTCCAATTCGCTGTTGAAGTTGAAGCGATAGCGATCTCTGGACACCATTGAACCTTTCCTCGTTGTGTTTTGTGGTTCGACGACGATAACAACATCTCGGTGCGCGCTGAGCGTATCCACCGCATATGCAGAAATACATTCTGCATTGCTGAGTTTTTGCCATGTGCCGTTGTTTTGCTGAAGTCTTTGCTGCATGGCACTCGTGTCCATGTAATCCTCATCCAAGCCATTGATCTTGTCCGGAAAAGCAACACGATTGTACGCAGCTCCGGTCAGGAAGTCCTCCGTAACGTAATAGATGTTGTAGTCATTAGTGCTCAACGAACCAAAAAACATGGAATTGTACATCAAATGCAAAGGCAAACTGCTCAGGCCTAGCAGACACCAAAGCAAAAGCTTCTCCTTCCTGATAAGTGTCAAGTTCCGCGAACTAGGAACACCAATGTCCATATATCTTTTCCTAGCGTGTGCATCATCCACCTCTTTCCGATTTGGGGCGCAGAGCACTTGCATGCAATAATTGGATCCGGAGAGTAACGCCGTACTGACGACATTGATGGCCAAATGGATCCAAGTATCGTATTTCTCAACCATTTCGCAGTTACCAGTGTATATACTCGATATCCCGGCGGTGAATTTGGAGTGTTTGGATATAAACACCGTAGCGATGAGATTGAGGGCGAGCGACAGGGTTGCCAGTGCCGCCGCACTTGTAGCTCCTACGCGCCAGCCAGATTTGAACCAAGATTTCCGCTCTGGTAGCGAGTCCAAAGCACTAGGGTGGATTGGAGCATAAGAAGTCCGTTTCGTCCATGAATAGCTTCGCTTTACTTTATCTTCTGTTGGCTTCCAAGAGGAAAGTTCGTATGAAGTTTCGAATCCATTTGTTCTGGAGGGGGTGAGGCACAGAATTAGGCCTCCCGTGTTTTTCGAGTCGCGATTTCCTCAAAAGTTACTCGGATGACAAGGGTTTGTAACTTGGTTTCTGATAAGCTGTTGTAAGTTTCATGTTATCAAATGAAAACGCTCAGATATTCGTGCGTGAAAGAGGATGATAGAATGGTCTTTTTGTGGCAGGCTGTGTAAGGCCTAATCTGGAACGAGGCTTGCACTGCATATTATATGGAATCTTTGTGGCGCGAAGGATTTGGTTGCACCTATATCCTAGTTGCATATGTTGTATTGACCAAGTCTTGGACTTGGCTCCTGCTATTCATGGGAGGAAAAAGATGGATTACAAGGTGACTGTGAAATTCCAAGGCTTAGCATGGTGCATAAATGGTTATATACATGCAGACAACGATGAGGCTAAGATTAGAGGGCACATGCAAGACACGAGATTGTGTTATCCCAAATTGTCCATATCACTCGCTTCACGGTCTGACGAGGGAGAAAAAACACATGGTGCTGGTGTTGATGATATTCAGATAGATCTAATAGTCATAATATCTGAGCATTTTCGCCGATATCCTGATACCCTAGAAACTGATCTAGAATGACAGATGCCATCATTTTGAGTTTCTCCCACAGATTCATGGTATCTTAGCTATGTGACCCTAAACAGTAGTCGACCATAAGGGGAGCTTGGGTGGCTTGAGCGCATTGAGACCGAACCTGGGCACTTGTTGCGTCCACATCTCTTTGTCGAACAGTTTTTCTACATATTTCTGAGGTATAGGATGACAGACGCCTGTCTGGGGCTGCCCGTCCGACTTGACCGTTCTCATTAACTCGAATGTCTCATCGGAATTGACTCTTTCAAAGTCCCACGGATGTGTAGTGTCAAATCCATATGGAACAGATACTAAACTTTGGAAATATGCCTTAGTATCAGAAGCGTGTGTGTGAACATGGAGTGGCTGCATGACACATCCGAAGATGTGCTGCTCAAGAGAGTAACCATTCTCATTGCTGCGGTGGTACGATATCCAAGGCTCGACGTCTATAAAGTTTGTGAAATAGGCCCCGCGGAAAGCATGGGCTAATTCATGGACGATGGTAGTGGCTAGCAGGAAGTTTGTACGGAGATTGGCTGATCTCAAGTCGGTGTGAAATCTGCGGTTTTCAGGAATCCCGGCAGCATTCATCTCCTGTACAAAGTAATCCCTGAAGTGGGTATTTTCATTGGACACATGATGGTCATACGATCGCAATACTTGGAGAAATGACGCATTGAGGTCGATGTTCGTCACTGCAGTGCCACTGCCAATCGTTAGCATCATCTTGGAAGTAAGTACAAACAACCACTTACATTCCTGAGGCGTCATAAGTCTTTTCGTCCATAGGGTTTACCTCCTCAACACACCGTCCATATACCGTATCTGATGCGGCGGTTTCTCCAACACCCCAGCTGGTGTATTTGTTCATCGCGCATATTTTATGGTAAGTTGCCACTTGTTCATCTACCGACAAAGTGTCTGGAGGGCGTACAATAGTGCAGATTCCGTGCACCGGGTCCTCAAATTGATCCCAGCAACTCGGATTCGAGAGGGCATAGAAGAAGGTCATCGTAGTCTCGTCCTCAAGAAGCGCGGATGCTAGGACTAGCGGTAGCTTGAGAAGCTTATAGTCCTCCTCACTAATCTCTCGAAACGCTTCATCTTTGTCGAAGGCTGGGTGGATGAAGGGCTCATCCAAATCGTCTATGGCCGCTTCAGTCCAACGCGCTTGTGGGTACATGGAAGTATCTGCGTCAGTCTGATGGTAGTTGATAAAACCGGCCGCATTAAGTACTTGCAGTCCATATACATCGATTAAATCGTTACAATTCACTGTAGAAGTTGGTGGGCCCATACGGTATGGCCATAGCTCAGGAACCCCAGGGACTATAAAATTTTCATGCAGAACATCGAATCCTGTGCCAGAGAAATTCCGCCTTGCATAATAATGCTTTGTATCTTCTGGCCAATCTATTGGTCGAAATTTTCCTTTGTGGTACGTCCATGGAGGCAGCATTGGAGGAGTCGGAATTTTGTAGTCGATCGGCTGTACATCGTCGGACGACGCGTCGCTCATGCTTTCATCTCCCGAATCGCCCATGTCGTATATATTCGAGTACAGGTGTGACAAAAATTCCAGTGGTCGAGTTGAATATCGATAAAATCTAGGGTGGCGGTCGGAGATACTTTGACTGATGAGAAACATGTTCTTTCGGATGCGGACAACAATGCCGCAGAGGAATGTGGCAACGAAGAGGCTGTTTTCAGACCGTGGGGTTGTTTTCAACACCTCACAGTTCTTTGTGATCGCGTCGCCAAGAGCTGGGTGGATTGTGAGTGCTGATGTTCCTTGAGGTCGGTTTCTTGATCAGGTCGTCTCAAAGAGGGCTGAAGCGCAAGCCGGTTGCAAATTTATTGTGTTGCACTTGGAGGAATGAGGGCCCCTCTCAGATTCGTCTTCTGACCGACGAGATCAGTCATAATCGAAGCAGCACCTTCTTTCAGCAGGAGACCAAGTTCTGGGTGACGCTTCCCAAAGTGTGTCAGATGTAGGTGACTAAAAGATAGAATATCATGCATACAAATTGTGAAGTCTTAGTTTCGCATGGTCTGAGATTACTTTGAGGATGTCAGCTCCGCGTCAAAGGTAGCAAAGAAGAAGGCGGCCGAGCTCATGTATCTTTGGCAAAAGGAAAATTCGAACTGCTCATTGAACTAGCTGATGAAGCGCAAGATGCCTTTGACAGTTAGTTTTTTGTCCACCAAGAGCGGAACTTGCTTCGTGATCTCTTTGGACAAACCTGTTGAACTTAAATTTATAGTGGCTGTTCAGTAAGGTAACTTGACAGGCCGAGGACTAAGGCTTCGACATGTCTATGACGACCGGGGTGCGGACCCATGACCGCCAGGATTTGCATCCGTATCTATCAGTAAGTTACGAGGCACTGCAGTAGCAATCCAGTGCTTCTGAAAGTCCTGCAAAACTTTCCATCTTTGCAGTTTTGGGTGTTTCACCGCACTCGACCCAAACCTGTCTACCTTTTGTGTCCATAGCTCGTTACCAAACAGTTCGTGGATGTGTCGTTGGGGCAGAGGATAGACGACATTCGTCAAGTCTTGGTTGATAGGCGACTTCCTGAGTTCTAGTTTGCTTTCAGGTCTCCACAAATCCCAGTTTTCCGCAAAGGACAGTCCAAATGGGGCATGGTCTTTTTGTTGTGCGTGATCTTCGTTGTTCATAGAGGAGTGGTCGATGACTACATTAGGGGTCGGACAGCCGCCCAAGACGTACTTCTCGAGAGCGTACCCAATCTCGTTAGAAATGTTATCTGCGATCCAAGGCTCAATCCCGTCGGAAGAGGAGACATAGGCCATGCAAAACGCATGAGCAAACTCATGGAACATGGTTCTTGCCAGGAGAAACATTACACGGAAGTTCGCTGACTCCAAGTCGAAGTCGATCTGGCGGTCCTCGGCAACACCCAACTTCTTCATGATGTTCCCGAAGAAGACTTCGTAGTCGTTGCTTGTTCCGAGCATGAGGCGATTGTATGCATGCAACAAGTCGAGGCGTGATGAACTGAGCCTTATACGCGACTGACGGGTTGATCTATCGACAATCAGCATCATGTCTAGACTCCAAAAGTGCTATCACTTACGGTGCTGAGGCAATCTCATCTTTTTTATGACCGGAAGTACATCCATATATGTGCGCACGCATCTTGTGTAGCATGTTGTCTACCCTCCAACGGGTCCACCTGCGCATGTCCACGATCTTCCAGTATGTATCTACTTGCTGCTCCTCAGTCAACTTGTCTGGGATTTTGATGTGCACCTGTGTCTTTGTCTTGTCATGGAGATCCGCAACTTTAGTGTGGCAGCTTGGAGTTGACACGGCATAGAAGAAGTTGAGGGTACTCTCTTGGTCGAGCAATGCGCCTGCCAGAAGTACGGATGGAGTGATAGCCTTGTAATCGTCGTCAGATATGGCAGGCCAAGGTTTTTCGCCCTTAGAAAGCTCTGTGAACATGTCTTGCCACAAGACCGGATGGATCCGTTTGTTTTCCTCAAGTTTAGGATTCCTATTGACGTAATTGGGACCGCCCAAGGGGTTCATGTCTACGTTGAGGGCTTGTTTGCAGTTGATGAATCCAGCTGCTTCAAGGACCTGTAACCCCCATTGCTCAATCACGGCGCTGCATTCCACTGACGCGACTGGAGGACCAAGGCGATATGGCCATTTGTCGCGCTCGTCAGATTTGAGCTCATTTTCGTGTTCCGAACGAACGTGGAATCCTTCACCCGAAGACCCCAGTCTTGCGAAGTAGATGTTCCAGTCTGCAGGATATTCCGTCTTGCGAGGTCCCGTCTCGACGAGTGTTTCTCCGGGTAACTCTGGTGGGTATGGATACTCATATTTGCCATTATTCGAAGGATCTCTCAACGCGGTATCCCCTGCATCGGCCATGTTGCATTCGATTGATTGCGATTGGAAATTGTGGTAACAAGTAGGATTGAGTCTATTGTGCACAGTAGGACCCCAAGGACAGATTTCTTTCGGCTGGAGGAAAGCAACCAGATGAGGACAACAATTGCGGAAAGGAATGCAGTGTTGAAATCCGCTTTGGAGCGATGCGCGAATGGTGTCAAAGATGCATCTTCGAGTTCTTTGTGATTTGCCGCATATGGAAGGAACATTCCTCACCGAAACAAGGCTTTCGCTTCCGAGGATCAAGACTCGACTGTGACTATTCTCGATCTGTCAGACGTAGTTGAGAATTTGAAGATCATGGATACAAACTGTGTTTTTCTTTTATTCAAAAGGCTCGCTGTGAATCCAAAGAAAAAAGTATGCAGAAATCGCTATGCCAAGTCATGCCTCACAAGACAACTAACCGCTCCATCAAACGAGAACGTGCTTTTCAAAAATCATAGCAGTCATATGCATCAACAAGTTTCATCAAAGCGCGCCAGATGCATAAGCGGGCTCACGCTCACGATCTCTGCGTCGTTCGCGGTCGCGCACAAAATCTGCCGCGGGTTCCTGCCCGTCGACAGGTGCTTCAAGCATGCGTGGTGCTCGAGGAGCATATTCGTCCTCGCTGTCGTGGTCTTCGTATTCGTCTCTTTCGCGTCGCTCGCGCTCGCGTTCTCTGCGGCGATTTTCGCGGCGTTCGTGACGTTCATGGTCTTCTTCACCGTATGAGCGGGCTTCTTCTACATGTTAGCTGGAACGGGATCATAAGACATATTTTGACTGATGAAAGATACCTCTAATTGCCAATGTTTTGTCGGCCAATTTCTGAATTTCGTCCTTGGTCAAGACTCGTAGTACAATTACACAATCCAAGCGCTCTTCGAAGCGTTCTTGTGCTTCCTCGAGCGCTTTGGGGTTGACAAGACGGCGGTCAATCTTTGTCCAGCGAGCGCCGGCGGGTATGCCATCCTTTGTAGTCTGCAGTAGAAAGATCGTAAGAAGGATGTGTTTGTTATGTTATCGGTTCAACGTACCTCTTTCAACGGCGCGACACCCTCTCGCACTGGGTGTGGATCTTCGGGGAATTTCTGTGTGGGCCTCTTTAGGATACCCTTGACGGGTTGAGAATCTTCCCGGTCGGAAGGAGGCTCAACAATGCGTACCCTGTTTTCTCTAGCTGTGCTCTCGGCATAGTCAACGGTAGCTGCAGCAGCAGGAGCTGGAGGCCTATGATGAAGAGGCTCGGTATCTCTCGCTCTCCTCTCTCTGTCTGAGTCTGGGTTGTCATGTAGACCAAGATCTCGTTGGGCCTGCTCCATACGTCGGCGATAGTCCTCATCAGGATCAATCTCTGCTGGAGGGTCAACTGGAGGCACACGCTCGCGTTCAGGGGCGCGCTGACGCTCATCAGGCTCAGGTATCCGTTGTCGCTCGTCGGGCACGAACCGGGTGTCTTTTTCTTGTGGCGGAGAGTTGTCGTCCCCAAGCGTACGATGTCGTCTGGAGCTTCTGTGTTTATCTTGGCCGCTGTCAGATGATGAAGAGTGCCTGGGTCGATCCCGTTCCCTCTCGCGCGGTCGGTCGCGAGCTCGCGTTTCACGATCGTGGAGTCTTTCTCGTTCTTTTTCGCTGTCCTTGTCGACATCTCTTTCGCGCCCCTTTTCTCGTTCACGCTTCTCACGCTCTCTTTCTCTATGCTCCTTCTCGCGGTCGCGTTGCTTCCGTTCATACTCTTGCTCCCGTTCACGTTGTTCGCGCTCTCTCTCCCTATCTCTTTCACGGTCCCGGTCCCGGTCTCGGTCTCGGTCTTCGTAGTCGCGATCTCGACCTTTGACCGTAGTATCTGAACCATATGCGGCGGCAGCCATAGCACCAAGCCCGCCAATAGCGGCAGTGGCGGCAGCGGGCAATAGAGTGTTGGTCAGGCTATCACCACTTCCCCTCGGAGTAACATCTCGATCACGGTCTCTACGGTCGCGATCTCGCCTGTCTCGATCGTTGTGTCGGTCTCTTTCGGAGGCGTAGCCATCGTCTCGCAATCGGTCTTTGTCTCTGGAGCGGTACTCTCGCTCACGATCGGAGTCTTTGGGATAGTCGTACGCACGAGGGTCGCTACGAGGTGGAGGGTGTTCGCGATCGCGATCCGAGTAGTAGGCGTCGAAGCTTTCACTGCTTCCCTTGTTCATGTTGTGGTTGTATCTGTCTTGACTGCCGCTGCGAATGCCAAAGCCGCGACGCTCAACACTGCGATCCTCATAACGTTGCGTAGGGCGAGCACGTTCGACTTCTCTTGGGTAAACATCTCGTGTACGGTCCTGATGAACGGCAGTAGAATGACGGCTAGACGAGGATATGTAGCCATCATTGTTGTATTGGGGCTCCTGGTATGACAGCCTGTTGGAGGATCGCGGCGGTTCTCGTGTAGTTGCGGCCCGTCCAGCGGTATCGTTGAACTTGTCTAATGCACGCGATGTAGGTGGACCAGGCTCTCTGGCCGAAGAACGGGGAGGGTATGGCTCAACCAGTGCACTAGAGGGTCTGGGACGGGTGGCCTCGACGCTGCCGGCGCGGTGTCGCCATCGCGGCTCCGTCTCTCTGTACATGGCAGCTGGATCGGTGTACGAAAAGCCTTGGTCAGCTTCGCTCTTTCTGGTCGAGGAACCACTGAGATGGTAGCCTTTGGAACGGTGGTGAGACGAGCCATGGCGGTCGGAGTTGCGATCGATGCTGTGGCGCCTATGTGAAGAGCTGTGGCTTGCGTTGATGTCGACGTCGGCAACAAGACGAGACTTGCCGCCACTGTCGATGCTGTACAGCTTTTTATGTGAATGGTCTCTATGTGAGGTGGCTGGAATGGCGTAGTAGTCTGAAGCGCGAGTGGAATAGCCGAGGGGACTCGAGGGACTGTGGGTACGATCGTGCGATGATTGAATGACGGCAGGACGGCTGCGTGGGTGAACCGGCACAGTGGTATTGGTAGTGGTAGCGGTCGGGATGGAGTTTGGACGCGAGGGGTCGGTCAAGGTGGAGCGACGGGGTCTGCCCGAGTAGGCATCCCGTGTGACGAAAGTGGTCGTCGAGACGGGCACAATGCGCTCGCCGCTGCTCCGGGGTGAAGCATAGGCGGTATTTGAAGGAGGATATGCCGTGGTCGCAGATGCAGGATAGTAGCCGTCCGAGAGTCGTGCGGGATGAGCGAGACGGCGCGAGCCAGGTGACGAGGTGCGATGGTAAGACATGGCCGTCAAATTGACGCCGACGCCGTTGCGGAGTATAATATGACGATGTGACGATGTAGCAATGCAGCAGAGCGGATATGAATGCTGGCGAGCGCTTGGATGGGTCTGTAAGAAGCAAAAGTCGAGTCCTGGTGCGTCTGTGTTATGGGAGTTCCAAGCTGCCGGATCCTTCGTCACTGGTGGCCGCTGACATGAAAGTCGTCACGCACGCCGCAGAAGCAGGATGGCGTAGTTGAGCCGTTGGTACAAGGGAAGGTACCAAACACGCCGGCCCGTTCCTCGACAAACTCGCCCTGAGTCGTTTGAACCCAATGCTTGTTTTTACCACGAGCTGCCCTCGTTCTTGCCGTGAGAGATTGTTTCAGAATCGACAACTCGAGAGGACTGTTGCGAGTTTATGTCGTTACAAGAGCCCACAGTGTCAACAAGTTGGGCATCAGAAAGAAGACGCGGGGCTTTTCGTTCCCGTAAAGCCCACGAAACGCTTGGTCCCACATACCAGGTTTGACCACTCTGCTGAAACGCCTGTTTTTCCTTGACAGAAACTCTTTCTTCCCGACCAAACTCTCCTTGCTTCCGTCCAAAATGCATCATGCACTTGGCGTTTCCATCCCAACTCATAAACTTCCACGACGTTTCTTTGTCCTCTCAACTCATCCGTCGTCCCAACAGCATGTGAAAGGTGACATGGTAGAAAACGTTACTGCACAGTCCATCCACTGTTCTCTAGCTCGCTGCAATCAACAAGTCGTGGAATTTCGTATGTTGCCGCTTGGGCTGCTACGGATATGTACTTCAAAAACTTTGCTTTCTCCACTGCTGCCCCACTGCCCCCTTTTTCTACTCTCTTCACGCCTCGTCTGGCGTCCTCAACTGATTGATGCTGAGGACTTCACACTTGGGCCTGAACGCGATTAAAGCCCTCATGCTCACATGAGCATTGAGCCACCATTTGTGCTGATCATGCTTCCCGTCAAGTTCTTGTCCTTCATTGCATACAAGAATGCCTCAGCCACGTCTTCGACCTGACCCATCTTGCCCGTCGCCATCTTACTCTCAAAGGACTTGAAAGTCTGCTCTCTGTGCTCCGCCGGGATACCGTCCCACAGTGGGGTAACCACGGCTCCAGGCGAGACCAAGTTGACACGGATGGGCTTGAGGTCTAGCGCAAGACCTCTGGTTGTGCCTTGGAGAGCTGTGGCGAATCCATTGATGACACTCCAGTTGGGGATAGGCTTCTCACTGACATTACCAGTGGTGAGGGTGATGGATGAGGCAGGGCTCTTGTCGAGAACCTTTGCAGCATGCTTCGCTACCATCAGAGGGGCGAAGAATCTGACCATACCTGCTTGGATGGTCTTGTCCATGGTGGCCTCCTCGAGTGGCATCATAGCCAAAGAATCTCCTGCTGTGAAGACGACATGGTTGATAGAGCCGACCTTCTTGAACAGCTCCTCGACATTCGATTCAAGACTGGCTTGGTCGCCCATGTTGGCCGCATAGCCCTTGACACGCTCGGCTGCTGATGGGTATGCTTTCTGCAACTTGGCAACAGCTTCTTGTACTCTAGACTCGTTTGAAGAAGAGATCACAACGTGAGCTCCATTCTCCAATGATGCTTCGGCAACTCCATAGCCAATTCCTGTGGTTTGTTAGATCTGCGAAGCTTTGCCAGCTAGATCGAGATCCTTACCCGCGCTGCCGCCAATGATGAGAACACGCTGGTCCTTCAGCTTGCTGTTGTACTTGTTCTGGTCTGGCATTTTTGCTGGTGTATTTCTGCGTGTAAATCTGTGTAGTTTGTCTATTCTTTAAGTGATGACGAGGGGTCGATAAATATGATGGAGTTATCGGATTTAGGCAAATGTTAACTCCCAGAACGTCGTCATGACGGTGCTCGATTACGGTATGACACTCTGCCGAAGACCGCAACGACTGTCAGCTCAATCATCATTGTCAGACGGATATCAATGCTCATGAAAATTCATCGGCTATGCACTAGGTGGTATAATGTACATGAAAAAACATTTGTCTATGCAACCTTCTAACAAGACCCTACAAAAATTGCCATCTCGTGTTGATCTGCTTACGCTTCACCTGTGCACTGGTCAGTATGTACGTGTGAGACGATTGAGTAAGACTTACCAATGGCGCGACCACAACAGTGGCCACCGCAAGCGCTGCTACGGTTGCAAGCATCTGGAATTTGTTGAAATCCTTGCCGAGAATGTCGAATGAGAAACTCGGGCTGATTCTGGTGCTGAAGACATCCAGACCGTAGGCAAACACCAGACTGGTACTTTCGAGCACAGCTGGACTGGTCGTGATGGTGTCAATTCCGTAAACCTCGCGTTGGTGGTTGAGGTACCATTTGGGGTCAAACTCGAGGACAGGCATGTAACGCATCAGACCCTCCATCATTTCGTCCTTAGTTGCGTCTCTTCCAACTGGTCTACGGGGGTCGATGACATGGCGAGGAATGCCGACTACCGCGTTTGACTCAGGGAGAACAGCCAGCAAGGCCCTTGAAGTGATACCTTGCCTGGTCTGTGTGACTTCCAGCTTGGAGATGGGTTCACGGATGCGGTAGGACTGAGCAATTACATGGGGCTGATAGCTGTAGTCGACCTCGGATGAGTTCTTGATAGCGCTTTGTGGTCCTCTATCGTTGGAGAAGGGCGATTCGAACATCTCGCCAACGACCAGCTGGTAGCCCTTCACGCTGTCTGCTGTAGGTTGCGAAGCAAACGAGTAAGCGAACCAATTCTCAGACATAGCTGAGGCAATTGGCAGAGTTGTGTCGACACCCTGGTGCGAAGCGATATAGAGGACCGAACCAGACAGGGCATCAATCACACTGATGGTGGCCGACATTGTGGTGTCGGAGGCAGTGATGATAAGAAGAGTGTTGGGGTTGAGGTACTTGTAGAGAACCTTACGATCTCCAAGGACTTTTCCGATAGATGCGACGGGGTCGTCGATTGGACGAGGAGTCATACTGTAGACCTTCTCTCCGTTACCGGGCGCGAATCTCCATGATGCAGCCTCAGCAATCGGACCACCTACGACCTTGCCGTCTTCCAAAGCATAAGTGAATTTAGCAGCATGGCTTGGCTCTGACAACAGTGCAGATCCGGTGTAGGTCATTTCAGTTCCGGTGGATGCGTTGAATAGCCTGTGTTGGCTTCCATCAACGCTGCTTGCCAAAATCGTGCCATCAGGGCGAGCAGCGAGCTTAGGCGATTGCCAAGGAGAAGGAGCAGCATCGTTGGCAATCTTGACGTTCCATACTGTGGCGCCCTTGCCGCCTGCATCAAGTGCAATCAAGCGACCACTCTCGGTAGCGCAAACAATTCTCTTGTGGAAGCCAAAGATATCAGTAGAGTCTGCATCGGCATCATGCGCACCAATGCCTACGCTAGCGGCAATGCGACCAGGCAAAGCTGCGAGCCATGCTGGGAGGTTCTCCAAGGCCGCAATGTGTCTCTTGACTCTATGAATATATGCCTGTACAGGGTTGGAGTGGCCTTCGATTTCAAGCTCGTGTACCAGGCCTTCAGGAGCAGAAAGATATGCCCAGACAGCAGACTTGATGCTGCTGAGTGCCTCGGGTCTCTCCCACACGGGAGTGCCGTCTCGAATGAGAATCCAATCGCCTGATGCCAAGTAGACAGCGGAGCGAACAGCAGAAACGGTATCAGACTTGACTGAAACTTCGGAGACAGCATGCACAGGGGCATGATCGCCTTGCAAGGTGATACCAGCGGCGGGCTTCAGCGGCCATCTGGCGAGAATACCATGCGAGGCAGAAGAGACGACCGTCACCTCGGAATTGGAAATGCGGGTAAAGTATACATTGGCGTCAGACGTGCTGGCAGAGAAAGCGGCCTTGCCTGTCAGCTTGGGAAGCGAGTAAGCCTTTGATACAGTGGACTTCACGAGGTCAACATGGTAGACCTCGGCCCAGTTCTGAGAACGAGTCTCATAATGGACAAGGAAGTGAGGACGGGCATTGATGTGGTAGGGGGCATGCAGAGAGATGCTGAGGACATCTTGACCAACTTCAACATTGAAGGTAGATACAGCCTTGGAACCAATGACATTGACCTTGAGGGTAGAGCGGGCCTTGTCGGTCCATGCGATAATGGGCGAGGCAGAGTTTGCGCCGACAGTCAGAATGTCGGCAGTTGAGGCCAGATCGCTCTCGGTAGACAAGGTGTATTGATCCATCTTGTGTCCAGTAACAGGATCGAGAGAAGCGACCTTGATCTTGAGGCCTCCCAGCATCGAGGTATGCAGGGAGATGTAGAAGATGTGAGTAGACGAGACAGAGAGCTGGAACGGAGTGTCACCGCTATCGTCTCTGAAGAGCCACTTGACGGCACCGTCCTGGCGAGCGAGTCTTCGCACAGTGGGCTGAGAATCACCAGTCAAGACGATGGCATCCTTGCTTCCACCCTGCTCGTTGGCCTCGGGAATCTCAACAATTTCCAAGTCTTTTACTTTAGCATCACCCAGATCGAAGGACCATGCTTGACGCCCGTCGGCAGCACTCCATGCAGCAACTTGACCGTCGACAGCGCTGATGACAAGAGCTTGGTCCTGGGCAGCTCGGAGGAAGGACGAGGTCGAGTTGTTGTTGGGAGACAACTGCTGGCGCCATCTTAATGAACCGTCCTTGGGATTGACTGCTCCGAGAATTGCTTTGTCCGAGAGAGTGTAGAGAAGCGATGCTTTCGACGCGGCGACGGGCTGGTGGAAGAAGGTCGTGTCTTCCTGGGGTGCGCCGACCAGGGCAAGGTGCCAGTCTACGTTGAAGGCATCATCGACAAAGACTGCCTGGCAATTTGGCAGGACTAGACTGGCTGCTGCGACCAGCACTGATTGAATTCGCATGACGGTGGTTCTGCACTGTTTGCGACTACTCGACTATGAACAGCATGCAACTCTCGCTGAAGCTCCTTGCCCAGACCGAGCTTACCCTCCGAAGATCTGCCACCCACGACTTTGTCCAAACCATCCGACCTTCCACTTTCTCTACAACTATCACAATCATTCGTCCTTGTTTTGGTCAGGGAGAACTAGGTGCTTATCGAATCTGTCACATCACTTCGTCAGACTTGTATTAAACAGTCCATCGCAAGCGACAAGCCATGCCTTGACGTCGGTCAAAGCCCCAGTCCCCTAACTCTCGGTGACGTCGCTTTCGGCAACTTCAAATCTGGCGAGCTGAACTTCTTGGTGGCTTGCTGTGAGTTTGAGATTTGATTGTCCATCGGCGGTACCTTGAGCCGAGTAGCTGCAGCGATATTGTGATGCTATAGCTACCAGCCTTTGTTCATCTATAGAGAGCCAAGTGTGCTAAGTTTCGTCGCCTCGGTAGCCATGCTAGGTATATGCATGAAATCTCAATCATAATACTACGGAATCACAAGCGAACAGTCCAGTTGCCGAATCTTCCGTCTCAGATAGATGTGGATACTGCGATGGAAATCCCAGATATACTGATATTGCGGTCATGTTGAGACATATCGTGTTAAAGGTCGTCTCAGAGTGCCTTCCGGTGCCTTTTGAGCCGAGGCGCTTTCGAACGCGCAAAGGCGGCACGAAAGCCATGACTCGGCGTGCCGAAATTGTCATCCAGGAAAGCTGCACACGCTTCTGATATCAGTCCTGCTGTCGCGCTACATGTCGTTATATCCCCAACGCGTCTTCCTCCTCACCTAATCTTTGATTACCGCATCCCGTCAATCTTTTGTGTTTCCCTTCCTTTATCGCCCTGTACAAATACCTTATCAGTTTCTCCACGCATACCTCCGACTGCCGACCTGCCCCGTTTGTACTGTGCATTCGCATTCGCGTGTGCCCGGGCGCTTCCTTGATCGCTTGCTGTGTCGAACGCAAATTCCCAGAGCAAGAACATTTGCTTGAATCAACGTGCCAAGAACGTGAGTTTTCGAGTCGATATACAACCCAAACATTCCTTCCCCAGTGTTTTATTGCGACTGAAGTTCCCCCAATTGACATGACCTAAACCAGCACGTTACGATCTAACGACGGATCTGCATCGCTCTTGCTGGTCAGGAGCCCTGCAGTAGCGGAGTGCGGAACACGCTCGCCGACAGCCTCCTTCAACCCGCGTTGCCCATTCATCCTTGGTTTCTTTGATCGCGGAAATCATTGACCTCTGAGTCTTTTCTCGTTACTGGGTGTCGCCTCTTTTCTTGGACATCTGTGACTCTTCTTGGAACTCGGCCGAAATGTCGCGGACGCTAGCCCAAAGGTCTCTATACCTTCATATGTGAAACCTTATCCACGGCCACAGACTGAACGTGATATTGTAGGGAATACCACATTGTCGTTCTCGGCTCAGGTTGGTGAAGATCTGATGATTCGCTGTGATACTGGTGTGCTAACGATTTTGTAGGAGGTGTTGGAAAGAGTTGTCTGACAGGTATCTACTGTTCGAGCAGCTTCACCCTTGAACACGGCTAATCGTCAAAGCGCAATTTGTGCAAGGTGTCTGGATAGAGCGATATGATCCAACCATCGAGGATTCATATCGCAAACAAATCGATGTCGATGTATGTTCAAATCGTAATCGGATATGAAGCCTACCTACTGACGCGAATCTCAGGGCCGACAAGTAATTCTCGAGATCCTCGATACCGCCGGAACAGAACAATTCAGTAAGTTTTGCCTCACACTACACTCCGATCAAGAAGCCAGCGCTAACTTGTTCCAAAGCTGCCATGCGGTAAAGCACACGAACAATGAACTAGCATCCCAAAGCACAAAGCTGATCAATAATTTCTAGGGAACTATACATGAAATCCGGCCAAGGCTTCCTCCTCGTCTTCAGCATAACCTCCACCTCCTCCCTCAAAGAACTCTCCGAACTCCGCGAACAACTCGTAAACCTCAAAGACGACCCCGCCGTCCCAATCGTTCTAGTCGGAAACAAGTCCGATCTAGAAGAAGACCGCGCGGTGTCTCGCGCCCAAGCTTTCGCCGTGTCTTCGGGTTGGGGAAATGTACCTTATTACGAGACATCGGCGAGGAGGCGGCAGAATGTCAACGAGGTGTTTGTGGATGTGTGTAGGCAGATCATACATAGGGATTTGCAAAAGGGGGGGAGGGGTGGTGGTGGGGAGAGGAGGAGTAGGAGGGAGGATGAGGGGGAGGGGGATAGGAGGAGGGGGAGTAGGCGTAGGCATACTAGGTGTATTATACTGTGAGCCTGTTCCTACTGCACTGAACTATTTGTGAGTGAGTTTTGGACTTGTGTTCATTTCTTGTTGGTAAATTAGGTCTGTTGGGCTGAAGAGGGATTGGAGGACTTGTTGTTTAGAAGCCGCAGAGCATGTTGAAAAAAGTGATGTTCCTTGCATTTCTATCGCGATACCATCAGATCCTGACATATTTTTGTGAATCATGGAGATGTATTGAAGAAGGCTGTTTTTATCCATATATATATATACCAAGCCTTTCACAGATCCCTATACATGCAATACATGCAATTCGAGGACAAAAAAGGTGGAGCGCTCCATGCAACCTCTGCAAGAAACAAGATAAACGCCAACCCCAACACTCATGACAAAGACAAATGAGACCAGCCCATATGCACATTACATCCAAACCCCATGTCTGAAAACAATTACAAAGCCTGACCAGGCGGTGAAAGCGGCCGCTCATCTCTCGTCTCTAGCAGCGGCAATGATGGCGTTGTCATATGTCTCGCTCCACTGCTGGCAAACGTACTCGCTGGATCCCAGCCCATTCGTTCATTCGTCCGTATCCTGGGACTCGAGAAATTGCGCGTAAGCGGTGGTGTATTCCTCCTTTGCTGTAAATCCAGCGGTGTAATCGGCGATACATCATCGTCATTCCTCCGCCTGGGTGAGTATATCGGTGCAGGTGAATCCGGCGTATGTGTATCGTCCAGAATATTCGCTATAGAAGTCGGTCTTGCATTATGCGGGTCTGTAGTCGACGAGCCCGAACTTTTTCGATCGGTATAGTCGATTTGAAGGCGCCCGCCTAATTTGCGTAGTTCGTAGGTAGGTGGTGGGTTAGGGCTGAACTGCGCTTTCCTTGCATCCAAGGATACGAATTCTTGGGGGTTTCGCATAGTCGCCCATCGCTCTTTCCAGCCTGTGATTAGTGACCAGCGGAAGAGGAGGACGAATAGTTCGATGCCGAGAAGTGAGATCATTATTAGCATGGCTCCGATTGTTGGTTCGCTGATCAGCCATTTGTGACTTAGGTGGAAGCATTGATTGCGGTCGCCGCCGCTTTGGATGAGGCAGATGACCCAGGGCATAACTCGCGTGTAGTCGTGCAGCATGGACTCTTCGATTTTGTCGAGGTATACGAAGACAACGGCGAAGAAGATGACATCCACGAGAACAATTGTGACGATCAGAATACCTCGCCACTGTAGATATAGCACGTTCTTGAGTCGACGGTAGATTGTACGAGCTCTACGTGATTTGGCGCTCATCACGGACATGGGAAGACTTTTAGCAGAACCCTGAGAGCATGGTCTTGCGCTGTCCTCCCAGAGGCTGTTGAAGAAGACACGAAGGCAGTATCCAAAGCTAAAAGACAAGTCAGTCGAATTCTGTACAGGGCATTGGTGATACTTACGTGCTAATTTGGACAATCACCGCTGCACCTGCAACGGCAAGCAACCATCCCCAGAAGGTCACCATAGAGTCTTCGTGATTGATATGACAAGCGTTGCCGAACCGGAATGATACACCTGAGATGCTGATGGCTGCAGTGAATAGTGCTGCTGGTATGCCCCATCCTACAGCCTGTGAAATATTGAAGAATCGTGGGCCCGGTACGATATCCCAGACGACAGTAAGGTGCATAGAGAATGCGCGAATGAGAACTTGTAGTGGTCAGTATCTGATGAGCTAGAGAAACAGTGGACACTTACTCCAGAAAGAACCGGCTAGCGCACCAGCTAGCAAAAACGCCCCAGACCATGCACAAGTCATCGATGTGTACATATCATTAGGCGTAATTCCGTCGTAACACTGATCCGGTTCTGCTCCCAGGGGTATAACAAAGGCGAGCTTTCTACGTTAGCAGGCTGGTCTGCAATCTCCTCCTAATTCACATACGTTGATGAATATCACTGCTATGATTAGACATTGCGTTAGATAATGGCTTCGAGTCCTTGTGGCAGGCAGGAAAGTGTTCGAAAGTAGCATGAAGGTCTGGAGTATCAAGCCAACAACATTGAGCCAGCCTGAGACGGTGCCCAAAGTATCGAAGTCTACGAGTAGAGATTAGCACGTCACGCAATGTAGTACTTTGCTGTCGGCATGACTGACTGTCTGAGTAGGCCCAATATGATGCTGGGCAGGGTAAGCAGCATAGGGGTGAATTCGGATCCTGGCTTTGGACAGAACAAAGACGGCCACCAATGTCTGCCGCTTGTCAGCCTTTCTGCAGTAGCAGTAGATAGTCACGAGACATACAACCGCCCTCAGAAGGGAAAAGAGAAGCGTCATAGAAAGGAGATATGCATGCTCCGTGCAGCGTCGAGTTCAAGAACATGGTAGCGGTGTGTTTCTGGCACGAGGGCCACACGTCAAAGAGTGACTCAATATAGGAAAGACGATCAGACTGCTCTCGAAGTGTCCCGTGTTGTGGCGAGCAAACATATAAGGACCGAAACAATCGGTTAAACACTGCGGGGGGGTTCGAAGGATGTTGGAGGCGTCCAATATACACGGGCTCAATGTACTGCTGGTGAAGAGATCCGCCGTTGATGTCAGCCAATCTTGATGTGATGTTGGTACCAGATTGAGAAGGTCAGAAGAGACGGGAAGAAGATGAAGGAACAGAACAGGGCCGCGTGGAATCGACCTTGCCGAAAGTTGACAGTATGGAGAAGAGGGTCGAGAAAGACGATTGAAGAGAGATCTCTGGTTGGCATGTGGGCTACCGTAGTGGCGGTACAAAGCTGGGTCGCCTTGCCCAGTCTTGGAGTGGCAGATCCAAGGAGACCCTGCAAAAGGCCACCAATACTTGACCACGGCATGGCCTTTTCTTGGTGATCACAGCGGTCCTCGCCTCAACCTACTGAGCTAGCTTACTCCTCTGCCGGACCTAATGCATGGCTTCAAGACACCTTGATCTTCGTTGCGCAACGAGGAAATTTGGTAGCAGCTGCGTACGACATGGTCAATCCCCTTCCTTCTCACCTCTCAGCGTTCAAGATTCACGTTATGTCAAGGGTTGCACGGCCTGCCGCGTTAGTGGCCGGTGTTGGAGGCGGCCACTCGGATGCGTCAACGTACATGTTTTGCGTCAACCTTGCCCAAGGCGCTCGCCTGTGCTGCAGATGGTTCACGGGTTTGGCGCGGCTGGACGACTCTTTCCCGCAATCGGTCTCTAGCCGCCCCGCCATGTGCAAAGAAAGCAGTGTGATGGGTGAAACTTCGAAATTAAAAATCCCTTGGAGGATTCACAAACTCGTCTCGGCTCGGCAAAAGAAGCGACCATGGCTTTGCCCAAAAATACAATCAATCCCGCGCTGGAAGATACATGGCGATAAACTCTCGATAGTGTGAATTCTTCTTCGCAGGGAAGACGAGAAGTTTAGGCTTCAATTATTCTCAAGCAGCTCAAAAGAGAATCTCTGACTGCATGCATAAGCCTTGCTCTTTCCATTCGCTCGAGCATGCACCCGAAACGCCCGCGCTCGTGGGAAAGCCTGGCTATGCAGGACTCTGCAATATAGTATGTGCCTCACAGTACCCGCAGGGTTTCTCAATCGCGGCAGGACAATCCTACCAGAATCGGCGTGCTCGCGAAGGAGAGGCACCACCAAGACACAATGTGCCGCGAGAGTGAACACGCGACCAATTGCATCCCTTTCTCCACGTCTCCTCTCACCATTGGCACATCTATATAAGCGCGATCCCACAATCACGGGATAAGGTCCACCAACATGGTCAAATTTGTACAAGAAACCAGATCAACCACTGTCGAACGACAATGACACCCTTTAGTGCCTGTCAGTCTCACACAAGCATTGCGGAGCTCAGTTATTAGTAGAGCACTAGTCGAATCGGAAAATTTCTGCCGCATATAGACTATGCCCCAGACGGTGTGCAAGTGGAGAGAATCGATGCATGGCGATATGGTACTAAGACAAAGGGGAGACTCCAACCTGTCCGATTACGACGCTCGAGCTTCGGCCAAAGACGTAGTTTCGTTTTCGCATTGGGATTGCCGTTCGTATTCTAGTCGCGTTGGACACGTTCCAGACATCTGCTACGCCGTACAAGGAAGGAATGGCTGTTACACCGACGCATCGCAGGCGATCAAGAGTCCGAACACAAAGACGAGAAGCTGCATGTGTAAAGCTGATGTCAGTCCACGTGAACCGCAACGAGACAGGAAGGACATGTTGGAAGAGGACTAGGAAATGACTGACAAGCAACATGAATGCCATGATTGACCAGATCTCCCACCCGCCTGCCCATACTCTCCCCCGAGCCATGTTCATTTGCTGACGCCAGAACCTATGGCCGCCAATAAGGATCACGACAATCGCGGCGCTCTGAAATAGAGCCGCTAATGGTCTTCCGAGGGCGTGATAGCCAAATACCGGATCCGGGTGCTGCGAATGTTGTAGACTAAAGAGCTGAGCGGTGACTATTCCTAGCATCGAAAGGGCGAGCGATGTCCGTTGGTAGGCAAGAAAGGTTCGTTCATTGGCTGCATCTGAAAGTCAATCGTCTTGTTCTACTTTTGGAACCTGGGCTGTGATGCGCAGTGTGATTTGCTCCAGACGGATATTGAGTCAACATTGCATACCAAGGTGATCTCTGCATTCCGCATGAGGAACATGCAACTGAATATAATGCTTCCACCATCTCCTCAAGCCATCAAATATGGACGGCTCTCGATTGGAATTTCCAGACGTCGTATCGATCGATGCTGATCTCTCGATTGTTCCTGGAAATCCATGCTGCAGACGCCCAAGTTCAGTCGCTTCGCGTTCGTCGCTATTGTTGTCGTGCGGGATAGAGGCTTCCGGGATTGTTGTGTTTTCGCAACGGGCGGGTTTTGACATGTTATGTTGTCACGGGTGGCATTGTGGACGGATAGCAGGATATAATCGCAAATCACAAGATCGTGTTTGATACCGAAAGCGATAGCATTGAGCAGTTCAGGACAGGGTGGAAGATAGGGCGAGCACGATGCTTGGCAGGGTCTCTGACTGACAAAATTCATGAGGAGTGCTAGTAACATTTCATTTTTTAGGTATGATCATAACCCCACCGGCGCTCAAACGCCGAACCAGGAAGCAAGGTTGGACAGGAAAAATAAATCCTTATGCACAAGAAATCAAAGTGCCGTCTACGATCAGACTTGCTCAAAAGAAAAACATCCAGGTCTCATTAAAAGGTAGTGTGCGGAGCATCATCGTTTACATGACATAAAGCAGGTTCGTATCTGTGAAATGTTAGAATAGAGCCGATATCTGAAGACCAACGTGTAACTTACCAATGGGATGACTGGCACTCAGTTGAGGCTTCTGAGAGTATTTGCCTTGAAGCTCGTCACGAATACTGTTGAGCAGCTGGACGTAACTCTGTTGAGGGTTCTTCCTCAAAGCACCGATAAAGGCCCAAGACATGGCACCAGTCGCTTGGCCAGCAATGGAGGCATCTGCCGAGGTCTGGTCATCCTTGCTGCCACTCCACATGATGACATCTCCTGGAGAAGTCTTTGTGCGTTTGTTGGCTTCGTAGCTGTCATTGCCCTTGGTGACCTTCTTAAACAAGCCCATAGCAGTGCTAGCCATGCCGCCAAGGTCACCACGAGCATAGCTGCTAACAATGCCCAAAAGGCCTTGGCCGGCTTCTTTTGCAAGGTTGGGCTCCTTGAGTACACCCTGCGTGGAGTAGATGTATGGAAGGTCCAGAGCAGAGCCCGAGTGACACGAGTCGAAGATAGCGGTCAGACGCACACCGGGAACGAGATTCTTGACCATGATGAAGTGCATCTCATCATCAACAATATGGCCCGCTTGACGGAAGTCGACAGGGTAGATGACCTCGTCATAGCCGTCTTCCTCGTCACCGTCGATATCTTCTGTTTGACCACCGTGACCTGGAAAAGTAGTTAGCACATGGAACTGAAGGCTGTTTTGATGGATTGTTCTGACCGGAGTAGTGGAAGAAGAGCGAGTCATTGGGCTGGGCGTCCTTAACAAGCCAGTGCATTGCGCGCAGGATGTTCTGTTTTGTAGGCTGGCTCATAGGGTTCTGCTGGTCGTCGGTCAAGGTGACCATATCCTCGCGCTTGTAACCGAAGGCCTCCATGAGGTAGTTGGACATGTTCTTAACATCGTTGATGCAACCTCGGAGCTGACCTTTCTGGCCAAAGTAGTTGATACCGATCAGCAAAGCCTTGCGCTTGCCGGTACAGTTTGAGTATTGGAACGAGTAGCCATTGGGAGCGCCGTGACCAAAGTTTTGCATGCCCTGGGGCGGGGGTGGAGGAGCGCCTTGACGGACGTTGTGTTGTTGGTAGACATTCTGGCCGCTGGGCAATTCTGGGTGGACAGTCAGTCGCTAGTCATGGCACACAAGGATAATCGAGAGGTATTACGTGGTTGGGGAGCGTAGTGCTGAGCGGGCGGCTGCGAGTAGCCTCCGTACTGCGGTTGTTGCGGAGGAGGTTGCTGGTATCCGCCGTATTGTGGTTGCGGTGGAGGAGCACCATATCCTCCGTACTGAGGCTGACCGTAGCCTTGCTGTTGAGGGCTGCTCTGTGTCAGTCACTCGGCGCAGCCATAGGTCATGGCAATGTACTGACGGATACTGCTGCTGGGGAGGATATCCTCCGTACTGTTGCTGCTGAGGCGGCGGTGGCCCTTGGCCGTAGCCTCCCTGGCTATGGTGTCCTTGGCCGGGATAGTACGACATGTTTGCGAGAAAATATCGAGGTCAAGTCAAGGATTGACAAAAGATGCGATAGGTAGTCGGGTAGGTTTGTTGGCGGGAAGAGCTCTCAATCACGCGGGGTTTCGAAAGAGCGCTGACGCGTTTGGGTTATTGCGACAACTTGGCGCTTCCGTCAACTGCCTGTGAATGCTGGAAAGTGGATTTCGATGATTCAAGAGAGCGAGATGGAAGCCGTCTTATCCGTCGACTTCTCTCGACAATGTTTCCAATCTTTCAGGGTCTCTGCTTTCAGGAAAAGCTCAGCGAATGCACGACTGGGGAGGAGATGATGTGGCGCTCTGCTATTCAAGAACCCACAAACGGCCTCGTGCTCAGAGTTGTCTTTGACTCTTTGCAAGAACCATAGAATTCCCCACGTCTGACCGGCCGGTGACATCTGCCTCTGCAATGATCGGCCACCATCAATCGGTTCCCCTCGTCGATCCAGCCTTATCAAGACCTACCTCCATAAAGAGCTCCTAGATTCAGTCAAGTTGCTCTTCGAATCTGGTATCCTGCAAGCCACCGATCAGTCCTCAACCCTATTCAGGACTTGACGCCTATTTGCTTTGCTCTTACTTGTCTCGTTAGCCCGTCCCGCTGTATCTCGGCGACCCCGACGTCGGCCACATGGTCATGAACAGCCCTGTGACCCTTGAGAAAACGCCTCGACGGCCATGCTCTCTGCCGTTCTCCGTTCCTTAAAACACAACACGTCTAACCTCACTTAGGATAATGATTCTAGTGGCGCTCTGCTGCACAGCCTATAGAAATCCTTCGTCTATCGTATACGTCTAACGTTCAACCTTCGATACTTCTGTTTGGCTTCTCTGGCTCGAAGTATCCGTAGGACATCTATTCCTTCGGCAAGAGATGCTGCTTCTAATCTGCTGGTGCGCGGAGTCTACCCCTCACATATCATGACTCTGTCGAATCTGCATTGCTTGCGACTTGTCCAACGGCAAACACTCGCTCGCACCACTCTGCGAACACCTCGCTGGACCATACTTCGTCTTCTCTTCCTTTGCCTTTCTTGCTGACTTTGCCAATCTTGGCCGCTCCTTTGCCCTCGCTCAACTTGTCCATCCATTCCTCGTAGGCTAGTATGACTTGGTCTCGCACTGCTGCCACAAGCGTCTCCCTTGTTCTAACATCCTGGATGTACTCATCTAATTTCGACCTCAAAGATGCCACCTCCTTTTGGGTAACCGTGCGAACCTCAGCTGTGACATGACTCGGTTCTGGTCCTGATTCTTTCCTTGGCGCAGCGAGTGGTGTCGTGATAGGACCCACAAAGCTGTTAACAAAGTCGTTGATCACTGCTCGTAGTCTTCCATCAAGTTCTGCTTTGGCGTCGAGCATGTTTTCTACTACTCGTGGCATCAACCCTCCAGCTGCGAGCTTCACCCAACTGGCTGGGTTCCATAATCCACCTCGCTCGCGAAGTTCATAAAAGGTGTTGGTGACGGATGAGAAATCAAATGTCACTTCCGGCGTAACAAATTCGATGTCGAATGCCACAATCTGTTGCTTGAGACGCAGGAGGTGGGCGATTAGGAAGAGGTTTGCGTCAGCAGGTGAAAATTTTGTTGCGATTTGGGAGGCTGCCCATGCCAGAGAGACAGTTGTGCTGTGAACGATGTTATGTGCCAAATCGTCAAACACGGTTGACTATGTAACGTCAGTCATTGTCATGTACTCAGGAATACTGCACCACTCACATTGACTAGTCTGTAGATACGACTCAGGAGCCAGACTGCTTTTCGCAGTGTCGGGTACCAGACTATACCTTGCTTCTCGCTTGTTGTCCATGATGGCTCAAACATGTCGGCGGCATCGTCTTCTTCCCCAGGTGATTTCACCTGCGTGGTGTTCGTCGAGTTCTTGCGACCGGAAAGAGCCACTCTTTTTCCATCAGCGTTGGTTGTTGATGGTCCCCTTCCTTGTGATGGGTAATCAAGGTCTTCCGGTTTTGGACGGTAATTTTCAATTTCGTCCCTCAAAACAGCCAAAGCAAGGAAGACCAACCGACTTTGAGCGTCTTCTAAGGCAGGTTTGACCAAGGCAGCAAAATCCAGACTCCTCTTTGCTGAATCTATGTCTTGATACTCGGCATCATCGTCTTCTTCGTCGATCATGAAGCGTGTTTGAATAAAAGTACAAAGCTCGCATAGTTTGGGTATGCGAGTCTCACGGATGGTTCTAGGGCGGAGGTGGTCATATAAAGGCTCGCACATTGCCTCTAAGAACTCATATACACCGCCGTCTCCAGAGAACCAGTCACTCCAGAGGTCGTATTCATCAAGGCAAATACCTCTTACAAAGCCGATGGCGGTCCTAGCAAAGGTTACCAGATCACCCACAGCGTTGTCGACAGAAGCCATCTCGGTAAGTTTGCGGGTGATGATAGGAAACATAAGACGACCTCTGGTAGCCGAATAGCTCTGGTGCAGCTCGTTCATAAGACTTTGGTATTCTGCTTCGCCGCCTTGATCTGCACCTGCGGGCAAGACGGCACGCTTTTGTATCTCCAGACCAAGCTGTTTCAATTCAGGAGCATCGACCCGGAACTTTGAGTACAAGAGTGCGGTTTGTGTAGTATCGTTTAGTTGGCGATCTGCAATACGTTGCGAGGCATCGGCGGCCAGGGCTCGTAGAGAGTTTGTGAAATAGACACGGATGAGGGTAAGCGCGCGGGTCAGAAGGAGACGATATCGGGAGCGGTATGTGGGAGCTTCGCGGTGAGTGGGCTAGAAGAGTCAGTAAAGGCATGCAAACGGAATGGCTAGACGTACATGTGCCTGCATGTATTCCAGACATTGGTCGAGGTTCGTGAGCATGTCGGGGAACTCTTTGGCGCGTACAAGGTTGGCGGCACCGGGAGCGTTCAATCTGCGGGTCATGGGTTCGAGGTAGGCGTAGTATTGGAGATTGTGGTTCATATTCTCAGCCAGATCCGTGATGCGACGCTGTTCGGTCATGAGTGACTCGCATTGGGCCTGGAAAGCCGTCGTCTGCTCATCTACCGCCTTGAACGAGTCGGACAGAGAGGACAAAAGTGTCAATGCATCGGCGGTACTCTCCATCAGCGAGTCGAGATGGTGTTGGGAGAGCTTCAGCTGGTTGTAGTATAGCGAGTAGTCGTCGTGGCTGGCATTCAGGAGGTCGTCTTCCAGAGCATCATACCACTCTGCAAAGTCGAGGTTCGATTGTAGGACATGTTTGGGCTTCGGTGCCGACGTCAAACTGTTCTTGCGCAAGGATGTGGGAGCGGTGGTGGCATGCGACGTGGATGAAGCGGCATTGTGGAAGTCGGTGTATGAGAGTGCTCTCTTGACAAGTGTCGGCGGGGGAGGCCCCTTCTTCAGAGAGTTGTCGTCTTCTTCGGTGACACGAGGCAGTTGGTCTGCAGCATCATCAGCCTGGCGTGCTTCCTGTTGACAGCATCAGACGGGCACTCGGCTAACATACCATGACCAAGTGCATGAGCATGAGCAGCTTACATTGGGCTGTTGCAGGAGGGATGCTCGCCGCCGATGTCCTTGTCCTGGACTCTTTTCGGATGACGCTGGCGTGCTTGGTACAAACGACGTGTACCAATCGTCCATCATCTTGGGCAGGAAATGCTGTTGACAGAAGACAACAAGTCGCTAGCAACAGACCAATTGGCAATGCCCAATCTGGACCAAGGGACCCCATCGTCGGCGGGCTTGGCTATCGCGTGTCTGGCTCGGGCCGATCTGGCCGAAGGGTCTCTCGGGCCCGCAATCGGTAGCGTCATGGACTCCAGTGGCTGTCCAATGATAGACGAGTAGCTGACAGGAAGCATTTCTCTTGTTGCTCAAGAGTTGACTTTGTTCTAGCCAGAGTGCTTTCGCATACCCATCAATTGACCACCAAAATGCTTCCCAAGACGAGTGTACCCAAGCTGACGTCCCTCCCGACGGCCAGGGCTGCTTCGACCAGAGCTTCGATGCAGTCGCGATACAACACCAGAGTCCTCTCCGCCCCCGCCTACGCCGCCAAACGACAGCAACATTTCATGAGATCTTTGGCCGTCATCACCGCTGCCGCCGGCGTTGCCACTGTCTCTCAATATTACCTCAACGACGGTCGTCTACTCAATACTGCATACGCCGAAGCCCCATCTACCGCCGAGCAACCCGACATCCAATTCGAGAAGCCCCGCAAGCGTGGTGCAACAAAAGAGGAGAATAGAGATTTGGTCAGCTCGCAGCACCTTCAGGTCAGGCGATCATGGGAAAATCCTGGTGTCTATGCATGCGGTTCCAACGCAGGCAAGGTCGTTGCTCCAGACTCGGATGCTTCGTACATCAAGACGCCTCGCCGCATCAAGTTCTTCGATGGAAAACTGCTTCGTGATATTAAGCTGGACAGCAATCTTGGTGCTGCCATAGACGAGCAGGGTAACTTGCTGCAGTGGGGCGTTGACTACTCAAAGGAGACCACCCAGCCAACTGTCACACTCAAGGGTAAGAACCTGATTTCTTTGGCTATTTCCAAGGATCGCATCATGGGCCTTTCCTCGTCAGGAAAGGTTTACTCCTTGCCTGTCTCTGCTGCCGATCAGGCTGCTGGTACCAAGCCCAGCGAGAGCTCTTGGATCCCCTTCTGGTCGTCCACCTCTCCCATCAGCTACCGCACAATCACTCCATCGGATATGAGCTATAGTGAGAAGGTTTCGACCATTGCCGGTGGTCAGGAACATGCTCTGCTGCTCACCTCCAAGGGCCGTCTCTTTTCGATGGCATCCGCCACTGACGCCTTCCCTACAAGAGGTCAGCTAGGTGTTCCTGGTCTGTCTTGGGACAACAAGCCAACAGGCCCCTACTACCAACCCCATGAATTGACCACCCTTAGAGGCTTCAACATTGCCAAAATCGCCTGTGGCGATTACCACAGCATCGTAGCCGATACCGATGGCCGTGTCTTCTCGTTCGGCAACAACACCTCCGGACAGTTGGGTTTCGACTACAATACCGAGTCCGCAGTCGTCGATACACCTGCCTTGTTGCCACTTCAGAAGCTTTACGCCGGCTCGTCTCAGACTCCGGTGGTAACATCAGTAGCCGCGGGTGGCGCCAACTCATACCTGACTGTGGATGCGACCAAGATAGCTTCACGCAACTCTGATGGCAGACACATTGGCAGAGTCACTGCTGATACCTTCGCATGCGGTGCTGGCATCTATGGTTCGCTTGGAAACAGCCGCTGGACTCACGTTCAGGGAACCCCTACCAAAATTCCTGCCTTGTCTTCGCTGTTCGAATATGACGAGACGAACAACACAGTTATCCCCATCAGACTGGCCAGCATTAGTGCTGGAAACAAGCACGTCGCGGCTGTTATGAACAATGTCGCCCACACTGGAGCTTTAAACACAGATGGAGAAACATACTGGGGCAGAGACATTGTTTTCTGGGGAGGTAACGAGCACTACCAATTGGGAACTGGCAAGAGGAACAATGTCAACACACCCACATACATCCAGCCTCTCGACCAAGTAGCCGAACGCAAGGTCAGAGGTAAGGAGGAACACAGGTTTCAGATCACCCCTAGAAGTACCGTACGTCTGGCCGATGGCAGAAAGGTCAGCATGGAGCAGCGTGTGGAGTGCGGCAGAGACTGCACTGCCATATACTCCGGCGTTTAGGATGGAGTGCGACCTCTCCAGTCCAACCTCCTTCTCTTCTTGCCCTTGTATCTTGTAAATATTGGCGTGGGTGTTTTTCTAGGCATGGAGTTGGTGGTAATGACTTGTCTGTAATTTTAGTCTAGACGTGTATAATCATGATCATCTCTCTTCCATCGACGAACGAACTTAGTCGTTATACTCGAGAATGTAAATGTCCGTGTTTGGACACCGCAAGAAAATCGATTCCCTACAAATGTACTCCACAGTCATAAACCGCCCTCTGACAAGCTTCCAACTCTCTCACCTTCATGTTTCCTCACTCTTTTTCAACCCTTCACGCAACAAATCCGGTTCAACACCATAATCCTCAAAAAAAAAACATGAGGGCTGCGAAAAACTCAAGGGTGTGCACAAGATGCAAAGCCACAAGCCATTCACACCGCCAATCTCTGTCTGCGGCTCAGACGTTCACAATCACATGCGAGCGATACGAAGACACAAGCCTGCCTACCAGTTGCGCGGTGTTTCACAAGCTCGAAATGAAGACTTATCGTGGCGTTGCTTGATTGAACTTGGCTCTTATTATATTGAATCTCAGACGAGCTGGTATTGTGCTTTGTGGCTCATGGCCTAGATTATCTTCCAGAGGCTTCCTCGCATGCGGCATGAGCGATAAGGCGACATCTCTTGCAGCGCATCAAGCGAGCCTGGCCGCGACCACATACAGGAGATGGTTCTATGCAGCAAGGAGGAGGAAACAGTCTTGCAGTTCTTCCTTCCTTCCCCCACTGACTTGAACCCTTGTAGACCCCCCCTTCTCCGAACTTGGAGCTTGATCACCTTCCTCAATGAGCTTGGACTGATCTTCATCCCGCTTCGAACTTCGAATATACATGGTGTCACTCCTGCCACCCGATCATTGAACATCTTGCGATTCCGAACTCCCGCCTATCATTGCATTAATATAGTCAAGCCGACATTTCCCTCACGACTATAATTGGCTAAACCGGCATTCTACTGCCGTTTGAACTAATTCTACATTATCTGGAGCTGCCGCCTATCTTGTGACCTATCCAATCAAGATACATATTGATATACCTACCACTCTCCACCCATGCAAGTCTGTGAGACGCCCTATGGTGCATATGCATAAATTGACAAGCTCGCCCACCCTTCCAGTTGCACAATATCAGTTCAGCTTCCACGATATACAATCATCTCGAGTCTTGCGACCTACTTGCAAGTAGTGATGACACAGCCAGCAGCTCTCGCTCTAGACGGAGGTGATCCGAGGATGAGCGTCACAGGGCCAGGCATAGCAGAGCTTCCGACTCCAGCTCTGAGGAATTTGCACGACCCTTCCGTGACCATCGAGGAGTATTTTTACTGGGCCAAGATTACTCGCGAAGAGGAGAAGAGTATCCCAAAGGTCAACAGCCCGGTTAGAAAGCTTCTAAGCTCTGGCAAGCGCGACACTGCCTCTACCACTATCACTGGCACCGATCCTACCAAATCTGGCTTATCGAAACAAGCATCAGGAGGAGCCACCAACGAAAAGCTCAGTGACTCCGAGACTCCTCGTAACGCCCGACCAGTCGCTGTGACAGAGGACGAATGGCTGAACGCTGCCAGAGCTGCCCGAACGGCTACGTGGGGATCAATCTTCTATCTCATCACGACTGACGTTCTCGGTCCCTATTCTGTCCCGTATGCTTAAGATACAATTTACCGAGTTTAGCTATCTGACATACTTTGTAGTTGGGCCTTGGCTCAGATGGGTTACGGTCCAGGTATCGTTCTATACACCATCTTCGGAGCTCTAGCAGGCTACACTGGCTGGCAGATCTGGCAAATGTTTCTGCAGCTGGACTCCAACCAATATCCTCTCAAGACTTTCGGCGACATCGCCTTCCGAGCCTACGGCAAGGTCGTGCGACACTTGGTAAACATCCTTCAAGCCATACAACTTATCTTCAATGTCGGAGTCATCATCATCCAGAACGGACAAGGGCTGTATCAGATTAATGGAAACATCTGCTACATTGTGGTACGTGATCCCGAACAAGCTTTTATTGCATATACCACCGCATCAAGCACACCCGACTAACCGTTCTCCCGTCGCAGTGCTGTGTTATCTGGACTGGTAGGAGTTGAGATCCTCTACCACTGATACATACTGACGTGTGCTGTAGCTTGCGGTTTCATACTTGGCCAAGTTCGTACTCTGCAGAAGTATGGATGGATTGCCAATTGCGCTGTCTGGCTCAATGTCATCGTCATGATTCTCACAATGGCTGTTGTCACTCATTCACATCCCAACTACGAGGCCGCAGGAAAATCTAACGGCGTCGATATTGGTCCACCTGCACCTCCAGTCATGACTACAGCAGGTCCGCCAGCCACTGTGGAGTTCAGTGGGCAAATTGTAGGCTTGATGCAAGCTGTGTATTCGTATGGTGGCGCTATGCTTTACTGCGAATTCATGAGCGAGATGCGAAAGCCATGGGACTTCTGGAAGGCGCTAGTCATCGCGGAGACCTTCATTTATGTCGTCTACCTGTTCTTTGGCATTTTCGTCTACTCATACCAGGGACAATATACCATCAACCCAGCCCAACAGGTAATGAGGGACGAGAACACTCGAAATTGCAGTCATGCTAACCTGTACTAGGGAATGTTCCCACACGCCGCCCTGACCGCAGGCAACATCATCGCTTTCGTGACTGCTTTGATGGCAGCAGGTCTATATGGAAACATTGGAATCAAAGTCATGTATCAGAACATCTTCCAAGAGCTATTGGGCTTGCCTCCACTCACGTCCAGGGCTGGCAAGCTACTCTGGGCCGGCATTGTCCCTGTTTATTGGGGCATCGCCTTCCTCCTCGCAGCCGCCATCCCTCAATTCAGGTGAGCCATTTCTCTTACATCTCCAGACATCCTTCTAACACGTTCTCAGTGCTCTTTCTGGTCTCGTGGCAGCCCTCTGCATCCTCCAATTCACCTATACCTTCCCACCTCTCCTCATGCTCGGCGTCCAAATCCAACACGATGCCATCCGCCCTGAACAAGGCGAAGGCTTCAATCCTGCCACCGGAGAAACCATCCGTCACGATCACGGTATCAAGAGATGGGCTCGTGGTTTCATGGCTGGAAGGTGGTATATCAAGCTTTGGAATTTCGTCTTCTTTTTGGGAGCTCTGGTGACTTGTGTGTTGGGGACTTACTCTAGTGTCAAGAGTATTGTCGATGCTTATGCTTCGGGCTCGTCGACGGCTTTCAGTTGTGTTGGACCGGTCTGATGGTATCGAACTCGATGTCGGATGTGTGTGGTCGGGGTGAACAAAGGGTCTACCTAATCAACGAATCTGGAAAATTATTGTTTGTTATTCCCTATTGACAGCAACGCCTCATCACGCACCGGAGATTAGGAGGTTGAACGGACAATCGCCTAGTCACAGCAGTACATGACATATTTTACTCGTTTAGTCGTCGATCGCTCAGATATTCCGAAGACATGAAAGTGACAGGGTGACCCGCCCAACATTCAACCAGCTATAAACAAACTGACACGCTTTTTACAACGAATGAAAACCCGCTGTATCTCCTTGACGTTGAACTCCCTTGTTAACAAAGAGCACCATCCCATTACAGTACAATCTAAGATCAAATTAACAACACATTAAGAGTCCATCATCGTCATCAAAGCCATACATCCCTCATCCTCCCTACCACTCCTCAATCAACTCATTAATCCTCCTACTCCCACCCCTGACCGCAGCCCTCGCACTCTCCGCCCCAATGACCGGCAAAGTCTTGACCCCTTTCTCCTTGAATTTATCCGGCACGACCTTCGGATCCAACAACCCCACCTGCATCAACACACTAGCTTGATCCCAATAAACCTTTTCACTCTCCAGCACTCCAGCTTTGACACATACTATACTGACCAACACGACTTCTATACGTCTGTTCGTAGCAGGAATTCCAGGCAACAACCAAGGGATCACTTTGTTGTGGTTGAAGGAGAGGGAGAGTTCGTCTACGATGCGATCGGTGCCTATTGTGCGGGAGAGCAGTTTCGTGTTCAAAGAGGCTGGAGAGGGTTGGAAGAATTCGGTGTAGAAGTCTGAAAGGTCTTCGGGGTGGAATCCACCGGTTAGGGTTGGTGCGTGTAGGATTGCTGGGTTGGAGCTGGTGATTGCGAGGGCTTTTGAGATGTTGCCTTTTTTGGTGTCTGGTGAGATGAGTGCGAGGTTAGCGCTTGTGTGGATTGAGATGATGAGAAGGGGGTAGGAGACTCACGGTCGACATGTTCATCTCGGATCCTCTCGATTTCGGAAGCCATTCGTAAAGCCTTCTTGACCACACCTATACTTCTACTCCAAGCCACACTGGCAGCAGCGGCGTCGTATTCGTCCAAATCGCTCTCTGCAAATCCGGCCTCTACACCATCATATTTGTATGCTTGAAAGCTCAGCTTCAATTGTCCGCCGAGTCCCAATCCATCGCCTGTGCGTTTTGTGATGATCTTTTTCTTGCCCTGTATGCCCAGCACTTCTGGCGTTCGTATTACTTTGATCTCGTTGCCTACTAGGTGGACGAGTACGGTGGTGTGCATGGGGTATCGTGTTTGTTGCGGGTCTGGGATGCGGGATGGGTAGTATGCGACGAGAGCGGCTAGACGGGGTGTTGAGGTCACGTAGGCTTCAAGACAAGTACTCGCTGCATCGCCGAATGCTGTTATAGACCATCGTTAGTGATCATCCCCATCCAATGGTGTGGCAGAGGAAGGAAAAGAACGAACCTACTATAGCATATTGATCGCTCAACCCCAGCGCATGATCAGGAGCAGCATGCATCCTAGCCACATAGTCTTTTCCTCCATCGCCATAAGGAACATATGTCGTTACGAAGCCTTCACCTTCCCATGCCGCGATAATCTCTTCGTCAAAGTCGTCTGTTTCCGCTGTAAGGAAGATGTATGGTGTCTTTCGCACGTTGAGGTGTTTGAGGAAGGGTTCGCTAGCGTCTACTCTCGCCGTCATTGTCGCTTGGATGTCTTGTATATGTGTAGGATAATTGGAAGGAGAAAAGATGGGGGAGGAGGAAGTGATCCTCTACGTAACTTCACGCGACTGTCTTTCCCTGCCTTGTTTTTTCCCTACCTTCCGAGTTTCAGTCGAGAATATCTTTCTCTTGTCTTCGAACGAGCAAGTCTGGCTGGAGATGGACTGAACATTTCAGTGCTCCCGGTCTGACAATTCTCTACCTATACTGTTCCCATGGTCTTACAATGGTTTGTGTAATCGCGACAATATAGCAAGAATCACGGAGGCAGGAGCGTGGCAGGCCGGTGACGTGTCTTTGCAGATCTCTCGAGAGCGCTCGAGCACCAGCCGCACCCAAAACACCGATATCTCCGACAGAGAAGTACCAGCTGCCAACACCATCGATCTCGCAATAAATTGCAGATGTCTCGTGTAAAGCGATGAATAGAAACCAAGGAGACAATCCTGCCCACAATGTTCAAGAATACGAGGGTCAATGGTTGAGAACCACTCTTGTCCAATCCATCCGTTGAAGGCTCGCCAGGGTCGTCTTTGCTATCGCCGTTGAATGAACTCGTATACAAGCTGACAGGCGTATACCCTGCATCATGCGTGATAGTTGCATATGACAGCTCAGCTCTCTGCATCATGCAGGTAGCTTTGAAACCCTCTCCTCAACATCAATCCATCAACATCCACATTCCCAGAAGTCTGGGAAAGGATTTTGGTTGAAAACGGCGGTTAGCATTGTTGAAGTTGATGCCTGCATGTTGCTGTGCCACCTGGATTGTTCATCGCTTTTGCATTGTCGGGGCGAAGCGGGAAGGAACCACCTTGATGTCTTGGGAGATAAGGTAGCTGAGCTCGCCTTATCGGTTGCCGAGAAGCTGGAAGGTAAACACGAACATGAAGAAAAGTGTAGTAGCTATTGTTACAGTACAATACAATATAGATGGAAAAGCTGAGAATTTACTTGCAATAACCTGATCAAGCAAAGCAAAGAAACTCCTGAATGCCTAATTACAAAATGTGGTATTGTGTTTGCGCCCCCTTCGTACACCCTTTATAGTGTGTTTATCAAATCGAACATCAAGACCTTATTCCTGAGAAATTCCTCATTTATTGCGAAGAAATGGCAACAGCGATGACTTGAGCATCGCTGTGGCTGATGCTGACAGTGGTGTTCTTGATACCCTTCTGCTCAGCAGCGGTCTTGGCATCACCGTGAAGCTATTCAATTGTTAGTCTGGGATTATGTTTTGAACAAGCATGATTTCAACTTACGACAACGGTAGGAGCACCGCTCTCATCGTTCAAGATCTCAATATCCTTCAGAGGAGCTCCAGCACCGCGCGAGGCGACCTTGAAGCTCTTGAAGACAGCCTCCTTAGCAGACCACTTGCCGGTGAAGCTGGCCTGAGGGTTGGGAGCCTTGCGGCAGTAGTCAATCTCTTGCTGGGTGAAGTTACGCTCGAGGAAGGTCTCGTTCTCGATGTTGACGGCATCGATGGTCTCCACGTCGACACCAGGGCTGCTGTTGCCGGAGGAGTTGACCTGGAGCAATGACTCGACCATCTGGGTGGTGTTGGCATCACGGACAGGCTTTTGGGGCTTGGCCGAGAAAGTGAGCTGAGCGGTCTTCTTGTCCTGAGAAACGCGAGCGCTAGGGTTCAGGAAGACGGTGCCCATCTGGTCGTCCTCGTAAGGGGACTTGTCCTTGGCACGGAACATGGTGTTGTTGATGAGACCGTCGTGGAAGTAGCGGTAAGCCTTCTTCTGTCTGGCCTCAACCTTGGTCTTGTAGGTCTGGAACTCAGCCTGGTCAAGGGTGGCGAACAGGTACTTGGGGTGGATACCAATGGCCTGGGCACCCTTCTGACCGAAACCGAAAGAGGTGACTGAGAATGCCTTGATACCATCGGTCTGGATGGTTCTGCTGGGGTAGACAATGTAGTCGAACTTCTCCATGATCTTGTCGACGTTGTCGGCGTTGCGGTTACCAGGGACGATACCAGTATTGAGGACCTGCAGACAGCCGTTGAACATCCAGGCACCAGCAGCACCCTTGGGATGACCAGTGAGGTACTTCTGGAAGATACCGAGAAGAGCATTGCCCTTCTTGCGGCCAAGGTGTTCCATCTGTTGGCAGATGACATCGGACTCGTTCTTGTCGTTGGCGACGGTCGAAGTACCATGGAAAGAGGCGACGTCGAGGTCGTCGATGGTCAGGCCCCAAGTGGCAAGTGCACCACGGAGAGGAGCGATGCGAGGGTCCTGCTTCCAGAAGTTGTTGCCGAGGCTGTACAGGGCATCCTTCTCTTGACGCTTGGCCTCACGCTCAATGAACTTGGCTCTGTCCTCCATGTACTCAGTAGCATTGAAGTCAGAGTCCTGAGCTTGCATAGCGGAAACCTCTTCTTGCAGGTACATAAGCTCGGACTCTTGCCATGTCTTGATGTTCTTTCTGCGCGCGTCCATCTGTCTCTTACGGTACTTGATGTCAAGCAGAGGCGAGGCGAACTTAGAGGTCTCCTCGCGAGCAGTGGTCAAGACACCCTTTCCGGGGGCAGGAACGGAGCGACCAATCTTGTCAGTGGCAGTGGCAGTGAAGCCAAGGACACCGTAAATTGGGACACCCATGTCAAGAGCAAGTCTAGCATCCATGATGACTTGCATACCGCAACCTTGGGATTCCATGAATCCGTTTCTGGTAGTAGTAGTAGGTCTTGACATCTCCTTGGGAGTACGGCCGTGTGCGAACTCATCCTCGGCGTTGCTAGTGGCCTTCATGTTGGCGAACTCGTAGGAGCCCTCCTCTTGGAAGTCATCGAAGCCACCAACGAAGCACATTCTGGCCTTACCCTCAACAATGGTGTCGTAACCAATGTCGATAGACTCAACGGCAGTAGCGCAAGCACCCACGGGGGTCTTGATGGGACCGGTCGAGGACATCAATAACATGTTAACCCAAGCGGACATGGTGTTGATGAAAGACTCCTGGAGAATATCCTTTTGGAGAGGCTTGTCCAAGAAGCGGTCCTTGTACATACCGCGGAGGGCGGTAGTACCACCGATACCCGAACCGATACAGTTACCGACCTCTGAGATGTGGACGTACTTGTAGAACTCGTAAGGGTCAGTGATACCGGAAGACAAGAGAGCCTCGGCGGTGGAGACGAGAACGTAGAGGGTGACGGGGTCAACCTGGCCGATGATGTCCTCAGGAACACCGTACTTGCGGGCATCCCAGCCGGTGGGAATCTGACCAGCAACGAGACGGTCGAATCTGAGAGCCTTGGGAATGAGAAGAGTTGCACCCTTTCTCAGTCTGACCTGGTATTCACCAGACTCTGGGATCTCGAAGATCTCGACCTTCTCGCCGTGCTGGCGGCTGAACTCCTCGGCGGTCTCCTTGGAGGTCTCGAAGGGGTCAAGGTCCTCCTGGATCTGAATCTCTTGCAAGAGCTGCTTCTTGTTGGGATCGTAACCATTGAAGAGCTCGGGCTCGATGAGACGGATACCAGAGTGGTCGAGGATGTGCTTCTCGAACTTAGACTTGACGTCCTTGTCGTCGATGGGCTCGCCAGTCTTGGCATCGACCCAGCCAGCGTAGCTCTTACCCTTGAGAGGACCGTTGTGGTTCTTGATGAGACCCATGATCCAGGCCATCTCGACGCAACCCTCGAGAGAGAATTCGCCGTAGGCTTCCATCTCCCAACGAGTTCTGGAGTTACCCCAAGGACCAACCTCAGAGAAACCAGTGACAACGACAACCTTCTCAAGATCAACCATACCCTTGAGGTTCTCGTTAAGAGGCTTGACCTCAGACTCCCAGTCGGGAACCTTGGGGAAGTCGAACTTCAAGTTGGCACGAGGCTGAACAGTGACCTTCTTGTAGAGGGCCTCGTGGCTCTCACCGTGGACAATCTTGTTCTCGACAGAAGTTTCACGAGTAACAGCCTGGCGGATCTCACTGGTCTCGGTGACATCCTTGCGGAGCTTGGTCATCAAGTCCTTGAGGTTGGGCAGGAACTGAAGACCACCGTTGAGATCAGCAAAGACAGGCTCCTCCTGGCAGAGGTCAACAATTGCGGGACCCATAAGACCCAAAAGGTTGAAGGCCATTTCTTGCTGAGAGAAAGTACGAGCGCCAGTCTTCTCAACACCCTCAGCGACAATGTTGTTGCCGCCCATGAGACCGGTACCACGGGTCCAGCCAATGACTGCACCGCAAATGGTGAGGTACGAGCCCCAGCTCTCGGAGTGCCATCTGTTGAACAGAGTCTCGAGAGCGAGCTTGGACTCGGAGTAAAGACCATCGTTACCGAAGGTACCATGGTTGGGGGAAAGGGGAAGGATGACCTGGGCAGGGCGGGTCTCGAAGCCACGCTCGGCCTTCTGGGCCTTGACACCACCAAGCATTCTGAGCAAGTTGGTCAACATGATTCTGTGAGCCAGCTCGGACTTGGAGTCAATGTTGTCAATCTCGCGACCATTCTCGGGAATGGCAGCGAAAGGAACGATGTAGTCAAGATCCCATCCGAGACCCTTCTTCTCGTCGTAGATGTAGTCGATCAGAGCATTGACGTCTTGCTGACTACCTTGGTTGAAAGGCACAACGATAAGCTGAGAGCCCTTGGCACCGTAGCGAGTGTACATGGATTGGTAGTACTCGGTGACTTCACGAGAGAAACGAGAGGTGGTAACAACAACCTTGGCACCGCCGCTGATCAGGCCCTGGAGAACCTCAGCACCGATGGAACCAGCACCAGCACCAGTCATAAGAGCGTGCTTGCCCTGGAAAGTGACTCCAGACTTGGCAGCCTCCTCGAGACCCTCGAGGTAGACACCGGTGAGCTTCTTGCTGTATTCCCAACCGTGCTCTTCCTTACGCTTCAAGTGCAGGAAAGGAATGGTCTCGACCTTGCCAGCCTTGAGCTGACTGGCACGGCCCTTACGGCCCTTCTTGCCGCTGTCGCTAGGCATGATCTGGCCCTCGTTCATCGACAGCGAACGAATGATGTTGCCGTAAAGCTGCTTGATTTGCAGTTGCGATGACTTTGTGAGTTTGTGTTGCTGGCGAATGAGCTTGTAGACACGCTGGAGATCGTTCTGGACCTTGGTTCTGTTTCCGTACTCGGAAATCTTTCCTCCCTCAGCCATTTCGCGAACGTAGTGTTCAAGCTTGCGAACGGCTTGTCTAGGGGCCTCCTCGTAGTTCATGTTACCGCGAGCGTCAATGGTGAGTTGAGGAGCGGTAGGGACAGAGACGTCCTTGTAGACAGGGGCGATGTCGAGAACATCTTTGCAGTTGTCGATGAGTTGCTGTCCGAGTGCCTTGGCGAGCTCGTAGGTCTCACCGCGCTCAGTAGGGCAGTGGTCAATGTGATACTGCATGAAGTCGAGAAGCTTGGGGTTGGAGCGGTTCATGATTTGGATGCAGCGGCTGACAATTTCGCGATCGACGGCGGTCAAGCGACCGAAAATGATGTCGTAGTACATGCTAAGAGCGTCCTGGCGAGCCCAGTTCCACGACGAGTCGTAGACACGGGCCTTGAGGGGACTGAATGAGGGCTCGATACCGGCAGCGTAGAAGTCGCCGTGCTCAGCATTCCATAGGTCGAGCTGGGCCTGTAGAGCAGTGTTGTTGGATGCAGCAGTAACGGCAGCCTTGTCACCTGCGCGCAGGTCCATCTTGAGGTAACGGGCGAAGAGCTCGAGTTGTTGCTTGAACAAAGCCTTCTGGTCCTTGGTAAGGGCGTCGATTGCAGCAGGGTCCATCATCATGCCACCTGCACCGGCACCAGCGTCGCCGCCGGCTGTAGGTGCGGAAAGGCTGATACCGGCCTGACCAGCGTAGGCGTTTGTGACGGTGTCCAACCATGCCTTAGCATCGTTGTCAGAGCCAAGACGAGCCGGGGGTTCTTGGGTCAATGCCAGCAAGAGTACACCGTCCTGGCGACCAGATCCGAGGCCCCATCGTGTTTCGAGGTGCTTGCGGACTGCGGTAATGTTGAAGCCACCAGGCATCTTGGAGGAAACCATGCGGGCAATGAGCGAAGATGACTGCTTGCCGAGCTGACCATTGAAGGTCGCCTGCATAGCAGCACCCAGCTCGTCAAGGGGTGTGTCTTCCGGCTTTTCGGGTGTTGAGCCAAACTCTTTTCCAAGGTCTCCGAGGATTTCGTTTTGAAGTGTTGATTTACCTGCGAGCAAGTTGTCAGCAATTGCACACCATATGACACCAGAATTGAATCTACTCACCTCCAACCAAATCCTTGATGGCCTTGCTGAGGGGAATGTCCATCAAAGGCTTCTTCAGCTTCTGAGCGACCAGTGCCCTCACAATATCAACAGCACCAACGGGAGCATCTGCGACTGACGCTGCGGGGCCAGCACTCGGCGCGGGTGCTGCTGCGGCGACGGGGGCTGCGGGTGCTGAAGAGCCAGCCGAAGGAGCAGCGGCTGCAGCAGGTGCCGGAGCAGCCTCCTCCTCCTCGACGGGGTCAACATCGTAGTAGATGTCTTTTGCGTCCTTGTTGTAGCAGAGAATCTGTCTTTGCACGGATCTTGCGGCGTCGTAGGCTTCGTACTTTGAGGCGAGTGTGCGCTTGGCCATAACACCGAGGGTGTCTGCAGGACCAATTTCGACAATGCGCTCGGTGGTCTTCTCACCGAGGATGACATCTTGTGTCTCAATCCATCTCACGGGCGAGGCGAATTGGTATGCGAGGAGCTCGACAAGGAGCGTGTGGGCGAGCTCTTGCTCAACCTCGGGACGCATGTTGGCGAACCAAAAACAGCAAACAGCAAATTACAAAGAATGTACAATCGACGAGCGATTGAGAAAAGATGGATGGGGGAGGTCTCGCGAGGGAGTCGGAGCGAAACAAGACAGGAGAGGAAAGTGAGGAAACGAACAATGCTCGAGTGCGGAGAAGAAAGAAGGGTCAGCTAGCTTCAAGAGCTGCCTGGAAATGCTCGGTCACCTCTGATGATCAATCGACCGAGAAAAGGTCGAGAGGCAGAAAGGATGAGCAGGCTGTACCACGCACTGAGAGGCCGGTGAGGGGTCTTTGATACCAACGTGCAGAGGTTGAGATGAGGCACAAATAATGGCACGATTGCTGACTGGCCTCTTCAATTTTTTGTTGCAACTGCTGTCCTCTCGAGATTTCGGTGAGCGGTTCTGCCAAGCCACAAGTCTTAGAGCGCGGGAGCTAGTGAGGTAGAGATTGGAATTGAAGCTTCATCTAATTGTTGCTTTTCCCTGTGTCCTCGTCCCTTGACCCGACGGGGTCCTCTTCGATTGCGCCAGAGGGATGAGTAGATAGCCCGAGTCTTACACTGCAGCCTGTGAACACCCGGGGTGGTCCTGCATTGCATAATCAACTTGTTGAGTCAACAGAATACGTGAGCAGTTGGGGAGGAACATCTCGAAGCACGCGTTCCAGGTGCATATTACTTCGGCGCTAAAGGGCCCACCGGCAGAGAGCCGGTCACCCCTGGTCCGACTTGCCGCACGCTCAAACTTCACCTCCACCAGACAGGGCTCGAAGCTATCTCGTAAAGAAAGGCCACTTTCCTACACCACCCGAATCACCGCCTTCCTCAAGTCCCCCCTCCTTCACTCTTGCTCTCTCTGCTGTCTGGCATCTCAATTCCTCCTCAGACCAGCCCCTTCTCACTCCCTTCCAGTTCTACTCTCTTCCCCGAGGGAGTTAGTCTGTTCGCGGAGCTGTTGCCTGCACTTTAAGCTGCTTCGAATTTGTCACGAGGCCAATTGTCCTTCTTTTTCCCACCGCAACGTCGCTTTGTGAGATTTCTAGGTAAGCTTCATCCTGTCAATCGCTGCTGCCTTCGCAATTGCCTCTTCTACATCAACGTGAATGCGCCGTCGAGGTTGCCTCTCAAACCCCGGGCACCCCCGCATTAATTTCTCTACCATTTTTTCAACCTCCTGCTGACCAGCTGTTGTCTCCAGCGGTCACGTACACAGCCTTTCTTCATCATGTACGGCTCCGGCTCACAGACCGGTGTCTCGACACCCCGTTCCCAAGCTGTTTCTCGCCCTCTTATCCTTTCGCACGGCTCGCTCGAGTACTCGTTTTTAATACCCACTGCTCTCCACTTCAGCGCTTCGCAACTCAAGGATGCCTTCATCGCCACCCTCCCTACACCCACAGACGAGCTTGCTCAGGATGACGAGCCTTCATCTGTCACCGAGCTGGTAGCTCGCTACATTGGCTTTGTCGCCCGCGAGTGCGACGAGGGCGATGACCCGGGCTCCTTCGAGGAAGTGCTCAAGCTCGTTCTGCACGAGTTCGAGCGTGCTTTCCTCCGTGGAAACGAGGTCCACGCCATTGCTGCTTCTCTTCCCGGCATCTACGAGAAGAAGCTCGTTACCGTTCAGTCCTACTACGCCGCCAGAGCTGCCGTCAGCAGGCCGATCAAGTCTCACGAGTCAGCTCTTCTGCGCGAGGCTTCAGACGAGAACGCCTTCATCTACGCCGTGTTCGGTGGTCAGGGCAACATTGAAGAGTACTTCGAGGAATTGAGGGAAATCTACACCACCTACCCCTCATTCGTCGAGGACTTCATCACTGCAGCAGCCGCACACCTCCAGACCCTGTCCAGAGAGCCTCAAGTGGAGAAGCTTTACCCCAAGGGTTTGGATGTCATGCGCTGGTTGCACAACAAGGATGCTGAGCCCGACATCGACTACCTTGTCTCCGCACCCGTTAGTTTCCCCCTGATTGGTCTTACACAGCTCGCACACTTTGTTGTGACTTGCAGAGTCCTCGGTACTCACCCCGGAACTGTGCGCGACAGACTGAGCGGTACCACTGGTCACTCTCAGGGCGTTGTGACTGCCGCAGCCATTGCGGCCTCTAAGAGCTGGGAATCATTTGACAAGGCTTCAAGAGATGCCCTCTCCATCCTGTTCTGGATCGGCTCGCGCAGTCAGCAAGCATACCCCCGTACTTCGCTGGCTCCTTCGACTCTCCAGGACTCGATTGACAGCGGCGAGGGAACCCCCACCCCTATGCTTTCTATCCGTGACCTCACCCGTGAGGCTGTCCAGACACACATTGATGCCACCAACCAGCATTTGCCCGAAGACCGCCACATTGCTATCTCGCTGGTCAACAGCGCCCGCAACTTTGTCGTTACCGGTCCCCCCATGTCTCTTTACGGTTTGAACCTCCGCCTCCGCAAGGTCAAGGCTCCTACTGGTCTTGACCAGACCCGCATTCCCTTCACCGACCGCAAGGTTCGCTTCGTCAACCGCTTCTTGCCCATCACCGCTCCTTTCCACAGCAAGTACCTCTCAGAGGCCGATACCCACCTCCAACAAGATCTCAAGGATATTGTCATTCCTAGCTCTGACCTCGGAATTCCTCTCTTCGATACCAACACCGGCAAGGACATCAGCCAGGTCAGCGCCGACAACATCGTTCCTCAGCTTGTGCGCATGATCACCCAAGACTCAGTCAACTGGGAGACCGCAACTGTCTTCCCCAGAGCTACCCACGTCCTCGACTTTGGTCCTGGTGGCATTTCTGGTCTTGGTGTTCTCACCAACCGCAACAAGGATGGTACCGGTGTTCGTGTCATTCTTGCTGGCACCATGGACGGCACCAACGCCGAAGTTGGCTACAAGCCCGAGATCTTCGACCGTGACGCCGAACACGCTGTCAAGTACGCTGTTGACTGGGTCAAGGAGCACGGTCCCAAGCTTGCCCGTACATCCGCTGGTCAGACCTTCGTTGACACCAAGATGAGCCGCATGCTCGGTCTCCCCCCTGTCATGGTTGCTGGTATGACCCCTTGTACCGTCCCTACCGACTTCGTCTCTGCCACCATGAACGCTGGTTACGAGATCGAACTTGCTGGTGGTGGTTATTTCACTGATGCTAAGATGACCGCCGCCATTGCCGAGATTGAGAAGTCTATCCCTGCTGGTCGTGGTATCTCCATCAACCTGATCTACGTCAACCCTCGCGCTATGGCCTGGCAAATTCCTATGATCGCCAGACTTCGTGCTGATGGTGTCCCGATCGAGTCTCTTACCATTGGTGCCGGTGTTCCTTCCATCGAGGTTGCCAACGAGTACATCCAGACTCTTGGTATCAAGCGCATCGCCTTCAAGCCTGGTTCAGTCGAGGCCATTCAGTCATGTATCAACATCGCCAAGGCCAACCCTGGCTTCCCTGTCATCATGCAGTGGACTGGTGGTCGCGGTGGTGGTCACCACTCTTTCGAGGACTTCCACCAACCTATGTTCCAGATGTACGGCAGAATCCGCAAGTGTCCTAACCTCGTCCTCATTGCTGGAAGTGGTTTCGGTGCTGCCGAGGACACTTACCCTTACCTGACTGGTCAATGGGCAAGCAAGTTCGGCTACCCTCCCATGCCCTTCGATGGTGTCTTGTTCGGTAGTCGTGTCATGGTCGCCAAGGAGGCCAAGACCGCCCCTGCTGCAAAGCAGGCCATCGTTGATGCCCCTGGTCTCGACGATGCCGACTGGGAGAAGACCTACAAGGGAGCCGCTGGTGGTGTCATCACTGTCCGCTCCGAGATGGGTGAGCCTATTCACAAGCTCGCCACTCGTGGTGTCCTCTTCTGGGCCGAGATGGACCAGAAGATCTTCTCTCTTGACAAGGCCAAGCGTCTTCCAGAGCTCAAGAAGAACCGCGAGCACATTATCAAGAAGCTCAACGACGATTTCCAGAAGGTCTGGTTTGGTCGCAACTCTGCCGGTGTCTCCGTCGACCTCGAGGACATGACCTACGCCGAGGTTGTTCACCGCATGGTCGAGTTGATGTACGTCAAGAAGGAGAAGAGATGGATCGATCCTTCTCTCGCCAGACTCACTGCCGACTTCATCCGCCGCACTGAGGAGCGCTTCACCTCCACCGCCAACAAGAGCTCGCTCGTCCAGAACTACGCTGAGATGAACGAGCCATTCGCCGTGGTCGAGAAGTTCCTTGCTGCTTACCCTGAAGCCGAGAAGCAGCTCATCAACGCTCAGGATGTTCAGCACTTCATTCAACTTTGCCAGCGCCAAGGTCAGAAGCCTGTGCCTTTCGTGCCTGCTCTGGATGCCAGCTTCGAATTCTTCTTCAAGAAGGATTCCCTCTGGCAGTCTGAGGATCTCGCTGCTGTTGTCGATGAGGACGTTGGTAGAACTTGTATTCTTCAGGGTCCTATGGCCGTCAAGTACTCTACCAAGGTTGACGAGCCCATCAAGGATATCCTTGACGGTGTCCACGAGGGTCACATCCAGTACTTGCTCAAGGACGTCTATGGTGGTGATGAGTCCAAGATCCCCGTTGTCGAGTACTTCGGCGGTAAGCTTCTTGAGGCAAGCGATGAGATTGATGTCGAGGGCCTCACCGTGTCTGAGCTTAACAACAAGGTCATGTACCGCCTGTCTGCCTCGCCCAGTGCTACCCTCCCCAAGTTGGACTCATGGTTGTCTCTGCTTGCTGGTAAGACATACTCTTGGAGACATGCTTTCTTCACCGCAGATGTCTTCGTTCAGGGTCAGAGATTCTACACCAACCCCATGCAGCGCATCTTCGCGCCTGCCCCTGGTATGATGGTCGAGGTCAACTACCCCTCAGACCCTAGCAAGACTGTCATCACCGTCAAGGAGCCCACTTCGAGCGGCAAGTTCGTCCAGACTATCGAGATTGGCCCTATGGTCAACAACGAGATCAGCGTCAAGCTTATCGAGGAGCGTTCCGCCACTCACTCTGCTGTTGCTCTGCCCCTGAAGTTCACTTACCACCCTGAGACCGGCTACGCCCCTATCAGAGAGGTCATGGAGGCTCGCAACGACCGCATCAAGGAGTTCTACTACAAGATCTGGTTTGGCGATGCTGATGTTCCCTTCGACACTCCTGTCACCTCTCGCTTCGATGGTGGCAGAGCTACTGTTACTAGCGAGGCCATCAACGACTTTGTTCACGCAGTTGGCAACACTGGTGAGGCTTTCGTCGACCGTCCTGGCAAGGAGGTCTTCGCTCCCATGGACTTTGCCATTGTCGTCGGCTGGAAGGCCATCACCAAGCCTATCTTCCCTCGCAAGATTGATGGTGATCTTCTCAAGCTTGTCCACCTTTCCAACGGCTTCCGCATGATCCCTGGCGCCGCTCCTCTGAAGAAGGGCGACGTCCTCGACACTACTGCTGAGGTCAACGCTGTCATCAACCAAGCTTCTGGTAAGATGGTCGAGGTCTGCGGTACCATCACCCGTGACGGCCAGCCTGTCATGGAGGTCACCAGTCAGTTCCTGTACCGTGGCGCCTACACCGACTTCGAGAACACTTTCCAGAGAAAGACCGAGAAGCCCATGCAGATCACTCTCGCTACTAGCAAGGACGTCGCAGTCCTCCAGTCTAAGGAGTGGTTCCGCCTTGAGGACACCGAGATTGACCTCCTCGGCCAGACTTTGACTTTCCGCCTGCAGAGCTTGGTTCGTTACAAGAACGAAAACGTCTTCAGCACTGTCGAGACCGTTGGTCAGGTCGAGATCGAACTGCCTAGCAAGGAAATTATCCAGCTCGCATCGGTCGAGTACGAGGCTGGTGTCTCCCACGGCAACCCCGTCATTGACTATCTCGAGCGTAACGGATCTGCCATTGACCAGCCCGTCAACTTCGAGAACCCTATCCCGCTGAATGGCAAGACTCCTCTTGAGCTCAAGGCACCCGCATCGAACGAAACCTACGCCAAGGTTTCAGGCGATTACAACCCCATCCACGTTTCTCGTGTCTTCTCCAAGTATGCCAACCTCCCTGGCACCATCACTCACGGCATGTACTCCAGTGCTGCCGTCAGAAGCCTCGTCGAGACATGGGCAGCCGAGAACAACGTTGGTCGCGTTCGCAGCTTCCACGTCAACCTTGTCGGTATGGTCCTTCCCAACGACACCATCCAGGTCAGCCTTCAGCACATCGGTATGGTCTCTGGTCGCAAGATCATCACAGTTGAGGCCCGCAACAAGGAGACCGAGGACAAGGTCCTTATTGGTGAGGCAGAGGTTGAGCAACCTGTCTCTGCCTACGTCTTCACTGGTCAAGGTTCTCAAGAACAGGGTATGGGTATGGAGCTGTACGCAAGCAGCCCTGTCGCCAAGGAGGTCTGGGACAGAGCAGACAAGCATTTCCTTGACAACTATGGTAAGCAACACTTGACATTCATGAATTGCGCATCACTAACAAGCAACAGGTTTCGCCATCACCAACATTGTCAAGAACAACCCCAACGAGATGACTGTTCACTTCGGTGGACCTCGTGGTAAGGCCATCCGTCAAAACTACATGTCTATGACATTCGAGACGGTAGCCGCCGATGGCAGCATCAAGTCGGAGAAGATCTTCAAGGAGATCAACGAGTCTACTACCTCATACACATACCGTTCGCCTACCGGTCTGCTGTCTGCCACACAGTTCACTCAGCCCGCACTTACCCTGATGGAGAAGGCTTCCTTCGAGGACATGCGCTCCAAGGGTCTTGTGCAGCGTGACAGCAGTTTCGCTGGTCACTCTCTTGGAGAGTACTCTGCTCTTGCAGCCATGGCAGAGGTCATGCCTATTGAGAGTTTGGTATCCGTTGTGTTCTACCGTGGTCTGACCATGCAAGTCGCTGTCGAGCGTGACGAGGCTGGCCGCTCAAACTACTCCATGTGCGCCGTCAACCCTTCGCGCATTGGCAAGACATTCACCGAGCAGGCTCTCCAGTACGTTGTTGAGAACATCGCAGAGACCACTGGCTGGCTTCTGGAGATTGTCAACTACAACATTGCCAACATGCAGTACGTTGCCGCTGGTGACCTGCGTGCACTCGACTGCTTGGCCAATGTCCTCAACTACCTCAAGGTGCAGAAGATTGACATCCAATCGTTGATGCAGACCATGTCTCTCGAGGATGTCAAGAGCCACCTTGTCGAGATCATCAAGGGATGTGCTGAGCAAACCGAGGCCAAGCCTAAGCCTCTGGACCTCCAGCGCGGTTTCGCCACCATCCCTCTCAAGGGTATCGATGTGCCTTTCCACAGTACCTTCCTGCGTTCGGGTGTCAAGCCCTTCCGTTCCTTCTTGCTCAAGAAGATCAACAAGACTAGCATCGATCCTAGCAAGCTCGTTGGCAAATACATTCCCAACGTCACCGCCAGGCCATTCGAAATCACAAAGGAGTACTTCGAGGATGTGTACCGTCTGACAAACTCGCCCAAGATTGGCAACATTCTGGCCAACTGGGAGAGTTACGTTAATGACGACGGTAGCAAGCCCGCTCCTGCGGCATAGATGAGAACCCAAAGAGAAGAAGGGTGTGTAAACTTGTAGAGGACGAATATCAAGGGTTTGCTTTTTCGTGGTGTTTTTCGGGGGAAACACGCTTCAAGAAGGATTAACTCTTGGACATTTGGTTGTTCATACCCAATATTGAATTTTAGTGGGGTGGTGTATATAATTGTGGTTCTAAATTTCATTGCTGAATTCCAGCTCTTTCAAAACATTTAGTAGTCTTCTGAGCGCTTGAGTAACAAGTGTCGTGTATCTGGTCAACCTCTGTACTTGGGTGTCGTATGTACCAAGCGGCCCTTGACCCAGACGGCTGCTGTGTTTCTGTCGTCTCCACCGTAGAACCATTTGTTGAGTCTGTCTGACCAGCTCTCCCACATGAAGACATCCACAGGACCTTTGTTCTCTGCCTCGTCCATCTCACCGTCCTCACTCACAACATCCAAGCTGATCATTTGTGCGTCCCAATCCATACCAACCTCGAATCCACCAACGCGGCTCTCAAGACCGACCACCTTTGCACCACCACGAGTGGCCAACCACAACGCCTCTTCCGTGCTCAACTTCGCAGCATCGCCATCGACCATGGCTACATGTCTGCTGACCAGAATAGCTTGACGAGCCTCCTCGAGAATGCTAGGGCTGTATCCTCCACTAACATCTGTTCCGAGACCGACTGTGAGACCTTCGTCCAATAACGTACGCACAGGCGCCGCTCCAGAAGTCAAAGCAGTGTTGGAAGCCGGACAATGACTGATCTTCGCATCACGGGAACGGATCAACGCACGCTCTTCCGGTGACAAATGTACCGCATGTGCGAGAATGGTCTTTGCATTCAACAAGCCCGCTTTATCGTAAACATCGGTGTAAGATTTACTGCTCGGGAACATTTCCGCGACCAATTCGATTTCGGACTTGTTTTCTGAAATGTGAGTTTGGATGGGAAGGCCGGTCTGTTGAGCGAGTTTGCCTAGAGCGTTTAGGCAGCCTTCGCTGCAACTTGGTGCGAAGCGAGGTGTGATGATGGGGGTGATGAGGTGATGCTTAGGGTCGATTTTGCCGACGTGTGCGATACAGGCTTCTGTTGCTTGGATCGCGGTTTCGGCGCTCTCGTCGCGGTAGTAGTCGGGGCTTAGTTGGTCCATACAGACGCGGCCGACGAAGGCGCGCTGGCCTTTGGAGAGACAGATGTCAGAGAGGAGGTTCGTAGCTTCGACGTGGACGGTGGCGTAGTAGCAGGCTGTTGTTGTTCCGTGGGAAAGAGTGCGGTTGACGACGCGGGCGTAGATGCGTTGGGCCTTTGCTAAATCTGTAAAAGATGATTCCAAAGGAAAAGTATATGTGTTCAGCCAATCCAGTAGTGTTGATTTGCCAAAGATGCCAGAGTTGGGATATTGAGAAGCATGGATGTGTGTGTCTTTTGGAGAAATCGTGTTAGCTCAGCAATGCTCAGGGGCAACCTCCTCCCTCCGATTATTAACACATACCAATAAATCCAGGGAAAAAGAAACCTTGATCTTTTATTTCAACAATCTTTGCCTTCTCCCAGCCTTGTTGTCGTTCGCATAATTCGTATGCTGGGATATCTCCAATGTCTCGTTCGATGAATGCAATCTTGCCGTCCGAATCAACTCCAATGGCACCAGCCTCACAAATCTCGACTTCTTGCTGAGAAGTACAATGAGCAAAAGCACCCAAGTAAATCGTCTTTTCAGACGCTGTTCCGTTGGTCGTAGACATGATCATAATTCCAATATAAATAGACGTTGAGAGAAAGATAGGAGGATTCGTAGAACAACAAGAGGCCGAAAGAATCAAAGGGAAAGAGAAACAAACGACCGTCCAGGGATCCAGGTATATATAATGAGACAGGAGGAAGACAAAGACTGGCAACGTGGAAGAGTTCAAAGACAACAACTAAGGTTGACCATTTTAACGACTTATCTCCAAACTCTCAGGGAGTTGAAGCGAGGAGTCTTGGACGGCAGGTGCTGATTGGCGGGCTGTGTTGGCTCACCCCGGTCTACGGCGTGCTCCGATATGGGGATGGTTCATTCATTCTATGCGAACATATAATTGTCATTATAAACTACTCGGATAGAGCTGTGTTGATACTTGGTACATCTGGACGGGGAGCGCCACGACGTGTTACCAAGGTAAGCGTGGATGGGATAGTTGCACAAACCGCATTGATCCCACCACGAAACGCTCAACTGCCGCTGATTGCGGCGGTCGAGGAATAGATGTCTGTGAACACGTTTCGAACTGACACTATTCCCCTCCTCTCTATGTTCCTGAACCATCATTGTGCTCTTGCCGCGCGATGGCGACGAACAATTGATATTGAATGTGATGGAAGAGGACGCATGCGCGGAGGAGGCTGCGGCGAAGCTCTTGAGACGGAAGTCGCTGACGTGGGGGTGCTTGGACCCCGTCTCGATGCCCATCAAAGCAACAACAGCATTACTTCCCTAGCTATATACACACACATACGCAATCATGGCAGACCAATTCGACAGTGCGCTGTAAGGCCCAGACCTCTCTCATGCTGTCAAAACCAATTCCTAATCACAAATACATCAGCGATCTTCTTCGACGCCTAAACCCAAAGAACACGGCGACCAACCTCTCGGCCATCTGCAGTCTGGTCCCTGAACATGAAGAGGAATTGCTCGCCTCGGTAGACCAACCTCTCGAAGTCCGTCGCTGCAAGAAGACCGGTCGTGACTACCTCCTCTGCGACTACAACCGCGATGGCGACAGCTACCGCAGCCCCTGGAGCAACGAGTTCGACCCTCCCGTCGAAGACGCAGAGATGAGCTCCGAGCGCGTCCGTCGCCTGGAAGTCCGCGCAAACGAAGCCTTTGACGTCTACCGCGAGCTGTGAGTGCCTTCGAATCCAGAAAAAGAAAAAGACACAATGGGAACAAGAACACTGAGACTGAAGGGGAAATACAGATACTACGAAGGCGGTACTTCATCCGTCTACCTCTGGAACTTGGACGATGGCTTTGCAGGTGTTGTGTTGCTCAAGAAGTCATCTTCTCAGACCGCTGCTTCGGGCGCTTGGGACAGTATCCATGTCCTCGAAGTGGCCGAGCGCGGTCGCACTGCCAAATACAAGCTCACATCTACCGTCATCTTGAACCTCGGCACAAAGGGCGATGCTCTAGGCAGCCTCGATCTCGCTGGCAACATGACTAGACAAGTGGAGGCTGACATGCCCGTCGATGCTGACGAGACTCATGTCGCCAACATCGGCAAGTTGGTCGAGGATATGGAACTCAAGATGCGCAATCTGCTGCGTAAGTCGTCACTCACACTTGTACCTCAACAGAATGCTAACATGTCTTCTACAGAGGAGGTTTACTTTGGCAAGGCAAAGGACGTGGTCGGCGATCTAAGAAGCATACCGCCGCTCTCCGAGGCCAACCGCGACAGAGCAGCCCAACGTGAAATGATCAGCAGCATGGGCCGATAGACTCGCCCTGAAAGCATAATTAATAACGTCTATACAAACTGAGATGCACACGTTTCCAGTTCCAGCATTACAGCAAAATGTCAAAAACACACAATTCTCATGTCATGGATTTTTTGAAGAAGTACTTTTTGGTTTCATAATTCGTGTCTATGTACATATTATGTGGCTTTGTGGAATTGCCATGGTAGCTTGCGCTCAAATTATCTATTGGTTGAGTGCGAGAATAAGCTCGGCAACACGCTCGCCGACAATGGTGATGGCGGCCTGAGGGTTGGAAGTGGTCTGGCCAGGGAAGATGGAGCCATCGGCAATGAACAAATTGTCGGTACCGTAGACCTTGGAGTCGGCGTCGACAACCGAAGTACCGTTGTCACGACCATCATCGTTGCCCATCTTGCAGCTGCCCAACCAGTGGTTGACGTAAAGGTGGGTGGTCGACTTGACGTAGTTCAGAGAAGAAACGTCAGCAGCAGGAGAGAGAATCTCAAGGCCAGGGACGTTCTTGAGGATGTTTCTCATGTCGTCGAGACCCTGGGCGATGGCGACCTGGTCGGACTCGTGTTGCATAACGTCAACGCCGGTGGAGACGTTCATCTTCAAGTCGGGGGTAATGGTGGTTCTGCCACGAGCGGCCTGACCGATGGTGATGTACTGAGCAAGAACCATGTTGTGCTTAGCATCGTTGTTGATGTCGAGGGAAGTATCAACACGAGCAGTCCACTGCAGACCTTGGAGACCGTCGGTGCCGTTCAACATCTCCCAGATCATGGGGTTCAGGTTGGAAGCGGACTGAGCAAGCATGCCGGTACGTCCATTGAGGTAAGAGTCGACGTCGCCTTGGTTGGGGTGGTCCCAGAGACCAGCGAAGTCGTAGTAAACGACATCAGGGTGGGAGATGACGATATCAGTCTATGAGTCAAAAGTCAGCTTATGCTATGTTGCGATCTTGTAAGTGTACTTACGTTGATGTTGTCCATAAGATTGTGGCCAACAGGCAGATCAATCCATTGATCCTCTCCGATCATCTTGGAGCCCTCAGTGTTGCGGACAGTTTCGAGCTGGTCTCTTGGGCCGATTCCACTTCTGAAAAGGACCTTGGGGGTACCGAATGCACCGGCAGCGAGGACGACAGCCTTGTTGGCCTTGACGGTTCCTCTGAAGCCATCGTCGGCAGTGTTCGAAATCTCAACTCCAGTGATCTTGGATCCCTCTCTGATGACTCTCTCGACAATGGCGTTGGTGTAAAGCGAGAAGTTGGGGCGGGAGTATGCAGATCCAAGGTATACAGACATGGGTCCGCTGCGTTCGCCGTTCTGGAACATGTACGTGGTGTTGGAGTAGACTCTGTCCTTCTGATTAGGGACTTCGTTGGCACTGACCAGTGTCCAGTTGGCAGCATCCAGAGCGCCCTCAAGCATATCAGCACCCTGCTGATAGTAGAGCTGTCCATCCTGAGAAGGGACTTCAGTGCCGGGCAGACGCGAGAAGACACGGTCGGTCACATTTGCCATGTTGGTGCTGTTCCACTTCTCAGGGAACATAGTGTCCCAGTCCCAGGACGTAGGCTTCCACCAGAGTCCAGAGTTGATAGCGCCACTGCCACCGAGCACACAACCAGAGATACCGCCAACAATGTCGTCGCAGAAAATATCATTTGTGAAGTCACCACCCTTGGTCCAGATCTGGTCGTCGAGAGCAGGAACATCATAGACGGTCATTCCGGAGTTGTCCAGCCATTGTGGCTTGTTGTTGCCACCCCATTGGCCAGTGGTTGCCTGACCACGCTCGACCAAGAGTACTGATGCACCACTTTCGGAAAGCTTGTCGGCGACTGTGACACCGCCAGGTCCTGATCCAACAACGATGTAGTCGAAGGACGAATCGCCAGCTGCCCTACGCTGAATGGGCTTGGCTGATACTTGAGAGGATGCTGTACAGATGTTAAAAAGGAACGCTCTTGCATGGGAGTTGTATCGGTGCTCAACGTACCTAGTGACAATGCCACAGCGGCTATCGATAGTTGTCTGAACATCTTCGTAAAGATTATGAGATAAGAAGTAGAAACAAGAAATGTTGGTATAGACAAGAGTGGTCAAGAAGAATTGGAGTGCTTCTCCCCGAGTACTTATATCGTCAGGCCTTGTCTCGTAACTTCAACCTACCTTTGCTATTCTTGTACATATGGAGCCTGTTCTTGGCCCAGAGTGCCTCTGACCGCATGTAACGCTGCCCATCGCGAGCAAATGCTAGTCTTTGCAACTGCGTCGGGGGCGCTGATGATGTCAAGGCCCGTTGGGCGGACCGTTCGCTTTTCGTGTTCGTGAAGCCTAAATTTGCTTAATTTGAACCATGAGGACTTTTCGAGAGCCAAGCACCTTGGGTTTCTCCTCGAACCTTGGGGGAAATAGGAAAGGTTGTTAAGAAGTGGTTAAAAATAGACAGCAGAGCGAGTGAGATCTGCTTTGCATGCAAAAGCATGGCCTGCATGGTTGTCAAGGCTTGAGCAGATCGGGCAACCCCGACTCTCTCGTGGCCTTCGTTCCTCCTCGCTCTTGTGCTTGGCTATCAACCAAACAAGTCATGCAGACATGTCAGGCAAGTAGCTTTGTGTTCCTCGGATGCACCGACACAAAAACTTCGCGATTGCCGTCACTCTTCAGGCGACCGTTCAATTCAGGCATTGTCAGATTTTCAGTAATCTCAAGACCCTGTCCGCAAATGTTCCGCCTTCATTTCCAATGTCTTTCACAGTCAAGCATTTTATATCAAGTCTCATGTCAGATCCTGGGTCAGCGCAATTTCAATGCATGACCTATGATTTTGCAGTCGCGCAGAGTGCTTTCAAGGCAGATGCGCTGTTGTGGCCCTTACATGCTAGTGTTAATACTACTGCAATATATTGTACGAGCGTGCCCTACATAGGGCGATTTGTGAGCTTTTACCAAAAACAGATCAAGGTCGATGGAGGATTGCTCGCCAGGATGGAGCTGAAGGGCACTTTCGAGATGCCAGCTCCCAATATTATACGTCTATACATAGCGACATGTGGAATGTACCCATCCTTCTTGTGGTGTGCGGTGACAAGATCACACCTAGTCCAACATTTCGATCAATCATTTGGGGATCCAGGGCAAGCCGAGCTTGTGCATCTCAACTGCAAGCTGGAAGATGTAGTCCAGACTGTATACGACATTAGCTTCTCCTGTGTTGGCTTCATGGATTCGAGAAGACCTACCTCTCGCACTGAGTCTTTGCCTGAGCAACATCCTTGCCCCAAACGTAGCTAGTAAATCGTCAGCATTTCCATCGCTCTCTCCTGTTCTCCCATGTTGAGTAACATACATTCCGTGTCTCTTGACGAGGACGGCGTGGGTATCAGGCCACTGCTTGATGGCACCCTCGAGTGTGTCCTTCAAGTCCTCCTCGTGTGCAGTGTTGTCGATGATAGGGATGCGAAGACGATCGTGGTATCCAAGGTTTCCCTTCTTCTCCTCACCATAACCCTTGGGAATACCCTTGATCTGCTCGAGTTTCTGAATTTCAAAGACGTCGGTACCGGCAGCTTCGCAAAGCAGAGTTACAAGGACGGCGTCCTTGCTGTGGGTGTGAATGCAGCAATCCGCTCCGCGCAGCGTAAAGGCAGCCATGAAGAGGGGTGTGCATGCCGAGGGCTTCAGCACCTGTGGGTTTCACATAAATCTCAGCTCTTGTATTCATCGATGCTTCGACCCTCGAGGATTTCCTACCGGCGGTCTGCGCAAGTATTCCCGAGTCGCATAGTCCATGACAAACAAATCTTGCGGCTTCATGAGCTCTTTCTGAACGCCGGAGGGCGCAATATAGATACGTTCGCCATCACGAATCGAGGTGCCGCCGCCAGTTCCAGTGACCTGAGCAGAGACGTGTAAGTACTTTGTCCAGTAGAAGCAGTCACTGATGGGCACAGGGTCGGTATACCCATCCAAGAGTGTAGAACTTCTTGCAGAGCTCGCAAATGAGGTTTGCGGGGTGGTGGGGATCGTGAGAGGTGATCAAGGCCTCTGCCTCGTGTGTAGTCGCCATTTTGTCTGTGTCTTGTCTTCGAAGGAGCTGTCAACACGGACGATCACAGCCAACATTTTTTGTTGATGATTGCGGGGATCGCGGGGTGGATCGCGTCACAATTCACGAAGGTGGAATATGGGCAGTCCAATATGGGCAGCGAATGGTGAACATTCACGATTCGATGGTCCAATCTACGACTTCACATTGCGTGTTCTTGAAAGTTGAGTATGATAGCATTTTTCGCTATCTGTGCCTTTAAGCAATGAACGGCATCGCTTGGGTGACAAAGTCTCCTCCCTACTGAGCAAAAAACGATACAAGCAATGTGAGCCGATTTTCCGCGGCTGCTAAGTCACAGCTATTTGAATCTGTGTAGCAAATGTTTTGGGCTGACATCAGAGGTCGACGCTTATGCGGCGGTTGCAGTCTCGCCGTCTGCAGCGGGTGCAGCCTCTGCCTTCTCGTCCTTTGCGTCAGTCATGGCCACGTCCTTGTCCTCAGTGGCTTCTTCCTTTGAAGCAGTCTCAGTAGGCTCCTTGACGTCTGCCTTCTCGACTGTTTCCTCGGCCTTCTCTGCCTTTTCGCTGCTCTCCTTGTCTTCAGCCTTGTCGTCGTCCTTCTCGTCGCCCTTGGAGCCAAGAGCCTCGTGCCACGAAGCAAGAAGGTCATTCGATCTCTTCTTGAACTGATACTCCTCTTCCTTGGGAATGGACGAGAGCTTGAGGATACCGCGAAGCACCTTGTAGATCTTGGTGCCGCGAATGATGGCAGGCTCGAGGTTCTGATAGCCCTCGAGTTGGTTGAAGAAATCGTGCATAGTGGACATCTCTTCTTCCTTGGGTGTCTGGTCGCGCATCAAGAATCCCTTTTGCAGTCTGTGGCGAAGGTAAAGAACGGCCTTCTCGCGTCTCTCGGCCTTTTCAGCCTCGTTGACAGGCTCCTCCTCTGCGGGCTTTTGAACGACCTTCCTCGGCTTGGCCGGCTTCTTAGCCGATTCGCCGTTAGTCTTGGTAGCTGCGACCTTTGTTGCCTTGGGTGTCTTCTTGGGCTGTCTCATTGTTAGCTTTGATTGCAAACGATCTGAATCATTCCTTTTACCTTGGGGCCCTCGCCTTCGCTATCGGCGTCCTTCTTTCTCTTCTTGCTGGGCTTGGCCTCGGCGTCGTCGGGAATATCGAGATCCATGTCATCTGCATCGGAGACAGTCTCCTTGCTCTTGCTCTTTCTACGGTCCTTCTTCTCCTTTGTGGTCTTGTCTGTGGCAGCTTTCTCGGCCTTCTCAGCTTTCTTTGCGGCCTTGGCCTCCTTCTCAGCTTGCTTTGCAGCTTCTTCCTCCTGAGCCTGCTTCTGTTGTTGCATAAACTCCTCGAGCATGTTCTTGAAGTAGTCGAGGTCGTGCTGTTCCTCGGCGATATCATAAGCCTCCTTCAGAGCCTTGGACATCTTGCCGGTCTGCTTGTCGAGGGAGCACTCACCAGGCTCAAGCTTGGTGAGAGAGGTGTTGACCATCCATGAGCTAGAAAATCAGTTAGATACTGATACGTGGCTTTGGTTGTGAGAAGATACTTACAACTCGTTGGTTCCCAAGAACATAACGGGGTAGGTTCTGTCGCGAGCGTTCTTGCCGTCGTCTGCGTAGTCTTCGCGGTAGGAGCCATCGGCGCGCTGGGCGCTGACAGGTCTGGTGCCCAGAAGAATCTCGGGGAGCATGTCCTCGTCGCAGACAATCGAGGGCCATGGTGGATAGCCCTTGAGCCTAGCCCAGTAATAGTCACCGGCCTTGATACCAAGGTTCAGTTGGACTTGTGACTTCTTCTTGTTCAGCTTCTTGGCCTTGTGCTCCGGCACACCCGAGGTTGACTTTCTCTTTCCGTTCTTGCTGGTCGAGGGTGTAGCGACATCGGCAGCCTCTGATGGAAGCACTGCAGCTTCTGTCTTTCCTTCGCCGTCCGGTGCGTTGACCTCGGTGGTTGCTTGTGGACCAGCAGCTGCTACGTCGCTCTCCTTGGCACCGGCGTTATCAGCTGATGTGTCCATTGCCTCGGTGGTGGCGGGTGCTAGCAAGATGTCAGATTTTAATCGTAAAGAAGATGAGAGTGTCTGATTCTGTCTACCTTCAGTGCTCTCAGTAGGGGCCGATGGTGCCTCAGTTGCAGCCTCGGTCATGGTGGTCTGTAGACAGTCAGTGACTGATGCCGCGACGCGTCCGATGTGATGACCTTACGTTCTGTGCCTCGACAGGCGCGTTCTTAGGCTCTTCCTCGGCCATTGTGATGTTGAGGGATGTACGGCGACGATATAGTGACGTAGTAGATGGACGCGTTGATGGCGCGACGAATGCGCAGAGGAGTGCTGAGTGACGCGATGGGAGCTGACAGGTGGGAGATGATGTCGACTATGTAGGTGTCGATATCGTGCGCAAAGATTGATGGAATAGTTGTTGTGTAAGAGTTGTGTTGAGGAGAAAGATGGACGCGAAGCTCGAGCTTTCAGAACTTCGGCTCAAAGCCCTTCGTCTCTCCACGTGACTGCAATGGTTTTTCACCAACAATAACCACTTGAGACCAGTGAATGCTTACGCTGAAGACGATGAGTGTTTCCTTAGCTTCCCCGTCGAATTATCCCGTGACTAGATGCCTTCGTTGAGAAATTGTGAGCGACTGTGTACTCCCATCAGCGCAGCCAACGCCAATTATCGGGAAGCCGCGAGTCGCGCGACACGTCAAGGATCCGTGCTTCGCGCTGGCCAGCCAACGTTGGAATCATATTTTTCTCACTTCCTGTCATTCTGGGAAGCAAGAGCGATATCCAAGCCAGTTTACGTTGCGAGGTCCCGAAGCCTGAACAAATCCGGGCAAGTTTGTCGACTTGACATTCCCGACCTTCGACAATCATGACGGAACCATGCGCGGCTTGTTGTACTGTACAACTTCCGTTGAATCAACTGGCTGTAATCGTACGAGCCGTCTAGACGCCAAGTTGTAAATATACGTAGCTGCTTGTTCTTCCAAAGGACCACCGACAGGATAGCTGATCAGGATCTTGGTGGCCGATCTGTCAAGAACACATCGTGTTTCTCCCAACAGTCGCCCACCTCCAGCCGTGCTTTTTCTAAGAACAGAAAAGGGGGTGGTAGTGATAGCTGAGTAACAAATTCTTCCGTGGTAAAGCAGTAGAGTGGGAAAGAATGATATAAGGAAAGTGTAGAGATGCCAGGGCTTTTTTCAGATCATAAGATAACGTGTACTTTGAACAAGAACGGAGCGTTTGTGCTTGCGTAGAGAATGATGGTTTGGAAGGCTTCCAAGTGTAAGCACCTACCGTATACAGAGATGGCATGCCGGACGTTGTATAGATAGCCCAGCTCTTGGAAGTCTTGTTCGACTATAGGTCGGTCACAGGTCAAGCTGCGAAGCCTGGACAGGGCTTGTAGACATCTCCGGGTGGACTTCTGTCATTCTAGTTGTCGCATTGGGTGCGAGTGGAGGGTGGCTCGACGCCTTTGGTAATAGCACGTTCGTCGGTGGCAGGCGGTATATATGCATCTCATGTCGGGCGTGTCGACGGACCGGTCGCGAGGACAGGGCTTCCGGGCGCGAAAGCAGAGTTGCAGACATCGACGATACACATATAACTCTGTCAGCTTTGCAAACAAGACTTAGAGCTCTTTGACAAAGCTATGCGGCTAGGGCGGTAGTCCGACAAACACCATGGCGCCCGGTACGCCTTGTTGCTAATGCCGGTCGGGCGAGGCAGCATCAGGCGCCAGTCTGCTTTCACGGGCGACTGTGGTGTAAGCTCAGCGGACAAGCGACACACGATGCTTTGATCATGATGATAGTTGAGTATGTGAAATGAGATGCATTCTGTGCTTGGTCTTGCAGACTCCCATCCGACCCAAGCGCGTTGTTGATGGCCTCGCTTCGCACGCTGCCACATCCACGTGACAGCTGCTCTTGCAACCCGACTTTTTGTGAAAACATAAAATTACAGAATACACCTCCCACATATCTCTCAACACCTGGATTGGTCTTCTTGATCACCTGCTAAATGCTGGAGGTGTGTTGTGATGAATGTCTTGTCGGATTCAAAAGCCTCCCCACGAATCGATCTTGGATGTGATCTTCGTGATAGGGCAAGCACGGCCATGATGGAGCTATGTACAAAAGGATTACTGACCAGCCCATGCTTCATCCAAAGAAGGTTGACGGACCTCCCACGCCCATTGGTGACAGGTCTGATGCATGACTGGCGACACCTCTTCTTCGTCGACTCCCTCATCCGCGACTGTTTTGACTCCAGCCTGCAGGTACTTCTTCAAGAGCATCCGACGCCAGCGCCCTCTCTCGCCAACACAACGCTCCCATCTTCCAATCTGTCTATCGTCATCATCGCAACGACGACCTTGCCAGAATCGTGTATACCATTGGAACCAGCCGCGTACATCGTACGCATGCGCTATCCAGCCCGCGACTTCCCACTCTTCAATGCTCTGTCCACATCTGACCTTGAATTTATTGACCTCTGGATCGTAGGAGGAGCTTGTAAGGTATCTTTCAACGTTCAGGTCTTTCAACCATTCTCCAGGCAGTTCTTTCCAGTCATCCTCTACTGTAGTGCGTAGGCTTTTTGAGTATAGCGGTCGGTAGTATGAACCTCCGAAGGCACCTTCAGCGAGCATCTCGGCTGGCGATTTATTTGGTAGGAAGGTGGGATGCTCGTCGAAGTGGAAGGTGCCATCTTCGTCCCTTGTGGGTGGAGGTGCTACTGACTCCCAAGCGGTCCAGCCTTTGCGTATGTCTTCAAGGTCTGCTGGGGGTGATTGCGCTTCTGTCTCGACGGCATCCGCAACTACACTCTGCTCTTTCTTTGCGCCATTCTTCCTCGAGGATCGCGAAGACGCTTTGTTTGAGATCGAGGGCTCGTCATTGTAAATCGGACGCTCTGTCGTAGCTATACGCGCAGAGACGCGTGTGGGCCGTGATGTTGAAGGTGAGAGCTTGCGTTTCTTTGGTGGTGGTCGCTTCGTCGACGTCTCTTGCTTCACTTTGTTGATTCCGAGCTCGTTGATCAAGGCTTGGTTGCGCTTGATGTTTTCCAGTCTTCGCGTCTCATAATCCGTCATTGTGTGGTGATCGGCTTGCGCAGATGAATATGTTGTCAGCGATGCGAAATCAAGAACCGCATGTGATGCTTTTGACGTCATAACAGTAAAGTAAATTGCCCATTGACCTTTCATCACCGGTGTCATTGTTCCAGGAATTTGAAATCTAGAAGCCAGAATCGGAATATATATAAAGCATGGAACTACGCCAAGTGACAGTTCCTCCTGCATCCAAGTCAATTATTATCTAAAAACCTTACAACCACATCAATTCTCATCATGTCCGCAAACAACTTCACCGGCACCAACCCCAGTGGCGCTAACCATCCCACAACAACTCACACCACTACCACTTCTACCACCTCCACTGCTGGTACTCACGGCGCAAATGCTGGTGAGGGCTTGAAGGGCATGTTCGCCAAGGGCCATGTACGTTCACAGCGTGAATAATCCTTTCTTGATATCAACGTTCTAACAAAATCTAGGGCATTGGCGAGTCCATTCGTGGCAACATCAACTCCGCCATTGATGGCTTCACCGGCGACAGTGCTTCCATGGCCAAGAACGAGCAGGTCGCTCGTGGTGGTGAGCAGGAGTTTCAAACCGGCAACTTCGTCAAGAAGGGCACCATGGACAAGGCTCTCTAGAGAGCGGATTATTCGTTTTGTCCTTTGTACTACCATTACGATACCATGATACCCCGATCTGATAGATGCTATCAGCAATGAATTATATTCACTTTTCAAACACTTCATCCATAATGAAACGCGAAAAACTTTCACCGTACGTTCCCACACCTTGAGCTTTCCCAAGCATGATGGCTAGTAAGCAACGCGAGTGGTCATTACACATACTGGGAGATACAACCAGAAGGTGAGATGAAAGGTCTTTGATTGGCAATCCGATACTACACGAGACCATTTGCCATGCTGTCTCGGTTTGAAACCCCTATAAAACTCCTTCCTTTGGTCGTTGCTCCATTATACAGATTCATCAATACTCGAGGGTGACCTCCTGGCCCTTTACTCGGCCGATCACGATTCCAGCAGCGTACTTGGGGATGACCTCGTCGTCATGCAGCATCTCAAACTCCTCACTTGCGTCTCTGCCCATGTGACTGAAAAGAGCTTGGGGACCACCAGGGTGCTCTTCCACCCAGTCGGTCACATCCATGACGACGCCCTTGACTGCAATCCAAAGGTCCTCCTTCTTGTTGTGCTTGGCTACTTCCTCGAGAGTGAACTCCTTCTCGGGAACTTTGAATTCCTTGATGTCGTTGGGCTTGGATACCTTAGCAGGGTCCGAAGAGTCGGCGTTCTTGCCTGATGTCATGACTGGACCTGCGGATTGTTGCGACTGTCTTTGGATGGCTTCTTCGGCGCCTGACGAAGCACCAACACCGTTCGCCCATTCTACGGAGATCTTGCCAGGCTGGTTGGGATCGATGTGCAGACTGATCTGGCCAAGACGTTGAGCTGCTGCTGAGCCACCGCCATTCAAGACCTGTTGGAAGAGGTATTTGCTTGCAGAGTCACCAGCGACACGGCCGTAGACTACACAGCCAAGCAGGGATGAACCACCGAGGCGGTTCGAGCCGTGAACACCACCAGCAAGCTCACCACAGACGAAGAGACCGTCAAATGGCTTGCCATCGGAGTTCAGGCATTGTGCCTGGTCGTTGATCTCAATACCACCCATGGTGAAGTGGAGAACAGGCTCCATGACGGCGACGTGGAAAGTATCGTCGACCTGGAAAGGCATGTTGTGGAAGTACTTCTTGCCGTAGGGATCCTTCTGCTTGCCATCGGCAATCTCGTTGTAATTGCTGAAGGTCTCCTCAAGATCCTTTCTCGAGCAGCCAATCTCTTTGATGAGCTCCTCGCCACTCATCTTCTTCATCAGACCACGACCTGAGTAGTGACGAGTGTGGAAGTCGAGAACGTTGGAAGCCTTTGAGTTGAGAACAAGACGAATGGGCCATGTTCCCTTCTCCTTCTCTTCCCACATCTTACCCGAGACGTAATCGCGGTGTCCGAGTTCGTCTGAGAAACGCTGACCCTTGCCGTTGAGCAAGAGACCACCTTCACCACGAAGAGCTGGGAGTTGTTAGTACTGTACAGTAGCCAAAGGGATCTCATACACATACCTTCGGCAGCCAAGAATTTCCACTTGGAACCAGGGTCCTTGGGGTCGACCAAGCCAGTAGGGTGAACTTGAACCTTGTCCATATCGATACCGTTGGCACCAATCTGCATGAGCATCTTGTGACCGTCACCAGTGGCGTGGGCACCGTTAGTGGTGGCCAGACCAAAGGTATCGGGTCTCCACTTCTTGAGGAGCGAGTCGTCTGTGAAGTCGGCAGCGTAACCTCCGGTTGCGAGGATGACAGGGCCATCTACGGTGACTTCCTCGTTGTTGAAGGAGTATGTGACACCAGTAACATTGTTTCCCTCCTTGTTGATCTTGGTGACCTTGGCCTTCTTGATGAGTGAAACACGCTCGGGCTCAGTCTCGGCGAGTTCTTCGAATCGTTGCATCAGGGCGTAGGTGATAGCCATACCAGGGAACTTGGCATCGTGACCACGGTGAGTACGGGGGAATGAGTGGCCTCTGCCTTTGGATTAGTCGGTGGATTCACTTCCGACCGTCGGTATGTACTCACCCGAGTCGTGAAACAAGGGTCAGGTCCAGGTTGAAGACATCTTGTAGCCACTCAACGGCACCAGCTGACTTGTATGTCAAGACCTTGATGAGATCTGGTCGCGCCTTGTCTCTGGCCGACTTCAATGTGTCTTCGTAGAATTGCTTTACGCTGTCCTGAATTCCGAGGTCGGTTTGTGTGCGGGTAAGGGCACCGTTGATTCCTGAGGTGGCCTTGGTGGAGTTTCCTCCCATGAAGTCTTTGAATCACATGTCAGCGATACACGAGTAGTGAGCGAGGGGACGCTGGTTCATACTGTTCTTGTCGAGTAAGACGACATTTCCGCCATTGAGGTAGATGGTGTGAGCAGCACTCAGGCCAGAAACTACTCGGAGTTAGTCCTACGCCTTGGAGGAAACAGTTGATCGGTCAGGAGACTTACGACCAGCACCGACGACGATGACTCTTGCAGGCATGATGAATAGAGAAGGGTATCACAAACGGGAAAGAGACAACAAGAGAAACAGGGAGGAGGAGAAATGGAGAGCACGAGCAAAAGGCGAGGGCTTAAGGGTGTTTAATGGATGAACCACATGCGCTAAATTGCACGTGTGGGGGGGGAAGGTATGGAGAACAGATGCCGAGGCACCGTCGAGGGTTCGTCTTGTTACCTTCGTGCCTTCCCTCAGCTCAACCAACCACCCTACTTTCATTACCTACGCTCCGAACCCGGAGATCTAGAGAGACCTCCTGGTCTTGTCTCACCCCCAGAAACTCGAAAAGGGCAATTTTGGCCCGTCCCATATCAGGCAAAAGCTTTGGCGTCGGCGATTGAACGCAGCAGGATTCCACTTCCCGGTCTTTGTTCTCCGTCAAATGCAGCAAGAACGTCCTGTGCAAGTATGGGGTAAAACGAGGGGTCGGCAACGGCGGAAACCTAACAAACCTAACATGTGATTCCGGGGCTCGGATGACCATTTTCTCTGGCGAATCAAAGTTCACTGCTGACTTTCCTCATGCTTCAACACGTGATAGTGGTCTCATACCACTTTCATGTGCCCGTGCCTTGACGAATTGACAGGAGAACAAAAACATGAGGTTATACGCATATTTCTGCGACCACGGAGAGTCATTCGGAGCAACCGACAAGTTACGCACAGATTCCAGACTCGCTCGATAATAGCCCGAGCGACCGGAGATTCTTGTGCCGATACCACGAAGATCTGGAGAACAGACTTCGGCTCAATCACTCCATCCTCCATCCTCGCCATAATATCTGCCGGCATGCCGCTGCGGCTCCCCCGAACACCATGTGAAGTCTCCCGGGTATCCTCGAGATATTCGAACATCTTTGTAACCTCGAGATCGTTCTGGTCGCGTACGGCGCCTAGAGCTGCGCCCGTACCAACAGGACCGGAAATCTATGATGTCGTGTGCGTTGGTGGCGGTCCAGCAGGACTGAGCTTGCTCAGCGCCCTTCGTAAGAACATGCACAGCATGTATAGCATAGAATTGAAGTGCTGAGACGTGTAGGTGCTTCTCCCAAGACTGCGAACCTCAAGATTGCCCTGGTCGAAGGGCAAGATCTCAACAAACCTCAGATCCAGGCCGAATCGACCACTTTCTCCAACAGATGCAGCTCCCTGACTCCCGGCTCAGTAAAATTCTTGAATGAAATTGGAGCATGGAACCACATTGCGACCTCGCGTGTGCAGCCATACCAAGCTATGCAAGTATGGGACGGTGTCTCCGGAAGCAGCATCAGTTTCGACCCTTCAACCACATCTTCAACTGTGCCCGACACGGTCGCCACAATGACTGAAAACACCAACCTGACTTCTGCCCTCCTCGCTCGCCTGGGCACGTTGCCTCCGATTGATATCATGGCCAAGACAAGAGTTGAGGGAATTGAGCTTGGAAAGGAAACAGAGAAGATGGACCTCTCAAACTGGCCCGTCGTTTCATTGAACAACTCTCGTAAGTTGGCTGCACGTCTCCTCATTGGTGCCGATGGCGCCAACAGTCCCGTACGCACATTCGCCGGGATCCCTTCACGAGGCTGGGACTACAACCGCCATGGCGTCGTAGCGACCGTGCAGGTCGAGGGTGCCAATTGGGGCGCTCATGGTCCCAGAACTGCATACCAACGTTTCCTTCCTACGGGTCCTGTCGCACTGCTGCCTCTGCCTGGAAACGTAGCCACCTTGGTGTGGTCTACAACACCGGAGAAGGCCGCTCTATTGAAGTCGCTCAGCAGCACTGACTTCATCGCAATGGTGAATGCTGCTTTCAGGTTGCTGCCTGTCGACCTCGACTACTTGCACACCATGAAGTCCGGCCACGCTGACGAATATGCCTGGCGCGAAGCCAGTACCGCATTCAACTCTGAGCGCATCCCACAGAAGATTTCCGCTGTCCAGGACGGCAGCGTCGCTTCCTTCCCACTGCGTATGCGCCACGCCGACACTTATACCGGACATCGCGTCGCTCTCCTCGGCGATGCCGCTCACACCATTCACCCTCTCGCCGGCCAAGGTTTGAACCAAGGTCTCGGTGATGCCAGATCGTTAGCCAAGCACATCAACTTCTCACTCGCCGTGGGCAAGGACATCGGCAGCAATTGGGCACTAGACGCATACAACTCTGAGCAATGGGCAAAGAATAACGCCATGCTGGGCACTGTTGACAAACTGCACAAGCTGTATAGTGCTGGTAGTGGCCCCGTGGTCTGGGCGAGAAGTCTGGGTTTGGATGCTGTTGACAAGATGGGCTTCCTAAAGAGTTTCTTCATGCGCCAGGCTGCTGGAACGTAATGCTAGAGGGTATATACATTGTACTATAGAGATCATAATGAACAAGAACGTGTTGCTCGATCCTTTCAGGGTGTTGGATTTTTTTCTTTCCAAAAACTCATCGGTGCTGGGGACACCCTGCTCTCATGTTCTTCCTCGATTGTATAGCCACGACACCGACTTGACTCATGTTTGTTCCTTTCTGATGACTTTGAAGAACCTTTTGTTCTTCGAGTCGTGCTTGTCTCGATAAATTACGACGTGGTGGACTGTTTGTAGTCTCTGTTGTCAAATACCAACATTGGCTCGAGCGACAACCAGTGCGATCACCAGGCCATATCAGGTTTTCTTTCAGTTACATCGACGTCTGATAGCATACTGCATCTTCACAGCCGAGCTTTCTCGCATTGTGATCATGAATGGGAGCGATGATTACACGGAAGAGCTTGCAAGCAAAGAAAACGATTGAGAATTAAAACTAACACCGAGTGCAAGTGTATCAATGTGATGTATCGATGCAACTTCCATTCTCTGCAAGTGTCTTGACAAGCCTCAAGCGCTACATGCGCCACTTCTCCGTGGATGGGAATCAGTATTGTGTGGAGCTGTTTGAACGTCTGGTAAAGTCGCTTTCAGACGAACGTTCCGAGTCTTTTCTGGTTCAGAGCCTCAAGTTCTACACTAAGTGGCAGTATGACATGCGAGACGCTGATGACGGTCACCACCTTCCCGATTTCTCATATGTTGGGTGCCGACCGGATGTGGACTCAGCTGTTGTTTCAGGATTGAAGGTATCGGATGTAGCACCATGCCCTGCACAATCAGGTGAAGGATGGTCATGTGCTCCCATGTATTAGAAGCTCGAGGCTACTCGAATGATGCGAGCTTATACAAAGACCAAAGTCTTGCACTGTGCGAGGACTGTCAGTTTCTTCCCGAGTCCGGCTGCATGGTCATTGATTGCTACCCTGACATGGTTCAGCAGAAGCAAGAAATTCTATGCTTACAGGGAGTATGGAGCCATCGTCCATTTGCCTCTTGTGTTCACCCTTTAGCTGTACGTTCGAGCTCCTGCTTACGGTTGATTGTTCCCTCCAGGGTGGTGACGTCCTCATATCCATAGGGCATGGCTGCTGTGTGGTTGTCCATTGGCATGTGACAGGCATGGCATAACCAAGACTCATCACGGTCACCGATTTTGCGCCACCAGAGCTTAACACCCTCTCGAACCTTGACACGAGTGCAGCCCTTGCACTCTTTGTGGACCTTGCTTGCAAACAGGACAGGTTGATGGGTTTTCCAGGGTAGCGTCTCTCGAACCCAATCGTGTTTCAAACACCATTGGTGAAGGCTCTTTCTCAGACGATATCGGGGATTCTCAGCCTGCAACCGCACGCGTGACTTCTCAACACTGCGCTGTCTTGCCCTACGAAATTCGATGTCTGATTCGTATCTTGACCTCTTACTAGCATTGCGCGCTTCAACGTATTCAGGGTCTTGGGATTTTCGTGTATTCCAGATATGTCCGGATTCAGGTTGTTTTTTACGATGCTGAGGATCGCTGGCATATCGAAGACGTCTCTGCTTTTTGTCTTCGTCTTGCTTGGCTTGGTATTCTGGGTCATGAGCTATTCGGAAACGTCTGCGCTCGTTCCGCTCGTCTAGCTTCTTTCTGCGCTCTGGATCCATAGGTAGCGCGTGGTTTACGTGAGTCGAGGAGAAAATGCGCCATGTCTGCGGTTTCAGCATCGAAGGCCTGGAGATGCCGAACGTGCTTGACAAGAGCGAGAACATGAGGAATTCAGGTCTGAGGCTCAGAAATATTGTTTGGTGGAAAGTGTATAGGAAAGTGGAAGATGGTTGGAATCAATGAACGAATCAAAACACGTGCCAAAGTCAGCAGAAAGGCGTCATGATTAATTTTATTTCTTCTCCATTTTTCTCTTTCCACAATCCCGCCCCGCCACAAGTTCCAATCCACATCCAACTCATCTGCCGAATTTCACAACTTCCTCTACAAACCAACTCAAAGCCAAACTTGGACAAAACAAATCACAATGGACAAAGACAACGCCAACCCTGCCATCCTCAACCCGAGCGACCTTCCCTCTCGCCGCGGCGCCTCCCAACAATCAACCGCCCGCGCCGGCCTCTTCGACGGCCTCATCCCCTCCTACCCCCACTACGACAACCTCACAACCTCGACCTCCTCCTTCCCAGCACCAATCCCATCAAACTCCTCAGACGACTCAATCTCCGACGACGATGACCTCCGCGAGGAAATCGACGAGCAGGAAATCTTCGACCTGATAAGCACAATCTCGGACCCGGAACATCCTTTATCATTGGGCTCGTTGGCTGTGGTGTCGTTGCCTGATATCTTCATCTTGCCGCCTGCGTCGCCTACGTCCAAGATTTCCACTGTGAAGGTTCTGGTTACGCCTACGATTACTCATTGCTCGTTGGCTACTGTTATCGGTCTGGGTGTACGTGTGAGATTGGAGCAGTCGCTTCCTCCTAGATTCAGAGTGGATGTGAGAATCAAGGAGGGCACTCATGCCAGTGACGAGGCCACCAACAAGCAGTTGGGCGACAAGGAGCGTGTTGCTGCTGCCATGGAGAATGGCACTCTGGTCGGCGTCATAAAGAAGATGTTGAGCACATGCGAATAGATGGAGAACATCAGAAGAGGAAGAGAGGTTTATGATTATGATGAACGCATATTGATTTTCTCGTTGCGAATGCTGCTCTCTCATCATGGGTACACTATGCTTTCAATACGCCCTGGAAAACTCCACGCGACACAAAAGACTCCACCATTGCCATGCCAGGAACAAAACGCCAAGTGCTCTATCAGAATATCGCTGTCGGAAAGGAGCAGGAGTAAAAACATGATGATGATCAAAGGGGGAAAACAAGGAAACCGGGTATCTCTTTCGTATCAAGTCGGAATCAACCAGTGTAAGCTGCAAGCCGTGAGCTTACTGGGTGTGGTTGTTGTTGTGCTGAGCGTTATTGAGAGGCAACGAAGCGCTGCTTCCCTCACCAGCGGCATCGTTTCTTGCCACAGGTTGAGCGTTTTGGTTGGCAGCGACCTTGCTTGCACCCTCGGGAGGCTGGTAGACTGGTGGTGCCTCCCAGTTGCCGTAAGCAGGCGGTGGGGCTTGGAATTCAGGCGCACCGTGGTACGCGCCGCCGTTCATGTTCTGCATCGGGTGTCCTTGCTGTGGCGGGTATGCAGGGTCTTGCTGGTAATAGGCGTAGTTGTTCTGAGGGAACGGCGTAGCTCTGTACCGGCGACGAGAGACGAGCCAGCGGTGGTAGGCGAGAGGCTGCAGACCCTTGCGGATTCTGCGCTGGGCGTGGAAGTAGGCGCCGAAGAGTAGTAGGGCGATACCAACGAAGACTAGAGCGATGACTGCGTAACGAACTCCGTATCCAGACTATGATGAATACTGTCAGCCTGAATCTTGTGCTCTTGAAGAATCGTGAATACTTACACTGCTCCACCACCAATCACCGCCATCCCAACAGTCCGTGCCGTCATACTGATTGCAGTCACGCTTGGACAACAGTATAGAAGGTGCCATAGGAACGATGCGATCAAGTCGAATGGGGCGATTGTAAATCCGAGGAGACAAGAAAGCGAGCGAGTGTGGCGATAAAGTAGAACAAATGCTCGATGGGATGCCTTTGCCCCAGGAAGATGTTTCGTTTGACAGCAAGTGACAGGTTCTGGACTGCGGAAGTTGTAGAATGCGGTAAGCAGGAGCCTTGCGCAGGGGTCGATCGCCGGGGCGAGCCGAGTACAATGTTGCCTTGGAAGGAAAGTGTGAAAGGGGTATTCGTTGGAAGGATACGAGGCAAGGAAGGGCGAAGGAAAATTGGAAAGAACTATTGTCTGAGACAGCAAGAATACGGAAGTAGCAAACAGAAGACTCGCGGCCTTGGTGTTTGGCTTTTGGGTATTTACGTATGCACGCGGCGCCACGCTCTTGACACTTTCTGGCTTCCCGCTTTCCATTGTTTTCCCCAGGTGGCTGAGCTTCCATGCGGCTGGCATGCGGGCTGGCTGTTGACCATCAATTTATATTGCTTTGCCAACCACCTTTCTACAATCTATACAACATCGCACTAACAGTATCGCGTGGACAGTTGCCTTTGGATCAAGTGAAGTCTCCGACTGTTTGATTCAAGTAAGTGTTCCTATCTTGGCAGGAAATTCAAAAATATGGAGTGGGCAAGGAACAAATGCCACGGCGCTTATAGCTAGCTGTAAAAATACTTATAGGCGCGCGCCTGAGGTCGAAAAGGATTGCGCTTGGAATAGCGTCTCAAATTCAAAGCTCATCTGTTTGGACATCGTCGAAATGCACACTCGAACTCGAGATATGGTTACCTCCATTGAGAGTCTGCTCATTTACTCGAGTGTGTTGCAACCGCTCTAGAAACCTCTACGCTTAGGCACGATAGGTTTTCTGACCGCACCTACAGCCGTAACCTTCTTCATGACTGGTTTCCGGACCTTCTTCTCGTCTTCCTCCTTGGCTCTGTCGGCTGCCTTTTGCCTATCCTTAGCCATTTGTTGTTCAATTTCCATCTTTTTGTTAAACTCGAGCTCTGTGGTACGTTTCAGCTTAGTCGAATAGCCCTTCTGCTTTACTGAGTAGAATACAGCTCCAAGGTCAGCTAGCCAGGTCGCGTCAACAGTCGTGACACATGACATGTACTCCTTAGACGTCAGAATAAGCTCGTGGTAAATAACATAATCCGGTGGATCGCCAGAGTTGTATAGAGCTGATGTCGGGTGCAGCTGCATCGAGACCGAGGTACGCAGGTTTAGGTATTCGCCCAGTCCCTTGCGCTTGGCTGCCTGATGATAGTAACCCGAGCAGATGCAGAGTCTGACAATATCCATGTCGTAACCGCAGCTGACCAGCTGCATTTTGTTGCTAGTCATGATGTCGCGAATTTGATTGCGGATCTCCTCGGCTCTGCGCAGTGCTTTGGGGTGCAGGAAGTGAGTCACGCACCAGCCATCGCGCCTTCCGTTGCCGGCCCATTGTTGATATACATTCAACAACGTCAAATGGTCTGAGGTCGAATCGAAGAACTTCTCACGCGCGGCATCGGCTTCTTCCATTCGTTCCTTGGGTCGGTAGAAGACAGATGGCACTGACAGCATCGATACAATTGTCAGGATCTCTTCGCTGCAGCCGTATTCGCATGATGTGATGACTAGCTTGGCCATCGAGGGATCCATTGGGAACGATGTCATCTGTCGACCGAGCTCTGTGAGGTCTCCCAAGTTGTCCAGAGCTCCCAGAGCCCACAGATCGAAGAGGGAAGTGGAGATTGTTTCTTGCGGAGGAGGGTCCATGAAATCGAAGTCCAACAGATCCCTGACACCGAGCGATTTCAGTAAGAGGACCGTGTTCGCCAAGTTCGTACGCTGGATCTCAGGAATGGTTTGAATATAGAACTCATCGCGGAATGCTCGCTCGGTGTAGAGGTGGAAAGCTTTTCCTGGGCCTGTACGTCCAGCACGGCCCGCTCTTTGCGATGCGTTGGCTTGCGAAATAGGGGTGATCTGCAGAGTGTCCATGCCCATACGAGGATTGTACACCTTGAGCTTGCTGAAACCAGAGTCAACGACATACATGATACCATCGACAGTCAGCGAAGTTTCTGCGATATTGGTGGCGACAATGACCTTGCGCACACCTGGAGCAGCACGGTCGAAGATCTTCGCTTGCAGGTCAGCAGGCATTTGACTGTAGATCGGAAGGATAGACAGCTTTGGCGGGTCGTTGAGTTGTTTTAGACGTTCGTCAATCAGCTCACAGGTACACTCAATGTCTTCTTGACCCGTCATGAAAACAAGAATATCTCCTGGCCCCTGAGAGACATGAATGGCGAGGACTTGCCTCACAGCACTATCCACGTAATCCTCACAAGGACTTCGTGAGTATTGTATGTCGACAGGGAACGTACGTCCAGGAATGAAGAACTCAGGGGCGCCGCCGTAGAATCGCGAGAAGCGGTCGGCATTCATGGTGGCGGATGTGACGATCAGTTTGAGATCTCTTCGGCGGGCAAGTACCTTCTTGATCAAGCCCATCAAAACGTCTGTATTCAAAGCTCTCTCATGAGCCTCGTCCATGATAATGCACGAGTATTTGTCGAGATCGGCTTCCACGAGCGACTCGCGCAACAAAACACCATCGGTCATGTACTTGATGGAAGTTTCCTTGCTTGTACAGTCTTCGAAACGGATCGCGTATCCAACCAGACCACCCAGTTTGACTTCCATCTCCTCAGCAACACGTTTAGCTACGCTCATAGCGGCAACACGACGTGGCTGAGTACAACCGATCAGACCATGCTTTGCATAGCCATCCTCGTACAGGAACTGTGTTAGTTGAGTGGTCTTGCCTGAACCGGTCTGACCAACGACAATGATGACCTGATTGTCGCGAATAACGCGAAGCAACTCCTCACGGACGGCAAAAGCAGGCAGATACTCTCGCTGCTCTTTGAGTGTCTTGCTTCGGCTGAAAGCACTCTGACCTTCGCTTTGCTTCTTCATGTGTTCGGCGAATTTACTGCCACCCTTCTCTACCTGGCCGCCTGCAGGTTCAGGTGCAGCACTGTCGGTATCTTCCTCTTTGACACCCATTAGATTACCCAAAGCGGTTCCGGCGACCTTGGTAGCCTCTTGAGCAGCCTTTTGACGTTCCTTTTGTTGTCGTCGTTCGCTTACCACCTTGCTTCCTTTGCGACTGAATACAGCCATGTCGCTTTGGGGGTCTCTGACTGCTGATACTGGCTCGAGTTGTTTCGTAAAAACAGTCTTACCGTCTAGAAATGGCGGTTTCAAATCGTGTACCAGTAAATGGACTCTCGTGCCATCCTCGTCATCTTCAAAGCCTGTGTCTAGCTCCCTTCTTTGCGCCACACCGGACGTAAGCATGCGATTTGTCTCCCATGCGTCGTTTTCTCGTTGTCTCTGCATAGCACGAGGGTTGCCGCGTGCCCTTACGGCCATCTTCTTCTCTAACAAAGCAGCTTCGCGCTGCTGGTCCTCCCATGCTGCGTCTTCTCCGAACGGGTTGTGGGCCTCGTCGCCAAGTGTAGCACCGCCTTCGTCACCCAGGTACCAGTCGCGATCCAGGGCAGTTTGGTCTTGGGCGTCGACTCCAGGCTCCGGGCCATCGAATTCTTGTTGGCGTGGCTTCGAGTTTTGAGCTCCATCGCGTGGACCATTTCGCGGTCGTTGTGCTGATGGCCTTATAGAGAATTGACCGTCATCATCGCCGTCGCCGTCGTTGTCTAGCTTACGGCGCTTGTATGAAGACATGAATGTTATCGAGTTGTGAATGTTGAATGGATAAATCTTGGAGCTTTGGTGACGCTGTATTCGCGATGGAGGGAGTTGCCCGCGAACGTTTGACTCACTATATAGTGAACGCCAAGTGCTCACCTGCGAGATTGGGACCGAATATGGCTGCTGCAATGCAGGATGATATGTTGGAGTACAGGACTGTCCAATGGGAGATCAAATTTCTTCAGCTCTCTCTGAACGGTTCTTCAGTTCCAAAGCATTGTGCAATTGGATAGCTATATCCTAGGAGATGCAGCGCTGGAGATACTTCCTACAACGCTGCGACGTTCAGTATCGAGATGCGGCGACGCGCTCGGGTGACTTGGCACTTCCGGCCCTGGATTCCCCGCAATCTGTCGCAAAGTTTCGAGAGCATGGATTTTTTCCCAGCATCATTCAGACATATCACAATCAAAATGTCCATGATCACAGCAACGACGTGGGTGCCGCGAGGCTTCGCAGCACCCTTCCCGACGAAATACCAGTTCGACGAGGAGGAATTCGAACGCATTTCCAAGCTGGCCAAGCTGGAACTCGACGACGCAAAGGATGATCTCGCCGATGCGCAAGCCGAGCTGGCTGGCGAGAAGGTGGCCAAGAAGGACGACAGCGACGACGAGGACGACGACGAAGTATCCGCAACCGCCGCCGCGACACAAGACATCGATCTCCAGGACGACGACCTGAAAGAGTACGACCTTGAGAACTACGACAACGACGAGGCTCCCGAGGGTGAAGAGGGACAAGGCGACTCGACCTTGAGCATGTTCGGAAATGTACGCAACCTGGCATACCACGGCTCCAACGCCGAGGACCCTTACATCACACTCAAGGAGGGCGAAGAGTCAGACGACGAGGAGCGCGAGGAGATGCAGATCTTGCCCACCGACAACATGCTGCTGGCCGCACGTATCGAGGATGAGGTCGCCCATCTGGAGTGCTACGTCTATGAGGATGACGCCGACAACTTGTACGTCCACCACGACATTATGCTGCCCGCCATTCCGCTGGCAGTCGAGTGGGTCAACATGCCCATTTCCAAGCCTGGCGAGCCCGTACCCGAGGGTCAGAAGGCCAACTTCGTCGCCGTCGGCACCATGGACCCGGACATTGAGATTTGGGATCTGGACACCGTCGATTGCATGTACCCCAACGCCGTCCTTGGTCAGGGAACCGCAGAAGCTTCCGCAGCACCGCCCATGCCCGGCCAGAAGAAAAAGAAGAAGAAGAAGAGCAAGCAAATCAACAACGCCTACCACGTCGACTCGGTCCTCGCCCTGTCAGCCAACCGCTTCCATCGCAACCTGCTGGCCTCCGCCTCGGCCGATACCACCGTCAAGCTCTGGGATCTGAGCACCCAACAGTGCGCAAAATCATACAACGACTTCCACACCGACAAAGTCTGCGCCCTGCACTTCAACCCCCACGAAGCCCACTCGACCATCCTGCTGACCGGTTCCTACGACCGCACCGTCTGCGTCGCCGACCTGCGCGCCGCCGAGGGCACCAAGCCCAAGCGCTGGGGTGTCGACTCGGACGTCGAGCAAGTCCGCTGGGACCCCCACAACGAGCACGTCTTCTACGTCTCTACAGAAAGCGGTATCCTGTACGCCTTTGACGCACGCAACGCACCTTCCACCCTCGAAAAGACACAAGCCATCTGGCGCCTCCAAGCACACGAGTCATCACTCTCCTCATTCGCACTCAACCCCACCGTCCCTGGTTTCATCGCCACCGCCTCGACAGACCGCACAGTCAAGCTGTGGAACGTGGATCAAGCTACCAATCAACCTTCCATGGTCGTCTCGCGTGACATTGGCGTCGGCCGCGTCTTCTCTACAAACTTCGCTCCCGACGAGGCAGTCGCCTTCCGTCTTGCCGTCGCTGGATCAAAGGGTGCTGTTCAGGTCTGGGACACCAGTACCAACAGAGCCGTCCGTGAGGCTTTCGCTGGCCGTGTCAAGGGCATTGACGCAACCGAAGTCAAGGAGAGACTGGTCGCTGTTGCCAATGACGAGGAGGATGACAGCGAGAGTGGTGAGGACGAAGAGGAGAACGAGGACGACGCTGGTGCTGACGAGCGTGGTTGGGAGAGCATGTCTGAGTAATGTGTTTCTTAGCGTATCTATAAAATGTCATGAACGATTCTTTCTACTCTTAACACAACTTGTCAATTCAGATCAGCTGCCACTAAATGTCCCTGACCGGCGACACAGTACTCATTCTGTAAGGAAGACAGGCTAGCAGACGAGCTTGAACGGTCCTAGGCGCTCTTCACAGCAACCCTGGAGAGCGTCCATACAAGTGTATCTACCAGCCATCTGGATATACCTTGTCTGGCTGAAATCGCCTGTGTCTAACATTACTGTCAAGAGTCCCGCTCTGGCATCTTATGTTGCGCGACAGTCGTTACTATCAATCGCTCACTTAGGCTGTTCGAGGTCTGTAATAGGTATATTCAAACAAATTCTGGCTTCCTGTCGTATCGTACAATTTATTAAGGCCATCCAGGGCCGATCGGTCGTAACCGAACTTTCCATTCCATCCCATCCGTCCATCCATGATCAAACCTGTGATGTACAATCTATCGCTTCGTGAAACAAGTAATGAAAAGTAAACAAAAGAAAATCAATGACACACGGAGCTTTACTCCTGATGTCTTCTTCTCAAGCTCAGTCTCTTCTTAAGACCCTCGCCTGCCTTACGCAAGCTGCTTGTGCGGTTCATCTGGGTGTGTGCGTCTGAGTCGGCTGCCATGACAAGGTCTGCGTAGCGAGAGTCGTCACCGGCAATCTCGACAGGATCACGGTTGTCGAGCTTCTTTCTGTCCTTCTGCTTGTCGTAATCGCTCATAAGAGGACGATCCGACAGCTCGATTCCACGCTGGCCATCAAAGTCGCGTTCGTGAATAGTGTGAGCCTTGAGAGCGCGATCAAGGGAGAATGCAGGCTCGCCCTTGCCCTTGAGGTCATCTGGGTGATATTCCTGGAAGAATGGTCAGTATGCTGGTGCAAAAGATTCCACTTGGCAAGACTCACCTCTCCAGGCCACTGCTTATAAGCGCCGCCCTCAGGGTTGGCCTCACGCATCATGTCGGTTCCCTCTTCGTAGTGGTAGACACGGCCAAGCTGGTCACGCTGACCGGGAGGAACGGTAGCGACACCGTCCAGAGGTCTGTGTTTGTCGAGAGCATCCTTAATGTTCTCGGCAGGTGTGGCCTTGAGAGCTTCTCTGTTAGAGTCCTCCAGGGCGGCAATGGGGCTGGACTTGTAGCTGGTGTTACGGGCTAGCAGAGCAGCATCATAGGGACCCTCGTGGTGGTAGGGAAGCTTGTTGGGAGTAGGATCAAGGCGATCGATAGTATCAGCACCAGGTATGTGACGCTTGTTGAGATGGGGAGAACGGTAGGCCTTCTTGCTATCCTTTCTGAGCATGTTCAAGGGCTGGTTCGAAGTGTCTCCAGGGTAGCGCTGGTTAAGCGAGCTGCCTCTACGGCGGCCGGCGGATGACTCGCCCATGAGATGGTCACCACTGACATTGCGGCGATGTTCACCACTGATGTTGCGGCGGTGCGAGGGACCTTCCTGGAAATCCGGAAACTTGGAGGTGCTGCCGGTCGAGCTTCTGCTAGAGTGACGGACATGTGTCGTAGCGCCGCTCTTGGAGTCGCGGAACGGATTCTTTGAAGATGAGGGCGAGGAAACAGTAGGCGAAGCGGCCTTCGGGGCATCGGGAGGGTAGAAATGCGTGCCCGGTCCAGTCTCTTGCGATGGCTCCGGAGCATTGAGAGGGTCAATGAGGTAGGCTTGAGCCTGGGGATAGATTGTGAGTGGGTCTGCCTGGACACGAGGAGTGTAGCCGGATCTTACCTCTTTGGCGTTGACAGCTGCCATGATATAGTTTAGTTTCTGATGTTAGTCTGATGAAGCGTCGCACTGCAGATGCAAGAAGCAAGATGGAAGGGAACGAAAAGGTCAGCAGGACGGCGCAGGTACAATACTTAAAAATGGATCGTCCTTGGGCCGCACCTTCCTACGGTCCTCATCATCAACATCACTCACTCACTTTTTGGCTTTGCTTGTGTTCGCGGTCCCACTATCCGAATGACGTATGTGGCCGCGCAATGTCAGTTTTTTCCCCGGACCTCTTCTCCAGGGACTCGTTACAGAACGACGGCGACGTGGGAATTTGTCTACTGATCAATCTCTCCAAGCACTGCTGGCCGACTTTCGTGTTGCAGAAAGCGATGAAGTTGAGTTGAATACCAGAGATATCCATTGAGAGTTCGGTTATTTTCTTGCTCTCATCCACCTTGTATGGGCCATACCAACTCTGTGTCTTCCGACAGTGATACTGCTTGGCATTGAATGTCGAATAAGAGAATAGCCTCTGCTCTTTATCAACCTATCCTCCACATCCGCCGACATCCATCGTCCTCGGGTTTCTATTGATCCGTCGATAGTGCTCATGGCACTAGTTTCCTATTCAGATTCCGAAGAGGACGAAGAACCTATAGCCAAGCGATCCAAGAAAGACGCAGTCAACCATGAGGACGACGACCTACCACCACTCCCAGCGTCGTTCTTGAATTTGTATTCGTCCAGTGTCCGCGTAAGCAATACCGACGATCCATCGCTACACCATGGTCGCAAGCGTATCGTCAAGCATGTTGAGGGAAACTGGCCCACCCATGTCTATCTTGAATGTAGGTTCTGACGAGCCTCGTTCCTTGGAGTCTTCGTTTTCGCAACTCAATGAAACTTACACAGCCTCGCAGGGCTCCCCTCGCCAAATGAACACGAAACTCTGACCAGACTACTCAAGGCATTGCCAAATTCGACGGTGCATTCATTGATAGAAACGCCTCTTCAAGTGCCTTTACCTTTGCATGTATCTCTCAGCGCTCCATTAGTCCTTCGCACTGAGAGCAAGGACACCTTCTTGGACGATATCACCGAACAATTGAAATCGGTGGTTGGTTCACTGCGCCAGCCAATCAAGGTACGACCAGCATCGATATCATGGCACGGTAATGAAGACAGCAGTCGCTATTTTCTGGTACGTAGTAGTATCTCAATTCCAACTATTGCAAGGCAGAAAACTTTCCACGAATGGCGTGCGAGCACCGAGGACCTCCTCGCTTGAAGACTCTTAAAGGTAGCCTGCCACATTTCAAAACCTGTTTCTGCCTTGCAGCAGCTTGAAGATACCCTCGCATCGCGGTCCTGAGAGCTACACTGACCAATCCCTTCAGGTCCTCCGCGTCCAAGATCCCCAACAACCACAATCACCCAGCTCCCTAACCCTGCTGAACCAACTCCTCCTCACCAGCAACCGCATAGCAGCAAAACACAACCAACCCCAACTCTACACCAAACTCGCCCAGAGGAACTCCTCGAACCCGACAAAAGCAACTGCCACCGCCGAAAACAACAACGACTTTTCACCCTACTTTCACATAAGTATAGGCTGGACATTACCATCTACCAATCGAAACCTGGAAGATGATAACTTGGCCATGCAACCGATTGTCAAAGAGATCTTGGATGATCTTTGCGAAAACATGATTGTCTCTTTCGATGCGGTCAAAGTACGCATAGGGCAAACGGTCACGGCATTGCCGATCGGAGGATCGCAGACGAGTAAGAAACGTGGGTTGTTTGATTGAAAGATATGCGGTAGTAGAAATCTTTGTGGTTTCTCCCACTGTATGGATTTGAAGCGGGAAGTTTAGTTGAATGGTATAGAGTGATTGCATCAGTTCGATTGTTTCCATGGCTAGGTAGGTCTGTCTAAACATGAAGGGAATAGGGGCGACAACACAGCTCAGTGGCGAGGCTGCAAGATCGGTTGTCTCGATACACGATGTTTTCTATGATCAAGGCCATGTCCAAAGAGAGCTCATGAAGTGGTCTAGCTGTGGAAATCTCAACTACCGCCACATTGCGAGTAAGGGATGCTTAAGTCTAGGGCTTCATGCGCGTTGCATGATAAGAGATAGACCTGTAGCATATCTCGTTCCTCACATTATAATTCAGGACATTGCAATTTTGACATTTTTCTTTTTCATTTCTGTCTCTCTTTAGCTAAGTACAATACTCAAGGGTAAGAACGACAGAGACTTCTGAGTGGCGAGTTGCTGCTGTGCCCATTTGTACAAGTAAGGAAAAGAAAACATGAGCTCCTTTACGGGGCGCAGACGCATTTGAAAATTCATAATAAAGCAGAACCCGACGAATGCAACTCCTGGTCCCAGCAAAATCATTAGGAAAGCAAAAACAGAAAACGCCTTGCAGTGTGCAATCAGAGGAGAGGGGTTGCTTAGAACACCAAGCTGCGTAGTCATTTGACGTCAAAGCAAGGCAAAGCCCTGTGAGCTGTACAGAGCCATAAAAGCATGTGTTCGATTGGTGACAATTGTTGCGTCGTCTTTTTTCAGATTCGCCTCTGTTTCTGGTACTCGAGTGTGGAGAATGGGTGGATTTTTAAGGAAAGCTGTCATTTGTGTTTTCTGATTTGTGTTTCAAGCTCCGGCTGTGCCCTGCGATTGTAGAGTATGTGACTTTGAGAGTGGTAATTGGTTGTGTGTCGCTCTGACGAAGCCGTGGCTTGTGGTTGCGATTTGATCGAGGATTCGAGGGAAACAGGGTCTATAAGCAGTCGAGCATCATGGAGGTCATCACCGTCGTCTTCATCGTGGGCAGTGACTCCTAGTGCACTGGGGGCTGGTAGTTGATGGGGCGCCTGTGATCTGTCAGCTTCGTCTTTCTGATGGGGTAAATACTGCGAGACTCACTTGAAGAGCAGAATGTGCGGCTCGGGCTCGTGGACTTCGTAGTGCTCCCAGCCCAAACTCTGTGGTCGCGGTCAGCTCCTTGTTCTTTCATCGAGGCGCAAAGATGGACACATACCTGGGTGATTCCCAATGCTCTCCATTCGTCCTCCCACAGCAGCTTCAGCGTGCCTCGCGAACCGTCAAAGTACTCCTTTGGTATCGCCTTCAGCATCTGCTTGGGCAGCTGCACGTGTCTGTACTCGAAGTGGTCGTCCGAATATCTGGGGTAAATCAGCATCGACCGAGGGCAGGTGGATAGATAAGAGATCTTCTCACCTCGACGAGTAGTGGATGCTCTCGATAAACTCGTCCAGGCGCTCGCGCTCAGAGTCGCTCAAGGGGCGCGGCTTCTTGTTGCGGCGTGTGGCGTCGATGTCCATGTTGACCATTGTTTAGGTTTGATGAGAGCTGGAGCTGGAAGCCGGAGGGGCAGTGCTGTTAAGAGCTGGATAGATGCGATTATCTATGTCGCGTGAGAGACAAGCGGTGTCTGTGGTGGAGCCCCTGATTCGCTGTGTTTCGCAGAAACAAGACTGGAGTCGAAGTGGCACGCGGAGGTGGGAGAAGCTGTGTACGAAGTGCGCTGTCGAATGCGCTTGTGTTGTTGTCAAACCGCGGCGGTCGAGCGGGGCAAGCAAAACTGGCGCAACAAGGGCTTGGAGGGGCAACAAGGTGACAAAAGTGATGCGATTGACTCGAGTTCAATAGCTCTTTTGATGGATGATTCTGGCGTAATGACACAATGCGACAGCACAATAGACGGGGTTGGTAGGAGGGGAGGCGGTGGGAAGAAAAGTATTGTTGTTGTTGATTGTTGATGTCCACACTTCGCCTTTTGCAAGAGTGGACCTAATTGTCCGCAAAGCCCTTAGTCGCGCCGCCGAGATGCTCGGCTCCTTCCGTCGGATCGCCCTCTTAAACCTTCCTCCACCAAAACCGTGCCGATTCATCTATCGAAACAGGAAGCTTCGAATCTGCGAATTGCTCTGCTGCCTTTACCGGCTGCCTTGAGTTAGCTCTATCTTATCGTCGACCGTCGATTGCTATCATCACAACCTCTGCTCGTCGTTTTGTGTCGTTACGGCTTTCTATGAGGCTCTTTATGCACCCCATCTCATCTCTTTTGGCACTGCTGCAGCATACTAGCTGCCTTGTTTTTGTCCTGGGGTTTCAAACTAGTCATCTATCTGGCTGCTATATCTCGATGCTTGATTGACCGGCTCTTTGTCTCCCATCCGGCTATGCCTGCTTTATGCCGTTGACCGCCACGATGTGCTCCTGACCGCTCAATCTTTTCTATATCGCTTGGCTTCTGTCAAGGCCATTCCAGTCGCTGTCAAAACGTGCATGTAGCATGCATGGCTTTTACGACGACTTGTGTCATGTTTGTAGCGGCTCGCGCCGACGAGTCTCCGTGCGTGCTAATTAGAGCGGACTGATAGCCTGGGGCAGAAATGACTTGCTCGCCGAATCAGGCCACATGTCAAGAATAGTGCAATTGAACATAGATCGTGGTCACTTCTGTCATGAGAGACCGGCAGTAACGCACGTTTTGGATTTTTTTCGTAGATTTGGAGAAGTCTTATGATATTCGCCCACAACGAGTACCAAAGACATAAAATGAGTGAACGAGCGTAGAAGTGCATTGCTAAATCTAGCTTCGATATAAAGACACCGCACCACCATTCCCTTCGTGCTGTGTGGCCTAGATTGAGGTCATAAAATAAGAAAATAAAGAGTGAACGGGATAGAAGGTCAATAATGCCCTTCTCCCAAGAAGACTGCCCGAGTATTTCGTATCATCATAGCCCTTTTTTGAGAATTCCATATCCCAAACGCCAAATAATACATCAGGGCCCCAGTCTTCCGTGGTAACGTAAACAAAAGAGAGTAAGAAGTCAAAAGAGTCAGACGTGAAATTGACAAGAAGTGAAGAGTCGTATCAGAGTTCCCCTGGAAAAAAGGGTGGACAGGAAAATGCCATGGCCTCGCAAGTTACCAGCCTTGCGACCGTTGCTTGACATTGAGGGTGGCATTTAGATCCATCCGGCCTCCTCGTACGGCGTCGGCTCTTCTTCGAAAATGATGTTGAGCATGTCTGCGATTTCCAACATGTAGTCATTGGCAGAGAAGTGGTCCAGACCGTGAGCGTCCATGAAGACACGGTCGGCATCTGCCTCAACGTCACGGACTGTGCTGCCAAATTCCTCGGCGACCTCACTGAGCTGCTCGAGCTCCTTGCTGAAGGGGTGAGGTGAAGTCGGTCCAGAAGCGCGGAAGAAGTCGGTCGAGTCTCTGGTGGTGACAAAGGCGTCCTCAGGGAAAGAAGGAGGGTTCACGCGCGAGATCGATCGCTTGTGGCTCAATTGATGAGCGCGCTTGCTGTGCGAAGGAGCGCGTTGAGGAAGGACAGGCGCGGCATCGCTGGTCGATGGGCGGTGGAATGAGTTGACAGAAGTCTGGCGACTGTGTTGCAGAGGCTCGTCGTCGTAGACCGAAGGCTTGAAGTAGCAGCTCAAGTGGTTAGGCTCCGGGGACAGTGGGGATGAGTCTTCAAAAGAAGAGGCGTCGGTGAAAGTTCCTCCAGAACGGTGGCCAATGCTGCTAGAATCGCTGTATTCGAGGGAACTCAGACTGTTGGAGCTGGACGAGGTTGCAAGAACACCTCCCTTGTGGGCGATGGGGTTGGTTCCAAAGATATCAGGAGCCTCGTACGCAAGAGTGTTTGTTGTCGAGATCAACTCGATGGGACCAGAGATCTTGGGACGCTGGATGCGCTGACTGGCAGCGCGATCCAGGTCTGACTTGTTGCGGGCAGCCCGTCTGGTGGTGAAGGCACGGACAAGCGACATGTTTGCTGGAATGAGTGATGGGGACTGTCAAAGAACCACAGGTAATTTTTCAAGAAGACAGAAGCTCCGGATGTGAGAGTGAAAGTGTCACTTAGTAGCAGGTCTCACACGTGTAACCGAAATGATCACAAGGATTTGTTGGCTTGAGGGTGTGCTGTCGAGCGTGTGATCAAGGATGTCTTGATAAGTTTCTGTCTTGCAGAAGATGATACAGCCTGCTGATGGTGTTTCGAAAAGTGACCGAGACTGCTTTTTGAAAGAATGAAGGCTAACCGGGACACAGTCCTTGCGGTTAATGGTTGAGGGAATGAATGTTCTGACTGTGATCGCCCAAAGGAGAGGAAGCGATGGTCAGGCAAGCGAAGCACGACGTCCTGAGACGAGTAGGCGCTTGGAAAGTGACAAGGAATGACTTGGGAAACAGATGGTGTCTTGGAAAAAAGAGCAAGAGAAGTTCTCTTGGGGTGGCACCTCCTTCGTTTTGAAGTACCTACTTCCTGGCGGGCGCCAACGAATCGGGAAGGCTGCAAGTGTGAAAATCGTGTGCAGGGCAGAGTTCCAGACGCACGACAAAGGTTCACCTCTAAACCCCAGGCACAAGCACATGATTGGCTCAAGCCCCCTATCTTCTCCGCGTCGACGTTGTCTTTGACGGGACACTTAGGCGAGTCTAACCCTAACAAGCCATGGTTTCACGCAGCGTGAGCTTAGCGATCGTGCCATGAGTGGACCATGAAGTTAACGGCCGCCGGATGCTTTCAAAACTCCACCACAACCGCCCAACTATCAGGGGTGGACCGTTCAGGACCTCGATGGTTTGTGTGTACCGTCCAACTGTCGACTACTACGTACTGGCGCTTGTTTTGTTCGCGCAACACCGCGAATGCCGCGTCTTCTGACACAGAAATGCCGTGCTACACAACAACATGTGTACATGATCTTGATCACGCTACGCGACACGCCCTTCATATTGGCTGCTTGAAGATGAAACGCAGCCATCCGGTCATACTCACCATCCCAAAACGGCGGTCCAATCTACATTTCCACGTGCTGGAACATGAAACACCATCTGCCATGGTTGCTAAATAGATAAATTGATGCAGAATTTGAGTCGAGCACTGTCATCTGGCATGACAATGGTGGCTTTGATCGAGTCTGAAGCGCGATGGACCGAATTTTCAGGAGCTCATAAAACTATATATACCGTAATGGTCTGCAACGACGTTGCGGGTAGTTCTTGATGCTGAACACGTTCGGCTATTCAAGCGGTGTAAAGCGTTGTCAGGGGCTGTCTACGCGTGAGAAGGTCTATGAGAAGAACGATGAATGGAGGACCGAGCCGAAGCGAGCCACACCACATACATACCTATCGTGTGATCCATTGCCTGCTTGACTTGCTCCCTTCTACAATTGCGTTCTAGTGATTAGGGTAGCGCACCGTTTGGCCGCACAGTGATATCGATAGGCAGCTCTTCGATACATTTCTATCTTGATAGTGATAGCAACCGCTCGGCACATCTGTACATCCGGAGCCTTCCCAAACAATTCCATAAACCGTATAAACGCCAACGCTATGTTGAAAAATAACTTGCATATGCTGAAACACCAACGACGTAACCCTTTTCATATTGGTGATGCTTTCTATAGCTGATCCACAGTCGGCAAGCGGAACTCCCAAGAGCGTGGTGTTATTTCCAGACCAAGCCAACGTTGCCATAGTCTACAGAGCTCCGTGATAAGGACGATGAAACTAACAGAAGAGTTAGTGATGATCTGAGCCAAAACGTGGGTCGACTTACATTGTCTGAGGAATCTCAATCCAGCTCTTGAGGATGAACTTTGTGACCGACCATACCACATAGATCTCATGCTTGGTCTCTTGCCATGTGGTAAGTTTGGGTTTGGGAGTAGGCTTCTCCCAAGCATCATCGTCAAGTTCTTCTTCCTCCTGTGTAACATCCTGCTGCTTCTCGTCGGCAACTATTCCCGGGACAGGAACTCCTTTCTCTTCAGCCAGCATGCGTTGGAAGTCGCCAAGGGCCTTGATGGCGTTGCTGACCTTGTCCAAGGTGTTGAAAAAGGCGACAAGCTCGATTCTTTTCAGAGCGGGTGCAGGCTGCTCGTTGTTGAATTCGAACAGGATCTTCAACGCTGTACCATACCCAGCAGTCTGAAGCTTGCCCCAAAGTCTGCACTTGTCGCAGCCAACGCAGTCCATAATGCGACTAACATTGCGGAAGCGATTGCGGAAGTCCTCCTTGAGGCTAATACCAGTCTCTCCGAGAGGGTTCTCACGGAACATGACGCTTTCGTCGAAGATCTCAGGGCCAGCGGGTATGGTCTTAGCAACATTCAGCGCCATGTTCTTGGTACGCTTGTCCTGCTTGGGATCTCCGGTACAGAAAGTATAGTCCTGCACATAATCCTTGAGCTTTCCAGCAGCCCTGGCCATAAGAGCGTAGTTGAAGTACAGGTTCGAGATGCGCTCGGGATGGGTATGAAGGCGTTGCTTGTAACACTCCAAGTTGGGGCCCCATTTGCCAGTAGATTGGTTGAGGTAGTCGTAGCACAGGTGAGTCGAGATTGAGGCGTGCATCCCAGAGATGACACGGTAGAAGACGCGCTTCTCAAGACACTCATCGTCAAACTCCATGTTGTCTTCGACTTTGCCAACTTGCGAGGCCTGCTGTCGACCATGCTCTTTCATGACGGACTTAAGGTCTTGTGCAGCCTGGCCCTGCATGCCCGAGAAGCCGGCGAAAGGACCGCCAATGGCAACAGAGCCTAGGCTTTGCTCGCTCGAGCTGGGTTTTGAGAAACAGTTTTCGCGATAGATGGCCTCCCAGATCTGGTGGGCACCCTCGCCGGCGTACCCTGTAAAGCGTTCTGGGTTGTCAAGCAGACTGACATAGTCTCCCTTGGCACTTGCGCTCTCATCTTCGGGCACACAGTAGTCTCTTTCGTCGCATTCGTCGTCGTATTCTACAACACAGCTTTCGCCCACGTTCTCGCCAAGTTCTCCTTGAAGCGGTCTTTCTAGTTCTCTCTGCTCTTTCTTTCCAGGATGGTGTGCTTTTGGGCCTTCCAGTCTACTGAGCTCCTCGGCTCTCCAGATCTCCGGAATGTCTTCTTCGTTCTCGAGCGTTGTGACAGCACAAGCAATGTTTCCGCAGAGACCTTCATCATCGGACCAGAAAGGGCATTTCTTGTTGTATAGGTTCAGGCGGTAGTAGGAAAAGAAGTCGGTCTCTGTCACGAGGTCGTGAAGGGCAGGATTCAGACGAGCGTTGAGTTTATCGAGGTCGGCGTACGAGGCGCACGCATCGGACACTGTGGCACCAGGCTCGACCTATATAGACAAGTCAGGTCGTGCTTTCACAAGGATCAGAACCCAGTCCAGACGACTTACAGGACAGATGGCCACGTTTGAGGCGGCGGCGGCATGTGTAGAGCCTAGCAGTGCAAAGACTGCTAGGAAAAAGGCGTTGGCAGCAGATCTACGCATTACTGAAACTATATGATCTGGTCGGCATTAGCAGGCGACATGTATTGGTTATTGGTGAAGTTGCATACCAAAGTGGTGGATTGAGGGCGATCAGCACATTCTTGGCCGTTGGCACTGTCAAAGAATTACGGCTGCGGAAGGTGGGAACAAAGAAGATGTATCTGCAGAAGAGACGACAGGTAGTCTATATATAAACACACGTCTCGGAAAGACACAATATTCCCACGTAGCAATGCGGCGCAATCTGAGAGGTGGCTTCTTCACACTTTCTGCCTATTGATAATCAGGAGCCTCCGTGATCGTCACCAGAGATCCGGGGCCACTCGGCTGAGATGCTTCGCCGTCTCCCGACCGCCTTCAGCCCTACGCTTCTACCTCCCAAATTTTCTTCCCTTCGCTCTTCCTCGAAACCTCTGCAACACGCGCTGACATGCGCACCAGAGGGTTGTCTGTCGCATCATGCCATGACCCTCTGGACCTGTGGTATTGTAAGTACTCTTCTCTTTCGCTTCTGTTAGCATTGCACACACACCTCTACAATGATGAGTTATTCTTTACCCATACATCTTTAGGAAGAGCCGGAAAAGGTACGTTGGTATCGACATATACCATCGTCGCTGCTTATAATCGGGAATCTGAAATTCACCTCTACTCTTACGCTTTGATAAACACTCTTGTCAGAGCCACAACTAATTTTGTTTGTTAGATCTCACAGGTCCGTTCAGCGATGACCGTCTATGATGAAACGAGAAGGAGTCGTTTGTGTTGGATCATATCATGTCATTATCGTTCTGGTACATACACTCTCATCTGTATTTTGTTTACTACCGCCGCCAGAGCTTCGCAAGCCTCCTAAGCCTTCTTCCACTCAAAGTGATACTTTCCTGTAGTGGGAGCACCTTCCGGATCCTCGCCCTTCTTGTCGTACATGTGCTTGCCGAAGTAGTCTAGCTCAGCCTCATAGAACTGGGTCGGAAGTTCCAAGCCTGTCTGGTACTTGATGTAATCCAGAGAGTTGGAGATGGCAGGAATAACGTGGTCGCCGAGTACTGCCTGCACCACGACACGCTTGAGCGCGGGCTGACCCTTCTTGAGATCACTGGCAACTGTCTTCTCAAACAACAGATTCATAGTGTCTTTGCTGCGGTACTCAGCGAAGATGGGCTCGAGAAGGGAAGCGATATAGTCGGCTTGGATGATGCATCCTGCACGCCAGATCTGGAGCACTTCTGTGAAATCAATGTTCCAGTGGACCTCTCTGTTCTTGCGGTCGATGACGTTGATGCCTTGAACATAGGCTGCCAGGCATGCCGTGTATGTCGCTACACGCAAGTCTTCTAAGAATTTGTCCTTGTCTTGGATGTCCAGCTTCTGAGCCGGGAAGTCTCCTCCAAATGCCTTTTGTGCGCGGGCACGCTGTGCACGATCGGCTGATGCCAGGCGGAAGTAATGGGCCGAGCTGAGCGTAGGAGCAGGGATGTGTTCTCCCACAGCCTCTTCGTTGGACCAGATTCCGGTTCCTTCCTCGCCAGTAATGTCTTGTACAACCTTGTCCTCGACAGTATCCAGGACACGCTCTCCAGTCTTCGGATCCTTGGTTCTGCAGATATCGGCGCCAATCTTCACCAAGAAAGTACCTTCCTGTGCAGAGTTAGCATACCTTTCCACCAAACAGTGCAGGATGTCTTACCAGTTCTCCTTTACTGTTCCACTTCTCCAGAACATCGCCGATGTCATCCTCTGACATACCCAGCCCTGTTCTCATGATGCCCCATGCCTCTGAGATGGCAGACATCATGCCATGCTCAATACCGTTGTGGATCATCTTCACGTAATGACCTGCACCTCCAGTACCAGCCTTGCCGACACAAGGTCTGCCCTGGGGGTCTTTTGCTGCGACCTTGCGAAGGAATGGAAGCACTAGGTCAAGAGTCTGGTCGTCCGCACCTGGACACATCGATGGACCACTGTGACCTTGGTCAGAAGACAACCGAACAGTGTACTCAAGTGAACGTACCGGCGAGCAGCTTGGTATCCTCCAGATACACCGCAACCAACGTATCTGATACCTCTGGTAACACATTTACCCTGTCTTCTCTCTGTATTCTTCCAGTGCTCATTACCGCAGTCGATGATGATGTCTCCCTTCTCCAAGTAGGGCATGAGACCTGAAAGTACACCATCTCCTACGCTGCCGTGGGGCAAGCTGAAGACCAAGACCTTAGGGGAGTCGAGGGACTCGCATAGTGACTTCTGGTCGCTATGCTTGCTGATCTTGTCGCCGAAACCTTCCTCCTTGGCCTGCTTGATGATAATGTCCATCGCTTCGGTCGAGGGGTCTTGGAGTGATACGCTAATGCCCTTCTCTGCGAACAGAAGAGCCATACCTCCACCCATACTTCCACAGCCAATGACAGCCACCTATAATGGTGTTAATCCATATTTCCAGCGGAAATGATCTTTCGTTCATTGGCTACACACCTTCTTGATATCCAGGCCCTCAGAGGACGAGCTCTTTGTCGTGTCAGCCATATCGATATGGTGTTGATTGTCGATCTTGGTTTGATCTGAATGTAAGTAAGAATGGTGGAAGCTCGATGGGAATGGGCGAAACCAAGGTGACCAAAATATTCGTAACGTTTGGACGTGACGTACATATGGTGGGGTAAATGCATACATCAGATCGACGTTTTTCAACTGTCACTTCGGGCCGGCTTGGTGAATGCTTGACAGTAGATCAACGGAGTGCTCGGAAACGGGTTAAGAGCACTCTTGAAGATTGCTTTGTCAAATGGTCATAATTGTTACTAGGTCTATCAGTCATAATCTGCTTCATCCTCAAAATCCATCTCTGACTCTCCGTCCACCCATGAGACGGAATCAATCGTTCTCACGTCTTCTTCAACTTGATCCTGCTCGTCATGCTCATCCATCGGCATCGGGTCAATTTCCTCGATGGTGGCTTCCTCCTCTCGCTCGTCATCAACAAAACCAACACTCTTCCTCCTCGGAGGCTTCGGTCGACTGTCTGGTAGTGTATTCGGTGTTTTCTCTACGATGTCCTCCATGACATCTCCATTCCAAGGCTTACACTCTTTTACTACTTCTCCGCAGCGCAGACATGTCCAGCCCTCACCTTCTTCGGCCTCAATTCGTTGAGCCAGACAGACAAAGCAGTATATGCACCCGCAAGGCATCGCCTCGTATGGGTTTGTAACGTCTGTTTGAGCACTACCAATGACACCTCCGCCTATATTGCCCGACTGAGCAAGTACTTCAGCTTCTGAACCACCACCAACGACGTTTTGATCGCGATAGCATATCGCGCATGTACGCTCTGGCAAGAACCCAAGCTCGCCTCCAGCTGTAGTGTCTTCTTCCTCTGGTGTCCGAGAGAACATGGTCTTGACCTTTCTCCACGCTCTTGATAATAGACGTCGCCATCGGCTGATACCTACAAGAGGGAGCAGGAACAGCAGGAACTCGGTGAAGGCATGCCACACCAGTTGACGGTTCAGATACTCAAAGCTGACCTCTCTACTTGTTCGCGAAGAAGCCGGGGCGAGCCTTAGTCGAAGAAGTCGATCCGCAAGTGTTCTGTATTTGCCGTTGAACAAGAAGACCAGGAACGAGGCCAAAGCTGCCATCTCATGTGTCGAGCTGACCCATGCAGTGAGCTTGCTGAGTCTTTTGACGAGCGGCGTGGGCTCCTCGTAACCGCCTTCCCTCTCAAGGAGCCAATCTTCCAGCTTCTGCCACGAGTATCGGCCTCCAACTGTGATGAGTCCATATGCAGCTTTCTGCCATTTTGTAGGATCTTGCCCAGAACCTGCGTGGATGCTCGAAGGTTGTGTTCTTGCGTCGACGTACTTTAATCCTTGAAGACTGGCGCCGTAACTCGTGCCTCGATCCCAGATGCTGAGCTTCCATAGTATAGCTCTCAGGATTGCGCCAATCTCAGAGGACCAGTCATCTGCAATGTGACCACCAAAATACTTGAGCGCATCGCCAACTTGGTTACGAAGTAGTTGTAAGAGCTCCTCATCAAGCAATTCTGCATCGACTTGACCGACACGAAAGTACGGAGTGGGTGCTGTGGGAGGATTGTGTCTGAACGTGGTCCAAGTAGAAAGCGTGGTAGAAGCGAATGAGCGTAGGCCGGGTGGGAGGTTCAGCAGCGCGAAGGGTAGCGACGGTGGGGTCGGCGGCGGTGCCGGTCGTGCTGCGGCTGCGCGACGTGCTATCACACGCGCCTGAGCGGCAGCGAAATCTGGAGAGGTCATGACAGTCGTGAATGGAGCATTGTTTGTATGTCTGAAGAGTGCAGATGATACCAAGGGAACGCGATCGGGCAAGCATATGAATACAGCTCCAACTTGCCGAGGCTGCGGCTTTTGGACCCCGGTGGCCGATACCGACCGATAACTCACCTGTTCATCCTCCTGCTTCATCGATATTATTACCAATGTCGATTCGAAACCACGAGACTTCGGATGTGCACTCGGGTGTATAGCGACTTTTACCGGAGTCCCACGACGTACCGGACCTTCGAAGCCTCGGGAAAGTTGATGTTATCTCATGCTGGCTCAGTGTTATACATACATGACCCTGCAAGCAGCTGAAGCAAGCATGCGACCACGACCTCCGAATCGGCAAAAGACATCTGACTTCGCTGGCTCACGCTCAATCTCTTTTGATCTCGCGCTCCTTGTCATATCTGCTGTCGTGTACCTCAATCCTTTGTTTGGATGCACTTGTCTGAAACTTTCGATCATGGGTAAGAGCACGACGGCTAAGGGCGATCATGAGGGCAGGCCGCGCCTTGGCATAGCGGTCGACTCCTTCAGCCACCTTGGTCACCTCCTCATCGTCTTCTTATCTTGGTTCTCCTGCATAAATTGACTGTTCGTTCCTGCATGTAGGATCTTGTGGGTTGTTGCTGGAATCCTTCGATCATCTCTACCACGAAGCGAGCACGTGCCATGGCAACAAAACGTCTGCTGGTGGTAGCATGGCTCCTAGCATCCAATGCTAGTGGTGTCTGGTCACAGCCATGGAGTTTGAAGGAAGGATCACTTATATCTGGACAGCAGCCAGTTGTTGACACTGGATCTGCAGAGATCACAGAGTCTTTGGATGAACAAGCCGGTTCAAAGGATATCTTACAAGATATGATAGATGCCCTGGGAGTCATGCAATCTCAATTCTATGAACTCTGGATCGGCACATGGCCTTCAGCCATAGACTGGACTGGTGCTGTAATCAATACTGCCGTCTCATCCGCCATAGGAACCCTTTCCAGAGCTAGCAGCAAGACTGAAGATGACCACTACTCGGAAATCATCAACAAGTACTTCTCTCACAATGCCGCTTACTACTTTGGAGAAGATGCTTTCAGCATCCGCAACGAGGCATATGACGATATCCTTTGGGTCGTTCTCGGCTGGCTTGAGAACATCAAAACGATAGAGTATCGTAACAGTACACAGCCTTCATGGTATGGGACTCAATTCATTCCTGCATTCAGCCATCGTGCGCGGCTCTTTTGGGACCTTGCCTCTAGAGGGTGGGATAATGACTTATGCGGAGGTGGAATGATCTGGAACCCAAGACTCGAGCCGTATAAGAACACGATTACGAATCAACTCTTTATCTCGGCCTCAGTCGCCATGTACCTTTCTTCACCTGGAGATGCAATCGATTTTCCATTTGCGGCTTCTAATTCGGAAACTTTGGGTTCGATGCCGGGACGACCACATGACCCTAAGTATCTCAAGGCTGCGATCGATGGTTACCAATGGCTGAATAATAGCAATATGACGAACACTCAGGGCTTGTACGTCGACGGCTATCATATTAAAGGTTACGGCCATGGCAGTATCGGCACAGGGAAATGCGACGAACGAAATGAGATGGTGTACACATACAACCAAGGAGTCATACTATCTGGCTTACGCGGACTATGGGAAGCGACTGGAAACTCGAGCTACCTGGAAGACGGATATATCCTGATACGCAGCGTCATGGCATCGACTGGCTGGTACTGGGAAGGACAGTCAAATTTACCAATCTATAAATCATCCGGCTGGGCTGGATTAGGTCAATATGGAGTTCTGGAGGAGCTATGCGATCGAAGTGGCTCGTGCAGTCAAGACTCTCAGACCTTCAAGGGCATCTTCTTCCAGCATCTGACCCAGTTTTGCGAAGCTTTACCACTGCACGCCGCGGTTCCTGGCAAAACTTACGGTGCGAGCAAGGTGTTGAAAGAGATTCATGATTCGTTCTGCAAAGTAGTCGGCATATGGGTATCGCATAATGCGGAAGCAGCCTTGAGCACTAGAGATCAATCAGGTCTTTTCGGAACGTGGTGGGGTTACAGATACGCTGCTAAGGACTACCCGGAAAGACTTCCTCTGGATGCGGTCGATTATAGGAACAACGCGACCGTGTTGATAAGCCGAGGCTGGGCCACGCCACAGCAAGAGTCAAGCTCGACTCGCAGGGACAATATTCACCTCGGGAAAAGCAGTGGCACTGACTTCTCAACAACAGACGTCAACGATCGTGGTCGAGGTCGCACTGTGGAAACTCAGCAAGGAGGCCTTGCTGTCCTGCGGTCATCTTGGGAGTTACTGGATTTAGGCAGATGACCATTCCGTACTAAACGTTTAACGAAGCATTCACGATTTTCTTTTTGACCTCACCACATGCAGAAGCACGTGAGGACTCTTGTTTCATTGGATGCACAGCCCGGCGCTTATATCGTGGAACCATCCTCTCGAATTTGTGCAAAATCCCCAAGCAACCCGTCTTACATCTCCGCATGACATTGACCATGGAAAACCAAACCCGTCTCGAATCCTGGAACAATTACTGCGATGACTTTGTAAACCATCTTCGAAACTCGAAAGCAGTCCTTGCCCTGCTCGGCGCAGGTCTGTCTGCAAGTTCCGGCATATCCACCTACCAAGGCAGTGGTTCGACCTGGCAAAACCATTTAGTACGAGATCTCGCCACGAAAAGTCGTTTCGAGAGAGATCCGGTGCTGGTTTGGGAATACTATCGCCATCGACAAGCTGAGATATTATCGGGGGTGCCTAATGCAGGACATTTCGCTCTTGCCGGATTGGCGACGATAAAGCCGGATTTTTTGACGATTACGCAGAATGTGGATGGTGAGTTATGTCGCGACTACAAGACAAATGTGCACAGTACCCTCAAAGCTAACGGGTTTAATCAAAAGATCTCTCACAACGAGCTCGTCATCCCCCAGAACTGCTGGTGCCAATCCACGGCTCGTTGCTAGATCTCCACTGCACAAATACCTCTTGCGCCTTTTCCCGCCATCACAACTCCCATGATCCGCATCTTCATCCTCAACCATCTCCACCCACACCCTCCTGCCCCCTCTGCACATCCCTCCTCCGCCCCTCCATAACCCGCTTCGGCGACCCGCTCCCTCCCTCCCACCTCTCTACCGTAGATTCTTGGTTTTCCGCCCACCCAACCATCGACTTGATGCTAGTTATCGGGTGCGCGTGCACTGTAAGTCCAGCTGCCGATTACATAGACAAAGCCAAGGAAAAGGGAGCCAGGATTGCTGTGTTCAATGTTGAGTTTGGGAGGCAAGCGCTTTGTTTGGGGCAGGAGGATTGGTTTTTTGAGGGGGATGCTGGGGTGATGGTGCCGTTGCTTTTGGGGAAGGTGGTTGGGTGATGGGGATGTGGGAAGGAATGATAAGAAGGTGTGGGATGTGTCGCGTTCGGAGTTCGATATTGTGGTTACCTATGGGCGGAAGGTGTTATTAAGACATGTGGAGGGGGCAAAAGTTGACGTGGAATTGAGTAGCTTTTTGATTACAGTAGACGAAGTGATAAGAGCAGACCTTTTTGTTTGGCGCCAATATGTCACTCATCCTTGTAATGCAGATTTTTCCTCCTCCGATGCTTGCTTTCTCTTCTCTACCTGTCCGGTTCGAATGCTTCTCCTCTACATGATGCCCAATGCGCCGAATGCGGCGATGACATCCTTGTCAACGTTGATCAACCACTCATTCTGGAAAGCTTCCTGACCACCTGCAGCTTGAATCGCCGTCTGCAGATAATGCTTAATCCATTGAGTAGTACGCACGTTATGCACGGGGTCAGCAAACGTCAAAGCACGACGTCTTTCATCTTCAGGGGCTTCAGGGACATCAGAGTCTGTGTTGCGAAGCTGATCCATGCTCTCGTAGACCAAAGTGTCAGAGTCGATTGGGCCGTCTTCCTCCCGAATCTCGTTTACCATATCGGTCCACATGGTCATCAGAGATTGAAGAGAGCCGAGGATGAAAGGTTGTGAGGTGGATAGAAGTTTTGTGATGGCGAGACACATGAGTTTGCGACGAGAGGGGTCCCCGATGGACTCAAAATGACTGAACCATTCTTCGAGGAGCCACTTCATCGTGTCATCCAGAGATGGCTGAGTAGCTGTATCACTGAGCGGGATGGATGGTGCAGCAGCCTGTACGGCTTGTAGGAATACTGTCTCGGAGCCCATGAGAACACGGGCGAGTACGGATAAGTAGTCTGTTTCGACGATGCCGTCTACGAGTGGATCCTTGGCCAGCGGTCCAGTTGTGCAATGTGCGACCCAGCTACCACGAAGACCTTCGAGCTGCTTGTTCAGGAATTTTGACTCGACAAGATCGCTAGCAATTGTGCTGATAGCCGATTCACCTCCTATACCCTCGGCTGCCCTGATGATAAGCTCAACAAGATTGTTCACTGTACCACTGGCATCAGCCTTCACGTAACCAACAAGCGTGGACAAAGATGAGATCAAAGGCTTTCGCATCTCATCTGAAAGCATTTCCGAAGGCGCGAGCAGGAAGTATGATGAAGTGATGTCGAGAGCTGTGCGGAGGTTCTCCGAGCCAAGCTCAAAGATTGAGAAGAGGTATGGTGCTAGTTGTAGCAACTCAGGCGAGGCTGGAGCGGGCGTTTGGATCAGGATGTTAGCCCAGAGGTCCAAAGCGTCATCGAGCAAGTAGACCTGAGTATCCGAACCAGGCTCGACTGCGCCCTTGATGATAGGTAGGACGAGGTGATGGAAAGGTACCGATGCTGCCTTCATCGAGGTAACGAGGCGGGAGAGAATGGTCAGAATGGCTTGTTTCATGAGGTGCTCGTCCCCGGACTGTTCCCATAGGTTGGGCAGGATGTTGATGATCGTCTCAGCATACGGTGCAATCTGGTATATATCAGTGTCATCTTCACCATCATTATGGTAGTCATGCTTACATGATGTTCAAGTCGCTCGACCAGGACACTGATCGTATTGAGTAACGCCATCTTCGTCTCTACGTTGTCAACCTCCTCAATCAAGCCCAACAACTGTGTCATCGTAGTCTGAACATATGGCAGGAACTGCTTCGGACTGAACTCCCAATCATCTACTATATTCTTGAATTGTCGTCCGGCAGTGATTCTTACAACCTGATCGTTGCAGGAGTCGCTTGGGTCAAGCATGTGTTGGAAGATCTTGTACACAAGAGGTCTGTTTTCTGCTGATACCTTGACTGTTATCCACTGTCCGAGGAGGATGGCGATGCGGCGACGGAGGATGTTGAAGCCAGGCTTTTGCTTTTGGACTTCAACCACGATTGTGTTGGACAGGAAGGAGTCGAAGTCGAGATGTTGTTGCAGGACTGCGGCAGCCAATCCGATGGCTGTGTACACCGAATCCTTGAACAAGACGTCTTCATTGTCAGGGGCCGCGACAGTGTAGAACACGTTGAGCAGCGGTTGGGTCAACAAATCTCTGAAGTTGAGAGCAAGGTCCAAGAACAGCTTCTCTGCGCAAGGTCGAACACTGTATTCCCAGCCCTCGCTCTCACCCTCCAGACTCTGTTCCCATTCCTCCGGATCTTCTTCCCACTCTTGAAGCTCACCCTGTCTAAAGACGAAGAATTTAGTAACGACGACTTCCATGACTTCGGTGACGAACACCTCGGTCAGCAACTGCTCTTTGACAGCCGCAATAGCCTCTGCCTTCTCGATCTTGTCTTGTGGGTGCTTGTACTTGAATGACTGGACAGGGTTGAACACCATCTTGATGCAAGCACGTATAAGCTTGAGACCAGATAGCGAGACCTTCTCTTGAAACGGCTTTTGCTCGCCCTGGTCACCAGTAGACCCACCGGAGGTCAAACTAGAACCAAAGGTTTGTCCAAACTGCTTGATCAGAGCCCAGTAAGAACGAACAAGGTCAAGAGAGTTTGGCAGAAGCACGAAAGCTGCAGGATGTGCTTTGGCCATTTCCAAGTGTAGTTTCGATAGTTGCAGCAAATGCTTCTCCAGCGGTACGCCAAGTTCTTCGGGAAGGGTGGCTGCCTGTGAGGAGATGAGGTTCATGAAAGCACCGACCTGAGCATAGGTGAGCTGCCAGAACTGGTGCACATCTGACTCTCTGTTAGGGAACTCGTAGCCAACGACAAACAGTCTTCGCAGAGTTTTGATGGCCAGAAGACTGGCTTCCATGTTCTGTTGCATTGTAGCTTGATCGCCGGCATTGCTGCTAAGAGCCTCTTGCCAAGATTGGACCTTCTCGAGGTAAATTTGTCCGAGAACCTGAACAATCTCCGGTGTGGCGGCCTGAAGGGCGACTCTAGACTTCTGCAGGCGAGCGGTGGAGAGCTCTTTCGTGATGTGAAGAAGAATTAGCAGTGTGCGAGGGAGGTGAATGGGATTAGCGTCGTGCTGTGTCGATCTCCGTAGTAGATTTATCAGTGTACTGATAACATCTGGCCTTCTTCTCGTCAGTATCTTGGCGATAGATGTAGGAGAACAAATCATACCAATCGTTTGGATATTCGAAACGAGAAATTTTAGCAATGACAAGTGCGTTCTGTAGAGCCAGACGGTGATCGTACTCTTCCAGACCACTTTCCAGGAGACGAGATCTGATCACTGCTCTGTCTTCTGGTGAGACGGCACTGGTACAAGTTAGTATGTTTGAGCAAATCAGAATGTCTTCGGGCATCTAAAACACTCTTGGCATCTTGCAAAGGAAGGAATGGTTGATGAGAAGGAACGACTTACTTCGCGGCAGTCTTGCGCCAGTATTTCTCAATACCATTCTTCAACTGAATGATTGCCAAATATCTTACTTCAACCAACAATGACTTGTTGATAAACACACTTTGCAAGTGTTTGTAGAAACCAGCAGCTTTCTCCCATCTTGCCAGTTGTTTGGCACCTGATTGGACTTGCTGAGGATCTGTTGATGCCGCTGCACTCAGGACATGGAGCAAAGTATCCTCGGTTAAAGGATTAGCTTCACCCGGCACCTCGATGGCAAAGTTCTGCATCGTGGTGGCTGTTGTGGGTGAAGTGGTTGGCGATGAGCTCGTTTTTGTTTAATGTCGTGGCAATCTTGTGACCATATATTGTGTTGATTCTGGAAATAAGGCGAATGGTTTGGTGAGATGTGTTTATGTCCTTGAACTTTGATTATTGAATGCTTTCGTTTGCTCGGCGATGGTTGGTCGAACGTTTGCAGGTGAACGAAGAGTTTTGGCACTTCAGACATGGGTCAAGATTTGTGTCAGGTTTTCATCAATCACAGGGTCATACCTTTGACGTAGACATTTTGACCGGCACGATGCATCAACACTTTTACATCACATGTCATATGTTGTGCTCATATAGGCCTCAGCCGCATATCATTAAGGTCTTGAGTCCATACACATGGTCGACAAATAGTAGTGCGGTTCATGTCTAACCAATATTGTGCATTTTCAGGATGTCTTGCTGTGCTCTCTGTCTTCCCGAATGTCTCACCACTTCACTGAGCGGATCGTAGCATTTTCGTTCCCCATCTCACACATGCAAAGTCTTTTCGTGCTCTAGAACTTCCGGCATGTCAATACTTCCAGGTGAAAGCTTGCTCCAATCCTCTTCATAGCCTTTCTCAATGTGCGGCCATGGTCCAAGAGGAGTGATCGCCTTAGGATTAATGTCCGCATGACTCTTAGTGTACTGTTGTCTTGGTCAGGGTATGGTCTCCGCGCCAAAACAATTCATCGACTTACATTCTCCTTGATGTGCTTGAAGTCGGTTGTATTTCTGAACTCTTCGTGGTTCCAGTACATGCCCTTGAGCCAATTGTTCAGCACAGGGTAATCATGGCGTATGGTACCAAGATTGCATTTCTACCACGGGTTAGTACCTTTGTTACCAGACGAGTGAGAGACAACCTACGAAATGCTGCACATAGACAGTATCGAAGCGAATCAAAGTGGCGTAGAGTCGAACATCCAGCTCTGTCATCTCCTTGCCAAGCACATACGGACCTTTGCCATCATGCAGCAGCTTCTCGAGCTTGTTCAGAGCACCGAATACAGGCGGGATGTTCTTGTTGTAAGTTTCTTGGTCAGGTGCAAAGCCAGCCTTGTAGACTCCGGTATTAAGGTCTGAAGCCATCCACTCGGCGATCTTGTCTATTCTCTCGCGCAAGTGCTCAGGATACAAAGTCAATTGCGCCTTTTCGGGAGAGATAATACCATTGAATGCATCCTGAAGCCAGCGCAAGAGCTCTGCAGATTCCTGTTTCAAATGTCAGTAAAGCTGATGATGGAAGTGTCGAGTTGTCGTACGTTGTTGACTGCTGTGTTTGTCTTCTTGTCCCACAGCAGAGGCACCGAGTAGCGGCCTTTGTAGTCCTGGTCTGCCTTGAAGTAGACCTCATGCAAATATTTAGATCCAAAAAGCTTGTCGACAGTGGCATTCGGGTACTCGTCATCTGATTCAGGAAACTGCCAGCCAGGCCAACCCTTGTCGTTGCCCTTTGGGTATGGCTTGACAATACTGATATCAATGATATCTTGCAGACCCTTGAGGTGACGTGCCAGATTGGCTCGGTGAGCAAAAGGACAGAAGAGGCCGATATACATGTGGTAGCGTCCCTTCTCGGGCTGGAAGGGGTTGTTGGGTGACTTGTCAATTACACCATGCCAACTGTCCTCGGGCCCAGCATGAACTGACTTTGGTATATTCGTAGCCATTGTTTTGATGGTAGAATGGGACAGGGTATTTGGGATGATGGGTGTCCGCGTAAAGCGACTGAGCATAGACTCGGACAAGTAGTAAACCAAAAATGGAATGGCCGTCAATAAGAGAAGTGCTCTGAGATGGGTCAGCATAATGTACGCGAAGCAACTGTTCTCTGCTCACTTTTTTGGAGACGTCAGGACTTGTTGATGTAAAGATCAAAGCAATATATTGTGGTCTGGGAGACCGATTTCTAATGAGATGGTTATGATGGCTGATTGGTGATGACGTTGGCTGCGAGTCCGCGGAAAGCTGCCGCAGTCCGGACAACGAATGCAATAGCGAACTCAACCCCTCAAGTATGATCTTTTATTATTGTGATCAATCAAGTTTAACAAGCTTCACAAGATTCAATGAAACACCCCGAACGAAGTATTGATGCAAGTCCGAAATGGAAGCGGATTTGAAATAAAGGAAATCACTTTTCTCATCTAGATAGATATTCTATGCGTACAGAGATGCGCAACTATTGCGTCTTCTTGGCCTTGGACTCATCAGGCTTGCTGTAGAGCCAAACGGCGACGAAGATCAGCCAGCCAGTGGCCGTAACGCCGATACCAGCGATCCAGGGGTAAGCGCCACTGATGACGAAACTGCGTGGCCACTCATCGTGAGCAAAGTGGCGGACAGTGACAGTACGCTTCTCGTAGACGTTGCTCAAGAAAGGACGCTTGTAGTTGACGATGAAGTTGAAGATACCATGCTGGTCGGGCACGGTGAAGGTAGTGCTGAAAATGGTGCTGTTGGCAGTGCGCGAGGTGGGCTTCAGAGCCAGGCGGTGGAAAGGAGACAGCATGCTGAATTCAAGCTGGAGGGAGTCTTCGGACGAAGGAACGAAAGGAACCAGGCGGTCACCGTCATACTCGGACAGTTCGATCGAGTAGTGCTGCGAGATGATTAGCGATGAAGCATAGCTGTGCAGCACAATATTCAACTTACGACATCGTTCTTAATTCTGTACATGACGGGGTTGATTTCAGGGAACTCAGAGACGCTCAAGTTGGTAGAGTCCTTGACCTTGCCCTCGTTGAGGTAGTGCTGGACCTTGCCAACCTTGAGAACACCAATTTCCTGGAAAGTCCAGGCGGATAGCTTCTCAGCGAAGGCCTTGTTGGCAGTACTGGTGGCCTGAGTAGCTTTGGGAGCCTTGACCTGTGCGTTGAACCAAGTGTCCTGCAGCATCTCGGCGGAACCGAGAACGGTGAAGCGAGCCGAGTTTCTGGCCTGGAAAGTCGAGATGAGCGACAGCTGGGCGCCAGAAGCAAAGACATCCTCGAGAGCCTCCTCCTCCTTGGGGTTGTATGAGTAGGCAGTCTCGGGGGCACGAAGGATAGGGGCGAGCAGAGGGCTAGCATTTCCGAGAAGCTGACCGACGGCGCGAGGGACAGCGAGGGTTCCGTCAACGCCGAAGTAGTTCTTGACACCAGGCTTCAAGGACCTGGGAGCGGGGATAAGCAAAACATCGTGCTTGTCGGCAGCCGACTTGGTGTCGTAGTTGATGTGGTCAACAACGAGCGCACTACGCTCTGGAGGAAGGGTGACATCGAACTCGAGAAGGAGGGAAGCGACGGCGGCAGGGATGGGCTGATCGGCAGAGAGGGCGAGCAGAACGTTGCCATTGTTGTTAACATAGTCGACCAGGATGTTGGGAGTCAACTGGGGACCGAAGCCCTTTGACTTGGGAGGCAGGAGCACGAGATGGTCGTAGGCGAGATTGCCGTGCTTGAACAGCGAGAGGCCGCTTGACTTTGGCGATTCATATGTGACGCTGTATCCACGAGCTGGTTTCAGATCAATCAGCCTAGCTCTTCATAGCAAAAGATATACCAAGACCAAACTCACATTCCAGGTCGCCAAAGAAGGACGAGTACTTTGACTTGTCCGAGGCTTCCTCGAGTACGACCAGCAGACGGTTGCCTGTGGAGCTCAATGCCTGGACCAGGCTGATGAGGCCCAGCAGCAACAAAGACAGGAAGCTCTTCATCTTTGCTTGTCTCAATTGGATTATCAAGAAGCAAGAACTAGCAGCGTAACCAACTCTCAGACGAAGCTCCAGCTGTCCTCCGTAAACGCGCAATGCGATGCGGAGAGCTGCCGCTGCCAAGACCCTCCATGCAAGTCGCGCGCGCAATGACCACCCAGCGCCGGCGAGAGCATCAGCCAATGCGAAGGCCGCTGAAGCAAGCAATTGACGACGATTTGTATACCACTAATTCCACACAACCATCACACACAATGGCTCCCGTACAATTCTGGTCGACCCCTGGTCTCTACGTCAAGTGGGCTGCCCGCAACAAGCCCGCCATCTTCTGGTCCATCGTCGTCGGCAGCGTCGGTCCCGTCATGGCCCTCGTCGTCCCTCCCATCCGCGCCCGCTTCGGTGACGGTCCTCGTCCTCAGATCCCCTTGACCTACCCGAGTGAGTCTCTTTCCACCGTATCTCTTCGTTTCATCCGCCTCAGCACCCGGAGCCAGCTTCTCGATCAATCGCGCATCAGACACCACAGCTAACACACCCTCTCCAGTACCCAAGGGCCCTCGCAACATCCCTTCCGGCTACGAAGACTAAATCACTCGCCAAACCCTCACATATCCGACCTTTCCATCACCCGCGCCAACCCATCCGATACTTGTACATACGAGCACTGCAGCCGTTACTACACCACCCCGACCAACCGATACAGGGAATCCTATTTTCAACCGGAGTCTTGGGCATATCAATTGACTTTTCCCTCTTCCAACAATTGTCCTTTTACGAATGCAAAATATACCAGCCAGAGGCTATTTTCTATTTCCTACCTTGTGTGCCCCGATCTTGTGCACATGCTTGAAGCTCGAACACATCATCAATTCAATTTAACAAAAGATAAACAGGTCATGAGGTCACGGTGATGATGGCGAAGGTTAAGATCATGGGGGAATGGAATCAGTGATGCTGACTTTTAAAATGTACCGAGTTGTTTCCATCTGAAAATGCAAGCTTGACGTCAAGCACGTCTGCAATTTAGCAAGCATTGTAAGTCTATCCTCTGCCAATTTCCATCGATTAGTCGTTTCTCGTTTCGCATGAGCATCGATCCAGTCGATTTGTCATGTCGTTCGGAACGTGATTGGACGGCGAAAGCAATCATCCACCGGATCCGGAATTTGTCAACGAGCTCAAGTCTCTTCGTCCTCCTCATCGTCAGCCTCCTCGGCTTCCTCGTCTTCGTCGTCAAAGGCCTCCTCGGCACGTCTCTTGCCCTTGCCACTGTACGACTCAACCTCAGGCTCAAGCTCAGGTTCAAGCTCGGGCTCAGGTTCAGGCTCCCAGAGGTAGTCAGCGCCCATGACCTTGGTGCAGGTGAGCCACTTGATGGGAGAGCTGGCGATATCAAGCTGACTCTCGTTGACCATCAGAGGTGCAACGATAGCAGAGACACCGACCTTGATGATGTCAAGGTTGTTGGCGAGCACGCTCTTACCCTTGACGCTCATGGGGAAGTGAGTGTTGAAGCCGGCGGTGAGCTCACGAGTAAGATAGGCTGAACCGCCCTTGTGAAGACGGGCGTAGATATCTTGACCGCCGAACTGGTTGTTGTGGGTACCATCCTGTAATGTGTTAGTGATGTGTATACAGGCAAGAAGGAAAGAGGACAAGACTCACGTTGGCGAGAGTTTGTCCCCACCAGTGGCGATAGAGAGCGACTCCGATCCAGCTGAAGACGTCGCGTCCGTACTCTTGTCTACCAATGCCGTCACGGTCGGCGCGACCGGTGACTTCCGACTTCTGCAGACCGGAGGGGTAGTGGGTGCTGATAGCAACCTCAATCTGCTGGCACTGCTTCTTGATGATCTCGTGCTTGCTCTCGACAAGGTCACGGAGCTCCACGTTAAGCTGGTCGAGCATAGAGCGGGCTTTGGGGTTTCTTCTCAGGATAGCAGCGGTGGGAGGTGTGCTGAGTAGAAGGTTGTACTTGCCGACCAGGTGGATGAGGGCTTCCTTGAACATGACCTTCGACTCGATGCGGTAGGCGACATCGATCCAGATGATAGGGTCGATAGAGATGGCCTTGAAGAAGTCTTGACCTCTAGCGAGGAGGTAGTTTTCGATGACCTTTGCGACCATGGGAATCTGCCGTGAAAGTCAGTATAACCGAGTATAGTAGGGAACTGTATAAGACTTACAGAGCCAAGGTATTCAGCAACCTCAATGAGGCCCATAGCGTCAGGAAGCACAGTCTCGATGCTCTTGTCGTTCAAGACGATGGGCTGGTTAGCGATACTCCGAAGCAGTCTGTCATAGTCGGAGAACAGGCTGGGACGAAAGCGGTAGGCTTTATCGCCCTCATGCATCATGGTGACTTTCTTGGTAGGCTTGCCATCCTTATCGATAGGGATACGTCTAAAGACAGGCTTGATGGGTCTGGTGCTAGTCTCATCGAAGTCTTGAAGACAGAGCATGTAACGAGTGCCCTGCTTTAGTCCTTCACGAGAGAGGTTAGGTCCGGCGGTCTGGAGCATCTCGGCGAATCTGCTGCTACACTGGACGAGCTGGGCGGAATGCAGCTTGTATTTGCGATCAGTCGACACTACGACGATAGTGTCGGCGGTTGGGACCTCGACTTGATAAGACATCTTGGTATTGTTGGATGGGATGTTGACGTAGAGAGATCGTAAGACTAAGAAAAGAGGCAATATAAGTATGTATACTTCGTAAGGCCAAGCAGTGTTGTATGACTGAGATGGAAGAGGATAAGTAAGGGTGACTTACGGTGATGCTCCGATGAAGCCGTACGTCTGTGATTGCGCGCGAGTGGCGGCGGCAGTGACGAGATGTACGGTGTTGGAGGACAGGAAGCAAAATTAAAAGAGGAATAACAGTGAAGGATAGTGAAGGACCTGTGCTCCGATGAAGCTGCGCGTACGTGTTTGCGCGCGAGCGGCGGCGGGAGTGACGGAAGATGAGATACCAACGAAGAGAGACGGTGAAAAGGAGATGGCAGTGAATGATAGTACAAATGACTTACGACGATGCTCCGATGGACACGCACGCTCGCTCTCAACGGACATTCACCTAACCATCAAAAACATCTTGCCTTTTGACAGCTAGAACAGAGACCCTAGAGGGTAGAGGAGAGAGGGCTCGAACTTGAAAGAGGAGTAATAAGGGGCACAAGGAGCATGTTAGAATTGTGCTCTCCCAGCCCGCCAACACACCCGACAAAACATCCATCAAAATGCACAATGATTTTGATGTTTATACGGAGGTCCAAAGAGATCAAATCAAGGTGTCGCTTTCAGTGGACATTTACCTGATTCTCAAAAACACCTTGCCTTTTGACAGCTAGAACAGAGACCCTAGTGGGAGGAAGAGATGGGGCAAGAAGTTGGAAGAGGAGTAACCAGGGGCACGAGGAGCATGTTGAAATTGAGCTCTCCCAGCCTGCCAATACACCTGATCAAACATCCATCAAAATGCACAATGATTTTGATGTTTATACGATGGTCCGAAGAGAGCAAATCAAGGTGCCACTCTCAGTGGACATTTACCTGATCATCAAAAACATCTTGCCTTTTGATACGTAGTACAGGGACCCTGGAGGGCGGACGAGAGAGGGCTCGACGTCGACATCGGCGGCTAGTCCCGACAAGGAAGGAAGCTTCACATGCGGCGGCCCGTAAAGAAACATGCTTGTCATCAACTCCGGCCCCCCTCGCTCTTCACTGTATGCAGGCACGTGGGTTTATCAATGGTCGACGATAAGCAAAGAGGCGATCCCCGTCATATAGCAGCCGTCGCTTGCAAATCGAGTCTGTGCAAAAGGGCCAAAAAGCATGTCGGAGAGGAGCGACCTTGCTCTTTAAAAGGTTGATAGGGACCTGCAGGTAGGTGGGCTTTTAAGCAATCAGTTCCTTCTCTTCCAGTGCTTGTTTGATAGGGCAAACGCGCTTGAATCCTGATAAGCATTGCTGTGAGCTAAGCACTATTTATTTTGCATTTTACCACTTCTAAAATATTCCTCTCATTGGTAGCACCTCATTCATTCATTTTTTGATATGCGCGTTACAAACAGTGCCTGGGCCTCTGCCCTTCTGGCATTGGCCACTCCTGTCTTCGCTTGTGAGAGCTGCGAGCATCCTGAGCAAGATGTTGTTATGACAAGACATGTTCGTCGTATGCAGCCCGACGCTCAGAACGCTACTGTCGCTCCTCGAGGACCACTAGCCTGGGGTCAGCTTAACGTACTTCACACGACAGATACACACGGTAATTGATCTCAATTTCCATCATGCTTGTTGACAGTACTGACCGAAATCAAAGGCTGGCTTGAAGGACATATCAGAGAGCAGAATTACGGCGCTGATTGGGGAGATTATGTCTCTTTCGTCAAGCAAATGAGACAGAAGGCACGAGACCTAGATGTTGACCTTCTGGTGGTCGACACCGGTGTGAGTTGTAACGAGAGCTTTTGCGAGTTATGCTGATCAGATCCAGGATCTTCACGATGGTGCAGGTCTTAGTGATGCTACCGGAGTCGCCAGTTACGACGGTGTTAACGGTGAACTGTCTAATCCCATCTTCGAGCAGTTGGACTACGACTTGTTGACTATTGGAAACCACGAGCTCTATGTCTCTGAGATTGCCTACGAAACATTCAACCAGTTTGCAAAGTCCTATGGCGAGAGATACTTGACCAGCAATGTTCAAATCAGAAACCCAAGCACTGGCGAGCTCGAGTACATTGGCAAGAAGTACAGATACTTCACCACCAAGAAAGGTCGGTAGTATGTCCATCAACCACTAGTACCTACTAACACTCTTGAGTAGGCCTCAGAATCATGGCATTCGGTGTGCTGTTTGACTTTACTGGTAACTCGAATGCCTCGGTTATCACCAAGGCTGCCGACATGGTCAAGGAATCTTGGTTCTTGAACGCCGTCAATCACAAGAACGTCGATGCTTTCTTGGTGATCGGCCATAACCCTGTCAGCCGCAAGAGTAGTAGCAACACCCTGCAGACCGTTTACGAGGCCATTCGTGCTATCAAACCCGAAACTCCTATTCAAATGTTCGGTGGCCACACTCACATCCGCGACTTTGCAATCTATGATGATAGGTCTGTTGGCATGGAAAGCGGAAGATACTGCGAGACTTTGGGCTTTTTGTCTATGAGCGGTATCGAATCAAGCCACTACCGTGGTAAGGTCAACCCCAAGGGTGTGCCAAACCCGACTATGAAAGCCAAGAAGGTGAGCACTGCTTCAGCTTCTGCAAGCATTGCGTCTTCTACAGGCTCTTCCAACATGACATTCTTCCGCCGCTATCTCGACTGGAACCGCATGACATTCGAGTACCACGCCGAAGGCAGTCAGACCAAGGCTTTCGACACCACCAAGGGTCTTGCTGTGACGGAAAATATCACAGCCACTCGCAAGGAGTTGAACCTGACTAGTATTTACGGCTGTGCACCTCAGACTTGGTGCCTTAGCTGCGCACCATTCATGTCTGAAGGCTCAATCTACTCTCTGCTCGCCACAGCTCTTTCCGCTACCATCATCACAGAGGAGCGTGCCAGCAAGCCTCGTCTCATTATTACCAACAGTGGTATGTTGGAGACGATCTGTATGAACCGTAGCGGTGCTGACAGAAATCCACAGGCCACATCAGATTTGATCTTGCCGAGGGAGCATTCGACTACGACTCCAGCTTCAGTAAGCAGCCATACATACCGACTATCGTCAAATTACCTGCTAACTATGTAATAGTCGTTTCGCCGTTCACGGATGCTTTCAACTACCTTCCCGACGTGCCTTACCACCTCGCTAGTCAAGTGCTCGCAGCTCTCGAAAGTGGAGACTACCCATCCAAACGAGACCTTTCCACAGAATCATTCGGTTTCACCCAAATGAACCCCTCGCTCGATAGCTGCATCGACCCTCCTGTGACCCGCGACAATCTCATCACCAAGCGTTCTTACCCGGGCGGCCGCATCATCAGACGTCAAACCACCACCACACCCGGCTATGTCACCACCGACGACTTCGGCAGCGACGGCGATGACACCGTTCACTCCAAGATCCCCTACTACTCGGTCCCTAACTTTTTCCAAGCTAATGGCAGTCTTCCTGCCAATGGCACTTTGGCCGCTGATGCCACGGTCGACCTGATCTTTTTGGATTATGTCGCTGGTAGTGTTGTGAAGGCCCTTAACGGATTGGGTGGAGATTACACTGATGAGGAAGTTACCTATTATTTGCCCAAGGTAAGTTTCCTCCGTCGTTTTGAACATGAACGGATTCGATAACTGACCATTTCGGAACAGAACTTCACTACCAACTCGTACTTGCCCGCATACGCAAAGATGGCTCCCGAATGGCAGGCTAATGTCCCCAACTGCCCTGTCGGCTTGGGCATTGGTTACAACATCACCTCGTAGTTCATCAGATTCGAGGATGTAGACAGGTAGCAATTGAGCAATCATTTTGGAGACGTCAGAGAGAGAGAAAGAGCCTCTAAGACTACAAAAAAGAAACACCATTGGAATCTTGGCCAGTCTCATGGCCAGAAGTAACATGTAAAAGTAAACACATTCATTTGGAAGCCCATGTCATTTGATCGGTCTAAAGGCATTCGAGTAAAACAAATTCATGACAACTTAGTCATTTCTTATCATGTGTCTGAATGAAAAACGAAAACGGTGCTATGCCTTACTTCTCTGTTCCTTTTAGTTATCCTATATTTCTCATAATCAAAAAGAACTAAAACACTGGGGATGCCTTTTGACCCGAGCATCCTAATGCATCAAACCAGAAGTAAAGCAAGGTGGATGATGAAACAGTTCGAAGAAAGAGGAGCTTAATCCTCGGTGGGATCTCCATACTCCCACTGACCACGTCTGTTCTCCTTGGCCTCGGCCTCACGCTCTTGCAAATCAGCAAGGATGTCTCCAGCGGCGCGCTCCCAAGTCTTGAGCTTCTTGGGGACCATGGCGAAACCTTCAGAGACGAGATCAGCGTTGACGCTCTCGTTCAAGCTATCGCTCTGCTTGGGATCGAATAGTGTGACGTAAAGGGTACCCTCGCGAGAGTCAATGTAGTCGACGTTTGCAACGAGTTGGCGGTCGGCAGTAGAGTCACTGATGATGTTGACGGCTTCGCGGAGGTATTCAGGGGCGGTGGGGAATTGGAGGAAGGAGAAGGCGGCGTCGAGGGCTTGAGCGCGGAGTTTTTGGATGCCGAAGCGGCCTTGGTCGAGTTGGCGGAGCTGCGACCAGGGGATTGTTTCGCTGTTGCCGTAGTCGATGAAGACGACTTCTGCGGTCTTGTTTTCGCGATCATTGCGGCGGATGCGGGCGCGGTACCACTCATTGTCTTCACTGAATCTTGCTGATACAAAGTCGCCGGCCTTGGGGGCTTGTTCGAGAGGCTTGTTGGCGGAGGATGAGATGTGGAAGTTGCGGAAAAGGTTCATGAGATCGGTCACTGCGTGTTTGTTAGCAAGTGTTTCGCAACACAAGAAATGGATAAGGACTTACGGGCTGCGGTACCAGTTCCAATCTCTTGGATCTTGATACGTCCATTGGTCGGGTCAATGTTAGTGACAACGACATCACGGTAGTCCTTGCGGCGCTCGACTTGAGCATCACCATTCAGGCCAACAGCACCAGCAGAAGCGTCGTACTCTTCGCCTTCCTCAGCAATCTCCTTCGAAGGGTCCCAGTCGTGCCACATGCCACGTCTGGCCTCCTTGGCTCTTTGCTCAGCAGCGAAGAGCTCGCCGGCATTGCCCGACTTCTCTGCGCTGTAGGCGTGGACCGAAGCCAGACCTTCCTCAACAAGCAGCTTAGCGAAGCTTTCACGGTTGATGTACAGTTGGCCGATGAAGCCTCCAACCTTGTCGGTACCCTCGACGTCGATTTCGACATCACGTTGTTGGCATCTGCGGTTGGCGAATTCATGTGCCTCCTGACCAAAGGGCTCGCCCTTCTCGGTAGGGTTGCGAGCTGAACGAGGTGCGGTGATACCGGAAAGGACGAAGGTAAGTTTGGCATTCTCACGAGGCACCAAAACAGTGAATCTGCTTCCGCTCTTGACAAAGTCAACAACAGCGGGTACCTTTCTTTGGCGAGACAGGAGGGTGAGCTGACGCTTGGCTTGGTCGACGGATGCGCTGTAGTCGACGTATTCGGTCTTCTTGGGAGGCTTAGGGTTCCACATGCCCTTGCCCGCAGTCTGGGCAGCCTCTTCGGCGGCAAGGAGCTCGTCGTAGATGGGCGAACGGTCAGTGTCGTCCATACGGTGTCTAATGACCGAGGCGTATCCCTGTTCAACGAGCGAAAGACCCACGTTCTCGTCGTTGAGAGTGACAGTGGCCATCTCGCGTTCATCGAAGCCTTCGGTAGCGGGTCTCTTGCCATCGATGGTGACCTTGACGTGCTTTCCAATCAGACGCTTACGCAGGAACTCCTTGGCCTCGGCACCGAAAGGAGATTGCTTGGGATCCGAAGGCTTGGGCTGGCGAACACTGCTGAGGTTAACACGCTTCTCAGCGCCGGCCTTGTTGCGAAGGTAAAGAGTATCGGCAGAGAAGACGCGGCTGACAGTGGCTTCGATCTGGCCTGTACCGGCCGACCTTTGCGAAACGTGGCCCTCGAACAGGCCCAATTTGTTATCGCGGGCATGACGTTCGGCTTGTCTCAACTTGGCCATCTCCGGACCGAGCCATGTCGAGTGGTGATCGGTGCAGCGGGCAAGTCCAGCCTTGAGAAGGAACTCGGCAATGCTGCCCATGGGATGTCTGACTTCTCCGACCAGAAGGTTGTTGGGTGAGACGCCGAGAATGCGGACCTGGACACCGCGTTGCAGTAGTCTCTCCTCGACGAAGCGGTGTGCTTCGGTACCAAAAGGCTCTGCGGGTTGCTCTGATTGATCGGATGGGTTGATTCGTTTGGTGGCAGGGGCGCGTACGCCGGCAAGCAAGACAATGGTTTGCGTGTGCTTGGTGGGCTGGACCAACAGGCGACAGATGAGACGGTCTGCACTCAGGACACGCTCGACGATGGCGTCAATGGGCTGACCCTTGTAAGCTTCGGAGAAGGCTCTTGGGTCTGACAAGTCGTGGACGTTATCGATACGTTGTGGGTTGGGGTTCCAGAGGCCCTTCTCGTCGACCTTGGCATGGCTCTCGAGAGCTTGCAATCTCTCGAGCAACTCTGTGCCCTGTGGTGTATCCTCCTTTTTGCCAGCGTCATCTCTCAGCTTGACCAGACCTTCACGAACGACGAGATCGAGAAGGTGCTTGCCGCTTTGCAGGATGATGACACCGTAATCGCGAGGTGAAGGCGTAGGAACATTGTAAAGAACACTGAATCTCACAACCTTGCCGACACAGAGCTTGCGGACGAAGTCTCTGGACTCGAAGGCACCGGGCTCATCACCTTCTCTGCGTATCCTAGGAGCACTGACAAAGGCCAAGCTCAGGGTGCGTTCTTGAGAAGGGTTCTTGATGTTGTGCAGGACGAGAGTGTCGCCAGAGAGCACGCTCTTGACCTTAGCCTCCATAAGAGCCATGATTGGATGCGTGACAGTAGATTGCGAGGTGGAAGGTACGGTATGCTGAGAGAATTGGTCAATTGCTGTTGGTTGCAAGGGATTGGTGGCGAGTGTAGGAGGGGTCGTGGGTTGTGTGGACTCGTGGCCAGGGCTTCGAAAGGGTCTCGTGCTCACCAGTGGGTCGATTGCAGCTGCAAAACGCAATCCAGTATATCGTCAATGCCGTATATAAGAGTCGAGTCGGATAGAAGGATGCTCGTTCAAGATGAAGCAATTGCTCTTGGAAACAAAAAGCACTTGATACAGAAGCTCCAAGGGTTCAAGGAGGTCGAGAAACATAGAGACCACTTGTCGATGTGGGGTGAGCTCCAAGCGTCAGTGCGCTAATGAAGCCCACCATAACGAGTCTCTGCTCTTCCCTCCTGTTCGATTCATCAGGCCGAAGCTAAGCTGAAGACTGCGTCCAAGTTCAGAGGAAGGATTGTAGGAAATGATCGCGTGTGTCCAAAGATACGAACATGCTTGTTGCAGAACTCCATGTACGCACAGCAAACACGTTAAACCAACAAACGGCAAGAAGCATGTGCATTGCCGCCACGAGAGCTGTGCAACTCGAGACATAATCATTGTGCACTCGGGACATAGTAGAAGTAACAAAGGACTTCAAAATCGTTGTTTCTTCGATTTAATCATCAACTGTACAATTTACGGCGTCAATCAACACAGCCATTCCAATACTACTACTCATTCCTCATTATAAACGAACAGCTTACGAGGCGATACCAATGACACCTGGGTATCGTGTTAGTAACCGCATTGAGACAAAACTCTTTATGAAAGACTTACCGCAAGCAGGACGGGGACCAGCGTTACCGGTCTTCTTGCTCTCCTCGTGGCCACCCTTGCCGAGGTCGTCAGTGCCAGCGTGGACGACGATGGTGCGACCAAGGACGCTCTCGGGGCCGATCAGCTTGATGAGCTTGTCGGTGACAGAGCCCTTAGCGTTACCCTGGCCATCGGTCTTGAAGTTGCCCAAGTCACCAACGTGGCGCTCGTCATCTTCGGGGGCACCGTGGGTCTTGCCGTGGGGGTTGACTGCCCATACATGAGTATGTCTATCTTAAGTTGTTCGTGTCGAGTGAGAAGACTCACAGTGGGGACCAGCGGAGGTGCAGCCGTTGGTGTTGTCACCGAAGGCGTGAACGTGCATACCACGCTCGGCGTTGGCATCGTGGCCGGTGATGTCCCATGAGATGGTGGTGTCGGCACCCTCAGAGGCCTGCTCGAAGGTAACGGTACCGGAGACCTTGGAGTCTCCACGGAGGACGGCAACTGTAAGTCAGGTCGTTAGCTGCTGTTGACGACTGCACCTTTCGAGCCGCGAACGAGTCCCAACTCCGGATCTGTCAGAGCCGCTGACCATCAAGAGCAAGGTAGGAGGAGCACAGAGCTAGTGTTGGATATCACATAGCCGCCTTCGATGCCATTGGATAACCGTTGGCTACCAAGGATACCTTGGTGGACAGGATGTGCGTGGAACCTGCTCATCGCCCTTGTCCGACCCCACTTTGGCTCTTTCCAGCTCGACATAGATCCGATCTCGAACCGCAGCTCCTCCTGCGCGTGTCCACATACCTGCTTTGACCATTTTGATTGATTTAGAGCTGTGCTTTTCGGGTTTGTCTTAGAGGTGAGGATGGAGGTTGGAGATAGCTTGAAGACGTGCTCGAAGTGTTAATGAATGCCAAGAGCCCCGCCCCTCTTCGGCATACTTTCGTCAGCGGCCGAAGCTCCCGAGCCTCAAGTTTGTCACTCATGAAGCCGTGGAATCGGACGATTGTCTTTTGCGAGAATTCTTAGTCTAGAGAGAGAACACTATGTGATTTTTTCCATACCTGTCGCAGTCCTGCTTTGAGCATCTTGTCTCTCAACCAAGAATTCATGGACAGTTGCTTCAGCAGCACAGTAGAAGTGACAAACTTTAGCGCACGGGAGGGAAGGAGCCCCATCGCTGTTTCCGCTCTTAACTCCGTCGTGGTTCGCCACGTTTCGCTCGGCTTCTGAGTGCTGATGATAGTGGGCAGGTACGTCAGGCCAAACAAAACATGTGGAATTTTTTTTGAGAGAAATGTTGCTGAATAATTAATGAACGATGTTCGTAAAGGAAGAGAAGTCTGCAACGCATCACAGTAGACAAAACGAACTCTGAGTTGTAAGAACGACAACAGGGGTATTTTAATTTTGTGTTGTACGTGAAAAGAAAAAGTCATGTCGCAGCAGTCATCATATGCACATCCCCGCCCTAAGCATCATCGTGTCGAGAGATTTAAGCCTTCTGGAGCTTCTCCTTGAGGATATCCTTAAGAGTGACGGCGTCAGCAGCGAACTTGCTGATACCCTCGCTGAGCTTGTGGACGGCCATGGGGTCCTCGTTGAAGTCGAAACGGAACAGAGGCTCGTCGTTGAGGTACGACTTCTTCTCGAGGTCGAGCTTGCTGGCGGAGTCGGCGTTGAGCTTCTGGGGAACCTCGTCCTTGCTGTTGTACATCTCCTCGAGGAGGTTGGGCTGTGGATGGTGTTAGTGAGGGATGCAGATGCACAATTTTTGCAACAACTTACGGAGATAGTAAGGTAATCGCAACCGGCGAGCTCAGTGATCTCACCAACGTTTCTGAACGAAGCGCCCATGACGATGGTCTTGTAGCCGAACTTCTTGTAGTAGTTGTAGATCTCGACAACGGACTTGACACCGGGGTCCTCCTCCTTCTTGTACTCCTTCTTGTGGTTGGCCTTGTACCAGTCAAGGATACGGCCAACGAAGGGAGAGATAAGGAAAGCACCAGCCTCAGCGGCAGCAATGGCCTGGACAGGAGAGAACATCAAGGTCAAGTTGGTGTTGATGTCGTACTTGGACTGCAAGATGTGGGCAGCCTTGATACCCTCGTAGGTAGAGGCAATCTTGATGAGGATGCGGTCCTTGGAGATACCGGCCTCCTTGTAGAGCTGTTGGGTGTCAGTCAAGCTCGAGCGGTGGTTTGCGCAATGGTGGAACATACCTCGATGATACGGAGAGCCTTCTTGACGGAGGCCTCAGTGTCGAAAGAGAATCTGGCATCGACCTCGGTGGAGACCTTGCCGGGAACGATCTGGAGGATCTCCTTACCGAACTGGACGAGGAGAGCGTCGAGGACAGCGTCGACCTGAGCGTCAATGTCCTTGCCATCGGCGTGGTCCTTTCCGTACTTGACAGCGTTGTCAATAAGCTTGGCATACTCGGCCTTCTTAGAGGCTGCCAGGATCAGGGAAGGGTTGGTGGTGGCATCCTGAGGCTTGTACTTGTCAATGGTAGCAAAGTCACCGGAGTCGCAGACAACCACCTGGTGAGCGCGTTAGCAATGTGTCGGCATTTGACCCCTCCAAGGGGGTTTAGTGAGCTCGGAACATACGGTGCCAGTGGCCTTGAGCTGATCGAGAGAGCTAGACATGATGTGTTATGAGTGTGGAGAGTGAGGTTGTGATAGAGAGATGGAAATGTGTGTAGGAAAGAAGGTCAAGTTTCAATTGTTGTTGGGAGAAATAAAAGCAGCCAGCGAGCCCCGCGCTTATGTCAATCCGACTCACCCAAAGGACTCGTCGGCCAAAGCGAAGCCTCAGAGAAGGGCAAGGGTCCCCGAAGCATCCGCCACCAAGTTCGTCACTAGGTTCACTTCAACCTTCGAACTTCTTCCTTTCACGTGGGCAGGCTAAATTGGCCGAGCGCTCCGAAACTTGGGTTTGCGTCTCGCATTTCCTAGGATCGCCCGCCGGGACCGCAGCCGCTTGCCTGACTCACCAAACGGTTGCTGTAGCACGTCTTGCGAGCGAGCGTCTTGGCCACTGTAAGGCCGAGAAAGAGGGAGCGGTGACCGACATCATCGCACGATGACGACGGTCCTCTCACCAAACATGTAACACCGAGCACTTGAATCGTTGGGCTGGTTATTTTGAAAAAGGAATGCATTCTTTTGCTCAAGGCGAGGCCTTTGTTTCTCTATCTGATCATGCCCAGGCCCTGTGATTGGATTCCTCCATTATCGGACCACTGCCGCCGAATCAACTATTCAGCCGGTAGAATTCAAAGGCTGCAAGGCAAACAGGCACGAGCTTTGGCCAACGTCGGCCTTTGAGTGCATCTCCGCCCGGCGCCTGCTTCTGTTTTTCCGCGGTTGTATCTTTCTTCCTCCAGCCGATAAAAGTCTACAATCCTGAAGAACTGCTGACTCTTTGTCGTTGTTATGGAAAACGTTTACATGTACAGATGCATGACAATGTAGCCATGCGTTGGCAGGTGGCGAGCACTGCATGTGATCGTAATTGTGTCGTGAGGTATGTTATTGACCCTTGCGACTTACGCAAGTGGACGAAAAAGCATCATATCAGCAGCTTTCAAAGACCGAAGTCTCGATTGCTGGACGGTTTACTTCATATCAGTCCAAGAATGTTAGAACGATCTTGCACGAAATCTCTTCGGTATTGGGCAACGCGCGTAGCCACAGCCTCGGTCTCGAGATTGCCATCATTTCTCATCTGCTGTAAGATGTCTCTCAGGCCCTGTCTATATTCTGCGATTGTTCCGGGTTTTCCGTTCAAGCCCATCTGAAGGAGTAGTGCATCGTCTGTAATGTCAGTGCCCTACGTCAGCTACCGCACCATGGAGAATCAGAATGGGTTGTAGATGTTTCATCGACCACATTGTGCCAAGCATGCGTGGGTCGCCGATTGGGAGCAACAGGTCGAAAAACGGATGGATGCGTGAACGAAGAATGAGGAATGAACAAAGGAAATTTAGGAGGTCGCGCCCTCGGACGCACCAGACACGGCCATGTCGCGGAAGTGTTGATATTCACACGAGCTGTCGTTGCAAACACCACGTGCAACTTCGAAGCGGCAAAGCTCCTTGTTGGGATCGATCTGGTGACTGAACGTCAACGAGCGATACCCGCCTTGCACTTCACGAGGATAGTCGGGATGGAAGCGATAGCCCTTGAAGTTCTTGAGCACACTTTCATATGGTTTGAAAGTTGTGCCGCTAGAAGGTGTGGCTTTGACCTGTGAAACTGTCAGCATACGCTGAATCCCGTTCGTTAAACTTACCGCTTCGGAAACGCCGACTTGCTGCTCGGCAGTCGGCTGTAGTTCAGGAGCTAGATCGTCAGCGAGGTTTGTTCTGCTGGTTTCGCTGGATTGCGACTGGGGTATGGGCGAAACAGGAACGGCGGCAGGCTCTGGCGAATACTCTTCAGAAGATGCATCCGAGCTTTCGAGGTCCATTCTATCTTCATCCTCATCCCCAGAAGATGTCGCGTCCGAATCAGGAGCATCGTCCACTGATGAACCGGCGGGGGCATCCTCTGGCTGCTTGGTGGAAGGGGCCGCAGCATTGCTCACGTTGTCCTCACTGTCATCTTCAGAGTCTGTAGAGATGTCCATGTCATCTTCACTGCTGCTGCTGCTGCTGCTGCTGTTGGAGGAAGCGGAACTCGGCTCGGGAGACGGAGAGGGCGGCAGCTGTGGTTCGAACTTCGACATCTGGATAGAGACTTTACGAGTCTGTATATGATGTCCACTGAGCTGGTCAATGGCAGCAACGGCTTGTGAGAGGGGAAGTTTGACGAAACCAGATCCCGTGCCTGTCTTGCGGGTCGAGTGCCGCGGAAGATGTATGCGTTGTCTGAAGGAGATCTAGGTCAGCCAATGTGTGCTCGAATTCGGAAAGGTTCTCTTACACGTCGAAAGCTCCAAAAAAGGAGCGGACGATGTCCTCAGTCGCCATAGGAGGTACATTTCTAACAAATAGCCATACAGGCTCGTCTTGAGGTTCGGTGAATTCGGGTTCCGCGCTCGTGGGCTTGCTGAAACCGCTGGCTGCTTCAGATTCAGGATTCATACTGGCAGAGGCGTCCGTAGGTATCTGGATATTGGATTGAGGGACTTCGGCTTCCTCGTCCTCAGAATCCGAGCTTTCGGACATACTAGAGCCTGAATCGGATTCAGAGCTAGACTCTGACACTTCGATTTGGTTTTGCTCTGCTTTGGCACGATCGGCTCTAATTTCCTCAAGAACTCTAGCACGTCCAGGACTTGATGCTGTTGCGTCTCTGTGTCTCTGAGGAGATTGTGCGATTGGTCGGCTAATCGTTGGCGCGTCGTCCGAAGAGTCATCAGACTCGCCTTCGCTCATGGAAACATCTGTGTCGTCCTGAGTTTGAGTCACTTCGACGGTTCCAGGGCCGTTCGAAGCAAGGCCGGCAGCCTGCATCTCATGAAGATCATCGATCTCTTGCTTCTTGGCTTCCATCTCGAACTGGGTCATTCCTTCAGTGTTGACATCAAGGCTTTCTAATTCCTCACGAAGCTTTTGTTGATTCTCCATATCTTGGTCATACTGTCTCTGCATTTCGGCCACTTGTCTTTGCATCTCCAGGATTCTAGCCTTTTGATCAACAATGTCTGCGCTGCGTGCTGTCAAGGCTGCGTTGAGTTCAATGCGTCGATCCACGGAGTCCCTAGACCCGCTGACGGCTAATGCAGTGATAGATGGTTTTGCGGCATTGGGTGTAGGAAGCGCAGTAGTCTTTTCAGAGCCTGAGGCAATCTGCGAAGGAGTCTGGGGTTGACTCTGCAAGGCATGTGCTTTGGCTTTGATCGCGGCCTTGCGCTTCTCGAAATCCTTGATTCTTTGATTGAGCGAATTGATTTCCAATTCTTTCCTTCGCAGCTCCTCGGCTTCACTCGATATCCCAGGGGTGCCCAATGGTGGCGTAGGAGCACCTGATTGATTGGTGAAAGCTGCTGAGCGTTGAGGGAAGTCTCGAAGAGGTGGTAGATCACGAATGTTTTTGTCACGCTGGCCTGTGAGAATCGCACTGGCTTTGACAGGAGGCTTTGCACTTCTCAGCTCATCATCGTCGTCAGATGTGTCTTCATCATCGCTGACCTGAATGATCATCCCTCCATCAAAGCTATTGTGTCTGCTTCTTCCAAACGGTCTCTTGAATGGACGGTGGTCGTTGATGACTTGAGCCTCGTTCAGATCCGATGCAACTGGTCGCTTTCGAGCGACAGATGCAGAGGCGGTAGTACTAGGCTGAGGTGTGGAAGTATTCGACGAGTTTGTCGACGCACTAGAGAATGATGGAGCCGCAGAGAGCGCAGACTGGACTTGCGGTTGGGGTTGTGGAGATTTTGCCGTGGCAGTCGACATGCGTAGACCAGGAATCAAGCTACCAATTGCACTTTGAGAGGATGCCAAGGGTGTGTTCCCGAAAGAATTTGAGGGCGAAGTAGGTGTAGGCTTGGGTTGGCTCTGGAGCGTGGCATTTGAAGTAGGTAATGCGATTGATGCTGGAGAGGCAGGAGTGCCGCTGTTGGCCAAGCGACGTTGAGTTGCCTTCAAAGCCTCCATCTTCTTGCGGATGAGCTCAGTGGTCTGAGACTGCTTGTTGGAGGTCGGCGGAGGTTTTGATTGGGCTTGGGATGGAATCGCGACTGGTGGTGTCACGATCTCTTCTTTGGCCGGAGGAGTCGCAGACTTGGCAGACTGCACGGGTTGCTTCGAGGGCACAGCTTCGGCCTTCTTGTTCTTCGCAGCTTGCAGGCGAGCAAGGTAGTCTTGCCGGCTCATTGGAGCGACTTGTTTGGCGGGCACAACTGGCTTTACTTCCTTAACGGGGGCCACGGGAGAAGGCTGGGCAACAGGGCTAGTCACAATCTTTGCTGGAGCGGTTTCTGCGAGAGGTGCGTGTGCACTGAGAGCTTGCTCTTGAGCAGTGGATATTTGCAAATCTTGATAGACTTGACGGAGTAAATTCTCCTCAAAGCCTTCACGGACAAATTCGTCAAAGGTGAAGCCCTCCTGGTGCAGGGCGGCAATGAAAGGCAAGACAGCGTCTCTCTTCTGCTGCAGAGAAACCTGACTTACATCGGGATTGTTCTTTGCGAGAGTCGAGGGTGTGCTAGGCTGATGGGGAGCTGTACGGTGTGCCAATTGAGAGGCACGCGACTTTCGCTTCTTCGAACCAGGCGCAGTTGGTACGCGGCTGGGGCGTCCAGACACATCACTGACTTCACCCTCCTCGCGGTCGATGTCCATATGCGATGGTACAGCAGTCGGTGTCGGCAGGCTCTGACCGACAGGAGTCTGCGTCGGAACATGGGGCGGAAAGGGCACTGGTGCAAAGGCAGCATTCGGCTGGAAGGTCTGTGGTGGTGGTGGCGGCGGCGGCGGCGGAGGAGGAAAGGGAAAAGTGCCAGCTTGAAGATGAGTTAACAATGCAGCCATTTGCTGAGGTGTGATGTTCAGGGCCTGCAGCTCTGGCGGTAATGCCATGGTCTGTCCTGCAGTCGATGGAGGAAGAGGAGGCGGTGGTGGATAGCTGGAAGGATGCGCAGAAGGTGAACCAGCGGCAGGAGGCCACGGAGGAAAGTGCGCCATGTTGTGCGGAGGGTCAGGTCGCGAGTGAAGCAGGAGCGTGCGATCAAGTGTGGAAAGCGCGATGATGCTCACGCAAGGCACAGAAAAATGGCGGCTGGACGCGATGAATGGATATTATATCCAAGCGCGTCAAAAGCCGATGACTATGCAGCTGGGTATGACCAGTGTACTGCCTGTACAAATGATCGATCGCGACTTGTCAAGACGTGACGTTGATAGGAAGAAGTGCAAGGGCATCCAGATTCCTTTCGCGAAGGAGTTTCAGCGAAACGACGTGCGGGTAGAAACGAGGCGGCCCGCTTGATCGGGAAAGCGGAATTAAGGTGGACGCTAGCGATAAACACGTAAACAGTTGCATGTGCCTGCCCAAAACAACAGCCTTCTTCATTGCGACCAACGCCCTTATCTCGCTATTGCAGAGTCTGTACCGCCAGCAGCATTCGTCTGTACATAATATCCTATTTCCTGGAAATGTCGCTCTAGAAGCTCGTCATTGCTCAATCCATACGCCCACATGCGAGCCTCTTAATCACCACCAGCGTCGCATTATACTAACCAAACAGTGAACACCACAAATGGCTATAGCCACACCTTCTGGGAGCCAGCGCTGGCGAGACAGCTCCTACGGTACTACCAATGGTACTCCCTCTCCAGGTCCGCCCCCGGGACATGCCCGGTCTCGATCATCAGTCCTACCGCCTCCGATGTCACCGCCAACCTCCAACGGACATGCTCGTCACCAATCTTTCGCAGAGCTCGGCTTTGGCTCTCTAGAACGCGGTCTCTCGCGGAGAGGCTCAATACGTCCTCCTCCGACAGGCACCTTTGCTCCCAAGTTCATCAAGGCCGAAGGTCTGGATGGGGCCGAAGAAAAAATTGGAGGCATAGAGGGTGAAAATGATTTCTCGGGCAAGCGCTATGTCTGGGTTAAGGATACCGAACATGCTTTTGTCCGTGGCTGGGTTCTTGAGGATTTGGCCGACGGTCAATTGCGAGTCCAGTGTGACGACGGAAGCGTATGTCTTGCCCACTTATGTTTGCCTACCTCCCACTGACACGCCCAAGCAAAGGGATGTAGATTCCGAGTCCGTCGACAAGGTCAATCCTGCCAAGTTCGACAAGGCCGACGATATGGCTGAGCTCACTCATTTGAACGAAGCCTCAGTCGTGCACAACCTGCACATGCGCTATCAAGCCGACCTCATCTATACCTACTCCGGTCTCTTCTTGGTCACAGTCAACCCCTATTGTCCTCTTCCTATCTACGGTCGCGACTATGTCAATATGTATAAAGGCAGAAGCCGAGAAGACACCAAGCCACATATTTTCGCCATGGCCGACGAGGCCTTCAGAAACCTGGTTGATGAGGGATCCAACCAGAGTATCCTTGTCACTGGTGAATCTGGTGCAGGAAAAACAGAGAACACAAAAAAGGTCATTCAGTACCTTGCTGCAGTGGCTACATCAGATACACCTCGTGCTAAGAACACCACGAGACAACTCTCCAACTTGTCGGAACAAATTTTGAGGGCTAATCCTATTCTTGAAGCCTTTGGTAACGCTCAGACAGTCCGAAACAACAACTCTTCAAGATTTGGCAAATTCATTCGTATCGAATTCACACGGGCGGGTCAAATTGCTGGTGCCTTCATCGACTGGTATCTCCTGGAGAAGAGTAGAGTCGTGCGTTTGAATTCTCAGGAACGCAACTACCACGTTTTCTATCAGCTTCTTTGTGGTGTTGACGATGCTACTCGCCGCGAGTTCCTCCTTGATGGGATGGAGCTCGAAGACTTCGAGTACACCAAGCAGGGCAACGACGTCATCTCTGGTGTTTCCGACAAAGATGAATGGAACTTGCTGATCGAGGCCTTCCATGTCATGGGCTTCGATGATAAGGCCCAGACATCGATTCTACAGACAATTGCTGCTATTCTCCATTTGGGCAACATCACGGTCGCAAAAGAGAGCATGCGTGCAGATCAAGCGTCTCTAGCGGCCAACGCCATGGAGAGTGTCGAAAAGTTCTGTCGATTGGTTGGCATTGCCGCTGAACCATTTGTCAAAGGCTTGCTCCATCCCCGTGTAAAGGCTGGCAGAGAATGGGTCGAGAAGGTTCAAACGCCAGAACAGGTCCGTCTCGCAATCGATGCCTTGGCTAAGGGTATCTACGAACGTGGTTTTGGAAATCTTGTGGACCGTATCAACAAACAGCTGGATCGATCTGGATCTGGAATGGATGATACGTTTTTCATTGGTGTTCTGGATATCGCTGGTTTTGAGATCTTCGAGGAGAACAGCTTCGAGCAGCTGTGCATCAATTACACCAACGAAAAGTTGCAGCAGTTCTTCAACCACCATATGTTTGTTCTGGAACAAGAAGAGTATGCTCGCGAGCAGATTGAATGGAAGTTCATCGATTTCGGCAAGGATTTGCAGCCCACCATCGAGCTTATCGAAGTCACCAACCCCATCGGTATCTTCTCTTGTCTGGATGAGGACTCTGTTATGCCTAAAGCCACCGATAAGTCGTTCACCGAAAAGCTGAACTCTCTTTGGGATCGCAAATCGTCCAAATATCGCCGATCTCTGTTGAAGCAAGGATTCACCTTGACGCATTACGCCGCCGATGTTGAGTACTCCACCGAAGGCTGGTTGGAAAAGAACAAGGACCCTATGAACGACAACGTTACTCGACTCCTTGCCGCTTCTACCAACAAGCACGTAGCTCAGCTCTTTTCTGACTGTCAAGACAATGAAGAGGAAGCAGGAGCAACCAGGAGTCGTGTCAAGAAGGGCCTTTTCAGGACAGTGGCCCAGAAACACAAGGAGAACTTATCGACTCTCATGAACCAGCTGCACTCGACTCATCCCCACTTCGTCAGATGTATCCTTCCCAACCACAAGAAGCGTCCAAAGCAATTTAGCGCACCGCTGGTTCTTGATCAGCTTCGCTGCAACGGTGTTCTCGAAGGTATTCGTATCGCGAGAACTGGTTTCCCGAACAGACTGCCTTTCGCAGAGTTCCGCTCTCGTTACGAGGTGCTTTGCGCGAAAATGCCCAAAGGTCCGCTCGAAGGTCAGGTCGCTGCGAAGTTGATTCTCGAGAAGCTGAACTTGGATGCATCTTGGTACCGCGTTGGTCTCACAAAGGTATTCTTTAGAGCTGGAGTCCTTGCCGAACTTGAAGAGCAGCGTGATGCGCTCATTCGAGAAATCATGGAAAGGTTCCAAGCTGTTGCGCGAGGCTACATTCAAAGACGCATTGCGCACAAGAGGCTGTACCGCGCCGAAGCAACTCGCATCATCCAGAGCAACTTCAAGGCATATCAACAGATGCAGGCCAACCCCTGGTGGGGTCTGTTTGTGACCATGAGACCGCTTCTCGGAGCCACCCGACAGTCAAACGAAGTCAAGAAGCGTGAAGAAGAGATTCAAAAGCTTCAAGAGAGGATGAGACAGGAAGAAGAGAGCAGACTCAAGATCGAAGATGAACGCAGGCGCGCTGAATCCGAAATTCAAAAGATACAGCAAACGCTCGAAAGTGAGAGGTCACTCGCGCTGGACAAGGAAGACATCTTCCGCAGACTACAAGACCGAGAGTCTGAGTTAAGCGAGAAGCTCCAGGGCGCGCTTGATGACCAGGAGAGGCTTGAAGATCAGCTGGAAGCACTCATGGGGGCTAAGAAAAGAGCAGAAGAGCAAGCCGATGAATGGCATCGACAAGTAGAACAAGCAACTTTGATCATCACCAAGCTAGAAGACGAGAAGACCGAGCTTAGTTCCCGACTCACCGCCTTGGATGCTCAGCTTGTCGAAGTTGAGAATTCTCGCTCGCAGACGACTGAGTTAGAAGAGAAGCTTAGTCAAGAGATCAAGATGCTTCAGAGCCATGTAAGCCTCAAGGATCGCAAGCTTCAAGACATGGAGGCCAAGATGCTCGAAAACGACCACGAGCTTGATATGAAACTTTCCACTGTTACCAAGGACGCACAGGACTCGAAGAAGAAGATCAAGGACCTAGTAGAAGAGAACCGCACTATTCGCCAACAGATGTCCGAGCTCGCCTCAACTTCTTCCAGCTACGAGGACCTTATCAGACGAAAGGATAGCGAGCTTGCCATTCTCAAGACCGACCTCAAGAGATTCCAAGATGACCGCAAGCGATTCGAGGATGAAAAACATGCTCTGACGAGTCAGCACAACAGCATCCAGAGCGAATTACGAGGAACTTTGGCGGAGATGGAAGCCATGACTTCGCAGAAAGCACAGCTTGAGCGTGAGGTTGCAGATGCGAAGAGGGCCTTGGAAGACAAGACCTCTGCAGACGCACAGGCCGAGATGCTGCAGAATCAGATTGAGGACCTCAAGAGCGAGCTTTTCGCAGTACAAACTGATCTGAGCCGAGAGCGTCAATCTCGTGACGATGTCAAGAAGATTGCTCAGAGCGAGTACGAAACGCTCAAGCGCGAGTTCGATGCCCTTAACGACTCGAAAGTCACCATCGAGAAGGAAATGTATGCTCAATCGGACGTCACACGGAGAGCAAACGAGGCCCGCGTCGCTGCAGAGAAGGAGCGCAAGGACTACCAATCTGATCTTCAAAGCCTGAGAAAACAATTCCTCGATCTGCAGGAGTCTAAGATTGAGGCTGAAGCAGTTGTTGAACGCAACTTGACTCGTCAGGCGAATGAGCGACAAGCTCTTCTTCGACGCGATATGCAAAATATGGAAAGACAGGTTGAAGATCTCGAGACCGACAAAAGCAAGTTGGCGTCAGAGGTGCAAAATCTCAAGGAGTTCATCTCTGGCAACGATTCGTTCCGACTTCATCAAGATCAGCACAAAGAACGTCTCGAGCGTGAATTAGTCACCATCAAAGGTCGCCTGGCGGCGTCCGAGAACGACAACCGTGCGTTGCTGAACAAGCTTCAGCAGAAGAACTTGGACATCGCTCGGTCCAACTCGCGTGCTGTCGATACACAGCGATCCAAGATCAATCAACTCAATGCCGAAAAGACCAACGCGGAAGAAAATGCGAAGAAACTCATGCGTCAACTTGAAGATGCACACCTGACAATCAACTCGTTGGAAAAGCAGAAAGAGAAGCTCACTCTGAGTTTGGAGGATCTCAACCATGAGATCACCCGCGAACACCGCACTACCAGGAATGCTGAGCAAGCTTCTTCAAGTGTCAATCTTCAACTCGCCGAAGCGAACCGCAAGCTCGAGACTGAGAGACAACTACGCAATCAAGCTCAGACAAACACCCGTGCTGTGCAGTCCAGTCTTGACTCTGCTAACGACGAGCTGGCTGAGTGCCGTGAGCAGCTAATGCTTCTCCAGAAGATCTTTGATCCTGAGATGAAGGATCTTCCTTCCAACATTGACGGCTTGAGACCTGACATGGCCCGTACAGTTGATCTGGCTAAGAAGCTGGAAACATCTCAACAAGCTCTTCGCATTGCGAACGAGAGATATTCTCGCGCAGAAGCCCAGTTGAACGATTTACGTGCTCACCATCAGGATGAGATGCAAGAGAACGACTTCAAGCACGCCAACGCCAAGCGCGTTCTGCTTGAGGAGATGAACTCCAACCAGGTCAATTCTCGTGCTTCGCCCGTCCCAATGCGCAGAGATTGGGAGTCTAGAAAGCCCTTCTCTCCTGTGCATACGCCATCCAACCAACGTCATTTGAGTAATTACACCACGGACTCTGCACGCTCCGATCGCACAAGCGATACGGCCACTTTCAACAACCGCATGGATCTTGCAGCAGAGCTTGAAATGGTTCAGAATCAGCTCCAGATGTCTGAGATGCACAACAGACACCTTGAAGCTCAGATTGGCCGCAGTCCTTCTAAACAGGACCTGCAAGATGAGAGCCCTTCCCTTCGCCGAGTGCAAAAACTCTCCCTCGAGAACAGTAGATTACATGACATGCTCGACGACTCGGCCAGGAAGGTTTCTGCCCTAGAGAACAGCATCCGTCTTGGTCAACTCTCCCTTTCCGAGGTTCAGACCAAGTCGCATGAAGAGTTGTTTGATCTGATCAATTCTCAAGAGCAGTCCCGCAAGTCTTTGCTCGCGTCTCACAACATGGCTATTTCTGAGCTTGCCGAGGCAAAGACGGCCTTTGATGAAATTAAGCAGAGCAAGATGTCTTCCGATGTCGAGCTCCGAGACGTCAAGTCAGAGCTTGCTGATCTGGAATATGAGAGGGAGCAAGAAGCCGCCGGGCACCAGCAGCTGCTTGATGAGTTCTCTGACCTGCAGATCAGACTTGACGCTGAGACATCCAAGCTGCTTGATGTCACCTCAAGCCTCAACCTTTACCGTGCCCGAGCCGACGAGTACTTCGGCAAGCTTGAGCAGGCTGAGATTGCTGTCCTCAAGGCAACCAGAGCTGAACAGTTTGCAAAGACTCAAGCCAGGGAGGTCGAGGATCAGTGTGCAACCATCATGTCAGAACGCAAGCACATGGACTCTTTGGTTGAGGACTTGCAGCGTCAGACACAGCAGTACGAAGAGCGAATCGAAGATCTCTCTGCTGACTTCGATGGTGCTCTCCAGGCCAAGAAGCGTCTACAGAACGAGCTTGAAGATTACAGATCTCAACGTGCCATGGACATTGAAGACAAGGAGTCATCGATGGAGCAAACTCGTAAGAAGTATCAGTCAGAACTTGCCGCCGTTAGCAACGAGCTTGAGATTGAACGCGAGAACGTCATCCATGTCCGTGGAGAGAACGGTCGTCTTCGTGACGAACTCGAGGAGTTGCGCAACAAGTGGGATGATGAAGTCCTCAACAGCTCTACATGGGCAAAGGAGAAGTCACGTCTTGATGTTGCTCTGCAAGACCTTTCCAACTCACGCGATGAGGCTGTCAATGCTCACAATGATGCTCAAAGCAAGATTGTTGACCTTCTCAGCCAGGTCCGCAGTCTTCGTACCAACGTCGATGATGTCGTGGCCGAGAGAGACATGCTCGTCAAGGAGAAGAAGGGGCTTGAGGCACGCCTTAGTGAGGCTGCCGACCGTCTCGAGGACCTCTCCCAGAATGGATCGCCATCTAAGCGTAATGCAGCATCCGCTGATCGTGAATTGCTCGAGCTCAAGTCGACACTTGCTCACCAAGAAGACATTGCCGCTGCTGCAGTCGGAAAGATGAGAAGAGCCGAAGCACTTGCTCAGGAAATTCAAAAGGACATTGTCACCGAGCGTGAGCACAATGTCAACTTGCACAAAGAGAAGGCAGCACTAGAGAAGTCGATGAAAGACTTGCAGCTCAAGTGTATTGACCTCGAGACCAAGGGCTACTCAAGCGTAAGCCAGGATGTTCGTTTCCTCAACGGCCGCATCCACGAGGTAAGTCTACCGCTCTCATCGCTCTTTCCATTCCGAACACATCACTGACAATGTATTTTCTTATAGCTTGAGAGCCAACTCGAAGACCTCGAGCACACACGCAACACCGAAGCCCGCAGCGTCCGCAATGTCGACCGCACAGTCCGCGACCTCCAATCCCAAATCGAGCGCCGCGACAAATCCGTCTCCCTGCTCACCGAAGACGTCAACAAATCCCGCGACAAGATCGGCAACCTCCTTGCCACAATCGACGAACTCCAAGCCTCCGACTCCTCCAACCAACTCGCCGCCAAACGCGCCGAAAGAGAGTTGAGGGAAGAAAGAGAAACTAGACTCAGACTAGAGAGGGAGTTGGAAGGTATGAAGGGGTTGCAGATTGAGAGGGGCAGTGTGAGGAGGAGTGCTCTTGCTGCGTATAGTGATGCCGGTGGCGGCAGTAGAAGAGGATCTTCCATTGGACCTTTGCCGCCTTCGCTCGAGGTGCCGCAGAGGATCAGTAGCCTTAGTAAGGGCTTTTTGTAAATAGATATACATGGTAGGGGGAAAGGGCATGATGGGAACGATGGATAAGGAGGACGACCACTTTTCGTATTCTTCTTCTTCTTGGGAACGAGGCGTTTTGATCTGGTTTGGACATTGTTTTCTCAAGAGCTTGTCTACGGATTTGTCTCACTCAATGGATAGGAATGAACTTTTTCGTAATTTCTACACTTGAGACTTCCTGTTTGAAAAACATCATGGACAATTGCGGCCGAGATGAAGGATAATCCTGAATGTCTTCAATCGATACTTGATATCATTCTCACTAGAATTAATAGTACACCCCCCATCACCCCCTCCTCAAAAGCCACCAATACAAGACAAAAACCGGTCCGGCAGCCCAAGCAAAATCCCTCCCAAATCTATCCACCAATTTCCTCCTAAAAGTCTTTTGCACTTTCGCCCGCCTCGGTTTCTTGAACAGAGGATTACCCCAATCATCACTCTCGTCGAAAATTTCTTCCTTGTTGTACATTTGATATTCAGGGTTGGAGCCATAATAGCCTGCTTTTTCTATCAGGGAGGAAGCGGGGCGGGTGGTGGGGAGGGAGTAGTTGAACGAGGTTGCTGCTGGGGATATGCTGCGGGTGCGGGCGTTCGTTGTGCGGGCGGAGAGACGGCCGTTGGAGTCGGAGGAGGACATGGAGTTTGTGGCGCCTGAGGGAGCTCGAGAGCGTTGTTTGGAAGGTGCGTGGTTGTCGCTGTCCTTGTAGTGGGGTTTGTTGGTTGGCTCCGAGGTAGGGAGGGTGGGCATCGAGGCTGCGGCTTCTTCGTTGCGGACTTGAACTAAGGTGTTCATGGCCAAAACGATTAGGGACAAGGCGGCTAGAATTCCGTAGCGGATGAAGATGCTTAGCTGGTCGGGAAGGAGGCATAGATGGGTTTGTAATGTCGGACCATCTCTAAGAGACTCTCCATTTTCGTCGACGGGATTCCACAGACTGACTAGTTGGAAACCTGGTTTGCGGACGCCCATTGCCCAACTTATGCTCTTGACTGTGATTTCGCGTATGCCTCTGTCGTGTCTTGAAGCATAGTCTGGGTGTACCACTTCACAATAATCATGATCATCGCCCGAGAAGGCATGTGCGATATTTCCAATTTTCTCGGCGACCGTCTTCGAAATCTCCTGCGTCAGAACGTTCTGATATTGGTAGCCACCGGCGATGCGGATGGCGTTGGGCTTATCGTGCTTGAGGTTTGGCGCGGCTGGTGGGTACTTTTCGCGAAGAGGGCCACAAGGGGTGCCTTCTGGACGATACAGGGGTACGTGGCTGAGGAGGATGGTAGGAAACTCTGGCTTTGGCTCTTTCGCAAGCTCTTGCTTCGTGGGCTGGTAACCCAAGTCGTGAGGTGTGGTGACCGCATGAGCCCATCTCCTGTGTGGTATCAGGCCCTGTTGCTCCTTGAGCTCTGCACGAACAGCCTTGTGCTTCAGGCACTGGGCGTTGTCAAGAAATTGCATAGTTGAATTCCAGAGTTCGGGAGAGCTGTCTGGCTGACCCATGGCGCTCAAGCTCACAGCGTCAATGCTGACAAAGGTGTGGTTTCCTACAATGTCCACCCTGTCGCCCTCGCCGAAGTATGCCTGGTATCGGTTTCGGATGGGCACTTGGACACCATTGCCAAAGCCCAAGTCGTGATTTCCCGGAAGACTGGCGACAAACTTCTTGACCTTATGGGCGGGCATACCTCCGGTGACCTGGTCCTGGGTGAAGAAGATGTTGCCGAAGCGGTCGTACTCGTTCAACCAGTACTTGTCGCCGTACTTTTTCCATTGCTGCTCCGAAGGTTGGAAGCCTTCGAAATGTGTAGACCATTCTCTTCCTCCATCGAACAGATCTCCCAAGAACAAGGTTGTATCAGGGTCGATATGGCGTTGTAACAGGTGGAAGGATCGCTTGATGTACTTGTCGGTCGCAACGATGGTCAAGGAAGAAAGCGGCCAAGGTCGACCAGGATATGTGTGTGGATCGACTAGTTGAGGGTCGGCGATCAAGGCAATGCGATGAGGTTGTGCGTCCGCAGGCTACGTTGTCGATAGTCAGTCTCAAGCTCAAGTCAAGAGTCGGGATAGACATACCCATTTCTCCCACTTGTCCCACTTGCAGGCATCAATGCTACTGCTGAAGGTACTGCGTTCTCCCCATAGCAATACAAAGAACCATAGCAAGAAGATGGCTGTCGGTAGCCTGAGCAGACGACGACGTACAATTGCCAGTCTCGTCGTCGGTTTTCCTTTGGCGTCATACTGCCATTGTCGCACAAGGCGCTGCCACATGTTGGTCAAGCCTTTCTCATCTTTGGATGTCGCGTAGGACGTCGCATACTGATAGCTCATGTTAATGGCAGGTTCGCACTCATTGTTGCGAGCTTCTGCTTGCACAGAGAAAGAACCAAACCGACCTCGAAACTGCCTGCCCCTTTTGACGACGCCGAGGTCATCCGTCATCGTCTCGAGCTTCGCGTCCGCCTCGTCAGCCCCACCAATTTGTTCCTCCATACTCCGTACAACGGTACTATTCTCTTGGGAACCTCTTCTTGCTTCATGATTGATCAAGTTTTGTACATTCGAGTCTCGTATATCGAGCCATCTACGCTAATTGGAGTCCTCTACCTATCAGAACCTTGAGATCCCCCAAGAACGCCTACGCTATGCTTCATCATTTCGTGCCCAAAGATCCCCAAGAACTTCACCTTCCATGCCGCGCTGTGTCTTGTTTTTGCGACCACTCTTCAGGTGAAATGCACCTTGAACTTGAAGTCAATGGTGAATGCGGGGTCACTGACTCCTACTTCCTGTCCATCAGACAGAAGCTCCTCCAGCTTGCGCTTCAAGTTGGGACGAGTCTGCTCCTCGAGACTGGGAGGTGCCGAATAGTAGAGCGACTTCTCCTCGGTTCTGATCGAGGGCTTCTTGAGCTGTGCTTCAGGTCTCTCTGCGAGATGCTCCAGGAACTCCTGCAGTGTCCACTCCTTCTTGACATTGATCACCTTGGCCAGATTGCCGCAAACGGGACAGTCGTCCTTCTTCTCATGCTCGAATGTGTATGTATAGATGCTGTCGTCGCCACTGTACATCATGTAGTTGTTTTCTTCGGGGTGGCCCAGGAAGGGTGCGGTGCCCGTCACGATCTTGAAGGCTTCAAGGCAGCACGAGGCGGCGACAATGGCGTTGGTCGAGGCGATAGCAGGGATGATGTTCTTGACAACACCTTGAGTCATCGAGTAGGTGACTCCGGGGATGTTGTATTCCTCTGCGCGTTTCAGCGCCTTTGCGAATAACCAAGAAATGTGCTCCGTGTCGTCGGTGTCGAGAGTGATGTCTGAGCTATGTTAGATGCAGGATCTCAACTATGTCTGCGCCTCTCATCTTACCTTTACGCTCCTCGTCCCAAGCAATCAGATGAGCCCACTCGATACAGTGCTGAGGTTGACGAGGAATGGTGGCCAAAGTGCATAGAGGTACAGCGGCACGGGGAGCATGCATGTCCAGCTGGCACTCGATGCAGCTCGTCATGGTGGGTAGGATGACCCTAGACTGGCCTCTGAAACCTTCGGTACCGCCATCGATCAAGGGCTTCAGGCTGTCGACATTGTTGTCGTCCACCATGCCAACCAGAGTGGCGTTGATCCATCTTCTTGCTTCAATGCTGTCCAGACCGCAGACGATGACGTTGAACTGAAGATAGTAGTCCTCGTCCTTGTCCTGGATCTTGCCGCAGTATGGTGTGATCTTGACTCCCTTGCAACGCTTCTCGACAAAGCGAGCGGCCACTTCGGCCTTGTAACTTCCAACATCGGCCTGGCGGAAGAGGAACTGGCGGTTCAGGTTGGATACGTCGATTGTGTCTGTCTCGTCGTTCAGTACGGCGCATAAGGTGCATCGGGGTTGGCGTACCCATGTCAATGACATCGATGTTCTTGAATCCAGACAAGGCGAGGTTCTTGAGGATTTCACATCCAAGGCCACCGGCTCCACTGCACAGGGTTAGTGGAGGAAGCATAACCAAGGTTGGATCATACGAACATGACCCTATGGCAAGTTAGCTTTGGTCTTCGTGACAAGTAATGAGTGTAAGACTCACAGGATCTTTGCATCCTTGAGGCTCTGGATCTTTTGGTCACCCGGTGTAGCGTTGTCCGGATCAGTGAATTGTCCTTCGCGCATCAGAATTGTGTCTAGATGCTTCCTGCAACTAATTAGCTCTGGTTCGAGGTCGGAGTTCAGATAGATCGTACCATCTTGCGCGGTTCTCAGGAGCAGAGTCGACGGCTTCAACCTGTGGTGTGCTTTCCGTAGCCATGTCGATGTGCAGTTCACGAAAATCGGTTTGAAGACCAAGTGTTGATGGAGCAATTGACAAAGATGTCATTGTGTCGGCGTCGGAGACAGCGGCGTTAAGCGGAGTGCACGATCCAGGCGCACGTACCATCTCGCGTAAACCTGCAGAACCTATCATGGTAGTCTTGCTGCTTTGCTAAAACACCACCAAGTCGCAAACCAAAACAACCATGGGTGATTTTTTGACAGCTGTATCGACTGTTTCTCTAAGATCAAGGCCAGCTGCTAAGAACCTTGTCGTCGAGGAGAGTGTTCCGGAAAGCTCTCAACCCCGTATACGCAACTCGCCCACTTCGCCTGAAGAAGTACTACAGATTCTACGTTCGAGTCCCGATGCAGATGCCATCGAGGACCTGCTTTTGTTCTTGAACCAACCCTCGCAGAAGTCCGCTGGGTTTGACATCAAGACACCTACTGCTTCTTCCGCCAAAGTAGTGAACGAACTCATAAACACAACTCTTACGGACTTCTGGGACAGCTCTGATCAAACAAATCGTTTGATTATAGACTGTCTGAGGAGTGTAGCTGGCATTGGTGCAGTACTTGCAAAACTCCGCATCTTGGTATCTCAGCACGAATCAACTCGGCAAGGTGTAAAGAAATCGGATACGACAACGCCATTATCAGACCTGATATCAGTCTTCTCACAGCTACTAAACTCCAATGACTTGGCTCAAACTATCTATGCCGACATTGACAGACTTGTCGACAGTCAGGCAAAGCGAACACTTCTGTGGAAAGAGTACCTCGCACTCGTAGGGACCGGAAAGATCATCGCTTCTGTGGCACAAGCAGAAGACACAGTCAAGTCTGCTGGAGGGCAAGACAATTCATCATGGCTCTCAGATGGTTCGAAGTATTCTGCGTGGATGGGACGCAATGTCTCCAACATGATACATCAAGCAGGAAATAACCCCAAGGCATGTAAGGCTACAGCTCAGCTTTGCGGTAAAGCTCTTGGTATTGGCTATCCAGGTACGACAATTTTCATCTACCGACAATTTCAAGTACTAAACATCTCTCAGTTCGAGTTGTTGAGGAGATCCACACGCTCTCTACATTTGCTTCGCCAGACGGACTTCCGCTACTTCAGTCGTTGCTGCAGAACCTACAGGTGCACGAACAGCGGCAAGTCCTAGACCAGACTTTGAAGATTTTGTCAAATCGATGCCTGCCTCTATTGTCGGCTCCTGATTTTGACGAGCCCTTGAATGAATCATCTACCACAATTGCTGCGACCTCCGCTACAATTACTGGTATGGTAGGAAATAGCGATGCCATGAGAGCACATCTTGAAACATGGTTATCCGATCCTGTACTAAATGCCTCAGAGTCTTTCAGCATACGAAGGGCGGCTGTTTCTGCATTCGTTCACTCCACCAAAGGCTCGGCAAACATGCTCGAAGATCCAGTTCAAGACCTCATGGAGAAGACCATGAAACGCTTCGGCGATAACCTCTTCGTCAAGCATTCTCCAATCTTGCAACAAGAAGCCTGCGCGCAAATTTTGCTCTTAGTCGCAGGATATGCACATAGAGCGCAGCCGATGTCACTGTTTATCATGGCCCGTTCGAGTGCACATCTAAATGGCATGTCAAACCGTCTGAACTCATCCTCGCCAAAGGCCCGATTCCTCGGAATGGTCGTTGGTATGGCTATATCAGACCTCGTGGACAAGTCTGGATCCAAGATGAACTTCGATATCGATGACATGAAGACGCCCGAAGGAAAGTGGTATCAGCATCTCGTCAGAGTCAACGACAAAGTCGGCAACTACACCGACATCAAGAACGTCTTCGGCAACGAGACCACAAACTCTCTTACGAAGAGCTCACAGACAAACAAGTCGCCCGCCTCGAGAAAGAAGCCGGTTCCGTCAAAACCAAAGCCTAAGCCTATGATCCAAGAAGAGCCTCGAGGATCCAGGATCATGGAGGTGTTGGACGACTCTGAGGAAGACGATGATCTTGTGCCTTACGCTAAGCCAGACTCTGATCCCGAAGATGAGGACGAAGATCCAACTATGATTAATCGTGACAAGCCAAAGGCTCCTGTGTACATCCGGGATCTAATGGCTGGTCTCAACGACTCGGAAAACTACGATCGACATAGCCTAGCCGTCAAGAATGCCGCTGCTCTGATACGTCGTAAAGCTTCGTTCGGCAAGGAAGTCAGCGACCATGCACTCGAACTCGCCTCGATCTTGGTTGGACTCGGCGACACTTTCGACATGGAAGATTTCCTTGAGCTTCGCTTGCAAGCGCTTATTGCAGTGCTTGTATCCAATCCATCGCAAATGGCACCGTGGTTCGCGCGTCAAGTATTTGACGGTGATTATTCATTGAGTCAGCGTACTACCATCCTGAGCGTCTTAGGTCTGGGCGCTCGAGAGCTGGCAGGCTACAAGGATGAAGACGAAGACCTGAACCCTAAGATTGCAGCCACAGCCTTCCCCAGCAAACAGCTTCCAGAAAGACTGCACAAATTGTATGCCGCCGAGCGAAACGCACCACTCACACGAATTGCCTCGGGTCTGGAGCGAGCTATGATCCAGCCGATGGCCCTTGACGCAGCTGACAAAATGTCCGGACCCAACATTTTGAAGGTCAGAACATTCTCATCGCGTATGGAAGTCGAAAAGAGGAAGAAGGTCATACCTAACGCACTGGCCAAGATTGTTGCAGAGGGCTTCTTCTTCCCTCTGACAGGACGTTGGTGGCAGAACCTGCAAGCATATGGAGCAGAGAACGTGCACTTCCAGCCATTCTTGCTCAGCACGTATCTCAAGACATTGTCGCTCATCTTGCATGCAGCAGGATCAGGAACCATCAGTCTTCCGCAGATGACAGCAGAGTTCTGGGAACTGATCTTGAGTGTCAGAACGAATGCGTTGGCTGATGTCAGTGTTTTGGAAGCAGTCCTCTTCGCAACTCTGACACTTCTGGACATGAATGAAGATAAACGTAGACTGGCAGAGGAGCACTCGAAACAGTTGATCGAGACTCAGGAGTGGGTTGAACTCGTCTTTGACAGAGTTGGTGGAGGAGACGAGGAGGGCGAGAGGATCCGCATGCTTGCAGCAAGCGTTTTGATGAAAACCAGAGAAGTGGTAGAGAAGTACCAACGCTTGATGGTTGGAGATTTAGTAGACTACTAGGATAATAGAGTGAATTATACTGGTCAGAAAGCAGTCAATGCCGTAGAATTAAACGTGGTTGGTGGACCACAACGGTGTAGCTAAGTGATGATCAGGGTGACCCCGCTGTCAACCATAACCATCGACATCATCAACCTCAAGCTTCAATCATACTCGACCATACAACAACGTGAACATGCCCGACTCCGACGACGCCCTCCTGGCGAGGCTGAACGCTCTCCGTAAATCACCTGTCACACTATCCAAGACGTCTCCTCCCGATCTGCCAGCGACTCCCCAGCGAACAGGAAACTCAGACCTGACCGCGAGGTTCCGCAGCTTGACGCCCAACAGCGCTGTCGCATCGCCATTCCAAGAGCCAGAAGACACAGAACACAATGAAGAAGACGACAGAACAATCGAAGAGTTGCTGCAAGATCTTGGGCCCGAGGACCAATGGTCTGTCCAGCGTGATGAGGGCGAGCGTATCCGCGACCTGATGAGAGAAGCCAAGAGTGCACTGCCCGAAGAGACGGAGGAGCAGCCAAACAAAGAGCTGGATATTGAGGTTGAAGCTGCTGAGCCGGAGCAAGATGACGAAGAGGAGGATGAGAAGAATGAGGACAAGAGGGATGATGAGGAGGCTGACGACTACGTTCAACGCGTTCTCGCGGAGCTTGCTTTGGAGAAGAAGTATGGCGGGCCAGACGAAGAAGATGAGCAAGAAGACGAGCGCAAGAAATCGACTTCAGATGAGCAAGATGAGGGACATGGTGGATTGTCTTTGCCATCAGCGCCTACGGAGCTACCGTCTTCGCCAGCGCCTGTTGATGAGTTCAACATCGACGATGCTCTATCGGCACGGTTCGCGTCCCTATCGCTTCCTGGAGTACCTTCGTTCAACCCAGCCACGAAGCCTGTCAGCATACAAAAAAGCGGACCCAAGTCGAACTTGCCCAAGTACACGGACGAGGACATGGAGAGCTGGTGTTGCATCTGCAATGAAGATGCTACGGTAAAATGCATGGGCTGTGATGGCGACCTATACTGCCAGGAATGCTGGAGAGATGGTCACGGAACTGGACCCGGTCAGGAAAGAGGTCACAGAGCACTCGCATACGCCAAAGACGCTTCTTGAACGAATTGAGATTCTCTACTCGGGTTCTTGATCCTTGAACTTCTCTCTGACGGACGCGACGTCGAATTCACACAACTCCGCCTTCTTCACCAAGGCTTTGGCCTTGCCAACCACTGGGACGTCGATCATCTTTCCATCCAGTGTCCAGGCTCCACGACCTTGGGCATCTGCCTTTTCGTCTGCTATCACTACTCTTACGGCGTAATCCACCTCTTCCTGACTGGGGCTGAATATGTTCTGGACCAGCTCTACCTGGCTAGGATGGATGCATTGCTTGCCGTTGTAACCCATTCTCTTACCACCCTCGCTCTCTTCCTTGAGCACCTGCTGGCCTTCCTCACCACGGAACGATGTTGTAACGAGATCAATGGTCGAAGGCAGACTGAAGGCTCTAGCCGCTGTTGCGATAGCCGATCTTGCATACAAGAACTCCTTGAGGTCTGGCGTACGCGTGATGCTGAGGTCGAGGGCAAAGTCCTCTGCAGCAAAGATGAGACCGCTCAGATATGGCGAAGCCTTGCAAATGGCAGACAAGTCCATGACCGCTCGCGCCGACTCGATCAAAGCGATCAACCGGATAGGAGATTTGGCGCCAGGACCATGTCTTTCAGGAAGAGCATGACGGATGACATCGGTAATGAAGTGTAGATCAGACGCACTGTTGACTTTTGGGATGACCAGAGCGTCAAGATTGGGTGCTTTGAGCACTTGGGTCAGGTCGTCTAGGGCGTAACCACTGTCGACCGAGTTTATGCGGACGGCTTGTTCTTTGATGCCTGCTACTCTTTCTCGAGATAGGATGGCTTGGAGGTTCGAGCGTGCTTCTGCTTTCTTGCCGGGAGTGACGGAGTCTTCGAGATCGTAGCACATTGTGTCGACGGCCACGCCCCGCGATTTCTCGAGGAACCGCATTGATGAGCCGGGCACTGTGTCGCTGTCTCAGCTAGAAGTTTTACAGATGTAGATTGTAGCCATACCATAAAGGAGTGCCCGACGTACGATTAGAGAGGCCGCCATTCTGTTCAATGCTTTGTGAAGGTATCTAAGAAGTCAACAATCAGAGAGCACGCATGCCATCATGGTGGGGGCTCGGCACGACCGAGGGACGGGAATCGGCATCCGGAGCTCTCCCCACAGTTGCTCGACTCGGTCAGAAAGCAACAGCCTCCTGGACACGAGTCATAAACCAACGACGCGTCCCCTTGGGAAGTGGTAGAGCTGTCCGGATAGCAGCTGCCTTGTCGCTTTGTCGCAAACCATCTCTTGCACCCAACACACCTCACATCGCCATGGACAACCCACAGCAAGGCTCTCTGAGCTGGCGACTAAGTTCGCACCCCATCACCCTCCTCTGCTTCCTCGGTTTCCGCATCGGTAACACACCCTCACAGCAATGAATCTCCTGCTGCTACAACCAGAAGCTAATGCTATCTTCTCTTTCCACAGCCAGTCTCCTCGTCTACCTCTTCGGCCTCCTCTTCATCAAAAACTACGTCCTCGTCTTCATCGTCACAATCGTACTTCTCGCAATGGACTTTTACTACCTCAAAAACATCGCCGGCAGGAGATTGGTGGGCCTCCGCTGGTGGAATGAAGTCAACGTACAATCAGGCGACAGCAATTGGGTCTTTGAGTCGGCGGACCCGGAAACCAGACATATCAATGCTACGGACAAGAGATTCTTCTGGTTGGCGCTGTACTCGCAGCCGGTCAGTTGGGTGGCTTTGGGTATCGTTGCGATTTTCAGATTCGAGTTTATTTGGCTCAGTTTGGTTGGTATGTTGATGAAGATTCCGCTATGGTATTTTTCATGGGCGTGTGAAAGCTAATCTTGGAGTTACAGTCATCGCCATCGTCCTTGCCGTCACGAATACCCTCGCCTTTTCTCGCTGCGACAAGTTCAGCCAAGCCACCAATATCGCGACCGGCGCCTTTTCTGCCAGCGGGCTCGCCAGCAATCTCGGCGGTGCTATGATTGGTCGTTTCTTCAGATGAAAAGCTGGGTTTCAAAAAATGACTATTTTTTCTTTCTCTCGTCATCATCGTTGACCCGCTGTTGCATGCTTGCATATCATTCGCATACCCCTTCCTTGTTTTTTTGCGTTTCGCAGAGTGAAGAAAGAATTACAAAAGCTACTTATATCAACTGCATTTTTCGTTTCGTGTGTTTCGTGTTGTAGTTTTATTTCCCTAATGCTGTGCTGTTTTTTTGTCTTGTTTGCTTCTGTCGTATGTTTTCCTTGCTTTGATGCTCTTTCGTGCTACGTGTTTTGCTGTAGCAGGAAAGGAATCAAAACCTGGATCGAGATCCTCGGACACTGTGTGTCGAACTAGCCATCCAAAGGCAATATGCTTCTTATGACGAGTTACGTGTGCATCGAGAGCGTATACTCCTTTATACAATCTCTAGACACTGCATCTACATGAGAATCCATCTTGCCTTTTCGATAGTTATATCCAAAGGACATATCGAAAGCCTGAGGACTCTGTTCTGGTTTGATCTCCTATGCCCATACATTATGCATTGTTGTTCTCTTGTTTTTTTTATATGCTTTATGATCTTATTGCTCTGCTTATTTCCTTGCGCTTGTGTTTCTGTTTGATACGTATGTTGACCCTTCCTCCACTACAGATAGATCTCGACGTAGCGTATGGATGTCTTGTACCAGTGCTATAGTCGTTGCTGCAAGCACCCATCAAGAAGAAGGCTCATAGCTCTTACAAGGATCCAGCTAATCAGATTCTGTCTACTAAAGCTTCAGTCGCTCGAAGAGCCCATCTAGCGGGGGTAAGAAAACATTGTAGCATTTTCGTTTCGGGTTGGTGTAAAGGGGCTTCGAGCGTCACGGCTCTAAGAAGGTTGGAAGGTGATGGAGGAGATCGATGGGTGTTCTCAGGGGTCGGGGTGTCAACGTGAGTTGGTGCCCTGGAGCTGGGTCACCTTCGTCTGGCGATAAAGCGATGGTGATAGAAGGGGCGCGGCTAGGAGGGGATGCGTAGGCTTGGGCGGGGATATGCAGGGGTCCGCGACGGTAGATAGGGGACCGGCGTCGATACGACGAGATGATGAGACGATGGTGGTAGCTTGTGGCACTGATCATGTAGGTATGGTTGATTGGTATGGAAGATGGAAGATGGATGATGGATAACGATGACAGCGACGATAGCATACGGCGACGGCGGCGTAGGGCAACTCGACTGAGCCCTTTCCACAGATATGTCGCGGACGATGACGATCTTGAGCGACAACAACTGCTGGACAAGAACGCGATACATGATAGACAACGATGATAAGCAGCGATGGATGACCATGTCGATCGACGGCAACGAGGAACGACAACCACGAATAGAAGACGCACGGCAACGAGAGTGCATTGAAGGCATTTACGGCGCCGACGCAACGTCGTAAGCTGTTGGTCACGACCATCAGCGGCGATAGACAAAGAAAGTCAAAGCGGACATACGTATCGAGACACTGCTTCCAGACACACGGCAGCATGGAACATGACAGGAAACACAAACTGATGAGCAAATATGATGGACAAATCCGACCGAGCCGACAGCAATGACGGACGACGACTACGGACGACGCTGAGGGGTGACGTTTATGGGAGACGCCGATGAACGACGATACCATAAACAACGGATGCTTCACGACGCCATGATACACATCATCTACACGCCTACCATACCAGCAACACCAAAGAACCAACCTCGACACTTTCTTCTATGAGCTCCAGCAACAAGGCCAAAGACACATTGAAAAAAAAAAAGTAGTAGCCTTGCGACGTACTATCAGCCTGGCGGGCTCGAACCACCGCTCATTAAAGAGTCTCTAAACCTGCAACTCGGATCAGTGAAGAAATCATCAATAAAGATAAAAGAGTGACATGAAGGCGAGTACGACCATCCCCAGGATCAGACCGGCGGCCCACTGAACAGCGTCTCTCGGCGAGTTTTTCATTTAAGCCTTTATAACAAGACGGTCGGTATGTTATTAGCTGTTCATAAGGGTCTCCTCTCTACCTAGTGTTTTTTTTGTAACAGGGGGGTTAAACCGTAGTTGATAAAGCAACCAGAGCCCTGAGTGGCTTCAGGGCATCGCGAAAGATGCCCAACGAGAGTGTGAGTCTTATTAGATCCCCTTGAAGGACCGCCGCGATATCCCATCAAATACCTGGGAAGGTCGTGGAAAGGAGGAGGAAGGATTGTGCAAGGATGGGGATGATACTCAGCTGCTGAATGAACGCTCAGTGCAATGCGTTGATCGACAATGATGTGGAAGAAGAAGAAGAAAAGAGGCAGGATGGCAGAGGGGAATGCTCACTTTAAAGGAGATGCTGCTTAGTAAGCTGGCTCCATTGTAAACGGTGACTCTTAGCAGTATGACCAGAATACTAACTCAAGGTGGGCTCTGTTGAGTCACAGAGGGGGGCGGTCACGGGCTCTATGGACGCGCGAAGAGACGCGATATACAGTTTGACGCGCCGACAGACACCTCTCGGTCTTGTATCGCTGGAATAATCTGAATACTCAAGAGAAACACCATTTTCTGCTGAGCGATTGATGTTTAGTCGAATTCAGGGGTAATGTGGTATAGCCGTTGAAATATGAAAGCGTCGGCATCATGTCACTTAAGCTTTGACTTAAGCAGCGACGAACGTCATAAGCGACTAAGAAGAACAAGAATTCGAACAACGAATATTTGTGGATTGGATACAACTATATGTTCGAATATGTCTGTCTGACCTCCCGTGCATCCTTGTCCACTTCGCAGTCGTCCTCGCCATCGCTGATATCATCGATCAGCAGCGTCAGTCTCGCAGGCAGCGGTATAGATGACTCGGGCATTCCGAAAGTGCGTGACCAAGAGAATCGATTGACCTTGCCCGTAGGCGTGGGCAACGCGAGTGTCTCTGTGTCAGCAGCGGCACCATCTTTGGTAGTCTGTGTCGAACTCCAAGTGTTATCGTCGGCGAACTTTTGAGCGCAGATGATGGGAGAGAGCTTGATGACGTTCGTATCTCCCTCCTCAAGATAGGCGCCTGTCGTAGTTGTAGCTCCGGTAGATATCTTCTTCGCCCGAACCAGCATTCCTGGGAGTGGAGTCGAACACATCATAGATGTGGCGATGATGCCGAGGCCCATCTCGAGTACGACGCATGCGATGACCGTAAGGTTGGTCGGATTGAAGTCTCTCAAAGCAGTAAAGCTGCCGGTGCCCAAGACACGGAAGATCGCAGCCGTACTACTGAGAGCCCCGACGGCGGTGACGATAGAGACCGAAGCTTTGACCTTACGGCTGAGATTTGACGTCCAGACAACCGTAGCAGGAAGCAGTGTATATATCCAGTCCGTGACGACATTGAAGATCGCGGCAACCAGCCACCAAAGTAACATGTTCGACCAATGTGTGCATTGCTGTAGACTGTCTTTACGAGCCATTTTGCCTGGCATGCCGCAGAAGAAGAGACCGAGGAGCAGTTCGGTGATCGCGTAAGTATTGAAGGCGATCGTGATGGCGATGATTAGGAGGCGCTGCCATCTGCGCGAGAAGAATCTGTTGAACGATATTGCCAGAGAGGTCTTGATACAGATAGCAGTCATGATCGAGAGGTCGTAGGAGGCGAGAAACATGTAGGATACAATATTCGCCGTCGTGTGAGGTTGTTGAGGATCTATGGTGGTCATGACCAGGACACAGCCGCACTGCCCACTGAACAGGATCTTCTTGGTGTAAGTTTAAGTCATTAAAGGTCGAAGGACAGACGTACCACTGCTAGTAGCAAGATCCAGTCATCCCATCGGACACAACTGGTCACGAATATCTTGACCCAGAACCTCACGAACACCGACACCCATGCGAGCGATAGGCAAGCAACAACCAGAGCAAGCATATGAATCATCTTGCAAGAGTCCGAAAGTGCCAGTCAGTGCCTACAAGACCTCTCTGAATACAAGGTTGCGGGCAATCTCTCGAGATGCTGTTCACCACTTGATGTACAAAGAGTCGATTCCAAGGTGGAGAGGTTCGTATTCATTCCGAGCTATGGATTTTGATCAGCACGAACATGGATCTGGCCACATTCATATAGCACAAATCGCGGAAGCGTTGTACAGTTGAACGTTGGTACCATACGATTTTCAACTGCCATCCGGAGATATATGAGAATTGACAACGGCTCAGCCTTACCACAACTTACTCGTTCATTACCGACATTGACGGATTGGAAGTATCGAAGCCAATCTTCAACTTCAAGACGGACGGCTTCTGATTCTTCCACTGAGATGTGATGCATTATTCTGGCGACTTTTGATTGTTGTTCTTGACCGACGCGATGTTGGTGAAGTCGAGCGAGGAACAGAATTTGCCGACAGAAACTCGATATCGAGTCAGAGCCAACGGTCAAGCTATCGAAATGTATGCCGACAGTCCGGATACAACGTGAGCTCTAGCATGGCCAAGTCCAGCTCCACGTTCTTCCAGAAGGAAAGCAAGAGCATGTCCGGCAGAAAGGGCGTCGAGACCACACGTGGAGATACGGCGTGCTGACTCGCATGGTAAAGAGATGGCTGAATTGGTGATGGCATGCCCTTCGACGTTGGAGAGGTCTCGTCGTGGCATGTTACCATCAGGAAGGTGCTGAATGATATGTCACTGTAGCCCTAGAAGTCGCGCTCGTCTCGAGGGTTGTCGGGACCCGAATTACTTGTCTTGGAAAAGAAGCACATGTGCGGCCAAGGAACTCGAACGTGTTGAGGGTCGCTATGGTCATGTTTAAATCGACAGAGCTCCTGCAGCGACGCGCACTCATGTACTGGTATCTCAGGTCGCGATGTAGGCGAAAGATGAGGAGCTCCTCCGCATTGCCTGTCCCGGAAGGTGCGAGTGCGGGCGCTTCGTCACGTCATGCAACACTTTGATGTTATCACCACCAACATATTTATCTCCCTTTCAACTTAGCAATCAACCAATTCAACCAAAGCTTCTCTTCCGAACCGTCACCATTGCAACCTCACAAGCAACCATGGGTGGAGGCGAACATAAAGAGGCAGTCTTGGTGACTTTGCCTATGCAGGAGCCGCATGATGCTATCGAGCGATTGCAGAAGAAGTTCCCTCATCTCAAGATAACATACCGAAACGTGTCATGGACGAAGGATCGTGCTCAACTTGAGAAGGAGGTAGACAAAGGTACGATAATTCCTGATATGAAAAATATATCTTGCTAAGCCTTATCTCAAGAGCTATGGAAGGAAGCCACAGTACTGTTGACTTTATCTGCTCTGCCACCGAAACCATCAGATGCACCTCTACTCGATTTTATCCAACTCTTCTCTGCCGGGTCCAACCAGCTTGCGAGTCACCCTATCTACACTGACACCGACATTCCTATCGCCACTGCATCCGGTGTCCATGGCCCGCAGATTGCCGAGTGGGTGATCATGACCCACCTCATTCACACCCACAAGTACAACCAACTTTACGACGCACAGAAGCAGCATAAATGGGGCTCTAAGGATGGTTCGTACCGCGTCAGTGACTCTGTTGGCATGAGAGTCGGTGTTCTCGGATATGGAAGTATTGGTCGTCAAGTCGGCAGGGTGGCCAAGGCAATGGGTGAGTACTTGTTCTTGACATATACTCCGCAGTGGAGCTAACAGAATCATCAGGCATGGATGTCATCGCATTCACAGCATCTCCAAAGGACACCCCAGAGAAGAAAAAAGATGTCGGCTACATCGTCCCTGGAACCGGTGATCCGGACGGCGAGATCCCCTCTGCCTGGTACTCCGGTCTAGACAAGGAGTCTCTGCACAACTTCCTCAAGCAAGATATCGACTTGCTGCTAATTTCCGTGCCGCTCACCAAGGAGACAACTCATTTCCTATCCACCGAGGAATTCAAGGTCCTCAGCCAAAATGGCAAGAGACCTGCATACGTGACCAACATCGCCAGAGGACCTATAATCGACCAACCTGCACTCATTGAAGCCCTCAAGGATGATACTCTTGCTGGAGCTTCCCTTGATGTCACTGATCCTGAGCCCTTGCCTTCGGACAACGAGCTTTGGGATCTGGAAAACGTGATCGTTACTCCTCACATCAGCGGCAACGGTGCAGCATATGTAGACCGCGCTTTCCAGATCCTTGAACTGCAGCTAGAGCACAAGCAAAAGGGAGAAAAGTACATCAATGTGGTCAACAGGAAGAGAGGATATTAGAGTATGTATAATGCTGCAGAGCAAATATTACGAATTTCCATGCTATCTAGAATATACTTGCGAGCCCACCACATCACCTTCGTTCATTCATCATTCCAATGAAAGCCTATAACTAGCCACCTCAAAGGCCCTAAGCTCGATGTCGAAAGAGCCCTTGGAGATCTGGACCTCCTCAATGTCATCTTCCAAGATATTACACTTCCACACTTTAGCAACAGGCACCTGGCCAACTTCAACAGAGCCACGGCACTTTCCTCCCAAACTGTCATAGACACGAATGATGACATTTCTGCCCTTGCGCTTGGGAAGCTCGCCACGGCTGACATCCTCATCATCTTCACCACGCTTGATGGTATCGAGGACCAAGCCCTCATCACTGTCCTTGGACAACTTGAACGAATTCATCAAGCCCTTGACATCAGAGACGTTAGGGTGCGAGTGTACAGCCATAGGGTTGTTGAATTCGAAACCTGCGCGGACGGTGCGGTGGTCTAGAGGTCCCTTGTGAGGAAGAATGGCCCAGCGAATCTTGTGCTTGCCCATATCGGCATGAGCGTCAGGAGCCTTGGGTGCGCGGAGCAGAGAAAGACGCATCAAGCTTCCACAAGTTGCGAACCCGTATTTGGAGTCGTTCAGGATACTGACACCGAAGCCGTTTTCGGAGAGATCGGCCCACTTGTGACAGCAGACTTCGAATTTGGCCATGTCCCAGGTTGTGTTGTAGTGGGTGGGTCGTCTGACGATACCGTATTGGGTTTCGTAGGAGGCTTCGGTATTGGTGACGGTGGTGGGGAACTCGACCTTGAGGAACTTCATGTCCTCGTGCCAGTCGACTTCTGCTTCGGTCTCAACGTAAGAGCGACCTCCTGGAGGTGCTGCAGAGAGCGAGATTGTCATTGTGATGGACGACTTGTCAGAGATCTTCGTTGTGGTCTTAACTCCTACGCGGTGATGAGTGTTTTCGCTGATAATCGTTGAACTTGATGCGTGAAGCTCTTTTCTTGAGTTTAGGTGATAGACTTCGACGTCCCAGGCTTGCCAGTAGAGTGGCTTGTCGTCAAAGATGACCAACTGGTTTGCCTTCTCACCCTTGGGGACCATCTCGCGGCGAGCTTCTCTGTCGTACAGTGAGGTAATAACGCCACCGGTAACTTCAACAACGTAGTGGTCGTTTGTCAGATGGAAAACGTCCTTCTTGACCTCTTTGACTTCGACACCCGAAGATTGCTGACTTATGTCCGTTACAGTGTTTGCTCCAGTCTCTCCTTGGAGAAGGCCATAACGAGCAGACTGATCAGGAGACGGCAGGGAGCTCACTTCGTTGCGGTTCCAGCCAAGAGTGTTTAGTGCAACAAGCTCGTTATCGTGGGAGACTTCGTCGTCGAATCCAAGAGCGTGAAGAGCTTCAGTCAGAACTTTCTTACCAGTCTTGAACACCTTTGCGTATAGCTTGGTTTTGTTAGTTTTGTACCTTATGCACTATTTACGTCTGACTTACCTCGTCAGAATCATCGTAGCACATTTCGATACAGCTTCCAGGCAAGCAGTCATGGAACTGACACAAGAGAATGTTCTCCCACATGTCGTCGATGTCCTTCTTGGGGTACTTGTAACTCTTGCTGCCTTTCGAGACAACATCCTGGATGCTGGCTAAAGTTGCGAGATATTCGATATCATGAAGCATGATCTCAGACTTGCGGTTGTTCCACTTGTTGTTGGCCTGGGTTGTGTAGGTGCCTCGGTGAAGCTCAAAGTAGAGCTCACCATACCAGGTCACAAGTTCAAGTCCTTCCTCAACTCTTTTCTCAAGACGAGCAAAGAAGTCGTCGACCGAGTCTCCCATCTTGACGCGAGGCAGAAGCCCGACCTTATCACTGATACCACGACATCTCCTGAGCTTCTCAAGATGTTGCCAAGTTGGACCACCGCCTCCGTCTCCCTTACCAAATGCAAGCAGCGAGGTAGGGTCTTGGTCCATGGACTTGTGTTGAGTGATACTGCGCCTCACATCGCCAAAGTGTGCCTCAGCAGTGTATGTCTCGGCAGGAGTCATGTGGCAAACAACCTGACTGCCGTCTAATGCGACCCAGTTGAATGTGGTGTGTGGGAAGTTGTTGATGTTGTTCCAGCTGAGCTTCTGGGTGAAGAATCTCGTCATGCCAGCAAGACGGCAGATCTGAGGAAGCTGTGTCGAGTAACCGAACGTATCAGGGAGCCAGAAGGTAGTACATCTCTGACCAAAGCGACTTTCGAAGTAGCGTTGGCCGTACACAAACTGGCGCACTAACGACTCTCCACTGGGCATGTTCGTGTCGTGCTCGACCCAACTGCCACCAATGGGTTGGAAGGTACCCTCCTTGACCTTGCTCTTAACGCGGTCAAAGACAGAGGGATACAGCTGCTCTAGCCATTTGAATTGCTGGGCTTGCGATGCGACGAAGCGGTGCTCGGGGTATCTTTCCAACAAGTTACATTGGTTGGACCATGATCGAGCAACCTTGCGCTTGGTTTCAGCCCACGGCCAGAGCCAGCAGGTGTCGATGTGGCAGTTTCCGATGGCGGTGATCAGAGCAGGTTCGTCCGAATCGTATACTTTGGCAGAGTCGACGTCTCCCAGATACTTCTTTGCAATCTTCCTGCACTCAGTGATGCAGTCGGTGCTTCCACCAGCAGCGATGAATGTGTCCATGATGGAATTGCAGATCTGAAGTGCCTCGTGAGCCTCCCATGAATCTTCGGGGAACTCTCTGGCAGCATCACCAATAATCCAGAAGTCGATGTACAGAGCTCTTGCTTCCAAGTTGATGGACACAATGTCGGCTTGTTGCAACTGGAAGTACCTGTCTGGACGAGGTGGCTGGATGCTGTCTCCTCCGGGAGCGTTGCCAAACATGCCGTTGCAGGCCATCTCGATGTAAAAGACATGCTCCTTGCCATCACGGAAAGACTTGGGCAAGATCCATTCGATACGCTCGCCTCCTCCAGTGAGGCCTTGTAGTGGTTCTCCCTTCTCGTTCCAGATAAGACCTTCGTTGTTTGCGTCCCAATGCAGTTCTAGGTGGTCCTTGTCGGCCAGAGAGGATGGAACGGTGAGGTGGACGCGGAACCAGTGTGTCGACCAACTGGGACCGAAAGATTCGCCAACCTTTGTGGGACGGAAGTCGTGCGAGGTTGCATCTTTGAAGGTGGGACGAGAGAGGTCTGGAGGAGAGTAGACTTCAAGCTTGACGTGAGGTTGGCCAGAGGCGCGTTCGGGTTCAATCTTGCTGGGCAGCTGTTAGTAAGTGGGTACAGTGGTAGAGAGTAAAGCATAGATACGGTAGTAAGCCTTGGTTTCTGTATTGGCCGTTGTCTGTGAACTGCCTCAATCTGTCCATGTAAATCTTGTGAATCTAGATGGGAAGTAATGGTTAGAATGACTTCTTGACTACAACGGAGATAAGAGCAGCGTACTTGCTTGCCAACAGGCTTCGCAGCCAGTCTTGGATAGGTAGAGGCTGAAGCCATGCTGGGATGAGAACCGCCGCCCATGATGAAGAGGATGGGTAGACTTTGGGAGAAGTTATCAAGGTTATCAAGGTGAACGATAGCTAAAGGACTCAGGTACAAGTCGACGTCTCCGCACTTGCATCTGACCATCACCCATCGATCTTTGCTTAATGCGGGGATGCCCCTGCGTCATGGAGGATTGACCCGATAGCCCCGAGTCTTGTGTCTGTATCTCCGGTGCCATCAACCTAAATACAACGACATATCTGCACTACGATCGAGTGTACCCGTGGTCTCTATGGCACTGTCGTCTCACTCTGTATTCTGCACATGATGCTATGGAAGAAGTCTCCCCTCTGCGCGCCCTCTCTGGGGTGACTGCCTAACGCAGCGTTAGCGCCGAGCTCGGATGCAGAAGCGTGTTCATCACATGCAAACTCCACCCTCCACATTCTGAGCCCGAGCCTGAGCCAAAGCCTGTTCCGAAACAAAAACACGGAAAAGTCACTTCGACATGCAGTGGCCAGATTGGCTGAAATGGCCGCCGTCTGACCAAGAAAAGAAGAAGAAGGACTCTGTCTTGTGGTCCGAATCCCTCAATGCCACCGATTGGTCGCACTATTCGTCGCCGAGGACCATCATCCCTACCGCCATCTTGACCTTCTCGACCCTCGCCTTGATCCGCATCTACCGCCGAAGCCTCCGTCGAATCCCAGATGCCCAATACATCACCCCTTCATATTTCCACAAACGCACTCTCTACGGTTATGTCAGTCGCGTTGGAGACGGTGACAACTTCCGCCTTTTCCACACTCCAGGAGGACGTGCCACTGGCTGGGGCTGGCTCTCTTCCAGAAAAGTACAAGATTGGACGCAGAAAGACTTCCAGAACAAAACTATCCACGTCCGCATAGCAGGTGTTGATGCCCCGGAGACCGCTCACTTTGGCAACAAAGAGCAACCCTTTGGAAAGGAGGCCCTCGAGTGGCTTAGGACTCTGCTTCACAAGCGTTACGTCAGAGCATACATCTACCGTCTCGACCAATATCAAAGAGTCGTCGCAAGTGTGTCATATTGGAAATGGGGCTTCTGGAAGACTGACGTTGGTTTGGAAATGATCAAGAATGGCATGGCTACAGTCTACGAAGCTAAATTCGGCAGCGAGTTTGGCGACAAGGAAGCAAAATACCGCCGCGCTATGGAGAAGGCCCAGAGAAAGCAGATTGGCATGTGGACTCACACCAAGCCTGGCTTGATGGCCAAGTTGATGGGCCAGAAACAAGAGAAGGTTGAAACTCCGCGGGAATACAAAACCCGCATCAGTCAAGCCGAGAAGGGGGATGCTGGCCCCAAGAAATAAGGATATTGTTTTCTGCCTATCTTTGAATCCTCCGACTTGTTCATCAGCAAGTCCAATGTGCCTTGGATGGTAGCTCCTCAAGCTGCATCTCACGAGCTGAGAGATATACCAGCGACACCGAAGAGGTGCTCCGACGTCTCAATACAACACTGTCCTCGGAAGAGACACAGCTGCAAGTGCTGCAGTCGCTGCAACAGCTACGGCCACAATCACTCTCGAAATCCTCGTCGATCTTGTAAAACAAAGGGAGGTATGCCTGCTCCGGCACCCAAGGCTTCATTCCAAGGAATTGCGCCATCAATTGAGCAGCAGTCTGGTTCTCGCAAGTCTTGTAATCAACACCACCCCAAAGACCAGCATACACACCAGCGAAATACTGCAACACCTGTTGAAACATCGAATTATACGGATGCAGAGTGCCCTTGCTGAAGCAGAACTGTGGAATGTTCTCGATAATATCCACTCGCTGCTCGATATCTTGATGCTGAATTTCGGCGCGGTCGCGCAGGTGCACAAAACTGGAATCTGTGTCTTGAGCCCAATTGTCAAGACGTCCTCGTTTCTTCTCATCTGCGGGCCATAGATCGGGTCCATATTCTTCCATCCACAGCCAAGCGGTGCGGATTGGATGATATGGCAGATGTAGCTTCGGTCCACACCCCTGCACACTCTGGACCTCCCAAGACCATCTTACAACCTGTCTTGCCAGCATGTTGTGGCGTGCCGGGTCCATTGTGATGTCGATGCCGAGCTGGGATAACGACGTTTCTGCATTCTGCCGTCTTTCCGCTTCCGTGGTCCAAGAATTCATACTGTGGCTCGCAGACCATCTTTCGATCTCTCTCCGCATGGTCTTCCAGTGCCTGGGATCTTCCTTCTGGCCTTGGACTGCGATAAGAGATTCCATAATTTTGTAGATATGATGGAAGCTTTATTGATAGTTCGATGTGTGGGAAATTATAGACTGATCATAACACATAGGCTTGCTATATATCTGCTCACAACCCGAGACATACAACTTTCTACCTCGCGACTGTTCTAGTAAATTGTCTGACATGTGTGTTTTATACTTGTTCACAGCAAGACATTGATCAAAGACTGTTGCGCGGATGTGGACCTCCGAAACATGTAACATGTCTAGATCCATTTCTTGGAGCAGACATTCTCCATTTCTCGTTCCGAATACTCGACCGCGACAGTCTCAAAAAGAGCAGCCAGCACATATATATCCTCGATCAAAGGTCTCGAAGAGATGTTCCATGCATGTCCATCCATCCCCGAAACAAAGGTCGGGATCGTATTCTCAGAACAAAGAATGAAACCATTCTAGTACAAGGCAAGAGCGTTGATGTATAGTCGCCAACTTTACACCACAATTGCCTATGGGGGGAAGCACCACTTTACCACGCAAACTTCCAAAACCGTCCCAAGTTCTTACAAGGTTTCACGAAAATAGGAAGGTGTCATGCATGAAGAGTCTCACAAGCATACCAGTCAATATGAAATGACATGAAACATAAAAGAGAGGAAAGAACGATATACAAGAAACAAAATTTGGGATTCGGTAAAACAAAAATAGACCAAGAAAAGAAGAGCAAGTAAACTAAAACTCCATTACCCGATGCAATGCAATGCTAAATTCTTACAGAGGAAAGAACAGTGATGACTTCCAGTCGCAAATGCCGTACAATGTAATCAAAGACAAAAGATGATCGGCATCTTATCATAAGAGAAGGAGGAGGAGTAATAGAAGCGTTCGTAGGGAATCATCGATGAGTAATCATTCGAGAAGAACCATCAGGGGGCGAAAAGTAGGATTGTTGAGGATAGACAGTTTGAGGAGCATGAGATAAGACAGGTGGAAATGCTTTGGAGACCTTTCGAAGAAACCGCTTAGTTTGCACCAACAGTCTCATTCGAAAAGATGCTGATCGAGTTGATCAACCAATAAGCAGTCTTGAAGGCCTGAGGGTTGTTTTGCACATACTCAGCACAAGTCTTGACTCCAGTTTCAGCGGCAGCTCCATCTTGTTCCCAGGTATTGCCTGCCCAATCACCACACAATTCAGTGTTGATGACGAGCTTCATGTCCTTGAGGTGAGAGTCAAAGTTGCAGCCGTTGCCAGAGAACACGGCTTGAGGCTTGGAGGTCCAGGTGCTGGGGTCGGGCTTGTTGGCTTTGATGTCGGAGGGTATGTACTCGCGAGGGAAGAAGTAGACGCTGACGCCTGCTGAGGTCCAGAGGATGGCGTATACACCTCCGCCTTGGGCGTTGAAGCCGGAGCCTGCGGTGGAGTGTACACAGCTCTCGTTACCGACCGTGTAGGTGTCGTTTTCAGGGGCGCGGATGCCGCACCCTGCGTTCTTGGACTGCAAAGGGCTGTTTACGTCACAATCGGGGGTCTCGAGTGTACCGCTGAACAGATCGGATTGACCGCTTCTGATGTAGTCGCCGGTTATCGCGCAGTTTGCCGAAGTGTGCCTAGAGAGTAATTAAGTTAGCATAGTTCTGATAAAGAAAGGGAGAGGAGGATTACGTACAAGGTGGCAGTGTTATATGGATTGTTGTTGACCTGCTCGATGATGTCTATTTCACCACCAGCGGGCCAATTGGTTGGGTTGACCATCCAAAGAGCTGGCCATAAACCAGGACCGGATGGCATGTGCTTTATATCAGCCAGCACAAGAGCGTGGTTATATGAATTCTTGCTCTCCAAACGAATGGAAAGTCGAGCCTCAGTAACGTTGGTCGAGCCAACACCGATATATGCGGAAGGGTCTGCTGAGCCATTGTTGTTGACAACGCCAATGAGCTTGTGTTGGGCAGCATATGCTCTGGGCATATACTTTGATGTACCGTGTGTTGGACTCGAATCGGTTTGGAAGTCGAAGTTGTCAAAGAATGTGACTCCACGACTCTCCTCAACGAGTTGGTAGCTATTGCCGAGGGCGGTAGTGGCAGCCAAGGCTGCAGTTGCGAAATATTTAGTGAACATTGTAGTTGATTTGTGTGTTGTGTTGGGGTTTTCTGAACATTTCGAATATAGTGGCGCCCAAGGTATATATAAAGAGTGACAATGGCAGCACAAGGACAATAATGGAAAAGCCTGCAACAAAGGAGAAACAGCGAGGCTGGTCAAGTCAATAAAGCAAGACACAATGGGACTCGATCGAACAATGAAGCAAGTTCCAGGCACACTACCTTTCACACAAAGGAATAGGCGATTGGACGAGGGAGAAGACAATGGATATCCTTTGAAACGAAATTCGTTTGACTTTGCATTATTAGGCGCCGATGCGGAGATGGCGAGTATCTGGTACGGAATTTTGGGGGAATTTCAAAAACAAGAAAACTTCCTGACAAGCCTAGTAAAGGCTCTTACAGCTGATTAGCTGGCGCATGGAGCTTGATGGCCGTAGTAACAGTGGAACATCTAGTGCCACGTGAGGGTTAAGTATTTGCTTAGAGCTTTCCCTCGGCTTGGGCTTCTCTGACGGTTTCAAAGACCTGGGGATAGTCAGTAAACGTGTTGTAAAAATGACATGTGAAGCATCAATCTTACTTTGAGAAGCTTTCTTCTAGCACCAAGAGCATTCACGCCCTTCTTGTCGAGGGCATCATCGTCAAGCTGAACAAGATCCTGCCAACGCATATCCTTGAGTTGGTCGGTGTACTTGTGCAGTCTCAAGCTACGCAGCCAGCTGGGGATATCGCTCAACAGCTGGAGATCAGTAGGATCCTCCGGAGGCTTAGAGCTGCCGCGTCTACCACGAGGAGACCTGCCACGAGCTTCAGAGTGGTCAGAAAGGTAACCCTCGTGACTACCCATGCCGAAGTTGCCCATGTTGAGGGCATTCATGTTTGCATTCAGCATGCCAGCATCATAGGTGGAAAGGAAACCATTGTTTTGAGTCATGGGGAGGTTGTTCATGTTGGAGCCAGGAGGGCCAGAGATGGCGATTCCAGGAGAGCTGGGACGAGAGCGGCCTCCCTGGAGAGCAGCGAGCTGTTGGGCCTGCAGAGCAGCAGCTTGCTGAGGACTCAAGACTTGGCCAAGTTCGTTGGTCATGAGGATGTTCATGTTTTGCTGTTGCTGGTGTTGGAATTGAGGCTGACCCTCAGAAGAGCGTGCTCTGCGGAACTTCTTGACATCATCAAGCTGGATACGGTTGTTGACAGTGGAGAGAGCGGCGAGCTTCATGGCAGTGGCGTTTGCAATCATGTCAGCATGAGCAGCGCTCTGCTGCTGGGTGTTGAAGTTGGGCATCATGGGAGTGTTGACCATGGAAGCCCAGCTGTTGTTGGGGTTGTATGGCGAAAGAATGTTCATAGCAGGATCTTGGTTGGGGGCAGAGACGGTGGTGTTTTGCAGATTGGTATCGCTCGACAACTGGAAGGGGCGAGGGGAACGCAGGGGCTGAGTAAACTGGCCCATGGGCTGTTGGCCCTGCGACGAGCGAGGTCTGGTAATGGGCTGGTTCTCGTTGCGGCTGTTGTTCCAAGGCGAGGGAGAGAGTGGCACAGGGGCATCTTTCTTGTCGTCGAAGAGAAGGGAAGAGCGGTCACCAACACGGCTCGAGGTGGGAGTGTTGCCGGTGTGCTCCTTGAAGTCGGCCTTTTGTTTGGCAATGGCAGCGGCGGCATCAGGGAAGAGCGAGTTGATGGTGCTGGGGTCGAGTCCCGAGTTGCGCTTAGCTCCAGGCGATGGTGGAGGCTTGCCGCCAAAGCCAAAGGATGATCTCGTGCCCTCGATGTTGAGTCTGCTCATAGCATCGTTCAGGCGGGTCGACATGGGGTCTGTGAGTAGACGTTAGCCGGAGTCTTCGTCCTGAGGTTAGGATCAAAACATACCCTTCTCGCCGAAGTTGGCAGGAGACAGGACGCCCGACATGGGGTGGCTCTTGGCCATCTGCTGCAAGACCTGGATGAAGAAGCGAATCTGCACCTGGGTTGTCTGCTGGAGCAGGGCGTAGAGAGCAGCAGTACGCTCGGGCTCACTGAGCACACGGAACCACTGCTCAATGGCACTCAACTCATCCTTGAAATCTTGGTCCAGCGTAGCGGCTGCCATGTCCTCGAGAGTATTTTCGTACTGGTCGATGTCGGCGATCCATTGCTGGGCTGCTTTGTCGGCAGAGTCGTCCTGACTGCCGAGGCCAACACCACTGAAGTAGACCTCGCTGGCCGGTCGGATACCGCGGGAAGCCAGGGGAGACGAGGTGGAAAAAGCACCCATGTCGGCCGAGGCGCGCAGGTGGTGGCCGGGGTTCATGCCGCGAGAGGACGGCGGGCGCAGAGTGGAACTCGAGGCGTCCGGGGTGCTGTTGCGGTTGCCGATGGTGTGGTTGGACGACATGGCGTATGTCCTTTGGGTTGATGGTTGAAGGAATGTAAAGTAGCTAATAAGAAATATTAACTGACGGAGAACCTGCAGTTCCTGCTGTCCTCAAAGGCCTCCGACGGCGTGTCAGTACGAAAGCAGCTTTGTGCTCGACGCGGCTGCCGCAGACAAGCAAAGAGAGAAAAGAAGGACAGAAGCGACGAGGGTTGGGTGTCGAGGAGAAAGGAAGCGAACAAAGACGAAGACGCAGACGAAGCCAAAGCAAGAGCCCTCGACGTTGCTTGACAGGCCCGCTCAGACTCCTGATTCCTGTGAATGTCCAAGGGTCCGCCGAAACACCTGGCGCTAATAAATTCGCCTTTGGCTGCCGCGAATATTCGTTCTATTTTGCCTAGAACAGCTCACATCCTTCTCATTCACGTCCTATCATTGTTCGTTGTTTGTCTCTTCGCTCAACATCGCTGCCTGGTCATTACGTCTTGCTACGTGGTGATCTCTGCTCACGCTGCGCCATGTCGACTGCCTGCACGAGCTGCTCTACTCTCGAGTCGTAGCCTAATATATCCGCATGTACTCAGCCACCAATAGCCCTACGCCATCAATCTCGCTGTTACACCCGAGACTTTTGCGTCCCATTCACTCGTATATCTGCTTCTTGCCATATCGTCCTGTCGTGTTTCAACCTGCCACCCACCACCGCTCTCCGCCTGTTCTTGCCTCGGCCCTCCTTCCGAATCATCCTCCCCGCCAAGCAAACGTCTTCCAACGTTTTACCATCAGGTAAATGAATTGTTTATCATGACAATAACACAAACTCTGGTCGACTAAATGCAGGTGTCTGCTGAGTGTTGGCAGCCACGGTCTCAGATTCGTGTCGAACTTCAGTCAAGTCTCTGGCGGCCCGGATCACGGAGCCTGGTCAAACCGGCCAGGCTCAGGGTTGCTTCTTGGCTAAACTCTTGTTTTGATGCTTTCGGGACCACAAAGGTTAAATTGTCTACCATCAATGGTCATCAGACATTGCTCTTGGAGGTGGGCATGTTTGTTGCAAGTAGCACCATGACTCTGCTTGGTCCATGTCTTGAGCATCGGTATTGCTTTTGATAAGCAATCCAACACGATGGCCATTTTTCATGCGCCTTATTACGGGCTGCTCCTGCGAAATTAGGATCAGTTGTTATTATCCAGTACAACTCTTCGGAGAGGACACACCGGTTCATGGTCTCGATACAATTCGTTTGTCACATCTAAGCCAGCACACACCAAGCCACACAAGACACTTCTATCTGGCATGACCAACTTCAATTCTGAGATTGCTTCCGAAGACGACTCATAATAGTTGAAACTTTCGGTTTCCTTACATCTAACCACTTCGCAGGCCTTGAACATATAATGTCCCGGTATGTCGCCGCTCGTCGAGTCCTACTATTTAGCTGGAGTTTGCTCAGAGAGCTGCTCTTATCTGCCGAAACGTTCGGGGTCCCAGAACATAGACAACTCTTGATCAATCAGGAGCTCATGCACGCTAGATCTCCCCAGATGTTGCCGCCAGTCGCGTTGCGCAATTGTACTTGCCAGAACGCACAGTGATATCGAAATCGATGGGGTTGTCCAATGAGAGCAAGCGAGAAGGCTGCTCTCAGTGGACCCTTCGTCATCTCTATATAGCATTGTGCATTCTTGTGTGGCTAATCAGCGTCACTCACCTTTTAGAGAGGAGAGGCAAACACACTGATAAATAAAGGGCGACAGGGGCACCCTCAAAGTACAGAAGGTGTAAGTAAGTAGAGGCAGCGATGAACAGGGGTAAGAACAGACGACAACTAGGAGAGCCAAGGTCTCAATAATTATTGGATGCATTCTGGTAATCAATTTCATGGCTCATTTGGTTGTTTCTATGGGCTCTGCGTTCTTTCGCGTTCTGCTTTTCCTCGATTGATTATCAGCTTTGATCAGGCCCATATTTCCAAAAGAAACTGCCGCGCTATTTCATCTTCCTCGTTTCGTTTCTGACGTTCATAACTTCATTTAGCTTGAACTAGAGATACCTCCATACCACATCTGGTGAGACCCCGCTGTTTGCGCTTCCCCAACACACTTCAAAACGAGAGCGGACAACAGTGCCGTGGTTCGCGCGTGGGTCAACCGCCAACCTTAGAAGTCCCTCTCCTCATTCAGGGCCTGTCTGGCCATGGCCAGGTCAGCCTCCATCTCGAAGGCCTCGGCCTCGAGACGCATGGCGACAGTGCGGAGACGCTTTGCGCGAATACGCATCTCGCTGACGTCGAGTAAGCCCAGGCTGGCGTTGAGGTCTTTGATGTTGAGTTGGCCGCGTACGAGGGGTTGATCGGCAGGGTCTCCAGAGAGCTTGTGACGAGACATGTTGGGGAGCTTGTTGTGCTGAGAGGCGCCCTTACCCATGTGGGCGGAATCAGGGGTAGGAGAAGGGATGTTGGGGAAGGGGCCATCTTCATCGAGCTCAGGAGAGCGGCCGTGATCCTGGCCCTGGCTCTGGCCCTGGCCCTGACCCTGGCTCTGACCCTGCCCTTCCTTTTTAGTGCCGTGGCTGTCCTCGACAGGCAGCTGCTGGAAAGACTCCATGTCGATGTCCAGCTGCTGCTTTGCACCCATCTTTGCGTACTCTGCAGCCTGTTGACGCTTGACGTTGTCGACCACCCGCTGAAGGTCGCCGAGCAAGATCTCAGCGACCTTGCGCTGGGGGTTCTTGCCGTCTTCCTGGCGCTTTTGAACCTCGAGGGTCATGAGCTCACGGGCGACTGTCAGCCTACCGGCCATCATGGTAGACAACTCTTCGAGACTGCGCAAAACCTCCACGCTCCAGTTCCACCAAATCTCTTCATCGCCATTGATGTCTCCAATGCGGATCTTAGCGCCCTTTTTGAGCTCCACCCGCGGACGTATCCTCATAGGAATTGCATCCTGCAGTTCACATCCCCAGTTCTTCTCGATACGGCGTCTGCGGTTTTGCTTCACATTGCGGTCTCTGGGGTGAAGCTCTTCATACTTGCGGCGGACGGATGCGGGACCAGGCATGGTTGGTGATGAGCCTTGGGTAATCGGTGAAGAGAACTGAACATGTAGGGTCGGTAACGGTCTGGTCACGCGTCATGTCAGTTCACTTTCGCTTGACAAAAGCCTTGTGGATGTTGTTGATGTGAAATACTAACTTTGCTTGTGTAGCTTCGGCCTTGGATGGTGTGACGGATAGCAATTGTAGATGCCGCAACGCGCAAGCTTTTTCCTGTCCTGGATAGTCGCGTAAGTACTGTGTTCGGGCTTGGGGGAAGAACGAAGATAAGGTAGTGGGAGGTAGAGAAGACCCAGTGGGAGGAGCAGGTGGACAAAAGAGAGACCCAGAGAAAAGTGCAGGCATACCGACACTAACTTCTGCGCCGGCTCCTGCTGTCATTAGTATGTGAGTTGAAGCTCACGCCGTCTGTCGGCTTGTGACTGCTACTGGAGATCTCGCCGGTGGAGTTCCATGAAAAACACAAGACAGCAGTGCAGTCAAAGGGATTACCGCTCTCTCGCCGTCTGTCGCGTTGTAGTTTCTAGCAGAGGCTTTGCCGGTGGAGCTCCATGGAAATCAAGATAGCAATGCAGTCAAAGGGGCTACGGCGCTCTCGCCGTCTGTCGCGTTGTAGTTGCTAGCAGAGGCTGTGCCGTTGGAGTTCCATGGGGACAGCATTGCAGTCAAAGGGGCCACGGCGCTCTCGCTGTCTGTCGCGTTGTAGTTGCTAGCAGAGGCTGTGCCATTGGAGTTCCATGGGGACAGCATTGCAGTCAAAGGGGTTTAGCCCTCTCGCCGTCTGTCGCGTTGTAATTGCCAGCAGAGGCTTTGTCGTTGGAGTTCCACGAAAAATATGACAGCGTTGGNGCCATGGGGAACAGGACAGCGTTACAGTCAAAGAGACCGCGGCTTTCCCGCCGTCTGTCGATTCAAAGTTGCCAGTATAAGTTTGCCGTTGGAGCTCCACAGAAAATGGGACAGCATGACAGTTGAACGGACCCTGACTCTCTCTCGCTGGGTGTCGACTTGGAGTTGCCAGCCAAGGTTGTGCGGTGGGCGTGATGTCGGTAGAGGTTTGTAGACGCGACTTTGATCGCGCAGAAAGTCGGCAATCCCCAACTGGAGCAAGTTGTCGGTTGGCAGATAGAAGTGCGAGGATGACGGTGTACCAAAATGAATTCGGAGAAATGGTGTCAAAGATGTGTGGCGCTTTATTCGTGATGCAACGCAGACGCTTGGGGCTTTCCGGTAGAGGTGTGCAGCGGGTTCCGTGCTCCTGAAGCCATGGAAGGGTAGAGTTTGGTTCATAGAAGGTAAAACCGAACCTTGTGTGCGAGGAGACCTTGCAAATATGCAATTGTAGACAATGGCAGCAAACCGCTAAAGCAAAGATGTGCTGTCCACAGGTCTCTGACCTAGCCATCTTTGAATGGCAAGAGAGAAGGTCAGGCGCATGATTGCACAGGTTGAAGGACACTCCGACCAGGCGCATGATTGCACAGGTTGGAGGACACTCCGACCAGGCGCATGATTGCACAGGTTGGAGGACACTCCGACCAGGCNAAGAGTTCGAATGGACTCAATAAAGGGGCAGCTTAAGAGTGCCGAATGAGAGTGATAGGCAAGGTGCGGAGGAAGATACCAGGGCACAATGAGGTGATACTGGGATTACACACGAACAGATGCGGGATTGTTTCAGCGTTGCGTGAAAGATGAGTTAGCCGTGTGTACTCGGGGCAGGTCTTGTCAAAAGAAGTGAAGGGGTTGCAGAACACGCGAGTGCATGTGACAACTGTTCAAGAGATAAAAAGACGATGCCACGCGCGGCGCACTTTCCCTAAAGCAACGAGAGGCCCGAGATCATTGAGAGAGAGAAGGACACAGGCAGAGCAGCAGGCACCTACGGTTGTTGCCGATTCACAAGAGATGCGCGAGCGACGTCAGGACAGACTTCCTCGAATGCACTGGAAGGCTCGAGATGGGGAAGGTAAGAAACCCAGGCACCAGACAAAGAATTGACTTGCTACTGGAACTCCCTCACCAAGCAGAGCTATCGTGGGATTATCAAAAGGCACAAATCTTTGGGTAAAGAAGACATAGTCCGGTGAGAGCAGTGCAAACAGTCGCCCTCCAAGGACAATCCTGTTGGCTGCAAAAACATTGTGCCTTTTGATGACTTCCCCTCTGAGTAACATACCGAAGAGACTAGGAGAGCTCCAGATTGAGCACGAAACAACATCAACAAGCAGCTTTCTGGAAAAAACTTGAAAGACCAGCGCGGAATGGGTCCTTGAGCATAGACATCTAATGGGACTGAGAGTCATCAGTAACGGCCGGGTCGAGAGCGAGCTTCAGCCTTGGGGGAATGCCAGACAGGTCAGCGAACGGGCCTACCAAACAAACAAAGAGCTACCCGACTGTGGATAATTGGGTTTTCGAGCAGCTCACTGAGTCAATCATCTTCACTGCCAGTGACATCGCGTCAATCTCGGAAGCGACAGAAGGTGTGGTAGAGAGTGTGGTAGACTGGAAATGACAGCCGGCGTAGCCTGCTTTGCTCCACGAACGGGCATGCCGATTCTCCGAAGGCGCTTAACGACACCGCCGGGACACCGCAAAAGTCGACAGAGAGTCTAGCATTGTTTGTCTATGTCCTCAGCCCTGCCATATCCGGATGATTTCTGCATCTCACATATAAATGAGACCGCGCCATCGGATCGAGGGCTATGATGACGTCTGGAGTCTAGCAGGGTTACGAAAGATTGATCGCTGGATCTGCACGCTCCGTCTTGATGAGCGGTCAAGGAAAGTAATGGCGTCAAACAGATGGCTTCCTTGATTGTCAGCGCCTGCGGTCAGAGAGAGCACGGGGTAAGGATGAAGCCGCCAAGCATCTAGGAACGATCTCATTTTAAAGCGTGTCCATTTTAGCACGCCATCATGGAACAAATGGAAGCTTCATGGAAGGTTTTTGGCGTCATGATTCCGTCCTTAATGTCCTGGTGCGCGGATGACCAACCTCGGGGCGAAACCAGCACCAAACGTCCGGTACTCGAGAGTGTTCCATGCTGCAAACCGACAGCGTGCGCCGCCATCCTCTTTATCTCCTACCGGATGCAGCAAAAGGTGCACTGCTGACACAGCCCAGCATCCCACGCCTCTATCATCGAATCCTTCCATCTGTTCATGAAGCTGTGGCGCCTGCAGTCTGTATGTGAGGTCTGCATCACAACTTCCGTATCTGATCAGTCCCAAGCGACTGTGCCCCCACGGCGCAAAGAGGCTGTGTTTATTCTTAGACCGCTATGTTGTTTACCTTCAAGATTACCAAGCTCTCGAATGACGCCCAACGACCGGGACCGGGTGGGCACAGGCTCGTCCTTCCAGAAAGTGTGCCAGTGGACACAGCTCGTTCACAGACCGTGGTGGGGTCTTTGGCAGTTTGGGACGGAGTTGCGCGTCAAAACCACCTTTGCTATGTCATGCAGGTGTCTGCGAACTCTTGAGTTTGGGACTAAACCATTCCCGAGTCATTACCTCCAGACCCTGGTCAATCGCTGTCTCGTATTTTGGAACGCAACGCGATCCGTCCGGTCAGTTTGATTAACGGCCCGCGCATCATGTGTGTGTCCTTCCACCCAAGTTTCGTAGGGCTGCGGCTTTGCTTGCTTACACCGGAGGTTATCCATCCTCCCATGCATTGCAGTACCCTTGCGCGCGCGAATCAGCGTGAGAGATTCGTGCTTGGCTAAACACTGGTCCATGTCATGGTAATGTTCCTTGCATCTGAAACGCAGCTTTCCACCGGTAGGGTCGGTCTGTCGGGACAGTTCTACGCTCCCGGGCATCCATATGAGCCATGCTAGCTCCCCACTGTGGTTTCCTTCACCGTAGCCATCCTTCGCACCTCGTGTATATATACCCAGTGTCTACCCTTAACCTTGACGATCATTCCTCAGCCCTCACATCCAAGACATCTCCAACCTACACAATGGACAGCTTCAACTACTCCAATCGCCTGGTGCATCAGCCATACACCGAGTCCTTTGGCTCACCGGTACTACTTTGCTCAAGTCCTGACAATCAAATCATCGACCACTGTTATCCGGAAGAATACCAACCTATGTTCAACACTTGTCAATCACCTCTGTTCCGTCCTATGCAACCCATCCTTCCCACTCAACACGAACATCTTTCAGGACAATGCACGCCAACATGGCCAGAGTCATATCCCTATCAACCGGTCTTCATGGACTACAAGGACCCCTACAACTTCGGTGTCGTCCGCTCCAGCCCTTCTCTCCTTCCCTCCATCGAGCAAACAGTCCTGAGCCGACCGGTCTCAAGAGCACCTTCATTCAGATCTGACACAAGCTCATCGTGGATGAGCTGCCCGAGGAGCAACCCATCTCGCTCCTCATCGCCCAACGCAGGAGAGATGTCCAAGTACGGAGCTCCTAGCGAGGATGGCACCTGGAGATGTGCTTTCCCCGGTTGCACATCAAAGTCAGTCTTCAGAAGAGGATGCGACCTGCGCAAGCATTACCGCAGACACACAAAGACACTATTCTGCCGCCATATCGGCTGTCGATCTGCTAGCGAAGGAGGCTTCTCAAGCGAGAAAGACCGAGCACGCCATGAGGCTAAGCATGATCCTAAGATCGTTTGCGAGTGGGACGGCTGCAGTAGAGTCTTTAGCAGAGTGGACAATATGGTAAGTTCTACAGCAATCTGTTTTTCAACCACAAGCACTAACATTTCTTGCAGAGAGATCATGTTCGCCGCATTCACCGCCGCAAGCTCGTCAAATGAGCGAGTTCTAGATTGTCACATCACGATTAACGATACGATATGGTCGACTTAATGTATACTACTACTTCGGGAAAAGGGTCACCATACGGATGAGATGGAGTGGCCGTCGGCGTGCCTGTCGATATTAAATATTGACCGACGGGCAAGCTTGGCTCATCGATTGGATGACAACCTCTGGCTTCGTGGAGTACAATAGGCGGACATCATTAATGGAAGGAGGCATTGGGCATTTTCTGGGCGCAGGACTGTTTTTTGGAAGGGGGCGTTGATATTTGCTTTTCACTTGGATTGATACCCCTGCATTTGCTGCGATTCATGGCAATAGAAAGGACAACAAGCATATACCGCTGGAGCGGCTTTTTCATCTATCTTGATCTGTTCTTGCACCATGATCTGCACTTTCGCAACACGTGCACCTCAGAATCCTTGGTACAACCAAACGCGAACCACACAACCTCGGAGTGTCAACCAGCAAGTCGGACCTCGTATCAGCAGCGCCATGTTGACTGCCAAATTCGACTCGGTCCAGCTGACACTGATTGGGAGCAATTTCCTGATTCAATCAAAACACCGAGATCCTTCGATCTCGCATAGATTGGGTTCCTGCAAGTTGGCACGTGGACAGCCAGGGTGATGGTAGCGTCGTGGATAAACTTCGTGTTAGAGGCTGTGTGTGTGAGGGTAGTCCATGGTTCTTGTCGTTGTCCGGCAAACTGTCTATTCAAGAGAACAGACCTCTGATTAATCGCTGGTTGGGCGTGTGTTTCGTCATCACCAGTAGTATGATGGAGATGCATACATGATTAGGGTAAGTTTAAAGAAGTGTTGAAGCTCAAAGCGGAGACAGCATCTTGCAGCGTTGCCGCGACAACGGCAGTCTGTAAACATGACGACTTTCTCTTTCACAGCTTGTTGGTAGAGACACAACCAACCAAGGAAGAAATGGCAATCAAGATGGCGCCCTCTCGCTACTTCGAAGACAGTGATAGCGACCTCCCAGAACTCGACGAGCTTATCAGCCAACACGTCAAGGGACTAACACTCAATGCGCCGAAGCTCAATGCCTCCAAGACGACTGCTCCTCGTCTGGCACCACAAAAGTCGACCGGAAGAAGCACCAAGACCAGAAGCGAGACCACGAAAACAAATGCACCCACAAAGAGCGCGGCAAAACCCAGGACCTTAAGCCGCCCGCTCACAGAGCTGAAGACCGCTCCCGAATTGAGAAGACCCGAACCCAAGATACAACCTAAACCTCGCGCGCAAGTTGTGCAAAAGAAGGCGGGGGAATTGCTCAAGGAGCCAAAGACAAGAGCGACGCCACAGAGAAGAGCGAGGCCCATTCTAGTACCTATAGAAGACTCTGAGTCCGAAGAGAGTCAGGAAGAGGTTGAAGAGCAGGATGTGGAGGAGAGCATTTATTGCGAAAGTGACAAGGAGGACCAACCTCCAGTACTGGCTCCGAGGGCTACGAGTAAGCCTAGAAGAAGACTCGTGGCTGGTAGAAGCACTCCAGACATTGATTCCAGTGACTCGGAGGAAGATGTTTTCCACACTCCTCCCAGCGAGTCGGCGCGAAAGCCCTCGAAGGAAACCTTCACTTCGAAGACTTCGGACGACCTCACACAAAAGCTACTTCAACTTGACCTCGATGGCTCGGATAAGGAAAACGACAATCTCGCAATACTCAAGTTGTATGTCTGCTCACTCGAACTGCCAATGCACGATTCACTAACATATGATAGCTCGCCTCCGCGAGCAGCAAGACCAATCATGTTAGAAAGACCTGCCACTCCTCCACCTGCATCGCCTACAAAGTCAAAACTCGTCTCTCCCTCGAAGAAGAAACAGCGCATTCCAACACCTCCACACGCACCGAACTTCGAAGACTTCTGGAACGTCCACGCAGTCAACACCTGGAACGACGAATACTCGCCCCAAAAGCCCCTCATGTCACCAAAGAAGAACCGAAAGGCACTGCAAGACGACTCGGATTCTCCTTCTGCCTCACCTAAGAAGACAACAAGTCCCACAAAAAAGACCCGAGCTGCAATCGATGCGAAGAAGGACTTTGAGAACAAGAAGCACAAGCTCGTGGAAGACTTCTTCGCCGAGCTCGACACAAACATCACCGACGGCAAGATTGGTGAACTGGCCACATTGACTGGCGGTGTCAAGTTCATCTGGAGCAAAACTCTCAACTCGACAGCCGGTCGAGCAAACTGGAAGCGCGAGACCACAAAACACAGAAACCTTGACGGAACAACATCGATCACGCAAAAAAACCACGCCTCGATCGAGTTGGCCGAAAAAGTCATTGACGACGAAGAACGTCTTCTCAACGTCGTGGCACATGAATTCTGCCATCTCGCCAACTTCATGGTCAGCGGGATTAAGGATCAACCGCACGGCCACCAATTCAAGGTCTGGGGTCGTAAATGCAGTGAAGCATTCGGTCACCGTGGTGTGGAGGTCACCACAAAGCATTCCTACCATATCGACTACAAGTACATCTGGACATGCACGAATGAGATGTGCAGTCATGAGTTCAAGCGTCACTCCAAGAGCATCGACCCTGCTCGTCAATCTTGTGGCGTGTGCAGAAGCAAACTTGCTCAGACAAAGCCAGCGCCGAGGAAGCAAGCGGGTCCGACTACCTATGCGGCTTTCGTCAAGGCCAACTTTGCTGGTCTAAAACAGGAGATGGCTGGAGCACCGCACAAGGAAGTCATGGCTGCACTGGGTCAAAAGTACAGAGACGCAAAAGCCAAGGGCGAGTTGAACGGTGGAACACCCACTGGATCTGTTGACGGTGTGATGAAAGCATTGGAGGTGGTGATTTTGGACAGCGATTGAAGGGTTGATGGTGTGTGATGCATGGATGGATGGTGTTTCCCAGCTCTTTCTTTTTCATTTCATGATACCCCCTTCCCATCGTTTGGTTGTTCATTCCTAGTGTTCATTTCTACATACTGTTTCGAGAGGGATTCAAGTGTACATATTACTGCATCACTATGTTCATTATCTCCATCATTCTCATCATGTTCATTCCTGCACGAAAAGATCCCAGTCCTTGATTTCGAAGGTTTGCAAGATGCGGTCGCGGAAGGAGGTTGCGGCGTCTAGCATGGGGCCTTGCTTTCCGGCTGAGGGGTCGACGTCGTCTTTGTTGTAGTCGCCGCCTACGTGAGGGACGTTGACGCTGATGACCAGGTCGGTCTGTTGGCTCTCCAGTCGGATGAGTGTGAGAAGTATGCCTGTGAAGTCGGGAGCTTTGCCGCGAGACACGGCTTCTGCTGAAGGCTTGTGCGTAGCAAAGAGTGTGTAGGCAGATGTTTGGAGTCTTTGGAAGTGGATGAGTGGTCAGTAGGTGTTCGAGAAGGGCAGAGAATTGGATGAAAGCAAGCAAAGAAAGTGTTGGAGCCTGGATGCAACGGCATTTGAGTGCGATCTTCGGCGAATAAGACCATATGATAGAGGATCGCTCGAAAGGAAAGTATTGAGACTCACGGTAGTTTGCTAAAAACTGCAGAGTTTGAGGTCCAGAGCTTGGTAGCATCCACATCATCCTCGACGATATCCTCCAAATGGTACTTCAGTGCATCCAGATCGGGCTTGTCGACACGCTCCAGAATATCAAATACGATGCTTGTAAGACCATCCTTGTCCAAGTAGACTTCTTGGTTGTCCGGAACTTGTCTGATTTGGCTGCGGGCAAGTGTCAGCGGATCGTTGCGCTTTTGCCTTTATGGACCTGGTTTTCTTACCTGACGTCTGCAAAGTTGGAGGGAAGGTCCACGGTCATAGCACCGCCGTATAGCTCGACTTTGTTGTATGACATTATGGCGATTATGTTTGTCGTGAGTTGATGTTATGGGGATGTATTTGGTCACTTTGGTGATTATGATTTCTCTCTACCAAGACGTCTGGCACAGAATTTGTAGTCCCTTGACCTCAGGCAGCAATTCGATTCTAGGCAGACATCGACTCTCATTACACCACACAAACATTCATCATTCGCTCGTTGATATGCATTTCATCACAGGTTTGTAAGCGCTTCGAAATCAATCAAAACATGAGTCACGGATGCAGGTTGATGATTTTGAAGATGAATTAATTGATTACTCTTCCACGAGTGTCGCAACTACCGAGTCACGGCTCTAAAATATGTTCCTCCTTCCTATTCTCATCACTTGGCAAATAGTTCGTCGGTCTGTCTCTTTCCATGGATTTTCAGATCCGCGAGAGTTTCTCCGCCTCGTCGGCTTTGTCGTTCTCCTCCAACCGGGATCGCCCGAGAATTGATATGCGCGAAGCATACTTTGGCAGGACTAGCGGTCTGAACGTGCCTTGGTTGTTTGATGCCTGTTGCCGACGATAGCTGGAGCGTTCGCCATGATCTGGATCTGCGATGAAACTCTTGCTTGGAAGGCACGGCGCAGTCGCTATCGTGCGATGGGTGATATGTGATTGTCGAAGGCCTACGAGAGCGCGTGGCAGTGGTTGATGTCTTGCTATGCACCGAGCATGAAGTGTGCGACTGTTCAAGTAGCCTCGGCCATCTCGTCGTCCTCCTTGCGCTTGCCGTTGTCTGTCCAGGTCAGGCCGGCGGCAGCTTCAGCCTCTTTCTGTGAGTATGGCTCCTCCTTGAGCTGACGAACTCTGCATGATATGTTAGTCCTGCGCAGTATACCAACATGACTAGTCCGGGGACTTACCTGCGCTTGTGAGGCTTTCCCTTGGAGTGTGCAGTCAAGTTTGACTCAGACTCGAACCATTTCGAGCACTCGACACAGTAGAATTGTCCCAGTCCAGGCAAGTCCTCAGCAGCCTTTGTGCTCTTGTATTTCTCGAGATGCTTCTCCTTGTGAAGGTCGTCGTGAATCTGGTCCAGATCGCGCGTGTGACGGCGAGTCTTCTTCTTCGAATCTTGACCGCGGATGGCAGGCATCGTGATTCCCTGTTTGTGTTTGGAAGGATGACTTGTTGAGTGGATATATGCGAGGTGGTGGAGCAGCAGCAGTCTCAGTTGCTGTGGTCCCGTAAATTTGTTGGATAGAGAGATATTACAGTACTTTTTTCTAACCGCATGGAATTTTTGATCCACGCATGCCAAGCACTTTCACTATGGCTAGATTCCCTTGTGCAAACGCACAAAGTTGGTCCGAGGTCTGGACATTTCAGGAGTTGGTCGAGACTCGTTCTGGATTACTCCCACTGATTGCTTTGAGCAGCGGTAACTCTGTTCATAATTACAGCTAGTTGGATTTTGACAGCTCTCTACGGAGGAGGCACACTGGATAAACAGAGCTGGTCCACTCGGTATGAGCCTCCAAGCCCCGACTTTCACATGCGAGGAATCGGCTCCAACTTTTGAAAAATTCGATTGCTAACCGATCGAGCCGGCCGAGTTGGTCTCCCGACCGAACAATCAGCGAACCAACCGATTTGAGGACACCCGCCAACCAATAAATAGGCGGAGCGCTCCGATGTTTACCGGCACGGCTACGAGGGAATCCGCACGCGGCAGGCACTGCTGTTTCAAGGGCTGGGCATGACAGACCCCCTAGGGGGCCCACGCAGGAAAGCTTCGCTGTGGGAGCGATTGTGCATAACGCACCCAGTGAACAGCTGCCGTACTGCCTTCTGATGTCAGATAGACGCACGATAGGAGCCGCGAGCAGGACAAGCAAGCAAGCTGGACGGAAGCGAAAAAGCACAGAGGCGGCGGGGGTGTGTAAAACGAGCAGCTAGACGGTGACGGTCTGTGCGCACGAGCCAATGAGAGGGCTCTTGATGAGGTTTTGTCGCTTTGACCGAGGGCCAAGGGAGGACTCGTTGCGGTATCTTCTCTTAAATAACTCTACCGTCTTCTTTTCCATCAACACCTCTCCGCTTCACCACTCCTCCCACCCCCCGCGTGTCCTTCTTTTAGCCGTAGAGGCATCTAGGTCACTGTCAATAGCTCCCCCGCCGTTGACCATCACAATGCAGTCTGCTCGTTTGGCAGCGCGCAAGCTGGTAAGGCCTTTTCACAGCTGTTTCCCCTGTAGAAACATGGTATTGACAAGCTCCATAGCTTGGCCGTCGCGCCTTCGCGACCGTCGGCGACTCCCCTCTCACCAAGAAGGTCGAGATGACCAACTGGGAGACCGGCAACTACATCAACTACGCCAAGATGAGCGAGAACCTGAGCATCGTTCGCCAGCGTATGAACAACCGCCCTTTGACCTACGCTGAGAAGATCCTCTACTCGCATCTTGACAACCCCCATGAGCAAGAGATCGAGCGTGGTGTCTCATACCTGAAGCTCCGTCCCGACCGTGTTGCTTGCCAGGACGCCACCGCCCAGATGGCTATTCTGCAGTTCATGTCCGCCGGCATGCCCTCAGTCGCTACCCCTTCCACCGTCCACTGTGATCACTTGATTGAGGCCCAGATCGGTGGCGAGAAGGATCTTGCCCGTGCCCAGGACATCAACAAGGAGGTTTACGACTTCCTGTCCACTGCCTGCGCCAAGTACAACATCGGTTTCTGGAGACCCGGCTCTGGTATCATTCACCAGATCATCCTCGAGAACTACGCCTTCCCTGGTGGTCTCATGATCGGAACTGACTCTCACACTCCCAACGCTGGTGGTCTCGGTATGGCCGCCATTGGTGTCGGTGGTGCTGATGCCGTCGATGTTATGGCCAACCTCCCCTGGGAGCTTAAGGCCCCTAAGGTTATTGGTGTCAAGCTTACTGGCGAGCTCTCTGGCTGGGCTTCTCCCAAGGGTACGTTTTTGCTTCGCACATATTTTGCTCGGCTCAATGCTAAAAATTGTTACAGATATTATCCTGAAGGTTGCTGGTATCCTTACCGTCAAGGGTGGCACTGGTGCTATCATTGAGTAAGTCTTTGCAATCATCCCTAGTCTTTCGAATTCGGTGCTAACTTACTCTGCAGGTACCACGGTCCTGGTGTCGACTCTATCTCAGCCACCGGCATGGCAACCGTAAGAAACCCCTACGTCTATCATCCGAATCTTGCTAATACTCTCTAGATCTGCAACAGTCCGCATCGTCCTCCCTATGAAACGTTTGACAGTGAACTGACAATTTCGTGTAGTGGGTGCTGAGATTGGTGCCACCACCTCCCTCTTCCCCTTCAACGACCGCATGTACGACTACCTGAACGCCACCAAGCGCAAGCAGATCGGTGACTTCTCCCGCACCTACGCCAAGGAGCTCAAGGAGGACCAGGGCGCCGAGTACGACCAGCTCATCGAGATCAACCTCTCCGAGCTCGAGCCTCACATCAACGGTCCCTTCACCCCCGATCTTGCCACTCCCATCAGTCAGTTCAAGGAGGCCGTCAAGGCCAACGGCTGGCCCGAGGAGATGAAGGTCGGTCTTATCGGCTCTTGCACCAACTCCTCTTACGAGGACATGTCCCGTGCCGCTTCCATTGCCCGTGACGCTCTCGACCACGGCATCAAGGCCAAGGCCCTCTTCACCGTCACCCCCGGATCCGAGCAGATTCGCGCCACCATTGAGCGTGACGGTCAGCTCCAGACCTTCGAGGAGTTCGGTGGTATGGTTCTTGCCAACGCCTGCGGTCCTTGCATTGGTTAGTACAATCCTTTTCAAAATTCCCACAAAAGCAAGTACTGATTATTTACAGGTCAATGGGACCGTCGCGATGTCAAGAAGGGCGAGGCCAACTCCATTGTCTCTTCTTACAACCGTAACTTCACCTCCCGCAACGATGCCAACCCCGCTACCCACGCTTTCGTCACCTCGCCCGACCTCGTCGTGGCCATGACCATCGCCGGTACCCTCAACTTCAACCCCCTCACCGACTCCCTCAAGGACAAGGACGGCAATGAATTCAAGCTCAAGGCCCCCACCGGTGACGGTCTGCCCGCCAACGGCTACGACCCGGGAATGGACACCTACCAAGCTCCTCCCAAGGACCGCTCCCAGGTTAACGTCGCCGTTTCCCCCACCTCCGACCGTCTCCAGATCCTCGAGCCCTTCAACGCTTGGGACGGCAAGGACGCCACCGACCTCCCCATCCTGATCAAGGCTCAGGGCAAGACCACCACTGACCACATCTCCATGGCCGGTCCCTGGTTGAAGTACCGTGGTCACTTGGACAACATCTCCAACAACATGTTGATTGGTGCCATCAACTCCGCCAACGGCGAGGCCAACAACATTGAGAACTACACCAACGGTGAGTTCGGCACCGTTCCCGGTGTTGCCCGTGACTACAAGGCCAAGGGTATTCGCTGGGTCGTCGTCGGTGACTGGAACTACGGTGAGGGTTCATCCCGTGAGCACGCCGCTCTCGAGCCCCGTCACCTTGGTGGTCTTGCCATCATTGTCCGTTCGTTCGCCCGTATCCACGAGACCAACTTGAAGAAGCAGGGTATGCTTCCTCTTACCTTCTCCGAGCCTGCCGACTACGACAAGCTCAACCCCGACGACAAGGTCGACCTCCTCTGCACTGAGCTCGCCGTTGGCAAGCCCATGACCATGAAGGTTCACCCCAAGAACGGCGAGTCATACGAGATCAAGCTTTCGCACACCTTCAACGAGGGCCAGATCGAATGGTTCAAGAACGGCTCTGCCCTCAACACCATGGCCAAGTCCGCCAAGAACTAAATGATTGCATGAATGGTTACGGTTAGGACAGCTATTATCTACAAAATCATGAGCCGGACACGAACATCCGGCCCGGGGCGGTAGAGGAGACATCACACACAGAGTGATTTCACAGAAAGGAGTGGAGAAGTGGTCTTTGTTGTTTATACCTTGTACTCTTGGGCGTATTTGATTTCTTTTTCTTTTCACCATATACCTACCCTGAATGAGTTTCTTATGTTCTATAATTCGAACACTTTTTTCAACCATAATCCACTTTGCATCCTCGGCGTATTTTCGTGCATTCAAAGCCTGTTAACAAAGGCTAATTTCAATCAGAAAACTGCACCAGAACACATCCGGCAGCTCGAAAGCTTCGTGACAGGCAAGACTCGCATAAAATGTAAGATTGTCAAGAGACACAAGGTTCCTAGGCTTTGTATGCTTCTCTGTCGATAGTCAAAGAGAACTGAGAATTCTCTAGCTGAATGTACAGAGGATGTCGTTTTGAGTTAGTCCTTCTTCCCACTCCGTACATACACACTTAAAAGGACACCATGGTGCACAATGTCCAGTTCTCGGGTACTCGCTGCCATCTGATTGCTATATACATGGCTGACATGCTCTGGAATTTCGAGACTTGCCTCGAGTCAGTGCTGGTTGCTGTATCTCCTCACTGCTTTCTCGACCAACTATTCTGGCCTAAGATTCAATCAAGGTAGCCCGCGTTGAAATTGAAATTGTTCGGACAAAGGACAAGGTACGCATTAGCTCACCATCATAGAAGGCTACCTCTAGCGAGTGGTTCTGACGGCAGGTTTGTCTTTCATTCTCAGCAGAGGCCACTCAAAGATGGTAAACACTTCTCTGCAAGTATCTTCGTGTTTGCCCTACCAGTAAGAGTTGGATGCACGTCTCTTCAGGAAAAATCATTGCTGTCACCAGAGGTCTGTCCTCATCATGAGTTCATGTCAGACAAAACTCCCTGTCATATCACGAGCGATGCAGTCTTTCAACACATTTCTCTATGTTGTAATGTTCTGATCAAACTAGAAAGAGAGGTTCGGTGTGGGCTTGACACTCCATACATTCTGTACACACCATGGCATTGTCTCCGAGAGCAAGCGTTCGATTCGATGTTACCTTGTGATGAACGCAAGATCTTGTATCGAGGATATGTCCGGAAAAGATGCTATTTCACGTACAACACACTGTTTGACGCTAGGAGCAATCGAAAGAAAGTGCGACACCGTGCCTTACAGACCACGGATGTCATTGATATGGCTTCTGAGAACCGGACATGAAGGTGATCTAATCAAATTTATTCCAAAAGGTAATTGTGTTCACTCAGAAATGATAAAATGGTCGAGTGGACCGGAATGAAGTTGCAAGTCAAAACGCCAAGGCCGTGCACGCCAAGGCCACTCGCTTAGCGGTGTGCGCAGAATTGGGCAACTTCACAGCGCGAAACTTGGAGATCCAGCAACCTCGACAAGTTATACACCTCCAGACGTCGCAATGGCCAGTAAGTTGCGACGACATGCTGTCAAAGACGCCGATGGAATGCTGACAAAATTTTACAGAGTCCAAGAACTCGTCGCAGCACAACCAGGCCAAGAAGGCCCACAAGAACGGGTACGCATCGACAACTCCCACGACTTTCCTCTATCGCCCTTTTCGCCATCAACCAGACCGATGAGAACGAGCGACTGACACTACGGCACCAACAGTATCAAGAAGCCCAAGACTCACAGATACCCTTCCCTCAAGGGCACCGACCCCAAGTTCAGACGCAACCACAGACATGCTCTTCACGGCACCATGAGAGCCCTGGTACGTGGCGCAGCTCCCATCGACCATGCGACGCCATACTGACAACCACAACAGAAGGAGGTCAAGGAGGGCAAGAGAGAGTCCGCATAAACAAGTCCACCACATCACGAAAGTCAAAAATCGGCGTCTAGTGTTATGGGTTGGAGGCTTTGCTAGAAGGAGCACGAAACGACTCCTCACGACAAATGCCATGAAACTGGTTGTGCAAATGCGCCCCTCGGTCCCGCCGCCTGTCGCCCTGGTCCACCTCTACTTTTCCGTCTTCTTCCACCTCACTCCGTGACATCTTCCCCAAAACAAAACAACACGGCATCAGTGTGTACAGCAACTTGCAAATACTATGCAGACTCTGCTGAAGGATTTTCCATCGTGCCAATACCAAAGACCCCACCATTACCAAACACTTGACCTGTCATCCATCGGGTACATGTGCATGGAGTTGGGGTTACATCTCTTCTATTTCCTTTATCTTCCTTACGTACGTGACAATCCCATACCTCTTCTCTATTAAAAAAAGCTCCAAAGTTCTCGTATCAATTTATCTGCGTTTCACCTTGTGACTGTTGTGAAGTGCGTTTTGGCTCTGAGGAAGAGCAAAGTATGCAGTCGCGGCTGCCATTCCTGAAACAGTACATCATGCATCGCTCGACCTTCACGCTGCCGCCAACAAAGCTTCCAATCGAGTATCACTGGATCTCTTTTTCCTACATCACAATCCACATCATCATTCGCGATTAAATCAAGACAATGGCAGATGTCTATCAATGGCGCCGAAGGATTCAGCCTGGCTATCCACATGCACTTATGCCTGTAGGAGAGCAAGATGAGACAGAGCCAGTAATCACTCGCGGCTTTGGCTCATCTCGAAAGAAGGCGCGACCCAAAATCAGCTCCTACTTCTCCCACCGCACTTCCTCGGCCAACCATGGCAGATCTTCGACATGGTCTGCCGACCAGCGCACCTCCTTCAAAGAAACAATCTCCTCTCCTCATGAGACCTGGCCAGAAGGATGTGAGCCAGACCCGGACCAGATGATGGACTCGATGATGCGCACCTTGATGGCAGAACCTTACCGCCCCTTGGACGTCAAGCACAACTCACCACTTCTCATGATATTCGAAGGATTCCGCAATCTTCGCGACGAGAACGCCTCTCTGATGCGCAAGCTGAAATACGAAGTCGAAACTCGATTCGCATCTCATCATGAGACAGAGCGAGAACGACAGAAATGGCAACAAGAAAGAGAGGAATACAAAGCCGAGGTCAAGAGGCTCGAACTCATCATCGCAAAAGACAAGGAAGGTGTGGCCGGAGTCTTTCGTGCAAGACAAGGCAGTATACTGCGAAACGAGCATAGACGACGTACTGCATCTGGCGCCAACACGAGCAAAAATGACCCTAGGGAAACAGTTTTTGAATTCCTCGAACGAACGAGAGTTGAAGATGATGCCAGGGCTGAAGCTGCCAGAAAGGCTCAACGAGGTTGGTCGACCCCTTTTCCGGAGGAACAAAACTCACCATTACCTCTAGTACCCCTCCGAAATCGTCCTGTATCTCCATCGCAGAAGATGGCGGTACTATCGCACAAGTTCTCTACCACCAGTCACTACAGCGACCTTCCATTCGACTCGCCTCCCAGTCCGCAGGACTTCACCAGCCTCTCTCAGGCCTCAATGTTCGAACTGCTGGCCGGCAGACCTTCTTTTTCCGACACCGACTCATCCGGGAACGATTCCGCTCAGCAGCACGCAGGCATGGCTGGCGATGAAGATACAACAGCTACTTCAAACATCGACGAATCTTTGCTCAGGCAAACCATTGAGGTTGCATGTGAGGATCAACCCATTCACTACCCTGATTTCCGCACACCGTCGTTCGAGGCAGGCAACAACGAACGGATCACGTCTCGGACCTCAAAGACTCGTCCTGAGTCTCTTTATCTGGATCATGCACGAAGGTTCTCCTTTGAGTATGACAACGACCTGCGCTCTTCGCAAGAGAGAGCACAACAACCTGCAAGATCAATTCTCCATAGAAGTGTCTCCGTAGACAACTTTGCTCCGCCGCTCTCCTCATCCCCGCTCAAGGCATCAGGCATCCGCGCTGCAGACAGCGCTGTGTCGTCGCCAGTCACAACACCCCTGATAGAGTCGCCTGGCCTGTCAAAGATACCAAGTCCCGTATTCGACGCATCGCTCGCAAGGCCAAGGAGAGAGGATTCATCGTCAAGCTTCCTCACTGCCATTAGAGCCTCGGATGGTGACACAAACCATAGCAGAGGAACATCAAGATCCAGCAATCTCTTGGAAAGCCCTCGCCTATCGTCAAGAGACAGCGTGAGAAGCATCGGTGATTTGGTCAATGGCCAACGCCATTCTGGACGCTACGGTAGCATGCACGATGTCAACAACATTGCAGTCGTTGCCGCTCGTGCTGCTGCTCCTTCGAACTCGCCAAAACCATCAGCAGAATTACATGGATCGTATCGCGCCAACGCATGAGGCAAGAGCGCACAACCCTGGCATCACCAATTCTAGATCACCAACCGCTATAATTGAGCATGACGAAAGGCTGCCATTGATAACCCCATGGGTCATGGGTCATGTGGAAGATAGGAATGGCGGGGGATATGCAGTGGAAGAATTACTAGGTGTGGCTGTGCATGCTTCCGTCAATCATCAGCGTGGCTTTCTCTCCGTCGTCTACAGTGATAGCCAATAGAACATGCAATACACACTTCTCTCGCCCTGCCCAGGTACCAGTAACTGTACCGTAGCGTGTGTACATATGATAGTGTCCATTGATCTTACTGGGTGTCTCAAGATGCTGTCCGTCAAGGGGGTCTACGTATACAGTTTCTTGTGCTGCAGATTGAATTGCAGGTACGCTCGGAGTAATGCTCCAGGCATCACAAATGGAAGCCTCACACCTCATATGATACAAAGAGCTGCAGTATGACAGTATCAGGTACTACCGAAGCAATCTATCTCATTGGCAATCTACTCTATACCCTGCGTTAAGTCTGCCGCGTCATGGACTATTTTCTCCATGCGAGGAAAGGGCACAAAGTCTTGCGCCTTTTTTCGCAAAGACCTCAAATCTCCACATCAATGGCTGTTTCGACCACTTCGCGGCTGTATTGAAGCGTGGAATTTCTGAAGACGACTTTGGCAGCAGATAGAGTGACACAATGACCTTTTTCTTTGATCACGTAGCGGCAAAGAGGTCCTTTGTAGATCATTGATAGGCGCGCGCGACTGCTTCCAAATAGCACGGTCAGGGGGAATAAGACAGTGTTTTTGGTCCAGGGACGTGGTAGATCTCTCGTACTGTACAGTACCCTTCTCTACGATTGTGCATCAGACACCAGCCACAGAAGGGCCATCTCCAGACACTCTATCCGGACATGTAGCGGACAGGGCAAATGCAATCAAGCAACTGCCACAAAACACGGGAGATTGTCTTCGTGGGAGGGGTTCCGAACGTCCACCAGCCCGCGGCATATTAGATGGATGACAGCCACACCCTCCATACCGAGTTACCCGTACCAACCAGTATCCATATTGGGTGCAGCAAATCTCCCGCAGAGAGACTCACATCGAATCATATCAGAGAGTTTGGAAGGAACGGGTCTGGAGCGCGTTCGACTTGCTTCAAGGCGTGACAGGAGTGACAGCTGCATAGCCACAGCCACAACTCACCTGCCACATCTGCCACAAGGTTTGGCAGAAGAGGGGAAAGGATGGCCGAGGCACCGCCACATGAGAAACGTCAAAAAGCGGCTGGTGATGTCGCTAGGTGTGGCGTACGTGCGAACTGTGGCACAAGCTGCCCTCGCTGAGACATACCGACAGCTCTCCCGCTCCCAATGAGCCACGTTCGGAATCGCTACAGATAAGCTAAAAATCGTTCGTCTCGAAAGCCAATTTCTTCAACCACATCCCTTCCCGATTGCTCAGCAAGACACATGGACGGACCTTGGGTCACTGGTCATCGCAGGATCTTCGGGCTGCTTTGAAGATCAGAAGTCTCCGGGAAAGTGGATACCCACTCCGTATTGCTTCGCTGTCCACCGCCACTTCGCTGTGGCAGACGCATGGGGATAGAGAGGGGGAAAGATCGGCGGATCACAAGCTTCGGAAATGTTACGGGCCAACTTGTTCGCTGATCGATGCCTCGAGGGCTGCTGCACTCGTGTGGTGCTTGGGGTGGCTTTCGCGAGAGAGAGGAGCCAAGCGCGAAAGGCGCCGTTTGAACGAACGCCCAAACGGTGTGAGGGTGGGGCATAGTGCAAAGTCTCCAATGACGAAAGCTCTATCGGGCTTGCACTTTTTGACAGCGCTCGTTTGAAACGGCAGGACGTGCGTTCTTTTTGTCTCCGTCTGCTATCCCTTGAAGGGCCATGCGCAATTACAATATGGACAGTGGTGGTAATAATAATAGGATGGCTCGACGCAATATAAGGTTTGTTCAGCGCATGATGTTAGTGGCTTACCAAAGTCCAGCGGACCAGTCGTAAGCACATCTCAATTTCGGTTGCTCTTGCAAAAGGGAAATTGCTTGAAGCAGAAAGACGGCAGAGAAAGAGCTTCTTCTAGAAGAAAATAGGGCATGCTACCGATGCCAGAGCGGCAGCAGAATTGGTCAAGGATTGGGAAGAGATGTGGCTGTATCGGCGAATTACCATCGCAGAATCGTTCCGACCATTGATGCAGGGTGAGATTTGATAGCATGCAGTGCTAAGAGGGCTCGGGGAAGATTGTATGCGTCGACCCGCGCACGGTATTGTGCAGCGCGGGAGTGGCTACGTCACGACAGCGACAGAGAGAGGTGGAGGTCAGCAGTCTGCCTCCGTATCTACTCGAGTTTAATGCGAGATGCGACAGCGGTGGTCTGCGAGTTAGGAACGGCAAAAGGGGGGCGTGGAAAGGGTAGAGTCGGGCAGTCTCAAATGCGTGCTAGTCAGATTTGCTGGCTGGATGCAACGTAAGCTTCGAAGCAGTTAGCATCGGAGACGATGCCTCGGATTTCAGAGAATGGTGATCGAGCCGCAGTTTTGGTGAGAGGAAAGATCGAAGATTGGCGTGAGAGGGCTCGAGTCAGCGCCGCTGGCTTTGCGGGGATGCGTTTCCAGCCACACGAGGGCACACGCTTTCCGTTTTTGCAAGCGTGCATGAGTGAGCGACAAGCGATCCGAAGCAAAAACAAAAACCAATTGTGGCACCAGACCAAGGGTCGGCCATGTTGACAACAAAGGCAGGCTTCGGCAGTCTCGATGCTTTTGCACAGCCATGTGGCTAGGTGTGGCGCGGGACAGAGTTGTGCAGTTTCTTGGGACAGCGAAAAGCGAGAGAGCGGAGCGAGGCACACGCACGAGGCATGATGCTGGCAGACGACAGCGTTGGAGCGATGGGCGCGCACGCAAGCAAGCGCAAGCGAAGAAATCGGCAGCGCACGGGACATCCAAGAGTGTCGCTTCCATGTTGGTAGCGTAGGTTTTGGTCGGGCCACAATTCAGCCTGCAGTTAAAACGGCGCGCATCCTGTGGCTTGTGGTTGCGCCTTTCCCTTATTGCACGCTGTTTCATCGACTCACCTGGTGACGACCTTATCCGCAAGAGTTGTCTTTCCTCTTCCACATAAGCACCTTGTCCTTCTCCTCCACGCGCTCGCAGTGTCGGCGCCCTGAAGACTTTATCACATCTCAACATCGCATGGTGAGCGCCCGGTAACCATGTTCGAGCATAGGTAAGAGCGAGCCACACTGCCACAGCTGGCTGAACCTCGCGCGCGCATCCGTGGCTGACATGATTTGTTATTGCTGCTGCAGACAAAGCTCGCAAAAGCCGAGCATCGAATTGCAAAAGAGCTTCAAGCCTTACCTCGAGGCCATCAAGTTCAATCCCAACAACCCGCCCACCTCGTCGGCCGGCCACGCCAACGCGCCCTCGCTGAACGCTTTGGATGTCGCAACGCTGAATCCTCGGTATGTCTCTCCACCTTTCCGCTCACCCAACCAAGTCCCTCAAGCAACCGTCCACCACTCTCCACCACTGCTGTCGTAGTACGCAATGACTAACCATCCCATTGCGGTTACAGGCAATTCGCCGAGCACCACAACATCAAGGATGCCGACCCCACTCCTCGAGCTTCCTCGACCGAACAGTGGAACTTTGGCAGCACCGGCCTCACCCCCTCGGTGCTTGACCCAAACAGCTCCTCGTTCAACACCTTCGCAAACCAAATGCCAGGCTACTACACTCCCACCCCTGGTGGCACAAACACCCTCTACCACCCGCAAGCAGGTGACCTCCACACTCCGGGTTTTGGCTTGGGCTTGAACACTCCCCTCTCCATGTCCACTTCCGACACAGCGGCACTCCATGCTCCCCAGCTCACCCACATGCACTCGTTTGCACATGCTATGCAGCATCACCATCACATGAACCCATTCGGAAACCCTGCTCACCCTTTCCAAATGCACCACCAGCCTACCTTCCCTCCCCACAACTTCCAGCACCAAGGCCCGCTCTTTGAACAACTCGACAGTCAAGCCGCCGACTCACCAATGTGTGGTGGTGACATGAACCTAGACGTCGAAATGTCCAACCAAACTCAAATGGAACCCATGTTTCAGCCTCAGCTCAGCAACGCTGCGCTCGTCGCTCTCCCTCAACACCCCTCGAGCGAGAAGTCAGTACCCAGTCCACCCTTTTCAATGCTTTATACTCACGATCTTCTTAGCTTCCGTTACCGTGTCACTCTCAATGCTCCGACCGCCATGGTCAGATCGGCTGATGAGATTCCTATCACATACCTCAACAAGGGTCAGGCCTACACACTCAACGTTCACGACACTGCTCCTCAGCACTCTGTTGTCGGCCAACTTAAATACCGCACCTTCGTCCGCGTCTCATTCGAAGAAGACTCCCAAAGACAGCGCCCTGGAGCTTGCTGGCAGCTCTGGAAAGAAGGCCGCGGTACTAACGAAGCTCACCAACGTGGCGGCCGTCTACAAGCAGTCGAGTTTGTCGACCAGAACCAATCAAATGACCTCAACCGACCCAAGCTGGAACTCGAATCCTCTTCGTTTGATGGCTTCTGTGTGACATGGAGCCCGTCTCCCAACGCACAAGGAATCGAGTGTCCCATCTCTGTTCGCTTCAACTTCTTGTCCACCGACTTCAGCCATTCAAAGGGTGTCAAGGGCATTCCAGTCCGCCTGTGCACCAAGACCGAGCTCTTGCTTGACTCCATGTCGCCTTCACAACAACCCGCCCACGAAGTCTGCTACTGCAAAGTCAAGCTATTCCGCGACCACGGTGCCGAGCGCAAGCTTTCCAACGATGTCGCCCACGTCAAGAAGCTGATTGACAAAATGAATCAGCAGATTTCTCAGATCGAGTCCGGTATGAGAGATTCGAGCAAGCGCAAGAGAAGTGGCTCCATCTCAAAGGTCAACGCTATCCCTCAAAGACCCGGCAAAGTACCTAAGCACAAGAGAACTTGGTCCATGTCCTCTACAGCCTCGACTGGAAGATCTTCCGCCGAAGAAGACCTGCAAATGAAGCTCATTGGACTGCAAGACATGTTTGGCTCCACTCGCCCGATTAGCGTCTTGTTCTTGCGAGGCGCAGAGGAGGACGACCCCGATCTTCACCCAGTGAGCCTTTCTGGAGATTCTCAAGGCCTGACTAGAGTCGATACTAGCGACACGAACATGTGGGATGGTCAAAGTAACAAGGGCAGCTCTGCTATGGTCTCGCCCACTCCAAGCAACCAATCGCTACCCTCAAACTTCCGCCGTCCAAGTGCTTTTGGCCCTCCCTCTCGCGTTAACTCGAACGAATGGGGCCGCAGCAATTCTCAAGTCGCACCCATGGACCTGAAGTCTTCTAACCCACAGCACTTGGCCAGTCCACCCGACCAGCCTGTGAAGATGCAGGCTCACTCACCAACTGGCGGCACTCTCTCCGGCTGGTTCGAAGCAATTGGTGTCGACTCTGCCTATCAACCCCCTCCAGAGCGCGCTAACAAGCCTCGTAAGCTTATTCTACCTTGAGATAAAAATAACCGAAACTAACGTATTTAGTGGCTTGTTTCTATTTGCAACCTCGAGTCCATGGCAAGGCGGCCGAGGACAACTACTACCGCGCAGTGTATCTTCTGCAAAGAAACCTCAACGATTTTGTCAGCGCAGCTGCAGTCAAGTTTGGCATCGAACCTCAAAAGATTGTCCGCACGGTCCGCATCAACCCCAAGGGAATCCAGATCTTGATGGACGATGAGGCAATTCGCGAATTGCCAGAAGGACAAGATATGAAGGCCGAATTCGCACCAGTCGATGTACAACAAAACCAGTGGCATTCGAGGCCAAACGCTTCCTCTGGATACGAGCTCAGGCTGGTCTACTAAATCGCCATCACCAACCTCCCTGATAATGACCCGTCATGAATCAACCTGCTACCTGGGTCCTGGAGACTGAAGGCTAATCATATCCCGCCTTCGATCAGCGATCAGGCGATTTGAGATACCCCTGTCCTTTCTTACCATTGGACCTTTCCTTGTGTTGATTCAACCGATACCCCTTCTTGCGAGAACTTCCGTTATTTGATTGCTTTATTGCTCTGTTTCCTCTACTAATGTTTTTTCTCATCATCCTGCTTTATTTCACCCCGGCGCACACAGACAAGCACGATTTGTTCGTTCAATGTACACAGTGGTTGAGCGGTTTCTGGGAATGTCTGGGCCCGATATTGGGTGCTCAAGGGTCTGACTGTCTGTTTCGAGATACCCTTCTTTGCTCTTTTTCCTTGGTTGTTCATTATTCTCATATCTTATTTTCCTTGTCTTTTGCAAGATGGTTATCAGCACACAATACCCGACCGTTTCTCTGGTCATTGGAAATGGTCTTTCCTCGAACAGCAGCCACTTAGTTCCTCAGTTTTATAGGGTCCGGAATTTACGGCCGTATACCTTTCACATCGCATCAGCGTCCTCTATCTTTAACTCAGCCTGTGAGGAGTACGGAGTAAGGGTTAACGGATGTCAGGCTATTGCTACTTTACCCGCCCTCTTCGCCGTTACCAAACGGTGGACGACGTGTCTGCCAGCGCCACTGCGACCTCGAATCTTCGATTGCTTTTTCCTGCCCTCCCTCCGACGTTGGATACGTGTGGCGGTGCGCCGAGACGCGGCGTCAGACTATGAATTTGGGTGCGTCCCGGCAGATGTGCTGATTGACCGCCGTTTGCCGGCGGACTGCACGCCGAGACTTCGACCAAGAGGTCGGTTCACGAACTTGACTCGGCATGTTCTCCACCGAGTCATGGGTCCATTTGGTGCATCACTTTTCGCAATCCTACATCATCATCGTTATCTGAATCATCATCCCAGGGGATCTTCTATCCCAATTGCTCTGTTTGATCCCTCATATCTCGGAATATCTCGTCTCTTGACCTGACCGACAAGGGACGAAAACTCGCAACGGCCGCTAGATCCTTGTGATCTTCTCATTACTCTATCCTTCGCCTCTTTGCACCGGCAATGCCGAAGGGAAATTTGGATGTTCAGCTTCCTGCCGAGACGAAGGAATGTATTGCGTGTTGTTGATGCATGTGAGAAAGGACGATTGCTTCTGAGTCATCTTGGCGTTTCGTTTGAGCACGAGTTACTTGAGGATCGAGATGATTGTGATGCCTCAAATTCTGACCCTTTCTTCGCGAAGAAAGATACTCGAGTACATGGTCTTGGGCAAAGGGGTCAAAGTGGATATGTGTCGATGCCAGGAGTGCTATGTTCAGGTGGAGAGTTCTAGCTACTGTACTCCGAGTACTCCAGCTACTCATTTGTCAACATGCACACTGACATGCGGTCTGGACGTCGTTAGTTGGTGGTTCTAAGGTATCCTCTAGAACGAGCTGTCAGTACGCGTACTCGACAGCGATTTTGCTCGCCAAATCATTCATCCTTCTTCACGTCCAGATCGCAAACACTTATGACGAGATGTCACAACAAAGTGACACTTCCTTCAAGTGTCAAACAACGCCAAGCAGCCTCGAGCTTCTCACCGTGACACCTCCGCTACAACACATTTCGCGATGTGGGTCTCTTTTGACACGGTCAAAGCAACTCTGCCTAACTATTGTAGGATGTAACAACACCGCAAAACACCATTCACCAACGAGACTACACAAACGACGTACGAAGTTGCCGCTTGGCGAGATTACCATCTGGTCCCTTTGATGCTTCTATATTTTCCCTCTGGGGCTTCTTAGCGTAGATGAGCAGTCCTTGGTATGACGTGGGATTGCGCGTCCTTTTTCTCCTCTCCTCTGTCTTTTCTTAGGGGTGGTCAAGTTACGGAACTTACGAGTAAGTTACTTAATGTCACTTACTGCGGTAACTTGCTGTAGATTTTGAGTAACTTACCGGTCTCCGATATAGCCGAGCTCGGCCGAGCTTTTAACGTCAGTGGCGTAGCGGTATTAGTAAGGGGTTAAGGCCGTCTTGTTCGTCGTTTCGAGTCCTATATATAGCTTAATAATTAGCAATGTTATTAAAGAAGGGAGGAGGCAAGAAGACTAGCGTTATTAGCCGTTAGTTTACTAGTATCGGAGACGCCTTTAAGTGCAACTAGTGTCCGGATTTTACGCTTAGAAACAATGGTAACGACCGCAAGGTAGACTACTTACTCGAGTGCTTGCCGTTCCTCGAGGACTTTAAGGTACTAGTACGCTAGGGTAACCCTAAAGTTGCTTAATACCTAGAGGTTCATTTATAGAAGCTACTAAGCAAGGTCGGCTAGTCGACTACTAGCCCTTCGAGAACTCCGGCGCTAACTCGACATAAGCTAGATAAGATAGCTAGTATAGCGATTTATTAAGGAGGACTACCCTTTAACACCTATAAGAAGAATCCGGACCTAAGGGCGATGTTTAAGGCATTAAATCTAGAGCTTAATTATTTACCTCCTTCGCGCTATCGCCTTACGAGGGAACTTCTTTAAGAGTGCTATTAAGAGGTTAGAAATTAGCTTAAAACTATCATTGCTAGAGAGCGTCCCTATAGCACCTATCGACATCGCCTATACCTTAATTTTATTACGGATAAATCCGGTGCGAACAACAGAGACAGGGTCGCAAACCTATCTATTAACACGGCGGATAGGTAGGCGTTCTTTATCGACGCTATTAACGGCAGAAGTGTAACAATAGGTAGTAACTAGACTAAAGAACTAGTCATCGAGAAGGTTAGTAAACTAATAGGAAATAAGCTGTCGAAGTAGAATAGCATCTACACCGATACCTATAGTACTTAGCGTAATTTTCATCGAGCTCTATAATAGGATCTAAGGACGTAGCATGTCTTCTATGTTCTATACGATAAGCATAGGTTATAGCTCGGCTTAAAGGATATTACTAACTAGGAGACAGCTAGTAATATCGAGTATTATTCTTTAACTTTAAAGGAGGTAAATGCGGCATTAACCTATCTTAGAGCCTCTAATAAGATCTAGCAATTACTGCTCGAGTTAGCCGATAAGGAAGGCGAGAAGTTATATGCCTTTACTATCGCCTACTCGATACGCTAGGGTTCTTATTACGCCGCGGTTATAGCGCTCTTAAAGAATCGAGGGTTATTATAACGGGCATCTAAGCGCGGATTACTATCGAATAATGATATCTGCTTATTTATTAACTCGCCGGAGTAGTAGAAGGAGGTAGAAGAGCTCGCTAGCCTTATTAAGCCCTTTTACTTTGCTTAGAAGTTGTCTAAGAACGATAGGTCGACTATCGGTATAGTAATTCCTCGCTAGCGTAATCTTCGCCTTAAGCTCGAGGCGCAAACATTGCCTAATAAGGACATAGTTCTAAAGAGGTTAGATAAGCGCCTTACTATTTAAACGACTAATATCTACTATGCCGCCTACCTTCTTAACTGTTAGTTAGATATAGAGGACATCGAGCAATCGCCTAAGGAGTAGGTAGCTACTTACCGGTTTTTTAAACACTATGTTCCTATCGATAAAATCGGTCCGTTTTAGCGATAACTTACTACGTATATCGAGCGTAAGGGGGTCTTCTTAAACCCTTAGCTATAGCGAGATAAGGTTAGATTTAATCCTTAGACCTTTTAGAACTTTGCTAGCAACTTTAGTGCCTCTACTCTAGCTAAGTTAGCTAGTCGCTTAGCGGTAACTCTAGCTAACTCCGTGCCCTTAGAGAGGTCGTTTTTAGCAATAAATTATATTTAGAACTCTTACTAATCGCGCATGTTAACTTCGACGACGACAATGTTATACGTAATCTACATAAATTGCCGCGCCTTTAACCGTAGAGAGGTCCTTTAGACTAACTAATTAAAACGAGAGCAGATCGAGCGCCGAGCAGAGCGATAGAAGGCCTACCTTAATAAGCAAAAGATCTATCGGTTCTGCGTCGACGAACTTAAGCGTATTAACCTCTTAGATCTAGTCGTTCTTAATAACCTTATCGACGACATTGCTATAGCAGTTAGCGTTACTCGAATTTAGAGAAAAGAGCTAGAGGACGATTAGTTAGCGCCCTATCTAGATTTATGTTATTAGCTCGAAGGTCTACCTCCTACTCCTTACTTACTTCGAACTACTAATCTCGACATTACCTTACTATTACCGTTATAGGTAATACGGCCCTATTAGCAGTTTCTTTAACATCTATAGACCGGCGAGAACTACCCTACTAAGCGCGTAGCTTAGAAGGCATTACTTGCTTAAACATAGAGACCTAAGAAACAGACATTAAAGAAGCGAGGGCCTTAATCTTAACTTTCTCGCGCTTTAATACCTATGCTAGATCTACCTCTAACTTAGTAAACTATCTCGACAATAGGATTATCTATGCCCTAATACTCTCGCCCTAGCACCCCTTCTCATATAGGGCCAACTTATTAGTCATTTTACTATAGATTACCGTCGCTAAACATTACTCCGGAGTAGCTTTAAAGGGAACGACGAGCATTAGAGGTAACTACTTAGACTTAAAGTTCTTAAGGCTCGATAGGGCCGCTAGCGAGGCCGGTCCTTAGTGAACTAGATTATAACTTAAACAGCTATAACTAGCATGCTTAGAGGAAGGAGAACACTATACATGTATAGGGAGGAGTGCTATTACCGGCGCTGCAGTTCGATTTTATGAATTCTTCGCAATAAATATGACTTTTAAGATGTCCGACCATCTAACCCGTGCTAACCTAATAAATGGCCCATTTCCCTTACTAAATCGTCTAAAAACAGGGCCTCGGCGGGCGATCAGGTTAACGGTGCGGGGCGGTCGTACCTCGGCTGTAACTACGAGGTAAGTTACTTGGAAGTTACTGGGAACTTACTGGTCAGTTACCATTTGGTAAGTTACTGAACCGACCCCTATCTTTTCTGGGGAGCGTCAACGGCAGTTATTGGAGATCTTTCTGCCTGAGTGCAGCGCTACAAGCAAGCGTGCAAATTTCCCCTGCAAGCACATTCAATACTTTCGTATCCACAATTCGACTTGGTCTGTGGATGGTCTGCCACAACCAATCGTGGCTGGTGAAAAGCTTGATCAACGAGTGTTTGGGACAGGGTTTTCGTTTAATCTGCATGGTGGATCGCGACTTTCTCTCTCTCTGGATCGTGTGTGTTGCATACAAAATTCTTGGCTGGGCCGAGTTCCTCTCTTTCACCCGTCTAGTTTCCGGGCGGTGATATCGAAAGCCAAGACGTACATGTCACCCTCATCCAAGACTACCAAGACATGAAGAACTTCCGTCTTGGCTTGGTGGAGTTTGGCATAGAGATGAAGTTCTAACCGACTTGCAAAGAACGGCTCGGAAGTTGTAGGGGCAAGGGAAGTCCACTCCGTCCCGCCATATGCGACGGTCGCCCTAGGTGTGTCTCTCGGTGCCCGGCGAGATGATAGGCGTGCTAAGCCGGATACTACGGTCTACAGTACAGGACCCTTTACACATGAACACACCCTTGGTGTCTGTATTTGCAAGACATCCACGCAAGCGATGCAAGGGTCCTTCCTGCGCTCCTCCATCCACGGCCGAGGAGTGATTTCCTAGCTTCGTCGGACCCCGCCAACCCGCCATGCCAGACCACAACAGCTGCAGTCACAAGATGGAGCCGACAACCCAAACCCCAATCAATCGAAAGCTCTACTGTTCCTTCCGCGGAGTGTGAGTTTCGAGGAGCGAGCTGCTCGAAACCCAGACGCCACAAGTGCTGACCGCACAGCTCTCGATCACGAGGGAAAGTCATAGCGACGGAGTCTGATCCGTCAGATACCATGATTACTGATTATTGTGTTCAACAGCAGTGGACTACTGAATCCCCACCGCGAACCTTTTCCACTATCACCGTTTTTACGGAGGTCTAAAAACTCGGCCGAGAAGTGAAAGTGAAGCCTAGATGTGTGAGCGCTGAGGTCTGATTAAAGATCACAGTTCGGAAGTCTAAATGGTCAATCGTGGCTGGGGTGTTTCACCAAGGAAACAGCGAACGAAAGAGGATAATGCCACCACGGCCACTCGATTGGCTTTATGAGCATGTTGGAGACATTGCAAGGAGGTATTGGCATCGAGTGACATATCAGTATCGCTCTAGACCATTTCTCAGGCCCACATGATGGTTGGCAGGATATCGTAGCATCAAGTCAGGGTCTCCAGAGCAACAACAATTTCCGTCTTACATCCATCGAAACTTTTGACTGGCATGCTTTGGACTCGATGAAACGAAGGTCAGAGTATCTCAGAGTCTAGTGAAGCAAGTTTACTTCGACTGGATCAATTTGAGTGGTCTTAAGGGACCTGGGTTGAGCGTGAGGGTAAAAGATCGATGGAATCACGAAGGCAACAACAACAACCACATTTTGCAACCAACGTCTTTAATCGCGCAGGTATGTCGAACTCGCGATAAGAACATGAAGTCCCTCCTCCAAAGATACACACCAAGAGGGACCATGAAACCGGAATATCTTCACCAGGCAAGATGATGTCCCAGACTCGACGTGCTTTCAACTGAATACATGTACTTTAGACAAGCAGCTAGACTGGTAACTTACGTGTTTATAGCTACTTGACTTTAACAAAAATATCCCGTTCAAGCGCTTGAGGAGACACAGATTTTCCGGCAGCATGTAGGATCCGTGATCCATCGCCTTCGCAACAATGTTGCAATATCACCCTCAAACCATGACCTTCATCGTGTTACAAGCTTCGCAAACGAACTCAGAAACTCATAACCAGACTCGTGTTGAGCAGCAGGTACATCAAGTCTATTTCTTCCTGATCGTTTGCTCTTCCGCGGAAAAAAAATCGGTTCACAGTTGCCCATGGTAATCTTCAAGCCCCTCCTTGGTGTTGCTGCAGCTGACTATGGTCAACTCGTATCAATGTCGCGATGTGATGTTGTTTCTGAGGAGTAACCACTGTTAGAGACTGGCAAGAGTGGATTGGTGGACAATAGCAGTCGAATAATTCGATAGAACCACTGCTTCCTACAACGTCAAAGTACCCTGTAACTGGATATCCAAAACACTCTTTCCGACCATAATGTTGAAAGCACCAGAAGGCAACACCCACTGCTGTCTAACCACATCCCAAATACTCATATCCCTTCTTCTCAATGAGAATGTCATATTGACACTCGCACCTGGCTGAATCAACTGCTTCTCAAATCCGCGAAGCACTTTAGGCACGCCGCTGCCAGGGATGCCGAGATACAGTTGAGCGACTTCGGCAGCAGCAACATTGCCGGTGTTCTTGACGGCAATCGACACGGTAGCGACGATATCGTATAGCGACGTCGTGCCTCCCTCAGCAGCAATACCAGCAACCGTACCAGGTGGAGAAGACGATGTGACCGCACTATCATTAGCAGACATCTGCAGCCCCGAATAGCTGAAATTCGAATACGTCAACCCATACCCAAACGCAAAGCGTGGAGTAACGTTTTGCTGTATGAATCGTTTGTAATCGATAAACAACCCTTCCGTAAAGTCGGACTGCGAATATTGAGGATTAATCCTATCCGGCAATGTCGGCCGCAGTAAACTTCCATAATCGGATTCATTCTTTGCGACGGTGAAGGGGAGACGACCCGAGGGCGATTGGCGTCCGTATATTATTTCCGTCAGCGAGGTTCCGCTGTATTGGCCTGGTAGGTTGGCATAGATGACGGCTGTGATGTTGGGGTGGTCGATCCAGCGGTCGACGAGGCGGATGCCTGCGCTGTGGATGATGACCATTGTGTTTTTGCATCTGGAAGCGACGTTGGTGACCAGAGTATCGGAGTAGATGTCTGCTAGTGTACTGCGGTCCCATGTCTCGCTGGATTGGGAGTTGATGAAGACCAAGCATGGGTTGTTCGGATCGCTGACAGTGGGATTCTGTGACGTGAGATCTGCGTACAAGGTCGTACCGTCGATAGCAGCTTGACTCCGGAATGCATCTTCAGGAGAGATAGACGATACAGGTGTGATGGCACCTGATCCACCTCCAGTATAGAGTGTTCCGTTCAAAGCGACCTCGGGACCAGCGAAGCCGGCCGGAAGCACCTGAGCCGAGTTGATCAGGTCATCAAGATCAGTGTAGGGCTTACCGTTAGTATATGCTTGTGTATTGAGCTTTCCATTTGGCTTAAGCTGGAAACTAGTGGCGGATGTGTTGATTCCGCCGGGAGCATCGTATCCGAACAGTGAAAGAACTTTTGGCTTGTTGAGTGGAAGTGCATTGTTCACGTTCTTGACCAGGACATGGCCTTCGACGGCGCCCTGGAAGAGTGTTGCTTCTGCTGCCGCCTGACGTGCTTCAGCATCGTTCAAACCAGGATTTTGTAGGTTGGCAAAGCGGTACCAGGTTGCGAGAATACGAGTGGCCATATCATCTAGACGAGTACTGTTGATAGAGCCATTCTTAATGGCGGTAGCGAAACTGTTGACATCCAGATACATGGAGTTGGGCATGACCATGTCTAGCCCTGCGTTCACGCTAGCGACACCAGTATGTTGCGCATACCAATCGCTTACAACGAAGCCTTCGAATCCTAGTTCTGTCTTTAAAAGGCCGTTCATGGTCTTGCTGTTTTGGCACTGAACTGGTCAGCATTCAGATATGGACATCTTGACTTGTTTACACTCACACCATAGCTGTTGTTGACTCGTTGGTAACTGCACATTGTACTTCCAGCACCTGCCTTGACAGCATCATAGAACGGCCAAAGATACAACTCGTGCATGGTCCTATCATCGACATTCGACGAGACAGAATTGTTCAGGTTGATCAAGCCACCGAGAAATCCTTGGAGGAAAGGACTGCGATTGGTCTCTTGTTCGTTGGCGATGAAGTGCTTCACACAAGCAATGACGGGCTTCTGCATGCCTGAAATTGTAGGAGCGATCAGAGAGCCGGCGAGATATGGATCGTTTGAAAAGCCTTCCCAGTTTCTTCCACCAGTCGCAATTCTGCCAAGGGGACCAGCTACTGGACCGAGAAGAACATTCACACCCTTTGTCTTGAACTCCTGGCCGAGATGAAGAGCCCTATCGTATGCTAGAGATCTATTCCAGGAAGCGCCAATGTGTAGTTGAGCTGGATAACCATTGACTTTGCTTGCGGTGCGAACACCACTTTCGGCATCGTTCAGGCACATACCCGGGAACCCAAGACGAGGAACGCTACCTGTGAAGCCGCTACAGTCGTGTGTCTCCGAAGAGCCCAAAGTGATGTTTGCTTTCTCCTGAACGGTCATCTGAGCAACCAAAGCTTTTGCCTGACTATATGCTTGCGACCAGTCTCCACTGCCTTGGCCCTGTGGCGACGGATACACAGCAGGAGAGCGTCCATACGAATAGTAGCGCTCAGGAAATAGAATGAGAGTCGTCCATCTTGCGAGTTGAGCGATGGTGTCAGAGATGATGCTTTCCAGAGTACTCCCAGCTTCTGCCAAAGCACTGCCTAAGGAGGTACTACCAGATCCAGATGCCAATGCGCTTGTGATTTGAGCAAGAGAAGGCTGGGTAGTGCTTTGTCCATTTACCATTACAAAACCGAGGGTCCATGTCAAGAGAAGACTGGCAATGAGCCGCGAGAGAACTTTGGGATGCATGGTTGGGCGGGAAACTCGAGTACACACAATGCTTAGGGACTTTGTCTTATAAGACTAAAATTTTGATCGAGAAGCCACTCGGAATACATGTTTCCGGTCACGAACGGTATACATGGGCCTGAGACGACCGTTCCAGATCGTGTGGCTTTCGGTAATATCTGCAAGGCCTTGCAATGTAATTTGCCCATTCAAGGATGTGGAGTTGCTAGTGGGGTAAGCGATAAAGTGCTCAGCCGATGCTACTAGAAGCGATGACCTCAAGCATCATACTCAAGTCCAGTCATCGTGTTGGATACGAAGCACAGATCTAAGCGAACGCGTACCAGCGTGCATATCGCTATGTTGTTGCGAGCATTTAACTGGTTAATCAAGCATCGAAGCTCGTTAAAAAGCTTGCGGGGTTCACGATCTGGGGTTAAAAGCCGGCACGTGGACTTTGTTAGAAGTGTGCAACCGAGGTCAAGTGTGTCATTTTTGATAGAGATCTGCGCCTTCCGCATAGATCAGCAGCGTACAGTTATCGTGGTTGCCGAATTTAGTTGTCTGATTGAAAGCGCAGACTTCACTCGTTGAGAGCGAGATACGCATTGAGGAAAGTTGTAAGAAAAGGGGTATCATAGTAGAACAGAAAGGGAGAAGGAAAAGCTCAGAATCGGATGCATCTGCTCTCTTCATGGGCGCTCTTGCATTCTAGACCGCAGACACGAGAGCCGCACTTCAGGCATTTGACGCGACCCCAGTATCCGCACATCTCACAAAAGACCCTTTGCGGAGGAGCAGCCGCCGAAGAAGGTGCAGAGCGTGCCATGTTGTATGATAGTTGTGGAGCTGAGAGCAAGGCCTCGATCTCAGCAGTGGTGGCCGTGAGCGGGGCCGGTGGTGATAGTAGGGAATCGTGTTGCAGCTTCTGAGTGTCGGCAGAAGCGTCGACAAGGTAAGGCTTGAGGAAAGAAGGTATCAGGGGCGCCTGGGGAGCGGTGGAAGCAGCATTCGAAGCAGCAGCAGTCGGGGCGGGACTAGGTTCGGCTGTGGCTGTGGCTGTGGCTGTGGCTGTGGCAGGAGCTGGTTGTGGTTTGCGTCTTGCAATCGGGGTCTTGCTTGCTCTTTGGGCAGGCTTCTGGGGCTCTACATCGGCATCTGGACCGTGATGGTGCTTCAGAGCCAATGCGGCCTCATCTTGGTCCAAGTAATGCGAAAAGTCCTTTCCTGAAGCCAAGATGCGACGCGTGTTTTGAGTCTGACGACGATTCGATTTCGGTGGGGCGATGTTGACGGGTTTATGGCTGTCCTTGTCGAGGTCGTCTAGATGTCGCTGGATGGCAGTTTGTTGACGGATGGTCAGGTCGCCTTGACTGAGGCCTGCCGCAGAGGCGCGCACGCGTTTGCGACTGGAAGGGTTGATGGCCGCCTTGGAAGGATCATATCCAGTGTCGACGACATAACTCCATCCTGGCGCTGCTGCCTTTGCCGTCGTCGGCAACTCTTCAATATGTGGCATTGTGTCGCTGGTCAAAAGTTGAAGCCTTCGTCATCTCGGAAGTCTTTCGGCTCCAGATCCATCATCCATGTTTCGTTTCCCCACAATTGAACATGTCGACATGTGATAAACTTTGTCACGCATACAACTGCAGCATTGCTTGACTGCTGTCAGGTCCGAGTTGCAACCAACGAAAATGTGTAAGCAGATTGCCCTGGACCATCATACACTGGCTTGGAAAGTACTTTATGGCCGAGAAACAGACACATCTGGCTGAGCATGATCGCGTGACAAGCATGTAAGTGACAAACTTTAGCACATGCGGAGGGGCAGTATCACCACGGGCGAGAGGAGCAATGCATCGTGAAACAATAGCACAATAGACTTTGTGCTCTGAAGTCATACCCTGCTTATAAGAATGCTCTCTACCTCTTTGCCTTTTCGTCACCGTTCCACTCCAATCAACCAAATCAACATGCAAACCCAACAGCCTCCTCTCATCAAACCAGCTCCCCAGCCTGCCAGCGACCCCGCTCATGGTGCTGCTATTATCTTTCTCCATGGCCTTGACGACGATGCCATGGGTTGGGAGAGTATGTCTATCTCCTGTCCGAATAGCCCACTCATTCACAGCTTACACTTCATGCAGACATAGCCACACAGTTCCATGACGGAAACAAGCTCCCATATATGCAATGGGTCTTTCCGAACGCACCACATAACATGGACGCCAGGCAGAATGCATGGTACACACCCTCATCATTGAATCCACCTCCTGCTGGTCGTCCGGAATTGGCGCCTGATGAAGATGAAGAAGGCCTGATCAAGAGCGTGAAATATGTCGAATCGCTCATCGACGATCTGACATCCCGAGGTATACCGCCAAACCGTATAGTCCTCGGAGGCTTCTCCCAAGGCTGCGCTCTTGCGTTGCTCACAGAACTCACATCATCTTACGCTGGGAAGCTCGCTGGCATCGTCGGTTTGATGGGCTACCTACCCTTACCCGAGACAATCCAAAAGCTACGTACCGAGGCAGGATTGCCGCATGTTGTCGGACACGTGCCCATGTTCTTAGGGCGCGGAGAGTCGGACAGACTGGTTCCGCGTAGCAAATGGACAGAAGGATTGAACAAACTCAAAGAGTTGGGCGTGAACGATGGGGCGATGGAGATCAAGGAGTATGAGGGCTTGGCGCATGCGTTGTCGCCAGCTGTCCTGCAGGATTTGAGTAAATGGCTGGAGAGAGTGGTGCCAAAGTTGGAGGATTGAACGGGTATCTAGCTTTTTATATGAAAAATGTAAATCAGGGACCGAGTCTCTGAGTACTTCCTAACGGAGCGAGAGTCGGGACCGGTCTGGGCGTTGCTGTTGTAGGGAGCACACCATATCTTCCGTATGTCTTTTGGTCAACCGAGACGTAGTGAGGCAGGCGACCAAGCAGGTTAAGCTTGCCCTCGATCCATCTCAGGATCTTCTCGTTGGGCACCAGGAACTTGACATAGCCCAGGCCCCACAGGTAACCAACAGCGAGACCACACAGGTGTCCAAGGAAGCTGGTATTGGGGACCAGAACGGCTACAAAGAGGTTGAGGATCAAGGGAATGGTCCAGGTAGGGATGTTGTAAGGACCAAGAGCAAAGTTCGGGTTTTGCTTGAACGTCTTGATGGACTCGGAAGCCAGGAGAAGGAAGACCCAGACGCTGTGGCTGTGTTAGAAAAGGTAGCAACGTCCGGGATCAGATAGTCTTACCTTGCGCCCTGGACAGCGGTGTTGGCGTGGAAGATGAACTTCTCAATCAAGGTATAGCTTCCTCCAGGAAGAAGGCCGAATGCTGGTAGGTTCGTTAGACTCGGGGCAATTGAAAAAGGTAGGGAAGACGAACGGCCTGTGAAGAGGAGCAGAGTCGGAAGGGAACCATTTTCGGCCTCGAAGCGTTCCAAAAGGGGAGTCAAGGCGAAGATGTTGACGATCATGTGGATGAAGCCAACATGAAGCAGGGGAAACGTATTCAATCGGTACACTAGCACGAGGGTCAGACAGATGATCAGAGCACGTAGAAGGAGGATTGATACTTGATTGTAAATTCATCTCAGCAGGTATTAAAGCGGCCCATTGTTGGAACCAGGACAGCCTAAGACTGGCGATCCAGAAAGCGACTATAACGACAAGAAGCGCACGCGTGCACAAGGGCAGACGAAAGAGATATGAGCGCACGCGACGTGCGTCGAACTGGGGCAGCGACAGCGACGGCATCGCGAGCAAGCAAGCAAGCAATTCCAAAGAGAGCAGGAGCGTAGGAAATGGGAACAAAAAGGAGAAGAGAGAGTCGAGTGCAGCGCGTCGGCGGAGACTTGGACGTCAAAGTGGAATTGGCCAAACGCTCCCCCTCGATTTCAAGTCGGAGCATGCTTGACCCTCTTGCCCGCGACCACCTCCTGAAGCTGTTCTGAGTCTCGCAGCCATGGCGGCTCTATTGTGTAAGCTGGCCAGTCTGATCCTTCAAACATAACCATAATAACTCGTGTCGTGTCTGAAGCAGGACTGCTCAGTCTCCGACACAACCGCCGTCTTGCCCGCATCCCGCCCTACTTGTCAGCTCTGTGCATCATCATCGGCGTCGCATGGCTATTGCTGCTTCCTCTTGACGAATACTCACGCCGTACTTATGTCTCCGAGAATGCCATCCTGCCCGGTCAGGTACACACCTACTTTGGAGGCAGCGAACACAATGTCTTCCGCGCCTACAGACAGGAGATCGCTACCATGGATGAACTCTCCACCGAGGACCGCTCGCAAAAGTTGTACCAAATGCTCGGTGCCAATGGCCTGAAGCCTGATATTCAAAACTACGCCTACTCCATCTCTGGCCAGAACAAGACGGGCCAGAACGTCTACGCTTTGTTACAAGGTCCAAGAGCAGATGCCACCGAAGCAATGGTCATGATCGCTGCATGGAGAAACATGGATGGCAAGATCAACTACAGTGGTGTCGCTTTGCTGTTGACACTAGCAAGATACTTCAAACGCTGGTCTATTTGGTCAAAGGATATTATTGTCTTGATTCCCTCAGACAGCACCTACGGTCCACATGCCTGGGTCGATGCCTACCACGACACTCACGACACGACTGCTGTAGACGCTCTGAAGATAAAGGCAGGTGCTCTCCAAGCCGCCATCGCTATTGACTACCCTGCTGGTCCATGGGGTCACCGCTTTGAGAAGCTCCATGTTGTCTACGATGGCATCAATGGCCAATTGCCCAACCTCGATCTTGTCAATACCGCTGTCAACATCGCTCAGGGTCAACTTGGCATTAGCTGTACTATCCAGCGCATGTGGAATCACCAGGATAGCTACCGCGAGCGTCTCGACACCATGCTCAGGGGTATGATGAACCAAGCTGTAGGTCATGCAAGCGGTCCTCATAGTGTCTTCATGCCTTACCATATTGATGCTATCACACTGCAAACCGTTGGCGATGGTTGGCACGATGAGATTTCGCTCGGCAGGACTGTTGAGAGTCTTTTCCGCAGTGTGAACAACCTTCTCGAACATTTGCATCAGAGTTTCTTCTTCTACCTGCTAATGCAAGCCAACCGCTTCGTTAGCATTGGTACATACTTGCCCAGCGCCATGTTGATCGCCGTCAATTTCACCATTACTTGCATTCTGCTCTGGGTCCAAAGTGGCCAACCAAAACAGCAGACTCCTAGTCCGGCTTCGCCCAAGACCGAAAAGAAGCCTGATATGACACTGGTCAAGGAAGGAGAGAGTGTGGCTCTTGTACCTACTGCAGATCTCGAAGTAGTTCAGAGAGATTTGTTCAGTCCATTGGCTATTGTCCTTGGAGTTCACGCCTTGGGTCTTGTGCCTTTCTACGTGTTGAATCAAATCCCCGAGAAGGTATGCAACCTGGGACACTATCGCGCAATCCCGAGCTAACATATTTCTAGACTTCACTCACAATGCTTGCAGCTCTTATGCTGCCTACTATCACTATGCCTGCCATTCTCGCATTTGCTCTCCGCAGCACTCTTCGTCTCTCGCCTCAGACTTTCACCCTCATCCAATGCTTTTCCCTGCTCCTGCTCGGCGCTGCTCTCTCTACTCTTGCAACTCTCAACTTCTCGCAAGCTTTGTTCGTAGGATTACTCGCATCCCCGTTGTCTTTCGTACGACCCTTTTCGCCGCCGCGATCATGGCCAATCGCCGTAAAGGTGCTGCTGGGAGTGTTATCTGTGGTTGTCATGGTTGCGACATCACCTCCAGCTGCACTGCAAGCTTTTGGCTTCGTGACAGGCAAGAGCTTTGACGAGGTGATTGCGGCTGCAGCCTGGGCATGGAGGGTGGAAAGAGTATGGACTGGAGTTACGATATGGGTTCTTTGGTGGCCAGCCTGGGTATGTGGAGGACTTGCATTGTGCAGCGGCTTCATCGCGTGAAATCACCACAGAACTCTCCGACTTGCGAGTCGGAAGGGGATCATAAAAGTATAGATGTGCAATTCCAAGCGTGTTTCTTCTTCATCTGCCAATATGTTCTCGTTGCTCTTGGACTCTGTGAGTAGAGCACTATCATCATTCGTTCCAATGTCTTCTTTCTCACTCTGAGTATTTCCTTCCTCTTGTTTCTCCTCTTTACATCTTGGCCAAAATCTCCTCCTTGAGAGCCTTCAACTTATCCTGGTTACCCTGCTGCTGAGGCCAACTGATACCCAATCCTTCCTTCTCATTAGGCTTAGGGATCATGTGGAAATGCACATGATCCACCACCTGATGCGCAATCTTTCCATTGTTCTGCAGAATGTTGTAGTTGTCCGCACCCACAGCCTGGGCGATCTTCTTTGCCACAGGAAGAATTTCGGTGAGTTGGTCGTCGGGGATATCGTGGAGTTTTGCGCCGTGGTATTTGGGGATGACGAGCTATGGTGGTGTGCATTAGATAAGAGGTGGGCGGTAAGAAAGATGGAGTGGGAGAAGGACGAACAGCGTGACCGTAGCTTAGAGGGTTGATGTCGAGGAAAGCAAAGACCTTTTCGCTTTCGAAGAGTTTCATCGAGGGGATCTCGCCTGTGTGGTTGGTTGTGGTGTTAGCTATCTGTTGTTTCTCTGGTGTTGCTTGAAGCTTGCGGATGTTTACCGTACCCTTGATGATCTTGCAGAAGATGCAGGCAGCGGCCATGATTGCTGATGTGATGTGATGTGGAGTGCAATTGGTTTTGGTATGGCTATGTACAGAGTGTTTGCAGTAGAAGTTGTTCCTAGATCGAACAAGTGTCGGACCCCTCCTTCGTGACTTGCATCACTTGCACTCGTCCGAATGCCGACCGAAAGTGACGACTGCGGGGTGGAGCTTTGACGTGACCCTGCCTGTTTCAGAACTTGCTGTTTCCAAAACCTCTCTAAAGAAGAAGAGCCCAGCCCTTTAGATTGTTTACTCTATGTAAGCTGAACACATCCAACACCATCATCCTTCTATAACAACCCATGTTTCTTGGGAACTCCAACTTTTGAATCATAATCCAGTCTTGTATCGCAATACAGTCAAACGTCATCATGCCTCTGGTTGAAACTTCCAGGCATCACACTCGAAGTTGGCGTAACATCTGAACTCGTTGCTCAGACCCTTCGAATGCTCGGGCAAAAAGGTCGTGGTACGCATACCAGCCTTACCGTATAACTTGTGTGCAAGACTCTCCATACGCTCACCAGTACATTGGATGAGTTTGAGAGGTGCCTCCCATGTCTTGGCTAGCCAGCGGACTGTGAGTGCGGCTGTGATAACATATCAGTAATGCTCTCGAGATCGGCAAGGAAATTGAGAGTAATCACCTTTCGACTGGCAGTCTTCGTTCAAGAACGGAGGATCACAGATGATCCTGTCAAAAGAACCTTTCATGCTGGCTGTACTGTTATTAGCTTTGTTCTTCTCTCAACTATTTGGGAAGTCGTACGGTCCAACTTGAATGGTTGCTTGTAGTCGTAGAAAGAAAAGTCTTCCTTGAACACGCCAAATCTCTCATCGAATTCGAGGAGCATCAACTTTGGTCGTATCGGATATCTCCCACGGTCGTTCTGTCTTGATCAGCATTGTGTACATATCCCGATCTTCCATCAGACTTACCAACAGATTCCTCAACTGAATGTACACACTCGGCGCAGAAACAACAGCAATCTTGCTGTCTTCTGTCACACCCTCGAGCAACTGCTCAGCCAGAACAGTAGCCGTCTCATCCTTATACCAGAACTGACTGTCCTGCCAACTCTCTGTGAACAACTCCATAGACAAAGGCTTTGACCCATCAAAAGCATCTTCTGCCTTTGACTTCAAATCCTCAAACTGCTTTTCCCGTTCGTCTCTCTCGGTGTAGAACTCTTGAAGCGCGGCAAGAGTAGAAGGATCCAATTGCCTGCTCAATGATCAATATACGAACTTTCAGAAAAAAATCCATTCCAAAAACTTACGGACGGTCTTCCTCATCAAAATCGTCAGTGAGTCCCATTTTCGCTTAAAAGATAATATATGTATATATGTTTCGATATGATTGGTGATGAATGGTGGACGGAAATTTTCTCGAAGGGGTCGTGAGAATAATTTTTCTTTTTCTAAACTGGAGGAATATGCTCAGATGGGATGGTCTTGGCTGGAAGTGGAAGGGTACCCTGGCCATCGCGTGTTTGCGGGTGTAGCAGAACAACTCTATTCTGTGGTTGGAGAGCCGAGGTTCGACTGGAGACAACTCCATGCACATGTCCCAAGGATGATCAATCACACAATACTCTGTCGATTAGTTGAATCATCACTTGAGACCGTTTCTTGTGGAGAAATCATCTCGTCATCCTCACATCCAACTGCCTGGACTTCAATAAAGCACACAAAAGCATCTCAAATCACAAACATGGCATCAAGTCTAGTATCTCTACCTGAGATAGAGCGACTCAGTTCACGGGTAATCAGAATACTAGGAGGAAACCCAGGAAAAGTAAGAACATCACATCTCCTTTCAGATGCATAATCAAACAAGCTAACAACATACAGTTCACCTTACAAGGTATCTCTATCCACTAGACCGTCACCGGAATATCCAAAACCTAATAGAACCCAAGGAACAAACACCTACCTAGTAGGCCAAGGACCAACCCGCCTCCTAATCGACACAGGCGAAGGAAAGCCTTCCTGGCTAACCTCCCTCCAAAAAGTCCTCTCGTCAGAAAAAGCCTCCATCGATCGTGTAATCCTGACCCACTGGCATCACGACCATGTCGGCGGAATACCCGATCTCCTAACCCTCTACCCAACACTCAAAATCTACAAACACAAGCCTTCAGAAAACCAAATCGACGTCAAGCATGGAGAAATCTTCAAAATCGACGACACGACATTGAGGGCATTTTATTGTCCGGGACATACAAATGATCACATGGCATTGATATTGGAAGAGGAAAGTGCAATGTTTACGGGTGATAATGTGTTGGGTCAGGGCACAGCTGTGTTTGAGGATTTGTCTGCTTATATGGACAGTTTGCAGAAGATGCAGCACGAGTTCTCGGGGCAAGCTTATCCGGGTCATGGACCTGTGATTGAAAAGGGAAAGGCGAAGATTCAGGAGTATATTCGCCATAGACAGGAGAGGGAAGGGCAGATTGTTGATGTGTTGGGGAGAGAGGTTGAAGGAGGCAAGAAAGGGTGGAAGTCGATGGATTTGGTGAGGGTGATTTACAAAGGGTATCCTGAGAATTTGCATGCACCTGCGGAGAGGGGTGTGTTGCAGGTGTTGGAGAAGCTAAAGAAGGAAGGAAGAGTTGGAGTGCACGAGGATGAAAGAGCATGGTTCTTGCAGTCGAAGCCTGCATTGTAATGATATTGAACGATTGATTGTGAAGATTTCTTGAGGCCATCGAGTCTGTACAGCTACTAATTGCGAATAATTCCCATCTCAGCCGCCAACGCCTTCCCTGCTTGCTAGCATGCTGAAACCTAATACATGTCCATAGATTGGATACCCCATTAACGCCGATTGTGCTTGAGAGACTCTAGACTTCGATCTCCTGGACAATGTAGAAGAGCATGTACGCCTCGGCAGCCAGGACTTCCTTCTCCTCGACGAGCACGACTTTACTGTCATCGAACAAGAACCACTCATCACCTTCTCTTGCATAGCTGACATAGTGGCCACTATCCATCTTGCCCTTGTGTACAATGACACTACTGAGCTCGTACAGGGGTCTTGGTGATGTGCCCTTGTCAGTGTCTCCATTTTTGGTTCCGTTGGAATCGCCACCGCCCTTTTTCGAGCGTGGGCGACTGACATAGGGTTGAAGGTCCAGGATGGTTGGGAAGTGTACTTTGGCATCCAGTTTGATTGATGTTGATGAGGTCTTTGAGTGAGAGAAGCGTTTCAGGTGTATCGGCAAAACAGGTGGCAGTCTCGACAAGGCAAGCCGCTTGGTTGCGCTTTGTTGGCTGTCACACTCTCTGCAGCGGTAATCTGATGCTTGTAGCACTTCCGGGCTAGTAAAGCGGTCGAGACATTCGGTCAGGTCAACAGCTTGAGCGGGTGCAGGTGCCTCGTTCTTTTTCTTCTTTGGTCCGGAGCTTTTGAGATCGAGAGACAGGTCCATGAAGGGGTCCACGGCAGCCGTGACGTTTTTGCATTTTGAGCATACGACAGTGCTACGCATCAGACCGCAGAAGGCACGATGGATGACGCAGTTGCAGTCTTCGGCCTTTTCTTCCTTCTCGTCCTCCTCGAGGTTTGTGGTATGGAGCGAGTTGAGGATGAACTGTAGGTATTCGTGTGCATCTTGTTGTTGGTATCCAGCAAGGTTACCACCTCCTTTCCAGCTACCCTGGAGCATGGCGACTGCACCATAGCCTTCCGCCTTTTCCGTACTGTGGAACTCTGTGATAATGTCGTCCAGTGCGCATGAAGTGCATGCTTCCCGTTCGCAGTCGAGAGAGCGATGGCCGACGGAAAGGTAGAAGGCGCGGATGAAAGGGTTGTGGATCAAGGATTGGAGAACGACCGACATGAAGCATGTCTGACCCATGTTGTAGAGACCTCTTAGACCTTTGGCACGGCATGGAGTAGCTGCAGCATTTGCGGCGAGGATCTTGCTGTCAACGTCGGACATGAACACGGCATGTTTGCGTTTCTTGCCTGTAAAGCCATAAGCCACGCGCCTTGTATCTCTTGTTCCAACACATACCTTGTTGTGTCCGTATCTCCTCGAGAGCGTTGTCATAGACAAAGTCGTCGCATTCTCGACACCATATATTGCCCTTGCTTGATTCCACACCTAGGCTGCTGTCAGAACACCATCTTCCTTCTGGTATCTATGCTCTTACAGAGTATGTGTTTCTTGTCGTGCTGACTACGTTGTTCTGCTCCAAAGACGTTGGAACATTCGAGACAGAGGTAGGTTGGTCGTAGGGAGATGGCGGATGACTTTGATAGATGAGGACCGATTGCGCCCGTCTTGTGTACTGTCTGCATCAAGGTTGTATACCGCTTGATGAGGTCCGGCTGTGAAGCCTCGAGCTGACTCTTGACATGATCTTGGAAATGTTAGATATGGTGCAACAGAATATCCAAAAGATCGTCATACCGCAGCCATGAGTGGATACCGAGCCTGGAGATGGGAAGCGAATGTCGGCAAGCGAGTGCTTCTTGGTGATGACGGGGGATTGTGATTTGTTCTCCATGGCGACTGGGCTCCTACTACATTGCCCGCGATCCGGGAAAGATGTTGTCGCAGAGCTATTCACCTCGTCGCAAACCTCGGAATCGCATGCGACATGACATTCGTTGGCGAGAGTCGGCTACCTTTAACTCCGGACCCTCTTCTCCGTGGCCAGATCGAGGGTCAGCGTTCGCCAAGCACTCTCCCGCCGACATCATGCGGCTCTGCTTGCTGCTTTCCTGCCACATGCCATTCCTCCTTCTAGAATACGGTAACTCGACCATTTCATGTTAATTGATATCACCCTTCCTCCGCGCCCGATCTTTGGAAAGATGTAAGCTGTAAATACAAGATAGGTACTCTTATCACTATCCAATCGTCCACGGAGAGAACATTGTTCCACACTCCCTCAAAGCGGCTGCTCTCTGGAAAGGATCAAGCATCGCTACAGGCACTCATCAGATCACTTGAGGAGCAAACATTATTTATACACATTGGCTCCGGTCACCGCTCCCTATGCCGGGCACTCTTGTTCCGAATTCCTGGCTGGTCGCTCTTTCCTTCTTTTCCCCGCCAAGCTTTGTCAACCGTGCCTTCCCAAAATCCAACCAAACTCGACCCAACCACCACCCATATTTTTATTGATGCAAAAGTATTACCACCACATTCTATACCATAGCACGGCCTCAATCGGTGCAAAATGATAGCTCCGCCGACAGGGTTCGAACCTGTGCTCTCGAAAGAATCAGATATCGTTCTAGAAGAAGTTCAAGTCTGACGCCTTAACCACTCGGCCACAGCGGATGAGATTCCGATCAGAAATATGGGTCTCAGTCACGGGATGAGAGACTCGATGGTCATGGTTCTTAAGTAGATCCGCAGTCGATTTTGCGGTAACCGAACCGTACATCAGTTGCATCCGCGGTATCACCTAAGCCCATCATATGCACCAGACTGGCAGAAGTCGTCATAAATCTGAGACACAGTATAGTCTCACTAATATTGAGCAAGGCAAGTTCCTTTGGATGCTAGCCTCAGCAGGGCTCTCCAGGCATTGTTGTAAGAAGAGCTGCAAGGTACGGTCACATTGCATCTCAACTCCATGTTTGACATCAAACCGCTGTGGTCGAGGAGCACTGCGCGGCTTGTCAACTGGATGTAGGTGGAAAACACTCATATCATAGACTCTCCACACGACGAGGACGACCTCAAAGCACCCAAACATCGGCCAGTATGACAAGTTATAGAGTCACGGTCTACTCATGCGGCTCAAACAGACTCTGTATTGACACGCTCTTCCTGACTACACGTCTTCTACAGTGTCTCTGACAATATCCAATTGATCCTCGCAAGATCTCAGTCATAAGTTCCTAACTGGATATGTCCTTGACAAAGATATATCCTCCCTGACAAGACATGTCATTCGGAGCGGCCGGCTAATTGCAAGCAGATGTGCATACCCACGCCCAGCTGCAACGAATTGAAGACAGGCATGATCTCGACAATATGAAATCAATCCCGTAAGATGTCAACTTAATGACCAAGTCAAGACTATGGAGGACTCGGAACTCAGGGCTGTTAGTAAACCTCTTGCTAACCACAATTCAGTGGACATCTGTGTTGGAGACGATGTCTCTAACGTATCGCCTCTTCTATAGGACTCCCCAGGGAGAATACCGTAGAGCCTGCTCAAACCTCTGGATTAGGAAAATGTCGTGCCTTCTGAGGGCTGTTTAGTGAGCCATCTTCGCACCCTTACATGTGGTTACTAGGAAGATGCTTATTGATATCGTACATTATTTACATGAGATCTGCTCTCGTTTCTAGATCTATCTCTAGGGGTATCTACAGTGCTACACGATCGTCGGTGATGTGAAATTACTTCCTCCCACGGACTCGGCTCTTCTTTGGAGCGGCAGGTCTATGAGGAACTGCCACCTTCTTCCACCGATGAGACTTGTGGCCAAATTGCTTCCGATATCTCCACACATCTTGGTCCGCCATTTGTTCCAATTCATCAAACGGCTTCATCGATGTTCCGTTCGACTCAAAATTCTCGTGCCTGAGGGTGAAGGCGGCTTCATCTAACCTGTCTGCTACTTCGTCGCCCTCCAGGTTGCGAACCACAGACAGGATGTTCTTGAATTTCTCTGTACTGAGCCAGACACCTTCTCTAAGAGGACGTGTTACACCGGCGTAAACGAGAGCTCTAGACATCAAACTTGACAATGGAGCATTTCGGTCCTCTAGGTAATTTCGACAGTCTTCCACCCTCCTGAGAGCCATTCTGGAGCTCAGCAAGGGCGATTTGGCCATTGCGTAGGCAGCTTGATGGACCAATTGTACCATCTCCTCCGAAAGAGGATTCTCTACTGTCCAGCGCAAGTTCTTCGGCAGAGAGTTAGAGTATTCTGATCGGTTAAGTAGATCAAATACGAACTCCGATTTGACCGGATAGGTGTCAATGAGAGTGAGCAGCAACTCTGGTATGTCAGAAATCCATTGACGTGCTCGTGGTCGATTAAAGACGTCCAGCGCCCATTGTGGCTTTCTTATATCGATGAAGAACCGCATGAGATCCACGGCCACGGGATAGGGGATGTTGATATTGTGTTTAGTAAGGTTTGCGAAAAAGAAATATGTCCATGTAGGTGACTTGTGAGCTTTCAGCACTTGAAACAACTCATGAAGCCAGCCAGCATATTCAATCTTGTTTTGGCTCAACAGTACAAACAGATGGACCCAAGCTCCACCACGAGTCGGATATGCACCATCAGGGCCTTGCCTGCAGCGCTCGTCAAGTGTCGATGCAACTCTATCGAACACTTCCTGACGTTCTGCAAGAGCTGCCTTGTGGGTCATCGACTGCTCAGGAGATCGAGATATGGTGTAGTCCAGTCCATAAGTCGAAAAGACATCTTGAAGTTTGCGACTATGTCGACTGTGGACACGTGGCGGCTGTTGATGTGGCCGGAAGCGAACTATCTCCACTTCGTCACCCATGTCCTCCTGCATATCCGGTTCTGGCACTTCAAGTATCGAAGGCTTTATCCAGTTGTGCAAGACGATGGTGGCAGTATCCGCGGGATGAAGGTACCGGAAATGGGCTCCAAGCTCGTTGACTGTAAACCTCGAAGCAAGAAAAGGATAGAGGAGGGAAGCACATGTCGAAGAAGGCTCGAAGATTGAAATATCGAACCGAGAAAGATCCTCGAGCCAGCGAAGAAGTCTCTTTGCACAACCATCATGAGCGCCTGGCTCCGGGGTATCAAGTGTGATAATTAAATGTTTGGTTGCAAAGAATATGATGCGGTCAAAATGTTGAGAGGGAATGGCGCACAAGATGAGTGAAAGTTGGTCTGAAGAGCTAAGCTGCATGGTTCGGGATATGATGGCCTTTTCAAGGTATCTTGCCATGACTTGGATGCTCTCATGTCCAGCGAGAGGAAGAAGTGCAGAAACGAGTTTAAGGACATCTGCCGATGGGCGTAGAGAAAGTATGTTCTTGAGCAACTTCGAAGTGAGAGTGGTTGGAGGTCCATTTGGAGAGTAAGTGTCGACCAAAGTTCGGTGCAACATGTCGAAGGCGTCTAAAAGCAATTGGCCATCAGCTCCTTCGGCTTCGGTGGGCATGTCAACGAGAATGTTGAGCAATTCTTTCGATTGCACGGTGCCCAAGGCAATCTTGTCGCACAAAAGACTAAAGCAGCCTCTGAGAACTTCGGGGCGACTCTTTCGGATGAAATAAGACTTGATACACACATGCATGTTACAAGCATCCTCATGGTCTAGATCGCTCTGCAAGAAGTCTAAGACCTGATCGGGAGAAGCATGTTGTAGCAAAGAGAGAAGGGCAGCTTTGCTGAAGTCGATCGAGAAGCTCGAGTTTGAATGTAAGCGAGCATGCACTCGACGGAGCGAGTCCAGATTGTCGCATGAACCAAGTATGGTTCTATACTCCTCGAGAGAGCGTTCTCGGTTATGCACTTTGGGTTGCGGAGGGGTATGAGATTGAGGAGAATATCGATTCTGAGCTTTAGAGCGCGTCCGTGGAACATGAGGAGATGGAGGAGATGGAGGAGCGGGAGGAGGAGTATGGTATGGTGGTGGAATCGGAGCACGCGACTTGTCGGTGTTGGGTGGAGACCATAACGAGGTCATGTCAGTACCTCCAGAACCGAAGAGTGCGCCAAAGTCAGGCATGAGGCCCGGGGAGGGACTGGCCATGGTAAGACCAGCCATGCGTCTTCTCGCAAGGCGGCGACGAGCCTCCAATGGGCCTGGGACGCTGCTGCCATGGCGTCTGGTATGGGTTTGGCTGTGGTTGGCCGGACAAGCGTTCGCAAAGCGACGGTAGGCGGTAGTGAGGGCATCATCGGAAATCCAGATGTACGGCTGGAGTCGACATGGCATGGAAGGCACCTGGCAATTCGGAGATTGACTGCTTAACTGTGCTCTTGAAAGCAATTGAAACAAGAAAGAGCCATGGTCAGCAGCTTGGATGCGGTGCCAAGCCGAAGTTTCCGTCGCGCCCTCATGCCGACATGGAAATGTTCGGTGCTGCGTGCCTGCCATTATTCTGCCTCATAACCACCGATTTCTAATGATTCTACGATCAATAGCCCTGCGGCAAGGTACGCTGCTTCTTCTAATCTGTTTCTGTCATATTTGCTCACATCTCCGTAGGCCGCAGAGCGGTGGCCAAGCCTGCGCGATGCCTCCATTCGTCGGCCACATGCCTGCAGCAGAACCAACCCATTGATGCCGCCTCTTACTCCTTCTCCTCTCGTATCCAACCTCCTGTAGACGGCGACCAGGTTGCCCGCGATTACCAAGCCTTCAAGCACCACCAGAGAGTCACCAACAGCATTGGATCCGTCGTCTCTCCCACCTACCAACCGCATACCCAAGTCACCAAACCTCCCTCGCCCGACGACATCTCCCTCGAACTCCTGCTTGCCTCGCAATCCCACCTGGGTCACTCTACCTCGCTCTGGAACCCTGCCAACGCTCGCTACATCTTTGGTGTACGTCAAGGTATTCACATTATCTCGCTTGACCAGACCGCCTCCCACTTGCGCAGAGCATGTGCTGTCGTTCGTGGTGTCGCCCAGCGTGGTGGTTTGATCCTCTTTGTTGGTACTCGTGACGGCCAGGAGAGAATTGTTACCAAGGCTGCTGAATTGGCCGGTGGCTGTCACCTCTTCGACCGCTGGATTCCTGGCAGCATCACAAACGGCCCTCAGATCCTGGGCAGATGTCGCACAAAGGTCGTCGATGAGAATGACAAGGAGATCAAAGGTTTCGAGGAGCAGCTTGAAGCAAAGGGCGCCCTCAAGCCCGATCTGGTCGTCTGCTTGAACCCCATGGAGAACTACGTTCTGCTGCACGAGTGCGGTCTCAACAACATTCCCACCATTGGTGTTATTGACACCGACGCAAACCCAACCTGGGTCACCTACCCCATTCCTGCCAACGACGACAGGTACGTCTATTTTGTTCTACTTGCTATATACAATCATGCTAATCAGCGCCAGTCTTCGATGCATCAACCTCATCGGAGGTGTTCTCGGCCGCGCCGCTGAGGCAGGCAAGAACTGGCGTCTCAACCAGGCTGCTGGTGGTATTGTTACATATGCAGCAAGCCACAACCTGGCTACGCCCACCGCTGATCAGATTGCCGCTGCCCACGAAGCCGAACGCTCTTTCGCCCAGAATGAAGGCTTCAACGAAGACACTGACAAGCGTGTCGTTACCTCGACTGGTCCTGCCGACCAAGAGGCCGACATTCAAGAGAATGTTGATCAAACCATGATGAGCGCATTCGAGTATGCCCAGTTCGCCGACTTTGACGAGGACGCCATTGCAGCTGCTTTCGACATGCACTTCCCTGACCGTGCGGCTCCTGAGACAACCGAGCTGGCCGAGCTGAGAGAGAAGCTGCGCCGTACTCGCTCCGCTTTGAATGTATCGTCAGATGGCGAGCCCACATACCTCGAGAGCACGCAAGTCGACGTCAAGACCGGTGCCGAACTCGAAGAGGAGGCACAAGACATGATGGATGAGCCCCTCACTCAACAGGAAGCCGCTGCTCTGCATGCTCAGGAAGGTGGCAAGGGCCAGAACCCTTACGCTGGTGGCAGTTACCGTGGCGCTCTCAAGGTGCGCAAGAATGCTGCAGATCCTACTCTCCGCAGAATGATCGCTCTCAAGAGACATGCATACGGCGAGGAGCTGTCTGCCGAAGATCAGGAGGAGCTGCGCAAGCTGTCCGAATCAAACAAGAACGCACCTCCGGCCGACGAAGGCGACTACGCTCTGAAGCGCACTTCGTGATCTTCCTGTACAAACTGTATCATGTAAAGCATAGATTGGGGGTTTTGGGACGGAGAAAAGCCAGGCGTTCATCTGAGTTGGTGTGTATCCAAATCTTACCATTTACAAACCAACGTCTTTCTTGTATTATACCATTTTCTGAAATTGAACATTTAAGCTGCGTGCTGTATTTTCGATTTCTTTATTTTACATGAAGCTAGTTTTTTCATTTCTGGATATGTCCTGCTGTCTGGATCTAGCTGATCATACGCATAGTCAACTCAACGCTGCGGAAATTGTTAGCATAAATCAAGACTGAGATCACGGGGAATACTCACGTTGCAAAGGTACCAGCAGAAACAGGCATGGCTCTCAACAGAGTAGGGCCCAATCCTCTCCAGAAACCTCTCATACCCTCACCCCTCCAAGTTTGAGCAAAAGTGTCACGCATGCTCTTGTACTTTTGCTCGGCACCGAAACCATCACTCTGCATCTTGGACTTGATGACATCGAAAGGATAACTTCCCAACCACAAAGCCTCACCGGCCAAACCACCATACAGTGCAATCTTCCAGGTGGGGATCTCCTTGCGCTCGATGCCGTTGCGCTTGGCATCCTGGTTCATCATGAATTCGAAGGCGGTGAACCACACACCGTAGGCTTGGGCCTCGCGGAACCAAGTCACGCCTGTACCGCGGTAGAGACCCTTGAGGACACCCTCGTGGGCACAGAGCTTCTTGACGCAGTCGATGGGGCCGTTGTAGAGGCGTGCTGCACCGTGGGGTTGTGTTTGCAGGCGGATACGGATGTGTTCGATGGGGGATGACATTAGTGTGTTGGCGATACCGGCAAAGGCACCGGCTGCGTAGTATTGGCTGTAGGAAAGAGGTTGAGGTGACTCGAGAACGCCGGTCTTTGCTGCATTCTGGCGCTCAAAGGCACGGCGGGCGTAGTGGAAGGCACCGAATTGGACAGACACCTTGATCGTGTTAGAATGGCTCCTTGTGTCTTCAAAATGATGCTTCTCATCTCCTCAAGAACATTCTCCTAGGAGTAGAACATGAGAGCCAGTACTTACACAAGCACCGATGCCGATCAGTGGTGTTAATGTGCCCTTGTAGAAAGCAGCTGCACCCTCATTCTTCAAGATCTTGGATGCAGCATCTGCGGCGCCCGAGTACTGAGTTGTTGTCTGGAGGCGAACCTTGACAATGTCTTTTCAATCGCATCAGAACTCCAAGTCTTCTATCATTGGTTTCCAGATGTATCTTACCAAAAGGTTGTCCTGTAGCACAAAATGGTTAGCCGCATACTCGACATAAGTTGACTCCGAGATGCATTCAGAAGGTACTTCTTTCCTCCTCCCCAGAGACATCGGATGAATTGGCACTTCCTGATACCATACAATGTTCCTCGCTCTTTCTGTTCTGACAACTGCATTCTCGTCGTCGAAATGTCACCCCCCAGATGCCAAGTTTACTCACCAATCAACACTTGTGCAACACCACCCACAGCACCAGCAAACAGATCCTTGACGGCGCGGTTGCCACCTTCTCTTTCAATCTCCTCTACTGCGTCGGCCATCGTTTATCAAATTGATAGTAGAAGAAACAAAAGTTGAGAAATGCTAGAGTGAGTAAATCGCAAGGCGCGTCGTCGCTTCAAGCCCCCGTTCTCAACGCCGTGGTCGGCCGTGCCTTCCCCTTCTGTCATCGCTTGCGTGCTTTGCTTCTGCCCCGAATCTGTGCTTGACACATTTTTACTGCTCACTTGGATTTTACTACGATGTCACTGGTGTTTTCTGAGGTGGACTTCACGACTTCACTGGGCTCACCGGTCTCACGAGCATATTGACAAAAAGTTCGTCCTTGCCATTTCTGACCTTTCATTTTGGCAAAGTCAGAGTGGTAAACGGGGTAACCCTGCTTTGTTACCTGACTACCTTCTGTAACCTCGTCAACTTGATTATTCGCATAAACCCTTCTGGTAGTCTCTCTCGGTGGTATTCTGAATATGATTCATATCGTATCGGCGTGTTCGGTGTGCTGAAGTCATGAAATTGTTGAACTGGCGTATCAGCAATTGAGATTTCGAGGAACCCCAAGAACAGTGTGCCCAACACCACCTATTTGTTACACGATTCGCGCAGCAGGAATCGACAACTACTTGCGTTCGATCATATTGTTTCATAACTTCGTTGGTCATATGTGTTCTACTCTGCCTTCCAGCGGCGACCACCTCCTTGTTGCCAGAGCCAAACCGCTTCGGTCGCGTAGGCCTTTGCGCCCATATGTCTTCCTCCCGCTGCACCTCTACCCTCACTCTCAGCCAGGCAGATCTCGAGCACGCTTTCCTTCTTCACCTCAAACCACAATCCTCTTGCAAGTTCTCCGAGCGTGTCCTTGGCTCCCTCTGTACCTTGACCTTCCTCTCCCGGATCACCAAATTCGCCCTTGCCAAGCCTGTACAAGACTCGACCAAGAGTTTGGAATGCCACACAGCGCTGGGCAGGCACGCTAGATCTAGCCAACATGGCGAGTTCGGGGATTGTGTATCCGGCAGCATCAGGCGCGTTACCGTGATGGTGCAGACCCATGGTGACCGGGATCTCTGCCGCAAGACTTGGGGGGATCAATGCGCCGGTAAAGGCGAAGCGAATTTCATTGGGATCCAAAGATGTTTGCGAGACTGAGTATGCATTTGAAGGTGAGGAAGTCATCCACTCCAATTTCTCCGGATCAGCTGGCAGATCAGGGAAGTACTTCTCATGCAAGTCCTCGAGGAAGTTTGGGTCTGAAGGATCGAGAGATGGTGGCTGAGGAGGTCGCGGAAAGTGGATGGTCGAGTCAGTTGGAAGAGCGACCTCAGCGGCTGCTTCATGACCGGGGTGGTTGTGTTCATTTTGTTTTGTAGACGTGCCATTCTCATCTTGAGCAGTGACTTCGACGTTTGCGCCTGCTGGCTCATCTTTCACCTCAGCAAACTTTACAGTTTTGCGAGGCTTTGTGACATCAGGCTGTATCTTCTTTTCCGGCTGTACTTCTTCAACTCTGTCTTGCAATCCAGGAAAGTCCTCGTTGCTACCTCCTTCTTCAATTGTCGCACGACCCAACAAGCGTTGAATCAGGGATGGGTCCAGTGATGAAAGCAGTTCTCTTCGTTCTTCCTCGATCTCTTCGGGGGACATCTCAGCAATTCTTTGGCGGTTCTCCTCGTCTATGCGCCGTCTCTCGGTAGTCATGAAGTCGTCATCGTCGTTTCCACTATCCTCGAAGCTGGGTTGAGGTTGTGCAACTGGCGCAGCAGGAGCTACATCTTGCTGTCTAGTCCTCTTGAATCTGGATGGGATGTCGCGCTTGCGATGGGCAGGGAAACCGCCTGGGGAGTTCTTGAAAGCGGGTGGTTGCGGCGGCGTGGGTGCGGCTGTAGGCTTGCGTTCCTGGACGTCGGCGACGAAGTTGAATGGATTGAAGACCTTGGGAGTTTCGCCGACTTCAGGCGAGTTCTCAGCGTCAAAGTCGTCTATGCTAAAATGCTGTCCTCGGAGTGTCATGATGTCTATGTTTACACCTCGACCTGTCAAACATTTTTAGGAAAAGAGAGATCGGTCGGTCATGCACGAGCTGCGGGAAGCCCCACTTATTCTCCCGGCTGCCTATTCTTAAATCCGGAGCAACATCGATTGTCGAAGTAGGCGGACCCTGGACGACGTTCATGCATGAGTACTCGTACACACAGTGAGTGACATCGAACATGAAGTAATATATTCTGATTTGATTATTCGTTTTTAGATCGGATGTCAATGCATGATACGTTTGAGATTGGGTTGCAGATTCATGTCTGACATTCACTCGACATGTCTCTTCGGCAATCCTAGCAAGCCAAGCTTTTCAGTAATGGTCGGGACTGATCTACTTGCAGTTTCTGTATTTGAGTGGTGACTCAAGATGCTGAAGATGGAGATACAAGAATGCTGAAGGAGACAGAGAGGCAGCCTGCTATGATCGGAGCCTATCACAAGGGTACAGGTGGCTAACGGCCGCAATATATGTATGGCTGCGAGTAATAGGCACACCTCTCCCCCGAGAGGTTAGTTAAACCGAATTACGGATGTCACAGCACGTTCTTTAGCGCCCCTCATGCCTAAATCATAACTGGCCTTAGCTGGGGTTTGTTCGTTTGATCGTTCTCGGCCACTTGTTCCCGCAGCCAGCAGCGCAGGAAACCCTGGGCTCACGCTGAGCTTCTAAGAAGCCATCACCGCGCACTTTCTGTCTCTCGCCTTTTCCTCCTTCTTTCTCTTCTTCCAACTTGCTGTCTGGCTACTTGTACGCCTGCAGCTCTTCCTTCTTCGACTCTGCTCATCTTTTGTGGTCTTTCATCGACCATTGTCAACCATCGGGCATTACATCAAGTCCAAGTATTTGATTGTCTTTGCCATTCAAATCAGTGCATTCGACTGTCAATTTGTCGTCGTCGCTCGCCTCGCTGGAAGCCGTCCGAATTTCGATTGCCAAAACGTTGTCGGCTTGGTGGTCGCTTTTAAAGGCTCCCGCGCAGCTTCGAGTGGTTTGACCACGCCATATCTCTCCGGCTAAGAGATATCATCCTTTTACTGGCAATTGCAACTGCGGTCTTGCTGGTCTGGTTCTGCATTCTGCATTTTCCGATTCGGTACTCCTGTCATATCACTTGTTGCATCTCAGCCGCTGTACCACCCTCGACCCTTTTTCGTTTTTGGTGTTCGTCATGGCCGCGGCCGGCGAAGGACAAAGCTCAAGGGACTCCTCACCCATGTCTTCTCCGCCACAAGGGCTTTCCGATACCATCAGTGTCGCGCCCGCGCAGCCCATGTTCTTGCGTCCTGGAGATGTTGCATTTCCCCAACTTTCCCATCCACCACAACCGCAGCCCGCTACGTCAACTTCTACAAATACCACAAATGGCAACGCCAAGGCTCCATCACATGATACAATAACCAAAAAGCCCAAACAAACTCGCAAGAAGAAGGATCCTGATGCGGCCGCAGCTAAGAAGGCTGCAGAGGCTCCTAAAGAAAAGAAACCTCGCAAGCCTCGTGCACCCAAGGACCCTAATGCTCCAGCAGCTGGCTCGCGAAAGAAGCAAAAGATTGATGCATCGGCCGATTCTACGCCCATTGCTAATCGTCAACCAACCCTCGGCGACATGGTTGGTAAATTCCAGACCCCTCTTCCTCCTACGCCAAGCGCACAGCAAACACAGCCTGCACAAGTGATGAAGAGTGAGGAAAAGAAGCCCGTCGTTGCACCTTCTCCGGCTCTTGCAAGGCCTGCCTCAAGCGGTCAAAGATATGACCCAATTCGTGCTTCCATGACCGTGGACCCCTACTCAACTCCCGCTCACACATCGACTGCTTCACTTCAAGTCTCGCCGCATGCGCACAGAGCAAGCGCGTCACCAGCAATCGCAAGTTTAATAAATCCTCCTGCCCCTGCCGACGCGCACCACATGTCTCCTCCCGCAATTCCATCAGCACCCGCTCAAATGAAGTCACCTACCGTCACTTCTACAATGCCTCCTCCACCCAATGTCAACCGCCAGCCTGAAGTGCAAATGACACCGAGCGCTCTCATGAACAACTCCCCTCAAACAATCTCACACCCGGCCCCTGTAGTGATGGACGACGCCATGGAAATCGACGCTCTTGATGAGCAAAAGCCAGCTCAAACAGTCACCAAGCCTGCAGACAAGGAGAAGGAGAAGCCCGGCGCCAAAGCCACTTCAGCGCCGACACAAAAGGCCAAGCGTGCTTCACCACCTGCAGCTACTGGAAGTGGTCTTCTCTCTGGCAGTGACCTCTTTGGTGGACCATCTGCCGTCACCGAGGACCACAAACGCCATGGAGTGAACATTGACATCGACATCCCGCTCAATCCTGCTGGAAACAACACAATCAACATCGCTCAGGAGATTCTGAAGAAGTACGGCAAGAACGCGATTAATCCTCGCGCCGCAGCACACCGTGAGCGCCTCTTGCAGGTCGCCGCTGCCGCCAATCGTCTGGAACCTGGAACCGGTGACGATGTCTCTGTCGATAACTCGGAAGCCGACAACGATAGCAACGTTGAGATGGGCGGCATGGAAGAGGAGAAGAAGGGCGAAGACGAACCTAAGAAGCGCCGCCGTAGAAAGGTGGAGGACTACGACAAGGAAGACGACTTCATTGACGACACGGAATTGGCCTGGGAAGAAGGCGCAGCAGTCGCTAAGGACGGCTTCTTTGTCTATTCCGGCCCGCTCGTGCCTGAGGGAGAGAAGGCTCAGATCGAAACCTCTGCGCCCGCTGGCCGCGGTAGAGGTCGCGGCCGTGGACGCGGACGCGGTGGCGCTACTGGCGTCACTCATGCCCAGCTCGCCGCAAAGAATGCCGATCCAGCAGCCGCAGTGACTGCTCCTACTACAGGCAGAGGAAGAGGTCGTGGCCGCGGCACTGGAGCCACCCGCAAGCCGCGCATCACCAAAGCCGACAAGGAAAAGATGGAGACAGAAAAGGTGCAACGCGAACGCCAGGCTGCCTCTCTTCCTCAGGCTCCTCCTGCAGCTGTGTTTTTAACCCCTGCCAGCATGCAGCAGGTATAGATTATTCACCGAACGTATTGCTTTCAATTGTTATTGTACAAGAACAGGGCATGGAGTTCAAATGGGTATGATCAAAGATTACCGATCATTCGGCGTTACTACATTGCTCGTTTTTGGCGGACAAGTGTCGGAGTTTTGGAGGAAGTCGCTGGCTTTTTTCTTCCGGCCGCCGGTTGCAACTTTTCCTTTTTTTTCTTTTCTTCTTTCATCAGCCGACTTTCTTGCTAAGAAGAGCCTTTATATTGCTTGCATGAGATCCAGAGAGCTGGAATGCTACTACAGAGGTTGACACGATGGAAAAGGGCCTCGGATTTTCTAAATGGGAAACGCGAGCACGGCGCGACACGAAACGCGTCTCACTTCAGAGAATCAATCAATCAATGAACCAAATTCAATTATTCAAACCGTTAAATCAAACACTCTCATCAGATCTTTCAACCAGTGTGATCTTTCGTCAAGAACAAAGCTCCAGTATGCTCGCCATCAAGAAATCAGAAAAGAGCACATCTTGTGTAGCCAATGTGCTACCATGCAGAATCCAACACAATGGCCCCGTCAACGCGACCACAAGACACTGGACACCAGAAAGCAGCTCCGACGGCCAAACCAACACAGCATACTTCAGAGGCAGAAAGTTGAATGGTAAAACTGTGAACTTGCCAGAAGGCTACAGAGGTATGTTTCTACGCTTCCTTTCTTCCAACTTGGCAGGAAGGATATCATCATATCTCGAAACTCAACACGAATCAATAAATCATCTATGTACAAATAACTGATCACAAACTACAGGTGCCATACTCCAAAAAACCAACACGATCCTTCCTCCCACCATCACACCATCAACGTCAACATCTCTCGAGGACGAAGAAGACGCCTCATCATCGTCATCAACACCAGAAACCAAAATCTTGCAAGAAGTTGCAACATTCGACAAGATTGTGGTTTGGGGCCATGAAGTTCAGCCTGATGGTCAGGAAGACGTGTATGTTAGGGGTGTGAGTGAGTGGATTGGTCTGGCTACTGCGGTGAGTTTTTGATGATTGTGGATGCTGAGATGTGGCAAGCTGATTTCGTGGCAGATGAATTCGTTTGACGATTAGATGTGCATATAAGGTGGATTGATTGAGAACAGCCCAAGGTGCTCATGGTGGCATTGATCAGGAGTCAAGGTGGTCTGTTCAGTGTTAGGCATTCTTGGTTCGACTTGACTAAGTTGCACATTTTAGTAGCTCAACAAAAAAAGTTTGGTAAACATGTCAAAGGAGCTTGTAACGTGAATTGATTCTATTGTACAGCCCGAGGCCCTGAGCAGGATCGCTTGCTCCAAGAGCCCATGCATTATTGTCATATGCCATCAAATGCCAGTATCCCCCATATCATAATGCGCCATGGCGCCACATGAGAATGATCTATCCTTTCCCCTTTTGTTGGGCTTATGCGGCCCAGATCTCCTGGCCTGAGCTCTCGATCCAGTTTCCGAGCTTGTTAACACCATCATCCCAAGCACGCAGTCTCTCGCGCATGTTCACGATCTGGCCCTTGTCCAAAACCTTGGGCTGGACCCATGTTATCCTGGCAACCTCTGCAACCTGATCGATGGTTCCACGCACCAGGCCGAGGCTGAGTGCCTTCATGATCAGGTGCTCGATCTCGTTCGGTTGGACTTTCGTCTGCTGAGCGATCTCGGTGAATGTCATGGCACGGTCGTGAGGTGGGCGGCGGAAGACAGTCTCGGTGAGAGCAGACAAACTGATCTTTTGGTAGAGGAAGTTTTGGTGCTCCTTGAGCAGGTCATTCTTGCCCATGTGTGCGGCCAAGACGTCGTAGGCGCCCAAGTCACCCTTGTTGAAGGCGATGATCAGATCACGCAACCAGGCGTGTTGTGTGTTCTTGAGTGTGTCTAGGATGGGGTGAAGGAGAAGTTCACCAAAGTTGTAGATGGAGTCGGAAACGAGAGCAGCGATCGAGAGGTCGTAAGCGATGCGCTGGCGGTCTTCGAGGGAGAGCGATTCGAGCTCGATGCATGCGAGGTAGAGGAGGGTGGTACGGTAGTAGGCGGCAAATTCATGCTTGGCTTGGTGGTAGTCGGCGCTGACGCGGTAGAAGGCGGCGTGAACGACAGACTCAACCGAGTCGAATGTGTCGAGGATCTGCTCGCATTGATCCAGGTCTTTGCGAGCCTCATCATATTTCTTCAAGCGCAACTCGACATTTGCTACGGCAGTCTTTGCGTAAACGAAGGCGTCTTGTGATGCGGGCTTATCGACGCCCGAGGCGAGGGTGGTGAGGAAGTGGAAGCGTTCATCGTCGTCTAACGGAAGGGGTTAGCAGAGAACTAGAGACAAAGCCGAGAAGAGGAATGATACCTTTGCATTGCGAAGCAGTGCTCAGGCCGAGAGTGACGAGCTGGAGTTGGTTGATCTTGTCGGCGAAGGTCTTGATGAACTGGTTGTAGAGAGGCAAGCGCTGCTTCTGGCTCTGTTCGTCTTGGAAGTACAAGACGAGGTCGTTAGTAAGTTCGTGCCACAGCTTGCGCTCCCATAGGTCTTCGAATTGAAGAAAGTAGTGCTGAACGTCTTCGGGGGCGGCATCGCGCTGATCCGCCAGCAAGTTGGGGATTGTGTCGACGTCCATGTTGTCGAGAAAGGCGAGGTAGATGAGTTATGTGGGATTCGGGTCTTCAGTAAGAGGGTATTCGGAAGATGTGATGAAAGTCAGATGGCGGATGGGTGATTGCTTTGGGTGATTTGAAGCTCTCGCAACTGGAAGGTGTTCGGGAGAGTGACGCTGCTTGCTTGCTTCGGGTCTGTGCTTTCCTTCCGCCGCAGCGTGCAGCGTTTCGTCCTGGGAAGTCGCGGAAGTCTCCGAGCGGACTTGCTTGGCTGTACCTCGCATTGCTGACCATTCGGGACGTACAATCGATATAGACCCTAATCCACGCCAAAATGAGCCAGATCGCGAGCAGCATGGCTCTGCAAAGGCAGCTCGCCAGATCCGGCCCCCAATTCGCAAAGACCTCGCTCCCGCGCGTCCAGTCGCGAAGCCTTCAGGACATTGCCATCACCAGAACCGGCAAGCCCATCATCAGAATCTCCGGTGGAAGGTACGACTCGCCCATCAAAGTCGCTTCTCAGTTGCATACTGACCTTGTTTGTTGATAGATCCTCTCTCGGAGGTTTGTCCAACTCGAATAAACACCCTAGTTGAAACTGGACTGACTCCCCACAAAGGTCATACCGCTACCGTCTTCGGTGCCACTGGTTTCCTCGGTCGCTACATCGTCAACAGACTCGGTACATACTTGCTCGACCCAATTCCCTACTCAAATGCTGAACACAACCCATAGCTCGTGCCGGATGCACTGTCGTCGTCCCCTTCCGTGAGGAGATGGCCAAGCGCCATCTCAAGGTCTCCGGTGACCTGGGCCGTGTCGTCTTCCTTGTACGCCTCTTCTTATACCTAACCTCTTGCGCCAACATGCGCTGACATATCTCAAGGAAATGGATCTCCGCAACACTGCTTCCATTGAGGAGTCTGTCCGCCACTCCGACATTGTCTACAACTTGATCGGTCGCGACTACCCCACCAAGAACTTCGATCTCGAGGACGTCCACGTCGAGGGTGCCACCCGTATTGCCGATGCCGTCGCCAAGTACGATGTCGACCGCTTCGTTCACGTTTCCTCGCACTCCGTCTCCAAGGATTCGCCCTCTGAGTTCTACCGCACCAAGGCCCGTGGTGAGGAGGCTGTCCGCAACATCTTCCCCGAGACTACTATTGTCCGTCCCGCTCCTCTCTTCGGTTTCGAGGACCGTCTTCTCCACCGCCTCGCAAAGGCTTCAAACCTCTTCACATCCAACAACTTGCAGGAGCGCTTCTACCCCGTCCACGCTATTGACGTCGGCGAGGCTCTTGAGAAGATGTGCCACGATGACTCCACTGCCGGTGAGACATACGAGCTTTACGGCCCCAAGCAATACCAGATGGCAGAGATCAAGGAGCTCGTTGAGCGTGAAATCCTGAAGAGCAGACGTCACATCAACATCCCTCCTCAAATCATGACCCCTGTTGCAACCCTGATGAACAAGCTCTTGTGGTACACTACCATGAGCAAGGACTCGGTCACCCGCGAGTTCCTCGACCAGACCATCGATCCCACAGCAAAGACCTTCAAGGACTTGGGCATCGAGCCTACTGATCTCGCTAACTTCACATACCACTACCTGGTACGTTCTCGATTACCATTCTTTATATCATTGGCACTGCTAACGACTCTCACAGCAAGCATACCGTAGTTCATCCTACTACGACTTGCCTCCCATGACCGAGCGTGAGAAGAGAGAGGAGAAGAAGTACCTTCACGTTCTCGACGACCAGTAAATATCTCGCACAGCGGTCGTTGTGTTTTCAACCTTTTTTTTTGTTCTATTGTAGAAAACAATATATTTCTTTTTGAGCGTCCCACACACATGAGATCTTTTCCACCTCGATTTGCAACCGCTATATTTTTCCACCTCAAACTTTCGTCCCTATTACAAACACACCTATCAAGCATCCTCTCCACCATCGGCTGGTGGAGTACCAACCGGTTCGTCTCCGACTGGCACAACATCATCCGGTACCTCATCATCGCCGCCCGTCTTCCACTTGAACTGTTTGGGCGCGTACAACTCTACATACTCCTTCATACACAGAGGATGATCCGGACGCTCTATCACATCACACATCTGCTTCATCCTGCCCGTGTGATGAAACACGCAGTCAGGTGCTTTTCGCAAGCCGTAGTCACCTTCCCACTTGAACCCTTCACATTCCATTTCGAGGAACGTGAACCAGTTTGACAGGGTGGATCTGGAGAGGAGGCTATTGAGTGTGACATGTGCGTTAGTGATTTTAACATGAGTAGAGAAATGGGAGGGCAAGAATGAAAATGTCAACGATGGAGATGTCAAGGATGAAAGGTGATGGCCACGTACACATCATTTTTTGAAACCACCGGTCCCCAGATGGGTGAGTGTTTTGGGGGGTTGTCTTGGGACACTGTGACGACTTGACGTGGTTCGAGGTTGCGTGCTGCTGCTGTGGCGAAGGTGGTTGGAGTAGGGGCTACGGAACCGGCTACTGCGCTGGCTGACAGAGCCAGCATGACAGCTGGGAGATATGTTTGGAGATGCATTTTCCGCGTGTGATTGTGTTGTGCGAGGAGAAAACGTAAAAAACAATGTTCGCATGATGGTCTTCTTATAGCTTGGAAACGGCCGAGGTGGTCGTCGTGTGTCCTGATTCCATATGAGTTAGTTTGCGAGCTGAATACGCAACACCGTTCCAAGTTTTCCTCGTCACCACACACTTCACATTCACAATGGCACAACTGATCAAGCGTTGAATTGGAAAAGAGGCTTTGGAATTACCCAGCTGATTCTGTATATACAAGCGGCCTTGATAACTCGTGTACATACAATGGAGGAAAAGGGCTGTGGTGTGTGTGCATGCATATCGCAACCGAATTCGACATCAACAAGATGGAGAAAAAAAAAGAGAAGCAACCAGAAAACGTTCGTTGGTTCGTGTGCCTCGTCTCAGTTGCTGCGCGCGTGTTTGAAGAAGAAAAGAAAAAGGTCAAGAAAGAAAAAATGAGAACAATGGGTAAAGATTCCGAGTCTAAAAACTCAAGATGATGAACAAATATGCGCGCCCTCTCCCAATCTCGCTCTCGTGCTGTTTGTCCTCAAATTGAACACAGATTTCCTTCTAGATGACAAAAGAGAAGAACAATGTAGGGTAATAGATGACTAGGAGGTGGGGAATGAAGAGGTCAGCGGGGATGTTGCTTGGTGGTCAATGAAGAAATGAGGCGATGGTAGTCGATCAGTTCTTTCGGACCACTTGTACGCAATAAGAGCTGAACGTGTTGATGAAAACAATGTAGTGCTTGGAAGAGGAAGGGCAACTCGAAACGGAAATGGGGTATCGTGGCAAGACGAGACATGCTTGAAACACACAGAGATGGAGAGCCAAGCCAAAAGTTGCTGGCTGAAGAAAAGAGCTTTGACCGCAACACCAGGCACCATGAGAAGAGTTATATGAAGATTGTGAAACATCGTTTCAACTTCTTATTCTTCTTCAATCTTTTCAGGCACTCTGCTGGCACCCTCCATGTATGCTGCGTGACCCGTAGGTCCGTGGTGCTGCTGTGGTGAGGTGACACTAACATATCCGCTAGTTGCGTTGATGTTGTTGCTGTGGTGAGCAAGTGCGTCGAGTGACTGTTGGTGAGGTGTTGTCGGTTCCAGTTTGACGCCATGCGAGCCATGCGTCCCGGGCGGGTTAGCGGGCGACTGCGACTTCTTAGAAGCTCTCTCTGACGTCGTCGAATGCACAGAGTGCTGGGAGCTGGTTCGAGGTGATACTCTGCCGTTCTGTTCGAGTCGTTAACCGTCCGCGCTTGCTCGTGAATTTGTTGCCGATTGACTCACCAGCTTGGCCCATCTCAGACCACAGCTGTTGCAAAGGTCGCGATTTCCGCTGGGGCCTCTTCTCCATTCAGGTGTCACTCTGGTATGGCAATTGGCACAGTCCTTCTGCATCTGGCCTGCACCCTTTCTCCTCTTCCGCTTTTTCTTGGAAGCCATCAATGAGTTCACCTCCTCTGCGAGCATGCGGTTCTTCTTCTCCAGCTGCCTGATCTCGTATTGCCACGATGAAGATTTGGTTGTTTTGAGCTCGTCAAACAAGTTGTCCTCTGAGGCCAGGAACTCGTCCTGGCGACCAAGCAGGAGACCATTCTGACCGGCATATGTAGGAGCTGCGCCTTCAGTCGACTGAAGGTTGGTCAACGTAGTGGACTGTGGAGTGTTATCGCCTAACATTGGTGTGCCAGGCGTGAATCTGCCAGAAACGGCTGTCTCTGATCCACGTTGGCTTGGTGCTGGTCGAGACGAGGAGTTGGCTCGTGAGTGCTTCACCAGACGTGTTTGGGCCACGATGAATGTTGGTTTCTGACCTTCTTTCGCATCTCCAGGATACAACGTCGTAAATGATGAGAGAACGTGCCCGCGACGGTTGATCAGCTCATGCCTGACAGATGCTTTCTTGCCAGTACGTGCGTGCTCAAGGACTCGTCCAAATTCGGCCTTTGATTCTCCTCTCATCAAAGACTGAATGCTTACGCCTACAAGCTCGTCCGGTTGACGGTCGAGCAGTTGGCGTACGTTGGAGGACACAAAGAGGAACATGCCTGAAGTCGACATCTTGGTCCAGAGCTCGTTTTCACCAATTCCGTTGTTTCCAGTGAGTTCGTTCCTGCTAAGTGCGTAGACCGGGCGTTCTCTTCCAACCATGATGATCGACTTGCGACCTTTGCCCTGCTCAGTGTGAAGCGATCCATGGCCTTCAAACCACATGTAACCGCTATTCTTTCTGCGAATTCGGAAAACGACGTTGACCGAAGCTCCAGTTGAGGTGTCCTTGAGGTCTCTTGTCACAGGCACAATGTCACTGGGATGACATATTGACGAAAGTGCTGTACCAATGATCTCACCAGGTTCATATTCAAGGACCTTGACTGCTGATGGTGATATCCACTGGAACAAGCCTTTCAGAGACAGAACATGAATGACGTCGTCTGTGTTCTCAAGAAGAACCTTGTCCCACATGCGTTTGGCGAAATCAGATTCTCCGGTTCCGATGGTACTCAGGATAGCTGAGACGTCGTCTCTTGGTATGGTTTGGCCAAGCTCTGATCGATTGACGGTCGACTCAGGAGCGTTCATCACATATCGTGGCATTGTCATGCCTCTTTGGTAATTGATCGAGTAAGTGCCATCAGGGTTCCTGTCAGTTACAGCATTCGGTTGCTCTACCAAGTCGACCTGGAAACCGACGAAGAACTTGACCTGATCTGTATCCCACGAGATTGGGATCATTGTTAGTAGATTCATAAAAGGCTGGCCGCCTCTTCGGTAGTTGATAAGAGATATTTGTGCTTCTCTTCGAAGGTTGATCATGTTCTTGAGATAGAGTACTGAATCGTCGTCGACATATTTTCGTCGTACTCCAGCTTCGACATTGCCGTCTGGGGACTGCAAGAATCTGCAATTCCGGCCGAGAATCATGTGCCTAGTATAGCCGGTGAGTCGTTCAAAGTTGTCCGAGCAGTAAACAATAGGAAAGTCGTCTTTCTCTGCGTCGCACACAACGAAAGCGCAAGATAAATCGACAGATCCGATATTAATTTCTGGGTTTGGTCGAGTTGCCACACGCATCTGTTTCTATAGTCAGCCACCGGAATCAAGGTATGCCTTATCTGGTGTTATCAGAACTTACCAAGACTCCCAGCATATCAAATCCGGTGGAAGAATATGCGTTCTTGTACTGAGAATGCATGTGGGGCTTGCCTGTCATTGTCGATGGCCATCCACCTGTATACTGGTAAGCTCATGATCTCTGTGCTATAGATACAAGATAGACAAACCTTCTGGCACGGGCCAATTGAATCCTTGGTTATTTGGGTTGTATCGAGAAGGGTCTACCTGAGGGGTATTTGTTGCGTCTGAGCTCCGACCTCGATCCATGCCTACATCCTGACGCGAGCCTGGTGGGGGATTTTGGGGTTGTGCTCTGAAGCCGGAATGCTGCCGTTGATTCTGCGGCGGTCGATTACTGTTCTGTCGCTGTGGCGTGGGTCCACGTGAGTGAGGATTTGGCGTTTGCATGCTTTGGCTTTTTGAAGATCGGCTGTGGGAGTTCTCGAGGGATGGTCTCTTGGGAGTCGGGTTCCCACTAGCTTCAGGTGACTGGGCGTACATGTGGTTGGGCATTGAGGTGTTCATTGGAGAGTTCATCATCCCAGGATGATACGGGGTGTGGCCGTACATGGACATGGGTCTGTCGATGTTCGGACTGTTGTAACCGAGAGAAGACATGTGCATGGGAGTGTTAATGTAGGGACTGTTGAGATCCATGTCGAGATTGGAGAGATGTGCAGGAGATTGGTAAGATGAAGTTGCCGGCATCATTGGCATGAAAGAGCTTGTCGGGCCGAAACCATTGTCAATAGCCATGTCGTTGCCAGCAGTTGAGGAAAGTCTACGCTGAGGTTGCATGTTTGGGTTTGCTTGACTGGCGGCCATGTATGCAGTGGCATCGACCATTTCCGAGTTGGGGAGGCTGAACTGGTAGGATTCCAGAGGACCAGTGGGCGAAGTGCCGGTAAATTCCATCATGGACATGCGTCGCGGATCGTCCGTGTCCATGTGTTGCGGCAGAGGTTGTTGGTGTTGTTGCTGCTGCTGTGGATGGAAAACTTGAGGCATGCTTTGTCTTCGCATAAGTTTTGCGTTCTGATTGACGATGTCGTCGAGAGAGTGTCCAGCCATAGCATCCATGCCGGCTCCTTGGCCCATGATTTGTCCATTGGTCGATACGTCCATCTGCTGCTGAAGGCCATCGCCTGGGTGGCCATGCCCTGAAGCATAGGGGTTGTAGGCGCTCATGATTCACGAGTCCGGAGGGTCATCCGTGCAGAAGGGGTCGAGGACGCGGCACCGCCGATAATGGGGATTCGCGCGTGGGCGCGGGCGCGGCCAAGGGACGTCGAGGGGTTGAGGCGAGCCAGAATCGGGGGCGTTTCGCGTGTCGCGACGGTCGCTGAACACAGCGGAAGCGCAGAGTCTCGGGTTTCGCAGGGTCCCGAGGGAATGGAGCAGGCGGCGGGCGACGAGTTGGGGTGCACAGTTCGTGTAGCAACAGAGAATTGAGAGTTGAACCAAGGCTGTTTCCAAGTGGTGGGTGCGCAGCGCCGCACGGCTCTACGCTAACTCAGGCAACTAAGATCTTTCTACCGTTCTCTCATAGACGTCATATCTGCTATTCCACTGTCTATATTCCGTATCTCTCTCGAAATACCCCTTTAAAGATGCCCTTCTATGCAGGGAACAAAGTCTGGCAGCTGCCACGTCCAGGTCTCAAGTGTGGGCTGCTCTTGTTCTTTGCTTTTGTGCGACCCTGTGTTCCGGCAGCGACGGATCTGCAAGCACCGGAAAGCTGGGTTTTTACGTGGGCAAAGCCAACGTAAATTGTCAAGATACGAGGCCACACCCACTCAGTGCCAACTTCTTCTCATCTGACCAGCTGAGGCAATATGCTTGAGATAGGGGTCGACTTTAGTACTAGCTGAAGTGTTGCAGAGGAGTACGTAGAGCTCCGCTAACTTCTTTTATCGAGGCCATGGAGAGGACTCCGGATGACCCATTTCAATCTTCGTCGCCAATTCCCATCACGTATGCGGCTCAATTCTTGATTGATCTTCTCACGCGGGGATTCCTTTGTCTCCAGGTATTGATCATGTTCGTGAGTCGTGGCCATTAAAATAAAGTGTTCTGATTTTGCGCTTAAGTCTGTATCTATTACTGGGCCATCTATACGGAGCATCTCGAATTGGGCGAATAGATGGAAAGATCGCTTCACCAAGGAAGCCATTCAAAGCCGAATGCCTTTTCAGAAACCCCATCTCCAGATCTGATCTGTGGGTTTGAGATGTGGCGTGTTTTCTGAGATCTGCCACGATGCAGAAACGCGTTTGGCTCAACTAAGCTCAACCAAGGGAATCGCGATGGAACCGTGAGGGGGCAGGTGGAGGCTAATAGGTAGGGCAAGAGTTGGAGGAACACGTGATCCCGAGCAATGTCGGAGGCTGTAAAGTCCGATGTGACGATGATAGCACTAGCAGTGAACGTCGCTGAGGCAAGTAACAAGCCATCAACTTACTGCGTCTTTTCATCATCCCATCTTGTGTCGCCTCTCGCCTTGTTTCGACATCTACCGTAACCAAACACGCACATATCAGACTCGTAGCCCATCATGGCCGACGCCGCCGTCGACTCGTACGCAAACACTGTGCCTCCGCACAAGAAACAGCTCTCGTCATCCATCCCGAACATCGAATCGCTGGAAGGCATCGGCGCTGACTCTGACGACCAATACTCCACATTCAAGAAGCTCCAGAGACAGCTCGAGTGCGTCTGCCTACACCGACCATGGAAGAAAAGAGGCTAACAATAGCTAGATACATCAAGCTGCAAGAGGAGTACATCAAGGATGAACAAAGATCGCTGAAGAGAGAGCTTGTGCGCGCACAGGAGGAGATCAAGAGGATACAGAGCGTACCGCTTGTTATCGGGCAGTTCATGGAGGCCATCGACCAAAAGTGCGTCTGCTCGAGATCAGAGAGGTCACAAACCACATGCTAACCATACCTAGCACCGGCATCGTACAATCGTCGACCGGATCCAACTATGTCGTGCGCATTCTCTCCACCCTTGACCGCGAACTACTCAAGCCTTCATCCTCCGTCGCCCTTCATCGCCACTCAAACTCTCTCGTTGACATCCTTCCTCCGGAGGCAGACTCTTCAATTGCCATGCTTGGTGCAGACGAGAAGCCAGACATTACCTACGCTGACGTCGGAGGTTTGGACATGCAAAAGCAGGAGATCAGAGAGGCTGTTGAGCTGCCCCTTACACACTTCGACCTCTACCACCAGATCGGTATTGACCCACCCCGTGGTGTTCTTCTTTACGGCCCTCCTGGTACCGGAAAGACCATGCTGGTGAAGGCTGTTGCCAATAGCACTACCGCATCCTTCATCAGAGTTGTTGGCTCCGAGTTCGTTCAGAAGTACCTGGGTGAGGGTCCTCGTATGGTCAGAGACGTCTTCCGCATGGCCCGCGAGAACAGTCCTTGTATCATCTTCATCGACGAGATCGACGCCATTGCTACCAAGCGTTTCGATGCTCAGACAGGTGCAGACAGAGAGGTCCAACGTATTCTTCTCGAGCTGCTCAACCAGATGGATGGTTTCGACCAGACGAGCAATGTCAAGGTCATCATGGCCACCAACCGTGCCGATACTCTGGATCCCGCTCTTCTTCGTCCCGGTCGTCTTGACAGAAAGATCGAGTTCCCCAACCTTCGCGACAGACGTGAGCGAAGATTGATCTTCAGCACCATCGCCAGCAAGATGAGCTTGAGTCCCGAGGTCGATCTTGACAGTCTTATCGTTCGCAACGATCCCCTGAGTGGTGCCGTCATTTCTGCCATCATGCAGGAGGCTGGTCTGCGAGCTGTCAGAAAGAACCGCTACAACATCATTCAGCAGGATCTCGAAGATGCCTACACCAGCCAGGTCAAGGGTGCATCGGAGGCTGACAAGTTCGACTTCTACAAGTAAGCTTTATTCATGGGGCATGTTCAAGCCTTTTGTGTACACTACATAGCATGGGAAAAGGAAGAGCGGGTCTTCTTATGGAATGGGTCTGCTTGCTGGGTATGCGCTCTGCATCAATTAGGTAGATGATCATTATGGCAAAGCACAAATATCACGACAGATGAGATGGAAGACAAAGTTTTTGACCGTCTTTTATTTTGTTCGCTAGATTAAGCCCAGTGTTTGCTTGACTCCTGACTATACGCCGGGACGGACTGGTATTTCTTGACACAGCATCAACGCATTTAAGCGGCAATGGTGACCTCAACCTCAACACCGGCCTCGATGTTGATAATGATCTGCTTGACGACCTCAGTGGGGGCGTTAAGGCTGTAAGAACGTTAGTCAACTGTTCGGGGAACATCCTTGCGGCAGCAATAGAACTTACTCGATGAGGCGCTTGTGGATTCTCATCTCGAAGGTGTCCCAGGTCTTGGAACCCTCACCACAGGGGGTCTTGCGGGTGGTGATCTTGAGGTTCTTGGTGGGGAGACGGACGGGGCCCTTAACGCGGAGGTCCTTCGACTTTGCGCGGTCGATGAGCTCGGTGCAGACCTTCTCGAGGGACTGGACCTTGCGGGAGGTAAGGGTGATGCGGATCTTGTGGATCTTGGGGGCATCGGCCTGGCCGGTCTTCTTGGGGTCCTGGAACGACATTTTGGAGATGGGTTGGTGCTATCGCGATGTGTTAGTTGACTGTCGCAAGGTGTCGCCGGTGGGTATGAAGCGATCTCACCTGGTCAAAAGACGGGTATGGCAATCAAGACTCGGGCAGAATGTCCACGGCTAAGTGATGATTGGCCTTTTTGGTGATGGTCGAAAAGAGAATCCAATTTTGCGCAATGCGAAGTTCTGTGGGGGTGAATCGCGGGTGCCAAGACCGCGCTTTCCCAAAAGGACGACCGTCTTCACGCTTGGACCCCGTTTTGAGGACTGCCATCGTCATCAAGCTCAGTGGTGCTGATGCTCTCAACTTTTTGGCCATCTTCTGAACTTGTCACTTTGACCTTCTCACGTCAATCTCCGTCTTGGACGATCTGGAATTCATATCAAACTTCGTTCATTCACTCCAATCAGCTCAGATCATTCAATCATCCAATGAGTCTGCCACCTCTTGCTTCATATCCACCAACGGAAGTTCGCAAGGACCTGGTACCAGAAGAATGGGATGCGTGTCTTGATGCCTGGCTATCGCTTTCAGCTCTCTACCTACGCCTTGGAAAGTCCGATTTCGAAGCAGTAACTCGCGACGAGCAATATTTGGTTCCCTTCCTTACATCATATTACCATGCCTCAGCGCAAGAACGTCAGCATGGACAAAGCCACGGAAAGGAACAGACTCTACGAAAGTCATGCTTCATCCTCACTCACAGGATTCTGTTGACAACTTCGGCCCCGCCAGCCTCTCTGCTCAAATGGAACTTCCTTTCTGATTTCAGCCACGTCTATATGAAGACACAAAGCCTGGACCTACTATTGCAAAAGCTTTGGAAGTCCAGACACTCGGATCTTGATCGTTCTCTGCAAAGCTTTCTTTCACTTACCATCAAGCAACTGGAATCATCGAAACCCGATGCAGCCGAGACAAGCGTGAAACGAATCGTCCCATTTCTTTTTTCGTCGCAAGAGGCAGGTGCAGTCGTTTTGACCAGCTCTGAGCTTGTGGATGCGATGTCTTCAGCTTACCAACAGAGTTCTCCTGATCTACGCAGATCTCTTGTCTCGGTTCTCTATTATGGTCTTCTCTCCTTGACGAAAGGCGACAAACCAAATTACTCTCTCCTGTTCGACCATCTTTATGGCTTGAAGAACCAGGCTGGAGACTCACAATCTTCTTTGTTGGCCGATCTGGTCACGAATACCTCGTTGTTATCCAAGCTAAGGGCATCTAGCGATGGAAGAAACGCAGAGCGAGCACAGACTCTAGCGAACACTCTTTCTTCATTCACTTCACCGTCTCTTGCAAGACCTAGACGAGCGCGCAAGGTAAACAAAGGAAAATCAAAGGCAACAGGGGATGACTTCGGTCATGGTACTTTCTCGGGCGAGCATCATGTTCATCGTATGAGCCTCATTTCACAAATCCAGGACTTGTTCCCAGACCTTGGTTCGGGATATGTTGCGAGGTTACTGGACGAATATCAAGACAACGTCGAAGAAGTCACAGCCCACCTTCTCGACGACTCGTTACCCGATCACTTACTATCGTTCGACCGCAGTGAGCAACTGCCTACTTCAAAAGCAGACGCTCAACATATGGAGCAACAGAAGATAGAGCACTTGGCGCCTCGGAGCACACCACCTCCCCAACGCCGCAACGTATTTGACGATGACGAGTTTGACAGACTTGAAGTGGATACTTCACGTTTGCATCTTGGTCGAAAGAACGCGAAACTCACTGCAGATGCTCTGCTGGAGGACAGAAGTGCTGCACCCGCGAAGAGCGCAATCCTGTCCGCTCTTGCTGCATTCGATTCAGACGACGACGAACGTGACGACACTTACGACGAAGCAGATGTAGGAGGCTATGTCGATGCTGCCAGACCAGATGGCGAAGATTCGAGAGACACGGATACAGGGAACCAAGGCGAGAATGAAGAAGCATTGTTCCGTGCTTGGCGAATGGACCGAGGAGTGTTCGAGCGCTCATCAGATGTCCGCCGCAGCTCTGCACGTGCAGCCCTCAAGAACGAAACTGGAATGCAAGACGAGGCCATCGAAGGCTGGGCGGTCATGCTCAGCCGCGACCCAAGACGTCTCAAGCGATTGGAGGCAAGATACTCGGCCTTCAGCGGCGCGCAACCAGAATTGGAGAGGACCGCGTATAGAGACAGTGAAGCCACAGAAGACTCGGACAACGGAGCTGGTGGAAGAGGCGGAAGAGGAGGTCGTGGAAGAGGCAGAGGAGGACGTGGTCGTGGTAGAGGTGGCAGAGGTGGCGGTAACCCTGCTGGTCCACCTAGTGAGAGCAACACCCAGGCTGCTAGGCAGCGAAAAGAAGCACGGGGATCGAACAGAAGGGAAGGAAGAGCCAGGAAGATGGCCAGAGCTGGTTTTCCTGGATAAATCACGCGAAGACCTGATCGTACGAGTCTTCAGAGAAAGACATTGCTATTCTGGGAGTAGAAAACATCAGCCAGTTTCAGTAATCTGTGTCATCAATTCGCCCTAGCAACACATGTAGGCTGGAAGGCTCGAAGCCCAAGATAGAAGATTGGCTCAAGTCGATGTGCGCGGCTTCTTGTCATAATTTTGAGCTTCCATAGCTCTTGATACGATGTCGAGAAAAGCACAACGTAAAACTGAAGAATTTAATCCGACAATTACTCTTCCTGGATAGCACTTCCGTCCCGAAGGTCTTCAAGCAAGTAGAAATTCGAAACGCGAGAGATGGTTGGACGATTTCAGGATTTCGAAGCGCTTCAGTCCAGGAAGGAGGGCAAGTGTTGTTGACACGGTAGTCAAGGGTCTGTCTCTAACCTTCCCTCGGACGCTCTCCATTGCTCCTTCTTTCTTTTTATGCCTCCAATACGCTTCGTCCGGATCGCCATCAGCCTCGCATCCCCGCTTCTCTTCTTTGTCCTCTCCGCTAGAACCATTCAGTCGAACATCTTGCATCACGAAATTATTCATTGCGACCCATTACTCCATCATGAACAAACTGCCCGCCGAGCTCAAGGATATGGTGTGCAGCTTTTTGACTCCCTATCAGCTTAGACCTGTCCGTCTAGTCTCCAAGGCCTTCTATCAGGCAGCAGCTTTACACTACAAGGTCCCCAGAATCTTCCTTTTCAACCACCCCAACAGTCTCAAAGAGCTGGACAACATCACAAGCCATCCAGTCTACAGAGATGATATCACGACGATCATCATCGATCCCACATCAATTCCGAAAATGAAGGACCAACATGATTGCGTCCGCAATATACCCGCTGTTTGGCGTGTCCCTCGATGGGAAGACTTTGCTCCCCCTCCCCAAGAAATATTCAATGGAGTGGATAGAGTGCTCCAATTGTTTTACGCGGCTCTCGGTGCAACATACATGTACGACAAGGCTTGGGATGACGCCATACTCTCAGAGAGCCAGGTTGAAACAACATGGCAGACTCACAATGAGGTTCAGTCCTACCAAGAGAGCACCAATGTGTCTGCGGTAATCTGCAGCAAACTCCAACTAGCTTTCAATTGCTGTCCAAAGCTGAGGCACATCGTTCTTACTTCTGATCATCCAAAGTACAGTGCAGGAAGCAACAAGAAGCAGAGCATCTTCGAGAACGTCATTTTAGGTACAGATTCAGAACAACCTAAGCCTCAACCTCGAATTGGCCTCGACGACATACTGCCAGTCGCTCATGCTGGGAGTTGGCCTGTTGAGACGTTGACGATATACAACATAGAGTTGCGCAAGTGGACGAGTCAAACCGTGATACTATGGGATCTTTTGCATCTCCGCGCGTTGAACGATATAGGCCACTTTCATACTGCGCTCTTCGATATCATGAACGTTGCTCCGAACCTAAAGACTCTGTGGGTACGAACCAACTCATTGGATGATGACATCCCTTCCTGGGGGGGGATTCTGCGCAACATCCACCTGGCACATCTGGAAGAGCTCTTCTTTGAGTACATTTATTTTGACAAGGATAATCTGGTCGGCTTCTTAGTTCGCCATGCCAGTTCTTTACGCTCGTTGGCCATGCGAGAGGTAGTCATATCTGGAGGGTGGCCCGGATTACTAAGAAGTTTGGGACATCAACTGCCGAACTTGAACAAAGTTTCGTTGGACTTCCTGACCGGTCAACAAGCAAATTATGTCGCCTGGTATAAGGATTCATTCATGATCGACGCCGAGTCTTTCTTGTTACATGGAGGGCATTTACCTGTTGAGCAGTTCATCCGGAAGAGATATGAAAATGATTTCCATAACCCCGACAGGTTAGTGAGAATTCAGATGGACATCCCACCCGGGCTCTAGTCGGACTACGAGTATTTGTTCGTCAGTGCGATCCGATAACTCGCTGGCTCGAACCTCGCAATTTGGAAGGCCGAGACTGAGAGCCACTTGCAGAAAGCAGAGGATGACGAATGAAGAAGCTGAGTATGCCGGAGGGACAGACGAGAATGGAAGATGGCGTGTTTCAATCATACTTGAACGGAAGGGTATCATCACAGCAAGGGCATCATCAGTCTGCCTAATTTGTCTATCGTTACTACTATCCAACGCCCATTAAAGCCATGCTGCCTCCATCCGAAACACGTTCCAACAGCTCTCTCCAATGTACCTGTAGATGTGGCACTTCATTCTTCTTTGAAGGTGAGTCACTTGTTATCAACCGAGAATCTCCTTGCTTGATTACCAACTATCGCACAAAGAAAAGGCATATACTGTGGTCCCTGACCGATATATCAGACCATAAGGGATGATCGAAGTTCGATGAGTGATGGCCAGTGGCGACTGTGTCAAAGGTAGATACGATTTTCCCTCCATGTGGCAATTTCATACATGTAATGGTATTTGGATTCCAGAATCCATTGCGAGACATTGACGCCTTTGAGACAGACATATGTGAGACTTCACGCGGTGAACGATTCTTTCTGGGTGAAACTGCTGAATCGAACACTGACTTTGTCTCTGAGGACACAGCATTGAAAGTTCCAACCTGTGAATACAAAGTCCCCATCGTCACTTCCAAACTCGGAAACTCCGTACACTTCCTTTGGACTTCATTCGGTTTTCTTCACTAGTGTCGAGCTTCAACTATTCTCTGCGCACAACTGAATCGCGTATTACGTGGCTACCTGGATCATACAACCCACTGTAAAGGTTACCTCCTTTTGTGGCCCGCGTCAAAAATCAGTGACACATATACAGACTGCGATAGTTTGTCGTCTCCCGGCCTTCCACTTCACCTCTCTCGCTCTCGCCCCGCCTGCAATTGAACAGCAGCAACACATCGCCATGGACGCACTACCGCTGGAAATCAAGGAGAATATCTGCAGTTTCTTGAGTCCAAGCCACTTGAAGCCGCTCCGTCTGGTTTCCAAAGAGTTCGCATCTGCCGCCATTCTATACTTCATTCCCAGGATCTTCCTCTTCAATCATCCCGACAGCTGTATTGAGATGAATGCCATCCTCAGACATCCGGAGATTCCCAAGTACATCAACACTCTCATCGTCGACCCTAGCCCCGTTCAATCGCTCGTGGATTTTTATGACTGGGTCGAAGGTTACAATCTTCGCAAAGGAAGACACTTCAAAACAGAGCTTGAAGAAAAACGTAAAATCTACAACACACTGCGGATCAACCAAGAAAGTGGGGAAATTGGCAGGTCCATGGCCTCGGCGGTTCGCACTGCCTTCAGCAATTGCCGTAACCTGAAGAACTTCATCCTTGCATCGTTTCATCCCCCTAACGTTCTTCGCAAGCGTGATGAAGTCTTTCATGGACTTCCGCTAGAATATTCGCTGCACCCTGTGACCGTCGCGGCATCATGTTTGCCCTCATACGAAGGTGTAGCCGAGTCTTTGCAGACCATAACCATCAAGAGCATTGAACTCAATCAGTGGAATGGTGGCACCTCACGAAACTTACGACACCTACGTGTCTCCCTGTGCGAGAGCAGACCCAGTCCACGATTCGATGCAATGATCCACTCGGCGATACATCTCGAGACCTTGTGGATTGAGTTCCCATGGATGCATGACGGTCTCTACAGTCTCGACAGCTTGCTTCGAGGCATACGATTGGAGAAGCTTCACGAGTGCCTGCTGTTCTCCGTTTCGGTCAGCGAAGATGAGCTTGTGGACTTCCTGCTTCACCACACGCAATCGCTACGCACCTTCGGCATAGGTGGATCGCGTCTCCATGAAGGAAGCTGGCCATCCTTGTTTCGTCGTCTGTCGTGCCAAATGGCGGTTCTAAAGCAATTTGAGACAGTGGGCCAACTGCTCGTCAACCAACGTGAGTACACAGGAAGCTACATGGCCGCGGTCACGAAGTTCGTGTTACGTGGAGGTCCAGAGCCTGTCGAGACGTTTCTGGAGGACTTTCCGCATGACGAGAATCGCCCGCGCATCATCCAGGATGTGCAAGATGGTCTTTGGAAGGACTACGATTGCATGATCAACCGATTCTGCTAGTCGCCGCTGGCAAGAAGATAGGAAGCTCGTTGCTAGTGTATCCCTGATATTAGCGTTGTCGAGTCACTGGAGAGAGCGGGAGGGTAACAGATATGGCTGGATGATGACACTGACCTGAAGGCTGGAGGTCATTAGATCCATCGAAGCATGGCACAAACGCCATACCAACCACTGACCGATGATCCGGCATTGCTCCGAACACAGAATGGAGGGAACATCTCAAGCCAGCACCACAAAGGCAATGGAAGCTGATCAGACGCAGAAAGGGTCACCTCGAGGGCTGGAGGTACGGAGGAGAAGAATAACTCAAAACTAGTTACGAAAAGATGAATGACCCGAAACGACATCTTCTCGCAAGTAGAGAGCCACATGGAAGAGAGAACAAAAATTATCATTAGCTCATATTCAGTATGCAAAGATTCCTGATCCGCCACAAGACCCAACTATATCCAACAATGCCCTACTAATAGAAAAGACCCTTCTGCCACCAAGCGCATCTAGCACTGGCAGCAGGATCTCTCATCGGTCCAATATTTCTGGGCCCCAAAGCCAGCACGGTGGCATTGCTTCCATACATGGGGAAGAAAGGAGCACCTCTCAAATTAGGGTTACCGGTCTTTGCAAACTCGGTGATGTACTCTTGCATGGCGATGGCGACGGGGACATTGGTTACGGTAGAGCTTGCTGAGCCGTTACCGTTGTAGTACGTGTATGCAATATCCTGACCGTGGATTGAAGGAGGCACGTTGAACAGATAGGCGTGAGTTTCATTGTTGTAGGCCTTGTTCAGCCAGACTGCATTGCAAGTGAAGCTGACCTCGGACAAGATCGCCTCCGAACGACCAATCTGGTTTGTGTAGTTTTGAGCTTGGCTGCCGTCGAAAATTGGGGGGTAGAGAGTTTCGGTGATGTAGTTGAGTGTTGATGGCATGTAGCTGAGGGCCGGGAAGCTCATGGTCAGAAAGTCTCTAAGTGCTGCATCGCTGTTGATGAAGGGAGAGGTGAATAGCAGACCTTCGGCTGCGTTGTGACCGGTCATGATGGAGACGTTCTTGTCGAATTGGCCACGAGCGAGTAATTGGCCGGGCAGTGCAGGTACGAAATCGCCATCTACAGCGGGTCCGTAGACGAATTGGCCATAGGTTGCTGCAACGACTTGTTTTGCGTTTGCAGCAATAATGGCAGACGAAGGCAATCGGCGTGCTTCAGCCAAGGTGGATACGTTTAGCAAGGCGAGGAAGTCGTTATACACACCCTCCTGTGTTGCTGGAGAGACAACAGGGAAGAAGCCAGGTGATTGAGTTACTGCGCCTGCAAAAGGAACCGGACCTTTGTTTCCACCGTAAGCCTGTATGATGGTCAGTTTCGTGAAGACGGTCTAGATCAGCAAAAGTGGATACTCACAGTGATCTGATGCATGATTGAACCTCCTCCCGCACTTTCACCAAACACGGTTACATTTTTCGGGTCACCTGTTTCAAAATCAGACAAGAATTTTCAAAAGACCAATTTCGGCAACCCACCTCCGAATAGATGGATGTTCTCCTGCACCCAGTCCAGAGCAAATCTCTGATCGTGCAGACCAGCGTTTGCTGTAGCGTTCTCCTGGAAAGTGGGACCCGAGAGCCAACCCATAGCGCCGAGACGGTAGTTCATGGACACATAGATGACGCCGCTAGAGTTGTCTGTTTGAGAACGCTCGAGCAATCCTGCGGGGTTACCAGATCCAGCCTTGGACCCGGCAGTGTATCCACCTCCGTAGATCCAGACCAAAACGGGGTGCTGCTCGTTTGAGTTGAAAATGCCTTCCGGGACCATGACATCGAGGAAAAGACAATCCTCGCTTTCTCTGGGGTCTCTCGCTGGGGCTGCAGTTGTGTTGCTGGAGGTGGTCAGGTTGAAGTCAGACATAGTAAAGTTTGTCTGTCCTAGCAGGTATGCTGGGATGAACTGTGCAGCAATGGCATTCCAGGCTGGGTTTGCTTGAGGACAGATACGGCTGACGCTACCAGTTTGGACTTGGGATCGGTTTACAGAAGGAGCTTGAGGCGCTGCAAAACGGAGGTCGCCAATTGGAGGGGCAGCATAACGGATGTTGGAAAAGTTGTAGTAGCCTCCAGTTACCTACATATGGTTAATGATTTGTCTCTGGAAAAGCAAGGAGCATTGAACTCACATTGAATGATGAAGCCTGCTGACGAGCATATCCAAGGTCGACAATAGGTAGAGCAGCAGACGAGCTCGAATTTTGGGCAGTTACGACTACTGATAGTCCAAGCACTGCTGCTGCAGTCAAGTGGGAAAATGCACCCATACTGATTGTCTCTTCACGATTCAAAGCACAATTGACACAAGCGAAAGACTGCGACCACGAGAGGAGAATAAAGAAGCGGGCATGGGAGCAAGCTCTTATATGGCGCTTACCCGAGCACTCCGGAGCTGTCAATGGCTAACTTAAAATGATGAGCTCATGGGCGACTACGAGCTAAGACGGGCACTTCTGGATACGATTTACGAGACTACGAAGCGACTCAGTGAGGCTTGGTCCGTCCCTCGGCATCTCTCGATATGAAGCCATGTATGTATACCCCTCACGTCGGCCGAGGGAAAAGAAGGAAATAGTTACAAGCCATGGTGCTTAGCAATGCATCTCATGAAGTCCTTGCTGGCGAAGTTCTGGCCAACGAAGGCTGGTGGTGAAACATGAACATGTGACAAGATGGATATGGCTTTCAACATCCTTCTTGGCCTCAATTGGAAAGGTCTCAGTATGATTCACGTCCGAGCATTTCCAAGGTGACGGTGGAACACGGCAGTGATCAGATCCGGATCAACGTCCTCGATGTCCAGTGGGCTGAACTGACACGGCAAGCCAAGTGCGGGGATCAGTGTTGTCAGCAAGAGCGGTCGATTTTCCAAGTCAAAGCAGGATGCGACGCGTCAGCGGCTTTAACAAGCTTCGAGACCAACAAGCGACACACGCGACAGGGCGATCAAAAGGCGATCCAAAGAGGAAGGTTCTTCGACCGCAACTTCGCAGAGACAAAAAGGACCCTGGATATGTTTGTGCTCTGCATCGCGCTTGTCGCGGCAAGTTCGCGCTTCGTGGAGAGGGCTGCCATGTCTTGGCGGTCGCCGAGGCTTTGGAGATTTTGGGAAATTTTGGAAGCGTGACCATCTAGGTAGATCGCAACTTCTCGAAATATATCCATTGCAAGGATCCCACAAAAATATACAATGAGTGTGACCAACGAATCAGGCGTGTCGCAGGGCCAAAAACGCAAGCGAGAAGAGAAGGACGTGAACAACAAGAAGTCACCAGGCGATAAACCAATCTACAAGAACTTGCAGCTCGCCGAATCACAAAAGGACGCTCCGAAGAAATCGATATACAAGAACATACAAATCGCCGATACACTGAAGGCACAATCTAAAGCAAAGAAGCAACGCCTTGACAAGTCGCAAAGGCCACAGCCCAAGTTCAAGAACCTGCAAATCGCCGAGCCGCAAAAGACAGAGTCAAGAGGAGCGCAGAGCGAGAAGGCACAGGAGAATCAGTCGCAAAGGGAGAACACAAGAGACAACAGAACACACAACCCGCTTGCGGCGCGACAGAACAAGCTACTGCAAGTGCGCCAACAACTCCCCATCTGGCCAGAAGCCACAAACATCCGCAATGCACTTCTCGAAAACCACGTCTTGATCCTTGCTGGTGAGACTGGTAGTGGTAAATCAACCCAGGTCCCGCAGTTCCTCGAGACTTCTGTATGGTGTACTGGACGCATCGCCGTCACCCAGCCTCGTCGTGTCGCTGCTGTCTCGCTTGCTCGCCGTGTCGCCGATGAGATGGGCACACCACTTGGAAAAAGCCCGCAATCTTTGGTTGGTTACAATGTGCGTTTCGATGACAATGTCGGCAAGAACAACAGAATCAAGTTCCTGACCGAGGGAATGTTGTTGCAAGAGATGTTGAGAGATCCTGCCTTGACTGAATACAGTTGCGTCGTTGTCGATGAAGTTCACGAGCGAAGTGTCAACGTAGACTTGCTTCTCGGTTTCCTGAGAGGTCTTGTAACTGGTACAAGTGAAGCGGTCAAGAAGCGAAAAGGCAAGCCTCTCAAGGTTGTTGTCATGAGTGCTACAGCCGACACCGAGAAATTGAAGGATTTCTTCGGCGAGGGCTTCGAACAGGTGCCAGCCAAAGGCAGCATAACTACTTTTGGCGATGAGCCAACGAGCTCGACAAAGGATGAGACACTGGTGGATAAATCGCAAGAACTCTCCACTTCAGCCTCAGGCAAGATTTCAACATGTTTCGTCGAAGGCAGAATGTATCCCGTACAAACAGAATATCTTTCTGAGCCGACACGAGACTTTTCAGAAGCAGCCTTGTTACAGATCTTCCAGATCCACCGCAAGGAGCCCATGCCTGGAGACATTCTGGTTTTCTTGACTGGACAAGATGTTGTCACCGATCTACAACAAGCCATCGAAGACATGATTCCGAACGTCATCACCAGGGACTCTGGTTTGCCTAAACTTGTTGTCCTACCACTTTTCGCCGCTCTTCCTCAGGCTCAGCAACAAGCTATCTTCGCACCCGCCCCTCCAAACACACGAAAAGTCATCTTGGCAACCAACATCGCTGAGACATCCATTACTGTACCTGGTGTTCGCTTCGTCGTTGATAGTGGAAAGGCCAAGGTCAAGCAGTTCCGTGTTGGTCTTGGTCTTGACTCGCTCCTCGTCAAGGACATCTCAAAGTCATCCGCAATCCAACGTCAAGGTCGTGCAGGAAGAGAAGCAGCCGGTAAATGTTTCCGCCTCTACACGAAGTCCAACTTCGAAGCTCTGGAGAAGGACGCCATCCCGGAGATCTTGCGATGTGACTTGAGTTCTGCCGTGCTCACGATGAAAGCGAGGGGCATTCAGGATGTCATGAACTTCCCTCTTTTGACACGCCCGACAAGAGAAGCCATGGAGCGCGCATTGCTACATCTCCTTCAACTCGACACGTTGAAGCCAGAAGATGGAGATATCAGCGATCTGGGTCGCAAAATCGCAAGACTGCCCCTGACGCCAGCTCTAGGTAGAACAATCATCGCAGCCGCCAACCCCGAAATGGGCTGTCTTCTCCCAGTCATCGACATCGTAGCCTGCTTCAGTGTCGAAAACATCTTCCTCGAAGTCAAAGACCAAGACGCCAACGACGAAGCCAGAGAAGCACGGAAAGCGCTTTTCCGCCGTCAAGGAGATCATTTGACCCTCCTCACCGCCGTCCAAGCCTATGCCTCCGAACGCACCGATCGCAAAGCATGGGCCCAAAAACACCTCGTCTCCCACCGCGCCATGCAATCAGTAATGGACGTCCGCAAGCAACTCCGCGCCCAATGCCAACAAGCCAAACTCCTCAGCCCCTCGGATCTCGCCAATGCCGAAGACGATCTCGACACCATCTCCGAATCCACCGCCGACAATATCCTAAAATGCTTTTTACGTGGTTTCCCGTCCAATGTGGCCAGACCGATCCCAGATGGAAGTTACAGGACCATTGAGGGACATGTGGCTGTGGCTATTCATCCCAGCAGTGTGCTTTATGGTAGGAAGTTGGAGGCGATCTTGTATAACGAGTTTGTTTATACTAATAGGACTTATGCGAGGGGTGTCAGTGCTGTGCAGATGAATTGGTTGGAGGAGATTTATGCTGCGCCTGCGTAGATTGTGTGGGTATGAAGTACAAACATACATAATAGAGTAAATGCGTTGTCATGGAGTTTGTTTCTGACACTCTGGTCTCGACTACTTTGTTTTGTAAGTGGTTGTTTTGTGATGGTTGAAGAGATTTGGTGATGAAGCCTTCGATGCCCTCGATGCCTTCGGTACCTTCGACACTGACCTAGAAGCCATCGTTGTTGCTGATCCGTGCGTGCATGCCAGGGTGATACCACAAACAAGCATTGCGAGCATCGACAATGAGATTGTGAAGCAATCACACATCTTATAACACTTTTAATGAGCTTCACAAATACTTTAAGCCGCGAAATAATGTCCATGATTGCGGTCTAGCCATCTGTCCATTATTGCGGCTTCTACGTTAGTATATCCATGTGCGAAACACCTTGTTTGGAATACTGGCATAATTATTATGCAAAGCATACAGCATGTTCGGCATGAGCGCATAACACGCCGGTAACTAGTCGGAACGTATATAAGAGGTCTAGCAATAGCGCAAGAGTAGCATAAGAGTTAGAAGAGAGGCCCGAAAGGGTATTTAGTAATGCATCGCTCGAGTAGAACGATTAATATGTGTGAGAATATTCTAGACAGGGTTGCCCCATTATCCAAAAGTACTTGATCTAATCCACATCATCTTGAACGTCACCCTGTACACCCGAAGATGCTTGAGCCTCTTCGCGCTGCGCCTTCTCCCTCGACTTACGATTCTTATTCTTGTTCTTGTTGTTTCTCTTCTTCCTGGCCTTATTCGATGATGGGTCAGCGGTCATGCCGTCGCCAAAGATACCTTTCATATACGCGGTTGCTTCGGCGAGGGTGGTAGTCTTCTTGTACTCGACAATCTGCGCCGGGGTAAGTTTGGCTTCCATCTCCAGGATGTTGCCAATGCCACCGTAGAGACTATTGCCGCTTGCGTTGGCTCCGTGGCCTTGTGCGGAGTCGATCATGGTTCGTGAGTCCTTGGGCAACCTGGATTTTGGTCCTAGTTTTGTAAGCAATGACTCTCTTGTCGATGTCTTTATCGGTGAAGTGTCCAGGGAATTCCCTATCGGCTGCGCGTTTGAGGAGTAGTCATTCCAGGCTGTTCATCAAGGCTGCAGTCTCAAAGGAACTTCTGCCGGCAGAGGCAGTTGATCTCCTGCCTGTGGTGTTCGAAGACCCTCTGTTGGGTCTGAACGGATCAGCTTGAAAGGCATGAAAGATATGAAGTAATGACATCGACGGGTGTCGGCGAAGGGTGTCATAGTATACTAGTACATTATTTGAGTAGAGTTTTGAGCTACCGTATGCTCCTCACATGCTCTCGAACACAGGATCGAAATCCATTGAACCCCAGCCGTATCCATTATTCAGTGTCAAGTCGTCTGTGAAAGACTGCCAATTGAACCAGGAGCCTTGTAGAGGATCGAGCGGTGCGGGATTCCATCCCTGATTGATGTCGACAGTCGAATTCATAGCCATGAGGCCCATTGCCGATGTCGTGTACGCAGACAAGTCGTCCAAACCGTTGCCTGTTGGCCCTAATAACGTCGTAGTAGGCGGCACCAATCTCTCCTGACGTTTCTTTTGCGCAATCCGCATCAACTTCTTTATCGGCCTCCAAAGCGGACCTTGGACTCCTTCCGCGATTTGGCCAGAGAGTTCGTCAAAAGAGACAAGTGCGATGTTCCACGCTCTCTCTAAGCTCTGCGCGTCATATTGATCCGGATTGCATAGCTCTGCAAGCAGAACGGCCAAGCCATGCCAATCCACGAATCCCTTGATGACCCAATGCCATGGCTCGGTGGTTTCGCTCAACAGCCCGCGCTTGACCTCAAGTGCCTCCACAGCAAGAAGCAAGATGTTCAAATGCTCAGGAGGAGGCAGTGTCAGATCAGGGTGTCGTTGAAGTGGTCGTACGGCATACAATTGCGCGCATCTGATGAGGACCTTGGTAAAGCTGATGCACGCGAAGCGGAAGACATCATGTCCTTGGATATGTGAGAGAATGTCTTCGTCCAAGGTGCGCTCAAGACTAGTTATTGCCTCTTGTCTTGCACTCCACGAGCTCTGAATTGGTGTGGCCGGTCTCTCCGCCTCTCCTGGAAGTATCCAGTTGAGCTTGCGTAAGAGCCAATTGCTGTGACAGTGAATTGCGTAGAATACCATGCTGGTACAAGGCCCACTACTTGGTGGAGGTGCGCGGGCATCGAGTGCAAAGTCTGAGTCGATACAATTGGTAGGAACCTTCGTCGTCCAGCCGTCTCCTACAATGGCCAGATCGCTTCCTCGGTCCATGGCGGCTTGGTAGTCCAGTGCTTTTAACGTAAACCAAGTGCGTCGACGTAGTTCAGCTCGGCCCCAAGGTAGTGAATTGTAGGACTCTTCCCGATGCAACTGCAAAGAGTGCGCTGTTCTCACCGCTAGAGATATTAGCATCCAACTTTGCTGATCGTCTTGATGCGATCTCAACGCCGCCTACCTTAAGTTAGCGAGGAACATGCTCATGGTGCGATTTATCAACTTACGATATAGAGCAATAATGCTTGAAGGGACACCAAGCTGGGAGTCTTGACGATCTCGACTTTTGCTAGATACTGAAAGGTGGTCTGTTGCCATTCGGTTCTCAAGACTTCCTTTGTCTTGTTGAAGGCAAGCAGGCAATGTGAGTTACTGATACTGCATATGCAGGCATAGAAAGCGCTCGCCATGAGGGCTTGAGTGCCAGGGCTGTCTGCCGGATGTCCCAAATATGGTTCCTTTGCAGTCAAGAGCTTCTCGAAGCTGGGCATATGTACAAATTTTAAGATGTAGTCGACATTTCGCCGGAAGATCCTAAGGTATTCTACAATATCATTGTCGGACACGACCGGGGCGAGAGTAGTGGCTGGCTGGGAGGTGAAAAGCATATCTTTGGGAGTGGCGCCGCTATCCGCAGACATGGATGGAGGGCTTGAGTCGATTTCTTCATCTTTATCGTTGTCGTCGTCTTCGTTATCGAGTACTGCGTGAATATCATTGAGTTCGTGAGCCAATTGAGTCCAGAGAGTCGAGCCTAATGGCCATCTTGTAGTATCTGGAGTTGCCTCTCGTGAGTCATGCAGTGGTTGCCTCGAAGTCGATGGTCCAGAAAAACTCGAAGCTCGCGTCTCGCTCTCGATTTGTGTCTTTTGTGTTTCGACTTCTACACTCGTGCTATTCGGTACCAGGCCAGAATTGAGAGACTGAACAAGGCCTTCCAGACGGTTGATTCTATTGCGTAGTTCTGCATTTATGCCTTTGCGACCTCCATTTCTCCCACGAGGCAACCTGGCGCGAACGACAGGAACACATTCCTTTTGAGCCGTCACGCAGTTCGAACATGGATTCTGCTTGTCACACTTGATCTTACCTAGAATAGTTTAGAGAAGGAATTGAAAGCAAACATCAACCGACTGACTCACGTTTCCTGCACAAGGTACACGATAGAGGCACAGCGCCCGATGCCGTGGGAGTGGTAGACTGTTTTGTGTGGGCGGACTCCATGGATACTGGGGCGAAAGATGAGCAGACAATTCGGCCTTCTGGTCGAGCACCTTAGAAGACTTGACAGGGCCTGTTCGTTCAGGCAGCGACTATGCACGCAGCATCATCGATTCGCAAAGCATAAATCAATGCGTTGAGCACAGACGTCCTGCATCCTTCAAGAAGTCCATGTTGCATGTGATTGGCAGCAAAGACAGCAACACAATCTCCTGCTTTACAAGGATTATGAGGCTTCCAGCGGTTTCCTCAACCATGATGATTTTCTCCTCTGCATTAATTCCCATGTACCCTATACCGGAGATGGTTTCCTTTCGTAGCGAGTCGTTGGCCCCCTGACCGAGGAAAGTATTAGTGCTTGGCGACAATCAAGTCAACCTCGGCTCCTTTGGCAGCGCGTCTCCCCCTGGGTCATGGTCACTGGAAGCTTGTTCTCCTTAACAACTAACCGGCCCCTTCCTGTTGACCCTCTTCTTGATGAAGCGCAAAGGACTCACTTGATCGCCGAACAATATGGTGCAGTCATCACCTTCGTCAGCAGCCAGTTCGGCTTCTAGTAGCAACCGACAGAACCTGGACCCCGTCACCCGCAATGCGCTCCGTTATACCGTCAGCGCAAAGGAATATGAACTGCTCCATCAATACCTTGTATCGCGCGCCCCCTCAGTACAGAAACGTGCTCTTCCGCCAAAGAAATATGAAGCCATTGTAGAGAGCAAGCACGATGCCAGTATCTCGACAGTACGAGCGAGTCTGCGCGTCTTTATCACAGCTTATTTGGGCCTGAAAGCATGGGACGTGATTTCGCGCAGACTGCGACCATCACCGTAAGAGTCGAACTAGTAGCATCTATCATTTATATCACTAACGATCCATGTAGTCAAAATGCAAAGAACGCGAGCTCGAAAGCATCCCACCTCCGCATGTCGGCCTCGTTATCTCTGATTCTACTATTCCACCGTCTTCTGCATCGCTTCTTCCTTCGTCTTCGTGCTTCGTTGCTTGAGCCCTCGGCTCGCCCCTTCCGCCGTCGTAATCCTCGTATCAGTCTCGGTTTGACTTCACGATATACTCCTGCTGTTGGCGCAGCGCTATCCGGACTCTTCCTAGGCGTATGCCCTGCATCACAACTACGTATCAGCGTCGCAATCTACGCCTTTAGCCGATCACTTGAATTCGCATACAATGCCGCCGAAGACAAGGGAATCTGGGGGAAGAAAGGAAAGCCTGACTGGGTAGGGAGCTGGATGCTGATGCCTCTGGCCTGTGGACAACTTCTGCACGCTTTCGTCTTCGACCGCGAATGCTTCCCCGAAGGTATGGGCAAGTTCATTCTGAACCGAAGCCCAGAGTACATCCAGCACCGCCCGTCTACATATCCCAGCGACAAGACCTGGCCTGCAACTTTCGACATCGTTGATGGTCTGGCCGACATCTCGCGCCTCCGCTGGCCATCTTTCGTCTCTCCCATCCTCTTCCCTGCAGCAAAGCAACATCTACACGCCTCTATATCCCATCTCTCGCCAATCACCGCTCCAGCGCACCCAGCAATCACGAACACCTCTTGCGCTTTACTACACCCCAACGACCCATCATGCATGCGCACATATGTCAAATACTTCATCGCCGCCTTCCCTACCACCGCTCGCTTCTTCACAGCAATCTACGCTGTCTTTGCCCTCTTGTCCTACAAATCCTTCCTCCAAAACCCCATGCAGCAACTCAACCACCTAGCCGCAAGAATTCTCCGCATGTCCCTCTTCATCACCGGCTCCATCGGCACTGCCTGGGGAACCATCTGTCTATTTGCAACATACCTACCTCGCAACACATTAGCCACACAACGCTGGTTCCTCAGTGGTCTCCTAGGAGGTCTATGGGCATTCGTAGCCAGAAGAGGGCAAAGAAGTAGTTTCATCTACTCCGCTCGTATGAGTCTGGATTCATTCTGGAAGGTTGGCGTCAAAAGGGGTTGGTGGAAGGGTGTCAAAGGTGGAGATGTCATGCTTTTCGCCGCCAGTCTAGCGCTTATTGATGCGCTTTATGAGACCCAACCGAAGGCTGTCAGAGGTGCTATGATTCGTAAGGGTATGGGTGTGTTGAGGGGTGAAGGGTGGGTTGATCGTACCGCTACTCAGGAGGAGCAGGGTAAATCTACTTCTGAAAGTGTAGAGAAGAAGGAGGAGTAGAGTTTGTCTCTCTATGTGATACTCTGGAGCAGAGTGCGGAACGAATTATGAATTGGATTACGAAGCACGAAGTTTTGTATGATGGTGGTTTAATTGCACTCTTTGCTTTTTACTAAATTCGCCATGAAGAAAATGATGGAGAAACAAAGGTTGTATGAATGTAAGTCAAGGTCGAAGAGATTGAGCAAGTCAAATCACTGAAAGTTGTCAGAAGATTGTGGAAGGTCTCTTGACGTATAGACATGAAGAAATGCATCTTCGTGTGCTTTTCTGATCACAAACATATGAGATTTATGATGATGAAAACTCTGCAGATCTGACGTGAGAAAACAAGCGGGCACAAAGCGTTTTGTACAGCGTATACAACGATGGTACAACTCAGGAAAGAAAATCACGTCACGAAGAAAAGTCTGGGAGTGAGAAGGTATGGTATAATATGATTTGACGGGGAAAACTCGTAGCTGAAGCAATTTGTCTGACTTGAATCAAGGAGCAAGGTTCTTAGAAGCATCTCTGTTGTGGAGTAAGGGTGATGTGTCTTTCTGTCGTTCATCAGAACTGTCAGCTGAAGCAATGTGATAGGATGACCAATCTTCTTACCTCGTTCTGTCATAATATCAACTTCATGCGTCAAGGTAGTTCACTTCCAGTGAACAGAGAAGATGATGTGTTCTCCAGTGGACCACTTGTTTTTGTAGAAGCCTGCCAAGAAGTAACGGCAGGAGTCGTTGGGTACATCTCCATGATAGTACCCGCAAAGCTCCTTCATAACATCGAGAACAGTCACTCCATGCTCTACCTCGATCTCAACATCAAAGACCGATTTTCCAAAGGGACTGAGAGTGAGGGACGAGACAGCGGGCTCTGTAGCATTCTGAGTGGCAGCAGAAGTCGCGGACAAAGGGACAGTGCGGTAGTTGGGTGAGCCGCCAGGCTTCTCATCGACGAACAGAAAGCCAGTGTCCTCGATCTTGGAACGGCAGATGTAGCTCAGAGACCTAAAGGCGGGATTGATTTGGAGCTTGTTGGGGTCGAGAGTGTCTTCGAGTGAGGGTAGCTTGGTGCGGAAGAAGATCTTGTCGAAGGCGGAATGCTCAGTGATGGCCCTGAAAGTTTTGCTGGAGCGCATGCATCGGGTCAGGTCATCGAGTTCCAGATGGGAGAAAGTCTCCACCATCAACTCAGTAGGGAGGTCGTTTATGTCAGGCATTGTTGATGAGTGCCGTTGAGAAGAGCGCGCGATGGTCTGAAGTAGAAGAGTGGCACTTGATTCCGACCGTTGAGGTGAGAACAAAAGTGGCCCAAACAGAGGTGATTGTGGTTGACAAACGCGGTGTCGGACACAGAAGGAGCGATGCGGATGGTTCTTGCCTTTCGTTGTCAAGCTGTCTCAACTTGAAAGCACTTCCTTTTTCTTACACAAGCGTATGCCTCTCACAACTGATAGCGTAGACAATCGTACCAGAAACGAACCCCCTCTCCCTTGCAGAGCTCTTCATGTGTTGGTCAAAAGGCAAGATGATTTTGACGATTGGTTATCTGTCTACTGAGAGCCAACACCTGCACGTACTCTCTTTGGACAATCATGTTGACATGAACCCTCCGTGCCTTTTTATGGCTGTTTGAAAAGATGTCTTGACCTTGAGTGTGTCTTTAATAGGACTGGGAGCCGAGACTGTACACCTTTGGCCAGATACAAGTTCTTCACATGCAGACTGCAGAAGACTTGCTATTGAAAGCGCGAATCAAAACAAGTGATACTCCGATTTCCTTCACTTACTCCCAACCCCTTATCAATCAGCCCACTCCACTTACTCCCAAGAAGATCGGAGGTTTAGCCCAATGGGTTAATCTCATCAACTTCTGATAAACCTCTCCAAATCTGAGCATAAATAGAATCCAGGGGTGGTGAGTTCGACTCCCACCCTGGTTGGTCGCGTTGATGATTTGGTCGAAAAGATGTTTCCCAAGTTAAGTCCTGGTTTTTTGCTCCTTTGTGTGCGCCATGTTTGACTCCAGAGAATGTTGCTTCAGCCCAATCTACTCACTCCCAAGAAGATCGGAGAATAAAACTCTTGTTCGACCCTCCGCTGTGTAGTCTTAATTTGGTACCAATTCAAATCCGAGCCATGATGACCGTCATCTGGTGATATTGATCAAGGAGACAAGAGAGGGTTTTCCCATCGTAGCTTCGGCTCTGGCTTTTTGCACTTTTTGGATGTACATGGTTCAGGTATGTGTGATGATGTGACGCAAGAACGGTGGGTTGTGTTTGGTATTTGGCTTCTGACTTCTTGATATTTGCATGAGCTCTTGATGGAACGGCGCGCGATCCTGTCCAATTTTCTCTCTTCGCGAGCTCTATGACCCAGCTCATCGTGTGTGTAGGGTAAAGAGTGCATTGTCAACCCCAGAATTCCAACCGATGGCTCTTTCCATGCGACTGTTCACCCAACTGATATCTGCCTTCTTCACAGAAGTTCCAACCCCCTTTCGGCCTCTTCCGTCAACTTCTCAAGAACAGCTATATTGAACAAAAACCTCAAGAACTCAAGAGAAGGGTCGATCTTGTCATAATATGCTTTCAATTCTGAGAGCGTCTTCGTTTTGAGTCCCGCGTTCAAACCTTCAATGACTTCCCCAAATCTATCAGCAGCGCAGTCGGCTTCATCCTGCATCAAGGCCTCCAGGGCACTAGCAGGAGAAACGTCGTCCAGTGTACCGGGCTGTACTGAGCCCGATTTGGAAGAAGACTCTGACTTTGTCGAAACAGGACCGAGAATTTCAAAGCTAGGGGTTGTGAGGCCCGTGTTGGCGCCTTTGTTGTTGTTGAAGGTGTCGCTGTGCAAGAATCATTCAGTTGGAACGCTGTTTGATCAGAATGGTATGGACTCACTTCTTGGCTGAGCTTGCAGCAGACTTCTTGCTTTTGGAGGAGTTGGAAGACGACGAACGGCCGAACGGTTTCTTCCTAGGAGAAAGTCAGCATTGAAGACTCCACTTTTGCATGTATCGTCATGCTTTTCCTTCGAGCTCGTTGATGACTTGTTACTCTTTGAGAAACCCAAGGGCAACAGACGACGAAGCAGGTTCATGATGGTGTTTTTGCTTGCAGATTTGAGGAGTGCGTACGAGGATGGAAGAAGCTCAATGATTGGTAAAGAAAGAATTTTGATTCAACGAAGGCAGAAAGTGTTACCAACTTTCACTTATTAAGAAGTGCCGCCCAACACAATTTGGCTTATGAGAACTTCACTCACAACAAAGCACCGAACAACCACGATACCACAGTGCTAATTATCAGCAGCACAACAAGCAGTTGCATCATGAAGCTCAGGATACGGCTCGCGACACTCCAGGCATCCTGTGGCGGCGCGCCCGCCATTTTCGTGTTTGTTTGTGGGTTCTTTGTATGCGTGGACTCCTGCTGTGTGCTCTCTGGTTGCCTACTCTCTGGCCGCGTTTGCCCTACCTGTACGTTCTCTTGCTGCGTGGCCGCCGTCTGCACATCATTTGACGGTGTGTCTTCTGGCCTCCGCCTGGTCGTCCTCCGCTTGGTCGTCCTGCGTCTGGCCGTCCTCCGACTGGTCGCCTCCGCCGGATCGTCCTGCGTCTGATCGTCCTGCGCCTGGTCGTCCTGCATCTGGTTGTCCTGCGTCTGGTCGTCCTCCGCCGGGTCGTCCTGCGTCTGATCGTCCTGTATCTGGTCGTCCTGTGTCTGATCGTCCTGTATCTGGTCGTCCTGTGTCTGGTCGTCCTGTGTCTGGTCGTCCTGCGTATCCACTTGAGTAGATTCGCTCCGAGTTCGAAGCAACGGACTGGCATATGGGAGTCTTGCTGTTTCAGTCAACCCTAAAGACTCGAGTTTCTCTTTCTCCGACTTGTACAAAAGTTTCTCATGACCCGAAGTAGGGCGGACGCTTCAGAAGAGGTCAGCCCAAAGAGAGAGATTTACGGGAAGAGGATTTTGGGACGAACTTGGCCTGCTGCACCATATCGAACCAAGGTCTTTGACCCATTCGTCGTGTCGACCAGTGTCTGAATCCATCTGAATGGTGGGCAATTCTCAGCCACCCGAAACTAGGACTTGCAATTTCTTTGAGTGATGTTTCTGGTCTTGTCGGCGAAGTGCTGGCAACATGGGACTTGACACGTCTATTCAGGAGCTCCGTAACAATCTCCGCCCTTGTCCAGATAGTCATTCTGACCATCAGCGCGGGCGAGGATACTTTGTTTGAGACGAAGGTGTAGATAGTGAATGGAAACTTCTGGTCGAGAAGGTTGTTGATGACAAGGGTTGAGAACTCATCTAGACGTCCGTAACTTTTGTTCAAAACGTCGAGTAACTCAAACGGTTCATAGTCATCCTTTGGATTAGAAAGACGAATGTTGAAGGGACGGAAACGCGTTGTGCTGTGGGGGCAGTAGTGTGTGCAGTCCGATGAGTTGGGCGTGCAACTGGAGGAGGGCATGATTTCTCCGTCCAGCAGTCCTAAGAATGCATTGAGCGTCTTGTCTGGCTCCATGTTGATATAGTTGATGAATGTCGATAATGAAATATGGTAACGTTGTGATTGGAAAGCTGACGGAGAAGAAAGACAATCGAATATATCCAGTCCAGATACTCGTCATGGAAGGTGCGATTTGGCGTTCAACATTGGCATTACATCAGCCATGGATTCGCACCTTCTCTCTCATAGAGCAATACACAGTACTCTCCAGAGCCAGCTCTGCGTCCAGTGAGAGTGCACCAAACATCACCCCAGTCACCACCGATTCGACACATCTCCATTGCCATTGCCATCACCATCCTCATCCACATCCTCGTCAGTCTCAAAACCCTCAAGCTTCTCCTTCATCTGCCCAACAGAGTTCCAGCTCAACAAACTCGTTATAGGCCCCATAGCAGGATCATTAAGCAATCTCCTAATCGCCGCTTTTGAAATGTTTTCATCATCCAACCAAATCGCAAAGGCTTGGTCGAAGTCACTCGTAAAGTCCCCTATTGACGCCTCTGCTGGTGGAAGAGTGTAAGGATAGCCTCCTTGTTGTCGTCCGGCCAGACTCCGTAGAATGCTGTTGCCTGGATACATACTGTATCGGCGAACACCCATACCCCCAAACACTGCTGAGACAGGACGAGAACCTTCCCGTGGTAAAGGACTGGGATCCTGATATATCCCACTCGCACTGGCGCTTGCCCGAACGTGTGGATTAGGCAGTGATACCTCTCCATCATCTATCCTCTTGCGTTTCCTGTCTTCCGCAAAAAGAATATCATCACTGATCCTGTTGCCAAGATTGTTGATAAATTCTCTGGTCGGAGGTTTGTCTCCCCAAATGTCTAGTTGTCTTTTCATGATGCCGATATTCTCGTGCTCGATGGAGGTGAGACGTCTTTCATTCGGGACATAATCATAATGTATCCAGAGCTTGTCTTGAGTCTTGCGATCTAGAACCACTGTCAGAATCCACGGAGGCCGAAGGGACATACATTGATATCTACCAGTTGGATCCAATTCCATGGCTTGGATCTTCAAGTACGCGTCTCGATTTGAATCACATATGCGGCGGTGTTTGACCAACGCTTCTGAAACAGTGTATGCTGAAATGCATGCTCTGCATCGAAACTTGTAGGGATTTTCGGGTTTGGAAGACATTGTCTTTGTTGGGTGGTGTGGTTGTGAGTGGTTGTGTTTGTGAGGGGTTGTGGTTGTGAGTGGTTGTGGTTGTGATCGTGGTTTACTTTGACGCGTAAAGTGGGTGGATGTTGGAGCGAGGTCGGCACGAGTTGCCTCCCTTGTGAGAATGCATGAGAGGACATCAAACACAAACATATTAATCATTCCATATCGTTTCAGTAGCAACATAGTCTAGACAGCTTGTACGAGCCACAGCTATACAAAGGCAACAGTCAACAAGAAAGCTATGTTACAAGAATACCCATAATGAAGCAATAATTCATTCATCACTGTCATCATCAACAACCTGTCTCCTCCTAATCAGCTGTCTGCGAACGGGAGCAGGTTCTTCCTCCGCCATGCTAGACGGTCCAAAGTCCGGCAAATCCTCTTCACTCTCTTCAGCGATATTGTCTTGTGTGAACAAATTACTGAGTCTGTTTTTCTTCGGAGGCTTGTGAATATGCGGCTGAGAGCTCGAGGCAAACTCAATGGGTGCATCGCTTCCGACAACAAAGTCGTCGAGCTCGGAGTCTGCTTCGTCTTCTTCCATGCCATGACCTTCTTCGCCAGAGGTATCCGCTGAGCCGAGGTCGATGCCTTGGGTGCCGAGACGCATGTGTGCAGGCGTGGGTTCTGGGCTGGATGCCGAGCCTTCCATGTCAGAGCTGTTTCTTGTAGGAGCTTGTTTCTTCGGACGGCCGCGAGATTTGGGTGTCTTTGCCACAGGAGCTGGCTTGGGTGCCTTAGGCGCCTTTGGAGCCTTTGGTGCTTTTGGCGCTTTGGGGGCTTTCGGCTCCTTTGATTCCTTCGGAGCTTTGGGGGCTCTCGGTTTGGCGGGTGCTCTCTTTTTAGCAGGTTTGGCGACTGGCAAGTCATCCTCTGACAAGTTTACGATAGTCGGGTCTCCTATCATCTCAGATACATCACCTTCCAAGTCTGATTGATGAAAGTTGTCTTTGAATCCCTGAACGACATCTTCGTTCATGTTGCCCAGGCGTTTCATCAAACTGGAAGCTGCCAACGAAGCTCTACCATGCGTGATGAACTTGGTCGATCCAGGAAATGAGCTAGAGAATCTGTCCAGTCGTGGTAGGCCAACCGTGGGGGCTGCGCCGTCTGCATCTTGAACGTACTTGTATTTGCGATCAAGCTCTCGCTCTTGGATCTTGTTCAAGCAGACAGCGTCCAGTGATGGAATAGCAACTGTCTCGATACCTGGCGGAGGACGGAACATCTTCTTGATTGAAGCAGCAGTTGCCTTCTTGGCTTTGCCTTTTCCACGAGGTGCCAATTCTTCTGCGTCCTCATCGTCCATTCTTCCTGCTGCAACGAACCCTGTTCGAACATTGTCAGGCATATGGAACTTTTTCGGCGGTGCTTTCGGAGCTCTTCCACGACGTTTCGGTTCAGGAAGCTCAGCTTGCGAGTTTTCCACGGGTATCTCGACAACTCTTCTATCCACAGTCGGTTGAGTTTCTCGTGGAAGAATGCGAGGTGATCTATCGTCATGGAAAGTGAAGTCTTTGCCAGATGCGATCATGCCTTGCATCTTTTCGTAGTTGTCCTTCGCCTTTTCGAAATCAGGCACCTCCTTCTCGTTCATCAACAACAGAACAATATTACCCTTGCGCTTTCTGCCTGTACGTCCCATGCGCTGAAGCATTCGAATGGGCGAGGCAGAGGCATCGTAACACACAATGAGGTCAACTTCACCAATATCAAGACCTTCTTCACCAATGGAAGTAGCGACTAAGGTGTTGTATTTGCCCTCCTTGAATTGCTTGATGACCTCCAGTTGACGTTTCTGGTTCATACCTTCCGAGTTTTTGGAATCTGCTTGACCAACAAAAACATGTGCCCTGATCATGGGTTCGTTTCTGTTCAGAACACGCACGATCTCCTCGGCACTGTCTCGATAGGCTGCAAAAATCATGATCTTGGTAGTCGAAGGCTGACCGCCTGGAGCCTTCGCTTTATCATCGGCCTCAAGGAAGTGGTTCATGACCACCAATCGGAGATGTTCAAGCTTGGGATGCCCAAGAAATTCGGGGTCGCGAGTCCAGGTCAACATCATGTTCATCATCTTGGTGAAGTTTTCGTCATCACGAATTTGTGCGCCATATTTGCCCTTGAGTTCACCCCCATCAACCTTGTTCCTGAATTCAACCATTCCATTGTAGAAAGGGGTGATGCCATGGAACCTGAGCATTGAGATTGAATGACCGAGACTTCCAAGCACGACAAATATACTGTTGACCATACCCTTGACAGATTGTGGTGCCTTCTTGCCAGCATCAGTCATGAACCATTTCCTTCGAGCTTCAGTACAACCGAACGCCGTAAGCTTCATCGGATCCTTGTTCCAATAGGCATTTTGACTTGCAAGCTTCAACAGCACAGGACGGATAGCATTTGAAGCAAGCTCCATGATAATTTGTTGTTCTTCCGAGTAGTCAAACTTAATGACATCAATGTCGCGGCTGTGAACATATTGTCTGATGTCCAGAGATGTTTCTGTACGGATCTCACATCGTGATATGTCCAGACCGTCAATGACTTGCTGTACTGCTGGGACGTCCGAGCCTGGTGTGGCAGTCAAGGCAAGTACACGGAAGCTCGTGTTGAACCGGCGAACGAACTTGATGACCTCAACATAGGCATAGTTGCCAGTGGCGCGATGAGCTTCGTCAACAACGATCAATACAATTCGCTTTGGATCGCAGAGACCAGTCTTGAGGTCATTGATGATTGTCTGAGGAGTCATGAAAAACACTCGTTTCGTCTTCCATTCTTCTGCTCTCAAGCCAGGAGAGGTCTCGCCAGTGAGCATGACGGTCTGCGAGCGAGGGATGCCTACGATGTTGAAACAAGCATCAACCTGTTGGGCAACAAGGGGCTTTGTAGGTGCCACGAAGACGATTTGCGCGCTTTCTGTCCAGCGGAACCAGTTCAGCATAATAGTGGCCGCAATGAATGTTTTACCAAGACCAGTGGGCAGAGCGACCAACAGATTGTGAAAGAGGCCTCGACTGACGATGTTGAATTGATAGTCACGAGTGGTTCCCAGGTTTGTAGGATAGACCCAAGTTTGTGTAGCTTCATCATTGAGCTTGTGATGGGTTGCTGGTTCTCTTTGTGTTGCCAATGGCCAAGCATGCCTCTTGTTGGCCTGAGTAGCAGGACCCATCGGCACAACTGTCCCTCCAAATAACGTCTTTTGGACCAATCCACCACGCGGAGGTGCGAGATTTGGCTTCGGTGCAGGCACCGCTGCCTTCGGAGGCGATGAGGATATGCAAATCGGACCACCAAGGTTCTTAGCCGGAGTCTGATCATCGGAGTCGAAGGCGTCGGATGGTAGGTCTGCAAGCTCATCTGCAAAGTCTGCAAAGTCGTCGACTGGCACTGGTCGGGCCGTTGCTCGTGATGGAGCTATTGGTTGTGGTTCTGGGGCTGTTGTTCGTGATGGGGGAAGGGGTTTGGCTGCGGTTGGCTCTACCGGTGATGGACTGCGAGTAGGTGATCGGTAAGGTACCACTGTCCTTCTCTGTGGGACATCTACGTCCAGCATGGCAAGATCCTCGGTATCAAATTCATCCTCGCTAGATTCCTCCACGAAGGGCTGCTTTTTCGGCACGTTATTGGCCTTTCGTGGCTGTTGGTGGTCGGCTACCAGGCCCATCAAGAGTTCTGGATCAATGTCATCACTGAGATCGCCCCAGACATCTGACTGTACAAGTGGGGTCGTAGTAACCACATCTTGCAGATGGGCGTCATCCACGATCGGCTGTTTCGTGTGTATAGAAGGAGCTGTCGGAAGTGCGTTTCCTGCTGGCGAAGGGCGAGTCTGGATATCATCGTTCCTTCTCAATGCGGAATGATTGAGAGTACTTTTGAGTAATGACGGCTGGCGAGCTGGCGTTTGAACTACCGGCTTCTGCTTTGTAGCCATAACATCCTTCTTCCAGATTGGGCCTCTGATACTCCAGGGAGCAGATGACTCCGGGGGCTCTTCGTCAGCAAACCTGTCTGCTAAAAGATCTTGCATTGCCGGCACATGAATGCGATGCTTTGGTTTCACGGCTTTCGCGTCTTTCTCATCCTCGTCGTCAAAGTCTTCAGATCCAGATCCTGTAGATGTCCGTTTTCGTGAATTGCGCTTCGGTTTGGTGACACTTCTTCCTATGGCATCATCCGAGTCACCAAGCAGACTCTCATCGTCTTTGATCTGAGCCTTTTTCGAGACTCGTGGCTTTCGCTTGGGTTTTGTTGCAGCGACCGGAGGACCAAACGCGTCTTCTTCACCATCAACGATAGAATCTTCGTCCGTGATCTTCTTCTTTGTGTTCGTTTTCTTGGTTACAGCTGCCTTGCGAGTAGTCGGTTGCTTCTTGGTCTTGGCCGCCGGTGTTACAGTCGTTCTACGTCGCTTTGCAGGTCGAGGAGACGAATCAAACTCGTCATCTTGAATCTCATCATGACCTGCCCTCGCTCCTCCATCAACATCATCCTCGGAATCCATAGTCGAGTTGGATCATAAAGTTTCGAAACCCGCCACTTCGATGGTCGAAAGGCACGCGCCGGGGAAGACGCGTCGACGCAACGGGCTTCGGCTCGAGCTTCCCGCTTTGTCACATGCCATTTTTCACAATCCACCTTGACTTATGCATGCATTTTATGTTCAATTTCCTCAGAATATTGATGCTTTCATGCAATCATTGATTACTGTTTCTATCGACCAAGAGAACCAAGAATGCTACCTACCATAACAGCAGCCTCTCTCTCCCAGTTTCCTATTACCCTCTTCGAACCTGTCGAAGATGGCAATTGACTGCCTCGATGCACGCACTCTCTGACCGCATCTTTGACCTTGTCCTTGTTCGTCTTCAAGGTTCGAGCGCTGACACCTCCACGAGCGATGATCTCTTGTACTCTTGGCGCTAGAGAAGAGGCCAAAGAGCGCCAGAAATAAGATGGGAGAGAAGTTGTGTCCAGTGCTGCAAGAAGAGGCCCTAAGAAAGTAGGCGGAGGTTCAAGGGGAGCAGGTGGAGTGCTGTCGGGAGCAGCAGACAGCAGGGGGTGGACCGGAGGTTTGGCCGTCGATAGTAGAGACTCCAATGCTACGATGTTCTGACATCTCGCGCTGATGTCAAGCAGTGTGCGATCAAGTGTCGGAAGAGTAGCCAAGGCACGAGCTAAGGCAGTGGCTGATGCCGTGAGGGATGTCTGCAAGTAAGACTGCAATGCCGTCACCAACACGGTCGGATTGAAAGTGGCTCCTCTAACAGTGGATGACTTTGGCGGCAAGCTCACCGGAGAAAGAAGATATAGCGTATGCAGAGCTGCCAAAGTCCTTGCTCTTGTGTCATCATGCTGTGCGAATACTGAGGCTGCACCTCCCGATGAACCGGTCAGTGTTGACATGCTGAACTCACGCACGCTCTGCTGAGACTTCGCGAGTAGACTCCTTTCAGACGGCTCGAGCAATTCAGTCCGTAGCGCTGTGATGGCATTCACGCGTGCGAGCAACCTCGCCTCGGCCACGTCGTCAGGCCCCAAGGTTCGTCGGAGCGACAAGACTGTCCTGGCCGCAGGCGCAAGAGAACGGTAGCCCTCGCGCGGCTTATCTGTGTCGACCATGTTCCCTTCGAGAGTGCGACCCAGTTGTAGGCATCTTGCGACGGCCCTCGCGAGTCGCAATGTGTTTGCAAGCCTGTCCGCAGCTAGACGAACTTGTTCGGCTTGTTCGTATCTGTCCACCACATCTTGATGCAATCTTGTGTATGCTTGTTGTAGTCCCTGGACCTGCGATTCGAGAGTGTCGAGAACATGTGTACTGGCTTTCGCGCGTGTTGACGTGTGCTTGATCAGAGGTAGCGCAGATGAGGTGGTGAGGGAGTCAATATGCGTATCGACCTCTTGTACGTCGAATAAGACTCGTGAGAGTGGTGTGGAGAGATCAATCGATGTGTCGTTTGCATCGTTGGTGGAAAGGACAAGAGTATTGGCGAATGACGGTGCGTGGAAGTCTGGTGATGCGAACGCTTCGTAATCGATGTAGGACGCTTCTGATTCTGCGGCTGCCATGTTGTTGTTGTTTCTCTTCTTTTCTGGTCTCCTTGAGCTCCGGGTGAATTGATGTTTTGGCTCTCGACGTGAGACGATGAAACATCGGGGAAGACGCGGGAAACCGAAGCCGAGCGGTATACATTTCCCATCTCTAGCACTGCCAAGAACTAATTCACAATACACCAACAACGAAGTTGTGATATCAATTCTATGATTTGCTACTACTTTTCTTGTTCGTGATCATTTTCATAGGGATTTATGCACAGCTCTTCGTGTGCGAAGAATAACTAACGCCATTTGCTATGTCTCAATGTGCTCAACCAAACGATGACCCCAATCAATGCCTGATTTGTATCTTGCCTCTTACCTCCTCAGCTTCACTTTCTCTCGACACCAGTGACTCTAGTACCCTTCTTCTCGACAGTCTGTTTCAAAGCCGCAAGCACTCTCTTGCGCTGAGCAGCCCTGTCTTGATATCTTCTGACCTCCTCAAGGCTGATATCCGCCATCTTTCTGCGAGGTGTACCATCCAGCATCAAACTGCTGCGTCCAAACTCGGCGTCGCCATTGTCTCTGCGTAGTGAGCCGCCGAATCTACCGAGCATGCCCGAGATACCGAGGGGAGTGGCACCGTTGGAAACAGCGTTCTTGCCTCGAGTTGCAGGTGGCGTACCGAACAGGTTACCACTAGTTGAACGCTCCAAAGGACGAACACTGCGCACGCTGCTACGGAGGAGATCCTCGTTACTGTCGGAGATGTTGAGATTGGCAATTCCGCCAGGCAAGCGACGGATCTGTGCCTCCAGCACATCAACATCGCCTGACTTTTGCTCAATCATGGCAGTCATCTTCATGATCGTGTTAGTTACGGCCTCGACAGTAGGTACACGCTGAGCAGCGGATCCTTGCGAAGGGGCAGCAGCGAGATCCGCACGAAGAACACTCAAAGCCTCTTCGGCGTCTTGTAGCAGCTTCTGCACCTTGGCCACACCTTCTCTGAGCTCGTTTTGCTGCATCTGGGCTTCGTTGTTGAGTGGCGAGGCACGATGAGTCGCACGTTGTTGAGGATCAGCACGAGCACCAATCTGCTTTCTCATCTCCACTGTTCTTGTACGCAGCCTTGTAGCATCTTTTTGCAACTCGGCCAGTTCCTCAAGCTTCTGTGGAACACTGTCCACCTTTCCAGCCTCGAGATCGTCCCCAATTTCTTTTTGAACTACACCGAGCTCGTTGATCTCAACAAGGCACCACTCTTCCGCCTGTTCAAGATCACTGCGTTCGCGACCAGCTTGTTTGTATTGAGTTTTGTGGCCCTTGACGAAAGACTCGAGCGTGCGTGCATTCAGACCAAGAGTGTCAATCATGCTGTTGATATCGCGGTAGACTTTCTCGATCTGACCTGCGATGCCAAGCTTGTTGACGCGACCGACATAATCTTGATGGGCGACAAAGGGCTCCAGATCCATCGAGGGTTCGACTTCCGAAGCGAGTAGCTCACGGACGCGTACATCTTCCTCGTCGCTGAGCTCTCCAGCATCAGGGACTTGGGGCGACTCGGATCGCTGTGTAGATGAAGGTCGAGAGTGTGAGCGCGAGTGTCCCTTCATCGAGGGAACAGTGATAGGTTTTGAGTGTTGTTTTGATGCTGGAAGACCGGCTGGGGTGTGGGACGAAGGTCTGATGGGAGATGGCGAGCGAGGCGACTCCTGTGTCTTCGAGGGAGGCGCGAAGAAGGGACCCTTTGGCAAGCCTGCGGGAGTAGTAGAGGGAATTGGCGATTTTGGTCGCAGCAATTTGCCTGCGTCGCCAGTTGAGTGGGAAAGGGAAGGGAAGCTGAGGCGAGAGCCAAAGGGGGTCTTCGAGGCTTTCTCCACATCGACCGCTTCTCCTTCGTCTTCGTCTTCGCTCTCTTCATCGTCCTCGTCTTCGTCGTCCTCATCGTACTCTTCTTCTCCTGATCCGCCTTCTTCCTCTTCGCCTCCAGATTCTTCGCCAGAGTCTTGCACCCAGGAACCATCCTCCTCTTCCTCGTCGTCACTTGCTGGCAATTGCGCAGCCTCGTCGCCAAGGTCAACCGGAGGACTCCCTGCGATTGGCGGTACATCCTCTTCGGTCGACTGTTGAGGCTTTGAAGATGTGAAGTCGGGGGGTAAGGGAGCTTCCTCGGGCTCCGAGTCAGACTCTTCCTCCTCTTCAGAGGAAAGGTCCTCCAACTTCGGCGATTCTGTTCCGGCCTCCTTTTTGATGCCCGCCTTGGTGGTTTTGGCTACATCGGCAAACATGCTTTGGAACTTGGATCCAAACGGAGAGGCATCGTCTTTCTGAGGGGTGGATTTAGCTACCAGTGAGTCGTCTTTTGCACTTCCATCTGCTTGGAAGGTGGAGCCAAGCTTGAAGCCGCCCATTGTAGGTAATTTTGACGGCTTATCAGATGAAGAGTCCCTAAGAGGAGAAGTAGATTTTCCAGAGGGCTTACCAAACTGGAATCCTGTCTGCTTCGAGGGCTGTCCGAAGACTGATGCAGGAGATTTAGAGCTGTCGGTGGATTTTCCGAACAAGCCTGAGGTCTGAGGTTTGTCAGATGTCTGTCCAAAGAGTGATGAAGGCTTTGGCTTGTCAGGTGTTTGGCCCAAAACAGAGGACTGTGGCTTTGCAGATGTCTGTCCGAAAACAGATGTTTGTGGCTTGGGTGCTTCAATTGTTGGTGAGGACTCTTTCTTTGCAGGCTCCTCTTTGGCGGGCTCCTGTTTGGCAGGTCCCTCTGTTGGTTTCTCGTCAGTCTCGTCCTCCATAGCCTCCTCCTTTGGCTCTTCTGCAGGTTGTGCAGGAGATGCAGCGGATGCACTAGGCTTGCCGAAACTGGACGACAGGGGTGAAGGCTTGTTGCTAGCAGGAAACGAGGTACTGTTCCCAGCAAAAGGAGAGGGTGATTTGTTCTGGTTGTTGCCAAAAGCAGCAAAGGGAGAAGGGGCGGCTTTGCCTTCGTCCTTTTTGCCGACAAGTGCAGAAAATGGAGAAGCAGGAGCCTTGTTTTCATCCTTGGCTGTTGCAGTAAACTTAGACGATCCAGACCCAGTCTCACCGAGTCCTGAAGACTTGCCGAAAGCAGGCTGAGAAGTCGCTGAGGGGGATGCCCAAGCTGGTGTCTTGTTTCCCAGTCCACTAGGCGACCCGAAGGCTGTGTTCCCGCTGGCACTGGTCAAGCCCGCTCCAAAGATTTGACCCTTTGGCGGAGTGGCGATGGAAGCCTGACTTGCTGGTTGGCCCCATGGTGATTTGCTTCCGAGGGCACTGGCAGCCCCAGCGCCGGGGAGACTGGGAGAGCCAAAGGCCGACTTGCCGAATGCTGGCGTGGAGGCTTGTCCAAATGCTGGCTTGGAAGCTTGTCCAAATGCTGGCGTGGATGCTTGTCCGAAGGCGGGTGTGGATGGCTTTCCAAACGCAGGTGTCGACGCTTGTCCGAAGGCGGGTGTGGATGACTTTCCAAACGCAGGAGTGGACGCCTGGCCAAAGGCGGGGGTAGACGGCTTTCCAAAGGCAGGAGTGGACGCCTGTCCGAAAGATGGTTGAGCTGGTTGACCAAAAGAAGACTTACCAAAGGCTGCGAAACCTGTAGCAGCTGGGGCGCTCGAAGTCGGAATCGAAGTTGCAGGTTGTGTGGTGCTCGGTGTTGCGTTTTGCGCAGAGGCAATGGATGTGAGGCCAGGGTAGGAAGTTCCTTGACGGATAGAGTCGTTGTATATGAACCACCAGGCTGAAAGGACGCCCTCGTTATTCAGGATCATGAGCGCCGGTACAGGACCTGGAGACTCTCTAACCTCCTTGTCAGAAGCAATAGGCTCCAGGACTGGATCTGTCGAAGAGAGGTCGAGGGCCATTCCGACAGGCGCCGTCTCAGACATGCCATCCATGACGCTCATAGGTAGAGTGGCACGAGAAGCATCCGCATCCATGTTTGTGACGGTGTAAACGTTGTAGACTGCATCCTTTGCCAAAGGAGCTGAAGAATTGGTGATGATACCGGCTTCAGTGCCGGCAGAGGAGGACAGAATCAGTACGTCCTCCAAGTGGGGAGGGAACTTTCTCAGTCTGGAAATGAGGAAGTGTGCAGGAAATCGCTTGGTGTCAAAGCCAGGTATGCATGGGTCTCCAACAATTAGTTGCGAGGTGAAAGAGCCAGACGACTTCTCTCTGTGTAGCATGTGGTAAGTTGACGAGGCTGCCTCATCTTCGGAGTTGGGGGTATGTATGACCAGGAAATCGTCGTTCGCGATCCAGACAATGCTCGACATGGGAGTTGGTTGTTCAAGCTGGGGCGGTCTCGGGATCTGAGCCTTGACATTTCCTTGAGGGTCGTATTGCTCGGCGCTTCCATCTTCTAGACCGACAACAAGTTGCTTGCCTCTGACACTCCAGGAAACGCATCTAACGCCCTCGCGAAACACGGCACCATTGGATGTGTTTACCAGCTGACGTTGCTTGAAGTCGGCAATCATCAGTTTGCCATCGGTGAGGACAACAGCGAAAAGATGAGCGTTCTCGGGACTTGGGTTGGGCTCAAGCGCGCGAACTGAGATTCCATTTGTAGAGATTTGAAAGGCCGACTCTTTGTTTCCCTGAAGCAGTGCCTGAACATCGTATACGGCGAGACCACCTCCTTCCTGAGCAGCAATAGCCAGTGAACTCTCATCGGCAGAGAAGGCGACGTGCGAGACTTGTGGGACTGGTAGGGAGAGCTGCGGGGTGATGTCCTTGATCTTGCTGGCGCTGGTGTCGACTTCCCAGTATGCCTTTTGCACTGTTTCGGTTGACACGAGTATGACGGATTCGGAGGTAGCGGCAGCGAGGAGTCCTTTGCCAGAGGCAATGGACAAGAGCGAAGACCAGGCTGGAGGTTGTCTGTCTGCTGGCCATGCTTGTGACAGGCGTACTTTTGTTTCTTTGCCGGCGTCCATAAAACCGACAGAGTCTTGGTAGATTTCCTGGGCCTCAGCCACGGCGCTCACCTGAGGACCCACATTCTGGAATCCCCATGACATGATGGCAATGTGTAGGTGGGAGCTCTAGCCTGAATGAAGATATGCGCGCGCAATGCGCATAAGGTACGGATGATTTCGATGTTCCGCTCCTTCGAACAATTATGTCAATATTGAGCAGTAGCCAGATGTCCAAGCTAAGTGAAGCCGGTTGTCAGTTGATGATGTGTGGTTGAGAAGGTGCGATTATGCAACAAACAAAAGTTATTGTCCATGAACTAGAGCTTTGTTGCTTCACTTCACGCGCGCGCATGTCACTCACGCTAGCCGATTCAGTCAGTCTTGGCGTTGGTGTTATATGACTCAATATAGTTCGCCAAAAACTTGCATGTGATACGATGCATCCAGTGTTAAAATGGTCAAAAATGTGTGACATTCTTCATGTGTTATCGAACCTTCGTTGGCATCTCTATCTGTCTGGTATCTCTGGGTCCGGCCGACACAATCTCCATTTTGACCTGCTATAATATGCCTGAGAACGCCTTTTCCCATGCTCCATGTCTCATTATTTGCATCGCTTCTCGATGATGCTAGAGCCGTGCTCTTCGTACTCCTTCTTGGAGATCCACATCTGTTTGGGTCAACGTATATTCTTTTCAAAGCTTTTATGCATTCGAAGCTTACCTGGTGGAAAGTGCCCAGACTTGCAAGAATGCTGCCACCGACCCAGGATCCATACTTTCTATCCGTCACGAGGTTGCTTGCATTCACCCTCACGCGAGGGTTAGGGTACAGTGCGGAGAGTTCACTGTGAAGACGTTCTGCGAGCTTATCGAGCAGACTGCCACCTCCAGTAAGGACAATGTTGTTCAGTAGCAAAGGCCTGACCTCAACATCTACAGCAGTCAAAGCAGCTTGGACCATCTGTGTTATCGTGTGCTTCTGATCAGGTGCGGGGTGGTTATCGTCCTGTTTCCTGGTCAGTCATATCCTCCAATCAGTGTTATCCATGTACGGAACATACGGTCAGTGCCGCCTTTGCGTCGAACAAGCCCTCAGCGACTCTGAAGCGCTCAATACCAAACACCTGGTTCCAGCCGTCTGGCATCTCGAATGGTCGCGAAGGCAAGTCCTTGACTGCATTAATGTTAGGGTGGTTGCCCACACCGTCCGCCTGGTCAAGCTTGCCAGGACCTTGCCAGACCTGAACCATGCTCTCCTTGAAAGAGGTGAAGATGCGCTCTTCCTCGTTCTTTTTGAAAGAGTCTGTCGGCGGAATGTCGAATTTCATGTATTCAGCATTGGATGGTTGGCCGGCATCGACGGGAGACTTGGACTTGACCATGTAATGGGGCACCAGAGGAGCCACAGGGTCCATTTTCGAAAACTGCAAGCGCAATTGTTGTGAAACAAAGTTACCACCCAGCGATGATTTCTGAATGCCTATGAGATGTTAGCAATGGTCTTGGATTATGAAAAGCGTGGCAAAGCAAATAGATGCGCTGCTGTTAGTACAAAGCCTTGTCACAGACATTTTCGTCAAGGACCAACTTGTGGCTATGTTGACCACCGTGAGATGATTGAGACATTGCATCGTTGAAGCCTTGAGGGTGCAATGCGCAAGGGAAAGAGAGGCCTACCTTTCTTCAAAACAAAGCCATCGTGCACGGGAGTGACGGAAGTTGTGCTTGCACCAACATCGATGACTAGAGCATTAGGCTTTCCTGCGGCAAATCTGCAAGACGGTCAGCCAAGTACACTGTCCCTAGACGAGACTTGGACTTACGCAGCCAGTACGCCGGTCTTGCCTAGCCAGAAGGCCGGAGCACCCCAATCCTCAAGCGCAATCTCGATGCACTTTGCGCGGTTCTTCGCAGGGTTCCAGGCAGGCTCTGACATGAGCAATGGGTGTTCGCTCATGGGTTTCTCTTGCTCCTCAACTCCCTCCATGGCAACATCACCGTCACCGTCTGCAGGCTTGTCTCCATCTTCCGTGTCATCATTGAGGCCATTCTTTGCAGCGGGAGTTGGTCGGGCGCCGGTCAATCGCGAAGTGATGCTGTATTCCCATAGCCTCGAAGCAGCGTCCCAGTCTTCTACAATGCCGTCCGAGTCGTATGGGCTACGGATTTCCATGTTCGGGAGAGGGTTGTGGATGGCATTTTCGCCAAAGAGGTATCGTGATTGGGAGTCGGCATCGGCGGCAGCGATAGAACCGTAGAAGGATGGAATCACAGACTTGGGAGTGTCTTCTCCAGCAAAGCCGGCGCGAGTGGTGAAGGAACCGGGATCGAGGACCAGCGCATTGATCTCATCTGCGGCGCGTCAATGGGTGTCCAAAAGGTCGCCTTGATGCGGGAAGAGGCATCGTACCTCCAGCGTATTCCTGCGGTGCAGGCGCGTTGTATGAGTTCATTTTGAGAGTCTCAAGTTTTGTGTAATGCAAGCTAGAACAGTTGCGACAAGCTCATCGAGACCACTCCACAAACACGCGCCGCGCCATCTCTCGGCAGACGCCGCCGCGTCTCTAACACATATACCACCAACCCACCCCTGAACTCTTTGAACCTCTTCCCATTTCTGAACCTGATCTAGAAAGTCGGTGTACCTTCTGAACTCAAGCATCATAGAGGAATATTGAAGTTTTGGTTGTCTTTGCTCAAATCCATGGGTTCCGCTGCAAAATGTCGTGGCTCTCATTCATAAAGAAGCTATACTCTCTCGATACTTTGGACACCCGTTTCACCACATCGACCAAGACTCCTCACAAACTCACACCCGAAGATTCCATTGCAGACTCGAAGTTACCAGCACAGCAAATATTGCAACCAGGAAAGGAACAATCATTGCCTGGAATTCAGCCATCAAAATGGAACACTCCAGAGTTCTACTTTTACTATCTATGCTTCCTTACCATTCCGGTGTTTATGGTCAAAGCTGTCTATGATGTTTCTCAAGGTTGGTTCGCATACTACCATAAATGGTCTACTTGCTGATCGCGATTCATAGAGTCCCACCCTAATTATTCTCGTTATTCTCACCTGCTGTCCGACGGTTGGATCCCTGGTCGTAAAGTCGTATGTACTCTTGCTGTCTAGAAGGACAAGACTTTATCTAATTCGCTCCAGGACAACTCCGACTCTCAATATGCTGGCTTCCGTGACAACATTCCGTACATGACGCTTCTCTTGATCTTGCATCCATTGCTCCGCAAGGCTTACAACTCTTTCTGGCGCATTGACTCATACACCAAGCCTGTTCCTTCAAGCAGTAGGACCCCCGGACTAACCCAAGGACTCTCTCCCTCGGCCGCTGCAGATGCCAGAATGGAGCACAGAATCTCTTTCGATGTCTATTTTGCTATCATCTTCATCTTCGCCCTGCATGGATTCTCAGCGTTGAAGGTTCTTCTCATTCTGTACACCAATTACAAACTGGCTACTCAGCTTCCGAAAGCTTACGTACCTGCAGCGACATGGATCTTCAATGTCGGTATCTTGTTCGCGAACGAGCTGTGCCATGGCTACCCTATGGCCGAGGTTGCAGCTTTTGTCCTACCATCCCATACCAGTGCCTCTGAGAAGGCCAATCAGACACCCGGCTGGGCTGGCTGGATCGATAGCTATGGCGGCATTTTGCCAAGATGGGAGATTCTCTTTAACATCACAGTGCTTCGCTTGATCAGCTTCAATCTTGATTACTACTGGAGTTTGAGCGCATCTTCATCGCTCGAGGTATGTTGGAGAATAATTCATCATCTATTTGACGTAGAAGCATAGACTGACTGCCTGAAGAAGAAACAGCTCGATCCTTCAAATCTCTCGGAGCGTGACAGAGTTTCTGTGCCTTCTAAGCCGGTGGACTTTAGCTTCCGCAACTACCTCGCATATGCTTTGTACTCACCTCTGTACCTAGCTGGACCCATTCTGACCTTCAACGACTACATCTCGCAGTCACGCTACCCACTTGCCTCCATCACTACCAAGCGCACTTTGATGTACGGACTGCGTTTCCTCATCTGCGTGCTTACCATGGAGTTCTGTCTTCACTTCCTGTACGCAGTAGCTATTAGCAAGGCCCAGCCGGCCTGGGAAGTGTATTCACCTATGCAACTCAGTATGCTCGGCTACTTCAACCTCCACATTATCTGGCTGAAGCTGCTGATTCCCTGGCGCTTCTTCCGACTGTGGTCACTCGCAGACGGTATTGATCCTCCTGAGAACATGGTCCGCTGCATGAGTGACAACTATTCTGCACTTGCCTTCTGGCGCGGCTGGCACAGGAGTTTCAACCGCTGGATCGTCAGGTACATTTACATTCCTATCGGTGGCAGTGGACAAGGCAAGGTCCGCGCTATCGGCAATTTCCTGGCTGTCTTTACTTTTGTCGCACTTTGGCACGATATCAACCTCAAGCTGCTCATTTGGGGCTGGTTGATTACGTTGTTCGTCTTGCCAGAGGTCATTTGCACTCTTCTTTTCCCTGCTAAGAAGTGGAAGGACAGTCCGGATGTCTATCGCTGGATCTGTGGTGTTGGTGCCACTGGCAACATTCTCATGATGATGGCTGCCAATCTGGTTGGTTTTGCCATCGGTGTGGACGGCCTGAAAGCGATGGTCGGCAACATGGTTGGAAGCCTTGGTGGTTGGGCGTTCTTGCTCGGAGCTTGCGGCACGTTGTTCGTGGGTGCTCAAGTCATGTTTGAGGTCCGCGAGAGTGAGAAGAGAAAGGGCATTAACATGAAGTGCTAAGCTCATCTTATAGCACATGTATATTACAGTACCCAAAAGTCGTCGAGAACCAAGTTCCTCATGTTGTTTCGCAAGATGGCCACGCTCTCAAAACAACGATCATGTCAGACATATTGATGCCCATAACTTCGTGGTCAGTGCAGACGTGTGGACAAACATGTAACGAAGCTCAAACATTCATCCTGCAACAAACCCGATAAACAAGATGTGTCAAAATCGGAGAGTTGTAATATTCGCAGCTTGACAAATGTTCATCATTTAATCAAACACGCTGTTATAGATGTGACGAGCGTATATTGATGGTTCTGTTTGAGCCAGAGGTGTCAGTCACAAGGCAGTTCGCGGTTGCCTCAGTAAAGGTAACGTCGGGATCTCTCACTGAATAGCACACGGTCCTGGATTCCACTTGCATGGCGACGGCTGACAAGGCTGGTCGTTCTTGACGTGGGAATTCGAGTTCACAACACCTGAGTCGTTGCAGTCTTTCCAGCGCTTGACAGACATTACGGTCCTTTTTGTGCTCATACATATAAATTACTTATCCCCATTGATGGCGAGCCTATGAGTATAGTGTGAGTATATCCCACTTGATATCTACCTATTTGGGGAACGGCTGACTTCCGATGGACATGTCTCCATAGCGTTGGAGAGATGGCTTCATGGATGGTCGTCATCTACAAGGGTCGCAGAGATGACTAAACACAACATGGCTTGCACCAAGGATTTGATGGGAATGACTTGATTGTTGACAATTTGGACGAGGAAATTGATGTTGATGGTCTAACTTGTGGTCTGATTCGGGACAGGAGTACGGAAGGTGTTAGTAAGTACTCGAGTAGCAAGTCGGTCTTGCCGAGCACCGAGGCTTCTCCACAAAACGAGGTTGCCGAGGTGCTGGCCATCAGTTTAGCTACTCGTAACTATTTACATGTGCCTGTCTGCCTTTTGTTTCTCCCAGAAGATCATCCAGACTCAGCATACCATCTGATATCACACGCTCACAAACATGGCCACCGAAAGACTAAGCTCAGTGCTCCGCCACATCACTCCTGGCAAGAGTCCCCTCGACACCATGTAAGAGCGACCCTTTGCCCCACCAAGAGTACCCCGTGGAGAAGACTGACCGTCTTTCGCCAACAGCACACAGAAGAACCCCGACGACATTGTCATTACTCTGGCCATCCGCACACCCCTCACCAAGGCTGGCAAGGGTGGCTTCAAGGACACTCATCTCGATGGTCTCGTCTTCAAGCTGCTCGAGCAGGTCGTGCAAGTAAGCCGCTCCCGAATGTACCCCTCTCACGAAAAGACAGGAGCTGACAGCGATGCAGAAATCAAGAATCGACCCTCAGATGGTAGAGGACATCTGCCTGGGCAATGTATCCGATGCCAAAGCCGCCTACTACGTCCGCGCCGCCTGTCTCGCTGCCGGCTTCCCCAACACCACCGCCGCATACTCGACCAACCGCTTCTGCAGCTCCGGTCTCAAGGCCACACAAGACATTGCCAACCAGATCATGGCCGGTGCCATCGAAATTGGTGTCGCCATCGGTGCCGAGTCCATGACCGACGGTGGTGATCGCCTTACCCGCCCCTTCGTCGACGAGATTGTCAACGCCAACCAAGACGCCGCAGACTGCCTGCAACCCATGGGTCAGACCTCCGAGAACGTTGGCAAGGACTTCAACATCTCGCGTCAAGAGCAGGACAAGTACGCTGCTGAATCATACCGCCGTGCCGAGGTCGCCCAAAAGGCCGGCTGGTTCGACGACGAAATCACTCCCATCACCGTCAAGGTCAAGGACCCCAAGACTGGCGAGGTCAAGGACGTCAAGTTGACCAGAGATGAGGGTCCCCGCTACGGCACCACCGCCGAAGCCCTCGGCAAGATTCGCCCTGCTTTCCCCGACTACGGCGACCGCAGCACCGGCGGAAACAGCTCTCAAGTCACTGACGGTGCCGCCGCCGTCCTCCTCATGAAGCGTTCAAAGGCCCTCGAACTTGGTCAACCCATCGTAGCCAAGTTTGTCGGTGCCACCGTCGCCGGTCTCGCCCCTAGAATCATGGGTATTGGTCCTTCAATCGCCATACCCAAGCTTCTCTCCAAGTACCAACTCTCCCTCGACGACATTGACGTTATCGAACTCAACGAGGCTTTCGCATCCATGGCCGTATACTGCCGTGACACACTCAAGATTGACTGGAGCAAGATGAACATCCGTGGTGGTGCCATCGCCCTTGGACATCCTCTCGGTGCCACAGGTGCGAGACAAATCGTTACCGGTCTCAGTGAGTGCAGGAGGCAGAAGAAGAAGATTTTGCTCACGAGTATGTGTATTGGTACCGGTATGGGTATGGCTGGCTTGTTCGTCAACGAGCAGCTGTAAATATTTGTTCTCTTTTCTTAGGATTTTCATGAAAGCGTATATGATTTTACTTCTTCCAATCTTGTGATCATCTGCCTTCAATCATCTAAATGGATGTGATGAATCGATGTCACTACGAGAGCCACCTCTAGCACGCGGCAGACATGAAATACGGGTCCATAAACGTTGACTCAAATTCCATGATCACTCCAAAACCCCGTCCCCCAACGGAGTAGAAGTCAGAAAATGTCCCATAGACTCCTATAGAGTGTGGCTGTTGATATCAAATTCGACACTTCGACGCAGACCTGTGAAACACAAGTGCACAAGACATGTACTTTCTGAAGCCCTGGTATCGTCTGTTTACATCTGAACCTTCATCACTATTCCTCAACAATACACTATAGATTCTTACGAAACACAAGAGAATACTCGGATTCGTGACGCTTCCGCTTGACCCCGATTTACTCAGAGACTTCCTCGTTTCGTTGGAGGAAAAGGGCGCGGAAGATGGTTTCATGTATCTTCTCAACACGTAGATAGACATTTGGCGAGGAAGGAAGGGGGATGTGGTATGAGGAGTGAGAGAAAACGGAGGACATCAAGTGTACACGCAATGGGGGTCACGATAAAAGGTGAAAAAAAGAATATAAAGGGGAAATCATCGATTGTGTTTTGTGTTAATTGACTGTTACTCGCTCTACTGAATTGCATAATTTTTCCGAACTCTTGTTTGTCTCTTGTCTCTTGTCTCTTGTCTCTTGTCCTCATCCGTTTGGCATTACCAAACTCTTTGGCGGTTTGATTGATCGGACAATCCTTGTGCTGCTGTTCCCCCCATCCCCTGTTACTATCTTGCAGTGATACAATCCTTCGGTTACAGTTCGCAATCAGACAGTCTCTTCCTTGATGCTCTTTCCAGCATCTGGCTTCTCTTCTTCGGTCGTGGCGATCTGACCCTTGGTCTGCTCGTCAACCTTCTCCTGACTTTGATCACGAGGCATGAGTTGACCGTCGAGATGAGTGGAGTGGTGCTGTTGAGGTTCGGTGAGTTGGTTGACGGCCGGCTGAGGAACCTGCTGAGAAACTGGCTGAGGAGCTTCCTGAGCATGGTCTTGAGCTTGAGGAGCAGATTTCTGTTGAGGGAGTTGCTGTTGGTCAGGAAGCCATGGACCGAACTTCTGAGGCGAAGGTAGCGGACGTGGTGCATGTGGACGAGGTGCAAGCTGTTGGACACCCAACTGCTGAGGGCTAGGTTGCTGAGGGCCAGATCGCTGGGGGTTGACTTGCTGAACAACAAGCTGTTGTCCAGCAAAGGTTTGAGGTTGGACGAAGCGCTGTTGAACACCAGATTGTTGGCCACCAGAGGCCTGGCGTTGGAGATTGGGTTGTTGACCTGTAGAGACCTGATGTGGGGCAAACTGTTGGCCGCCAGAGACTTGACGTTGGGGGCCGAGTTGTTGACCTGCAGAGACCTGGCGTTGGGCAGTCTGCTGAGGTTGCGGACCTCCAAGCTGCTGGACCTGGCTGGGGTGCTGAACGCTCATCTGCTGCATAGGACGAGAAGCAAATTGCAGGGCTCCCTGCTGCTGCAAGCCAGGTTGGTGTCCACCAGAGACTTGACGCTGGACTGGCTGCTGATACTGTTGACCGCCGACCTGCTGACTCTGGCCAGCTTGCTGAACACCCATCGGGTGCATTGGGTGAGGAGCAAACTGCTGGCAGGCCTGTTGCTGAGGATAAGGCTGTTGACCACCCTGACCTAGTCCGGGCTGAGAAGTAAGCATCAAGTGACCATGAACATATCCTCCAACTAATTGTTGCATCATCTGAGGTGAAAGCTGTTGCTGTAACTGCTGCTGTGCCAACCAATGAGCATGCTGGACACTGCCGATGTAGCCCTGACCATGTGCATTTGAGATCCAACGGCGTGTTTGCAGCTGTCTAATGAACTCGATCTCGGTAGTGTACATGTTGATGAGAAGTAGCTCGCTGGCGTTGTGATTGGTGAGTAGATCTTGCGTCAATTGGCGGATGCGAAGGAGCTCAGGCGGCATGTCATGATGCTGTTCAGGGAATGCAGAGTTCCTGCGGTAGAAGTCCTGGTCGGACGTACTCAATTGAAGAGGAGGAGGAATGACGTTCACAAGACGGCTATGAAGTTGACTGGGCATCTGTCTGGGCTGAGCGTTGATGGGAGGTCCTATGTTGTTGCGTCCCTGGGGCTGAGGTGGGCCATTGCTGGGCATCTGTTGAGGATTGCCGAGAGGTCTTTGAGCATTCACACTTGCTTGTACCTCTGCAGCGTTCCTGGCAACAACAAACGCACGTTGTTGTTCAGAAAGTCTGAGAACGTCAGTCATTGGTCTTTCGCATTGCTTGTCGTTTAGTTTACTCACACACTGTTGACCAGGGGACCATTTGTCACCGAACCAGCCTGAACCATGCCTTGTCGGACTTCAAGAGCCCGGGGCGGAGGTCCAGAGACCATTCTCCTGGTAACTGGAGGTGGAGGTCCAGCCGATGTCTCCTGTCTGGCACGCTTACGTGAAGATGGACCTGCTTTGGGTCCGATCGGCTTGAAAGAAGCTGCATGAGTGCTCAATGGAACCTTCTTGGGCATAGCGACAGCCTTAGCACGGAGTCGAAGAGGAGTTGGTGCAGACTTGGTATCCTTCTTGTCAGCGTTCACGAAGGGGTCCGAAGGTGCCCTCGAATGGACCATCAGGGGCTTGAGCTTCTTAGAGCCTTCTTCACTACTCTCACCCGATGTAGCCTTGACTTCCTCTTCAGAAGACTCGGCTTCGTCAGAATCCTCATCACTGTCGTCACTGTCGTCTTGCTCGACCTCTGCATGTTTGCGTTTCTTGGGGTTGATGGCCATATGGCTAGATATAGTCAGAAGAGGTGGTAGTGGATTGTGCTGGAAGAATTGTACTCACGGCATCGATCGAGGGCTCACTCTGACATCCAGTCCTTCGGAGCCAGTGTGTACGACTCTAACATGGTGACGAAGTTCCCATTGCAGCGTGTGAACCTTCTTAGCATCTTCTCCCTCACAATACCCGCAAAAGATCTCGCATTTGCAGAGGGTGAGTGTGCCGGCCTTTGGCCAGCGATGGTTGTGGCTCTCGTCTCTACAAGGCATATCGACAGTTGCGTGTCGTGGTTCAAGTAATCGTTGAGGTTGAAAAGAGATGGTTGTTGAAGGTGGGAATTTGAAAAGTCTTCACCAGATTTATATGTGATAGTCGACACTGCGTGAAAGTGAGATCTCGGACCGTCGACCAGCTTATTCCGGAAGGCATCGAAGAGACTTGTGATAGTCTCTCACTTCGAATGGGCCATGGTATGGACCGGTCTAGTCCAGCTCGAGGAATCATGTATCAAAGGAATTCCTCCCCATCTCGGTTAATACATTGTATGCAATTGTGCAGCCAACCCTATCGAATGATATTTCGTTCTACTACCACTGTTCACTATTTCTCCCGTCGATCGAAGACTGACTTCGGCATGGATTCGACTCTCACATGACGGCCACGATAGATCACGCTCTGGCCTCGGCGAGCGGATATGTTCATGTTGAAGTGTCTTGCGTAGAGACTAGCAAAGAGCTTGCAACAGGCAAGACAGTCGAGCTCGACACTGAACGTGATCCACTACCAATGATTAACTTTGACAACAAGCGTGAAGACAAAGTCAAGCTTTGGAAGTTTACCTGCCGTTGGATCGACCACATGGTCAGTCATTGTTGTGGCCCCGAAGTCGAGAGGACTGATCTTGCCCTTCAGCTAGCGATCACGACATCTGATGGAATCTGATATGAGCAGACATTGCGAAAGGTGGTAGTGACATGCCACAGATGCCACACGTCTCGGCCTCTTCCTCTCCATCCTCGTCCACCCAGCCGCTGTTCTCATTGTCAACGGCTGTGTAGCCGGCGAAAGACTGCTCATCGGTGATGGTCTGCTGCCCCCGTAATTTGACCTTCAAAGTTGCTTCTGGCGAAGGCTCCGTCTCCTCCTGATCGTAGACGCGGAATTCTTTATGAACACTCTCTTGACGTTTGAACATACTGCCGATGTCTCGACCATTCGCAGTTCTGCTTTCGCCGCCTGTTTCGGCCATATTCGTTACAGCAACATTGACTAGACTCAGGTTCCAGCCTGCCTTCTCGGGATGAAGTTTCCGGAACATTCCTATCACCGTTTCGTGGACGAGCTTTTCAGCAATGGAATTGACGGAGTCTGTCAAAGAGAAGACGAAACTGGGAAGAGGTGCCGAATGGGAGATGCGCTTAAAGCTTCGTGAGCGAGTGCCGTCGGGGTTCAGAGGAAGACGAGGTCTGGTGGACAGACGGATCGTCTTGGGATGCGCAAGCCATCTACCCAATGGTCTAGCTTTCGTATTCTCTTGCTGTATCGCCAGCTCTCCGTTGACTTTTGCAGGGATGTCTGTGGCTTTGTCAGACCGAGCAGACTGATCCAGATCATCATCGTCTTCGGTGACAAGGTCGATGCGCATACGCTCAATGAGACTGCAGCCTAGCATCTTGAGCTCTTTCAACACTTCCGGTAGAGTATCAAGGCGAATGTAGCTATCCTCAATGCTAATTTGACTGGGTACAGCTTTCGCGAAGTTCACCTCTGTGTCATCGATGCCATGTAAGAGCAACCATATCTTGATGCCAATGCCGTGAGGAGAGCCAGGACCGGACAGAAGTTTCTCTATTGCCTCTGCACTCATGGTTGGAGCAAGACGGAAATCCTTCACGGTGACCTTCTCCTTCGTCTCTCCATAGATGAGGCCTTTCTCAAAGTCTGGTTCATGCTGTAGAACGTGCTGACGCAACTTTTGAGCAAGCTTAGAACCGATACCAGGGATCTTGCCAATCTCGTAGTCATCGATGAATGCTTCAACGTTGCCTACCTGTTCATCTGCACAAACATATGGAGGTATGAGAGTTGTTTGGCTTCTTGGCTTGTGCATGTTGCCAACCAACTTGGAGAGTAGCTTTGATGTTGAGATGCCGACAGTCGATGTATAACCCGTTCGGTTTTCTAGCTCATTGCGAATGTGCGACGCGAGATGAGAACCGAGTTTTAGTCGCAGAGTTAGGGCATCATAGCCAGTGGACAGATGTTCAGGTAATGTAGGACCTGCGTAGCAGGTAGCATCGAAAGCAAATCCTTGGGTAGGATCGTCCTTGTCCAAGATGAAAAACGAATTGACCAAGTCATGCGGGTTCAACAAAGAAATGTTGTACCCAATCATATCAGTAACATCCAACCATACCTATTCGTCCATCAGTAAAGACTAGTATGATGACGGTACAAGTAATTACCTCATCAAAGCCGAGTCTCTCTGCTCTGTCATTCCAAGAAAAGCCACGGAGGAATCGATACAGCTTCTTGCTTGCATCTCGAAAACGACTAATGTCTTCTCCAAGCACAATGACGACGTCTGGGCAGACTTGTTTGGCCTCCTTGATGAGCTGAAGTTTGCGTAAACCCCTTCGACGTGCTTCGTAATTGCATGTTACGATGATCTGCTTTTGCTGTACAGCTAATGGTTTGTCCTTTAGACTAGGATCCTCAGCCTCGAAAACAGAAGCATAAAAACAATCGTCTAGCAATGCAGCGTCAGCATTCTGCATGTCGTTTTTTCCCACTTTATGCAGGAGGTACACCTACAGTCGAAATGCAGTATCACTCTGTCATCTTTTCGGGCGGGCAAAACTCGTTGTTTGGCAGGCAACATGGTTCCATCTCGCCTTCCTTACAGCATCATCAATATTTGTCACATGGAAACATGAAGGAAGCTTGTTCCATGCTTCGATCCTTCGACGCGGAGACACACTGCCAAGCCAGGGCTAACAACGCGTTCTTTCGGGAATTGATACCGAGCATTTCGTGTTTTCTTAACGACTGTGCAATGGAAGCAGTCAATAGGATGGTAACCATCAGAGGATGTGGAGGTGTTGAGATTACGGACAATCTCCAATAGAAGAACGAACGGATTTAAGTTTCCAGCGGACACTCTGCGATACCTTAACGGATATAGTTGTGCATCTTTACAGCTAGTTTCTCTTTGAGAGTACTCGAGTAGTTTCCGTGCGCTGCATAAGAATCACTGTGCGTTTGATAGCATATCTTTCGTCTCCCCCGCTCGCGGCTCCATCCCATCTTTTTCGACCGAGTCATCCGGAGACCGAACCAGTCTAGACTCTAGAATGAGCTGCGCGACCAGGTCGTCTTGTTATGTTACAGCTGTCTGTACAGGCGTTGAGCCGACAGTAAGCACTTAGGCATCGCAGACTGTGAGGGTGTGCAGGAACAAGCAGAGATCACCAACCAGGTAAATGCGCCGCTAATTTGCCAGTGCGTGTGATGCCCGTTTCTTTAAACTCTCGGGGCACTTCTATTAGCGCTTCCACGCCACGGTCGAGTGCCCGTTTCCTTGCGCGCAATACTTCTATGCGTCTGTTCCTCTCTCACTGATTACCCCAGTCTCGTCCCTTCTTCAACTCTGACCTCACCGTCATCAATCTAGTCATTCATTCATCCTGTCGCTCTCTCTATCTTCCCAGGCTCCATGTACCTTACGTGCCGCATTGCTCGCTGATGACGTGACAGTCATGGCTGAGGCGCCCAACAAGTAGGATTCCGCGGCCAATAGTCCGCTAAAACTGCAGCTGAGACTCGTCAAAGAACAGAACATATTATGCAAAATTCCAACGATGCCATCGAAGTCGGGGCCAAACCTACGGACAAGATGGAGCGGTACGATCCAACGAGCCTATTACACTAAACATCATTGCTGAGTCCGGTACAGCCGTATGTCTGCCTCCCTACGCGAACGGCGGGGCTCCGGATCAACGGGTTCGGAAGCAGATGCAGATGTTGTCCTTGACAGAGCACGAGCTGCTATTGAAGAAGAGCATTCCATGACATTATGGTCAGCCGTGAAATCATATCCGAAAGCCATAGGCTGGTCCGTCTTGGCTTCAACATGTATCGTTATGGAAGGTTATGACTTGGTGGTCAGTCTGAACTTTGGAAGACAAATGTCTCTGACCATTGAGCTGACATTTCCCAGGTCATCTTTAGCTTCTTCGCCTTTCCAGCTTTCTCAAAAAAGTATGGCCATCTGACTGAAGACGGAAGTTATCAGGTCACTGCAGCCTGGCAGACAGGACTAACCAACGGCACTTGTATCGGTGAGATGATTGGTCTAGCCTTGACTGGTATATTCGCAGATAAATATGGTCAGCGTTGGACAATTATTGGCGCTTTGGGTCTGGTGGTGGGTACATATTGTCGTGCTTGAAGCTGACGTTGCTGATTTGACTCTAGACGTGCTTCATCTTCATCACTTTCTTCTCTCCAAACATCCGGATTCTTTTGGTCGGCCAAATCCTATGCGGCATTCCTTGGGGTGTCTTCCAAACGATCACCCCCTCATATGCTGCCGAGGTGGTTCCAACGGAGCTCAGACCATATCTCACTTGCTATGTGAACTTGTGTTGGGTGAGTAGCAAGGAAGTCAAGGTTTAAATTACGTTACTGACTTTATACAGGTGATGGGCCAGATAATAGGCTCTGGAGTTCTTCGAGCATTGGTCGATCGAACGGACCAGTGGGGATACAGAATCCCCTACGCCTTGCAATGGATATGGCCAATCCCCCTCGCCGTCGCCATGTTCCTCGCACCTGAAAGTCCTTGGTGGTTAGTGCGACAAGGCCGCATCCAGGACGCAGAAACATCGGTGAATCGCTTGATGAGCAGGCAAGGGCAAGAGGCTTTCGACAGTCAGAAAGCAGTGGCAGCCATGATTCACACAAACGAGATGGAGAAACAAGTCACGCTGGGCACTTCATACCGGGACTGCTTTAGGGGCATTGAACTTCGCCGCACGGAGATTTGTTGCATGGTCTGGATGATACAAATTCTGTGTGGCGGAGGCATCATGGCATTCTCGTCGTACTTTTTCGAACGCGCTGGACTGAACACGGCATACTCTTTCGACCTCACAATGGCGCAATACGGTCTAGGCGCCGTAGGAGTCTTCATCGCTTGGGCACTGCTACCTTGGGTTGGAAGGCGCAAACTCTTCATCATAGGACAGGTCATGATGATGGTCCTTCTCCTCATTATTGGATTCATCGGCATCGCACCCAAGAACCAACCATCTTCGTGGGCGGTAGGTGCTCTCCTCCTGCTTTATGTGTTCGTCTACGACATCACGGTCGGACCGCTCACTTACTCATTTGTCTCTGAGATATCATCGACCAGGTTACGGCAGAAGACAATGGTCCTGGCACGTAATGCTTACCTTGTGGCCAATATCATTAACAACGTATTAACACCACACATGCTCAACCCAACAGCATGGAACTGGGGCCCAAAGACAGGACTGTTCTGGGCAGGTAGTTGTTTCCTAACAACAGTTTGGGCATACTACAGGCTCCCCGAGCCCAAGGGCCGAACATATGCAGAACTGGACGACTTGTTTGAGCGCAACATCCCAGCTCGGCAATTTGCTACCACAGTCGCAAATCCTTTCGACAATGGGCGGCGGCATGGATCACTGGATCAAGCATCGAGAAGGCAAGAGGAGCGAAAGGTGGAAAGTAATTGAGGCTAAGACCTCGGCTGTATATTTAATGACACGATTACGAATCTGGTATGAGCATACTATGGAATTTGGACAATCTCGATTCGCTGTAGCAAGTTGAACAGGTCTTGAAGAGCCGCATGGTTCGGTGTCCGAGGACCAATCTATCGTGTGAGTTCCTCGCAAGCATAACCCAATTGGGAAACGGGTTTCGCGTGGAAGGCGGAGGCAGACCCTGTATGACGATGAGTGGGGGAAACAGAGACAAAGGGTCGCGAGCAAACCATGTGTTATTAATCCTGGCCATTTCCCATCGATATGACTTCCTGACTAACCGACAATAAGTTCGCCGCAGTTATGGCTCCTGGAATCACTACCGTGTTGGACGTCCGCACACCTGCTGCGAGACGGCAGCTCGCTAAGACGACTGTGGATTTGTATGCTCCGCCTGAAGCCTGAGAGTACATCAATGTACTGACCATTACGATAACCCAGATTCCGCAATCTTCTCTTCCTCCTGTTCATAGTCCGCTACTCCCGAGTCGCTCTGACTCATCTCTACGGCTATGGACCCATCGCCAGTGCAAAGATGGGCTACGCCGCCCTCCGCAAGTCACTCTATCGCATATTCCTGAGTCTCCCAGGCGTGCGAGGCAAAGTCCAAGCCGAGATCAAACAAACACTGGAAGAGCTGGAGAAGAAACTCGTGCCCTCTGGCCCCGGTATCACGAGATACACTGCTCTACCTGCCTCAGGATGGGGTCCTGAACAAGTCCGCGCCGAGCTGGAGAAGTTGCATGAGATGAAGCACACACGCTGGGAAGACGGTAGAGTCTCTGGTGCCGTATACCACGGCGGCAAAGAGTTGCAAGACCTCCAAATGGAGGCCTTTGGTCGTTTCGGTGTCGCAAACCCCATCCACCCGGATGTCTTCCCTGGTGTCCGAAAGATGGAGGCGGAAGTTGTGGCAATGGTCTTGGGCATGTTCAATGCCCCCGCCGATGCAGCAGGAGTATCGACCTCTGGTGGTTCTGAATCCATCATCATGGCTGTCCTCAGCGCAAGAGAAAAGGCCCGCATCGAACGCCGTGTTACGAAGCCTGAGATCATCCTACCGGAAACAGCACATACCGCCTTCCGCAAGGCAGCCGCTTACTTCAAGATCACCGTACACTATGTGCCTTGCCCAGGTCCCACCTACAAGGCTTCTTTGTCACATGTCTCGCGTCTCATCAACAGCAATACCATCCTCCTCGTTGGTAGCGCTCCCAACTTCCCCCATGGCATCATCGACGATATTCCCGGTCTCTCCCGTCTTGCACTCCGTCGCAACATCCCCCTCCATGTGGACTGCTGTCTCGGCTCTTTCCTGGTTCCCTTCCTCGAGCGCGCAGGCTACGACACCGAACCCTTTGACTTCCGTGTGAAGGGTGTCACCTCCATCTCTTGCGATACACACAAGTACGGCTTCGCTCCCAAAGGCAACTCCACCCTTTTGTACCGTTCTGCCGCCTTACGCAAATACCAATACTTCATTTCTCCGGACTGGAGTGGAGGCGTTTATGCTTCTCCCGGTATCGCTGGCAGCAGACCTGGTGCATTGATCGCGGGCTGTTGGGCCAGCATGATGAGCGTAGGAGAAGCCGGATACATCACTTCTTGCCACCAAATCGTCGGCGCAGCCAAGAAAATGGCAGAAGGTCTCCGCTCCCGCGATACCCTACGAAACGACTTGCGCATTTTGGGTAAACCTCTTGTATCGGTCGTCGCGTTTACCTCGGACACATTGGATATCTACAACATCGCCGACGCCATGAGTGGCAAAGGATGGCATTTGAACGCGCTGCAATCACCTGCTGCCATTCATGTTGCCGTCACCCTCCCTATCGTCCCTGTTGTTGATGAATTACTCAACGACTTGGAAGCCTGTGTCGAAGAGGAAAGAGAAAAACAACGACAAGCTGTTGTCGAAGGAAAACCTAAAGCGAAAAAGGGCGATGCGGCTGCTTTATACGGCGTCGCTGGAGCCCTTCCTGATAAAACCATCGTTGAAGATTTGGCCGCTGGGTTCTTGGATTGTTTGTACAAAGCATGAGTGTTTTTTTTTTTTCCTTCTTCTTTCTGGCAAAGATGTCTTTCATTGCTCTGTGTTTTACAATCCTTTTACTTTGCATTCATTGATGACATTTGGGGGTTGGGTATAAAGTCCACATCTTTCTGTGTGTTACTCTTCTTCTTTTGCAAAACGAGTTCTACAATGATTGACAATTCTGACCTGTCGCTGCCACATCATTGCATGTGTGATTTTGTGCTCCCATTTATCGCCGCGATACGTCGATACGCGAACCGGGTCGTCGACGACTCTTGTCCCCCATGATCGCTCGTGGGTCGTACACTTTACACGGCGCAGAGCATGACGGGATGCATAGTACTGTCCACAGTCTACAGCTCTAGTAAGCAAAACCACTTACCAACTTCTGGCAGCGGTAACAATGCACAATGTAATTCGGATCCGAAAGGCTTGCCAGAGAGAGCAAGCTACTTCCAAGACTCTCAGCGGACAAAGCTGCCAGTTTGAAAAATCATTTTTGCATTTTTACAGAGAGGTTTGATGATATGCAGTAGACCTGGGACATGCGATAAAGGGCATGAATTGCAGAATTGCACACACAAAAAATGATTACAAGTATAAAACAAAAAATGTCAGCTCCGATATCTCATAACCTCATACTCATAGAGATAGAGCTCCTGCATAGCAGACGAGCTCCGAGTAAAAAGAGGCAAAGGCGGATAAAGGAAAGCTACAATCCATGTCGCTCGTCGGAAGTGCCAACAAACGACCGGGGTTTTTCTCGGGCAGAGAATTGATACGCATTTGAGTTATAGTGAATTAACTTGTGCGCCGTCCTGATAGCTGCCCTGATGTGTGGAGAGGAGATAGAGTGTGTAGAAGGAAGAGAGAACGGTAAAGAATTAGACAAACCATCGAATCTGTGAGGCTTGTATGCAGCCCATCTACATTACGGGCATAGCTTTGAAGATGCTACGTCGGAACAGACGAGGCTCGAAATAGCTCGAGGGTCAGTAAAAAAACGGAGCAATGAGATTATTTCCTCAATAATGGATGCTATCGACAGTAGAGGAGACGTTTTGCTGCCCAAAATGCCAAAGCTGAATTGATTCGTCACGCATGAGCGAGCATTTACTCGTCCAGTCTGGCGGGGAAGGTGCCGTTCTCTGCAATGGATAATGAGCGACATACTCTTGGAATACGCATGTTGTGGAGCGATTGGAGACTCACCGCGCTGGTCGTCCCATCTTGTGGCCCACGAGCTGGGGCAGAGAGATCTGTAGGCGAGGAAGAACTGTGTGTGCATCAGACAAGTGTTGCTTGACGGTTGTCGGTGGATGGGAAGACAGTTGTACCTGACGGCAAGGCTTGAAGTCCTCACCCTTGGCGAGGATGCACTTGTGGTAGTCGACGTAGTTCTGCCAGCAGTGCTTGGTCTGGTTCTGGTTGGGGAAGCGCGCATCGAAGCCTGTGGTGGCGTGTCAATTGGGTGTACGCGGAAGGTGAGTATGCTCGGCGGAACAGGGTATAGGTGAAAGTTCATGGAAGAGGTGCGGGATGTGTGGTGGTGGCGGCGGCGGCGCATGGTATAGGGAAAGACGTACCCGCTACAATCACGTCAGTCAGCATTGGAATCATTGATCGGGAGGTCAGGGCGGGAACATACCAGTCACGAACTTGAAGGGCATGGTAACTCTGTCCTCATCGTCGGCCATTTTTGCGGTGATTTGATTAAAGTGAGGGGATAATTGAGGGGAGATGGTATGTAGGAGTGCGTGAGCTTGTCGCGGGCAAGCAGAAGTCGTTGTCATTCGTCTTTGGTCGTACCTGACAGTCTTGGCATGTTCGAGTGCGACGCGGCGTCTGATTGGCTGCTCGGCCCCGACTTCAGTTTGCTTCCGCCAGATTGAAGCTCTGCTGACCTCACGCGGTGCTATATTCAATCCTCCTCTTTTGTCCCCATAGCCCAATCCAGCATGATCTCGAGTCGTGTCTTTGCCTCCGCCCTGCGCGCCCAGGCTCCTGCTCTGCAGGCAGTCAAGGCCCGTCCCGCCGCCCGTATCTTCCAGCAGACCCGCGGCCTCAAGAACACCCCCAAGTTGAGAGAGCCCGTCCCCGTACGTTGGCCCATATGCACTACCTCTTATCTCGTACCAATTGAATGCTGACAACCCAATGTAGAAGGAGGAGCACAGCGGTATGCGACAACCCCACCAACACTCGACCCCATAAACATTCCTCTAACAACAATGCCCTGTACAGCACACACCATCTCCCAGCGTATCCGTACCCTGAGAAAGATTCCCCCAGAGTTGATCCCCATTGGTACGTTTTGTCTTAACCACTTCTTCCATTCCGAAACTAACAACTCTCAGGTGTCGTCCTTGCGTAAGTCCACGAACTCTCTATATCCAGACCTCGATCAGTCAATTAACACCTCGACAGCGTCGCCATCGGCTTCGCCGGCTACTCGCTCATCCGCAAGCTCTTTACCGACGGTACCCTCCGCCTGTACAGATCCAGAGGCCACAACCAGGCTTCTTCTCCTTCCGACACCAAGCCCTCCCACTAGATTGACAAGAGAAGCAATGCATTTTTGAAAAATATCATATCGCAGAGTCTATCAGTGCGCCAGATTGTGTATGCAGTCTACTTGTAGTCACCAAAAATGCCATATGGGCGGAACATGCTTTTTTTATTCTACGAGCATTCACGCTTGCTACGCGCTATACCCCCGTTCTATACATATCATGGCGTTTCGAAAGCGACAATCTATCTCTGGATCATCGCATTTCCCACAACTGTTTCCCGGTCAAATTACGCGAATGAGGCTTTTCGTGCTTGCACACGAGATGACATCTCGTGGTAAAACTTGAACTGTAGAGAAAACACTCAAGCTTGCAGACTTTAGCTTGGACTTCGAATCAATCTTGTCAGGTAATGACATGTCTTGCAGCGACCTTTTGTTGACGGAGACGGGTCGCTCCGTGTTTACCTGGCCATCAATGTCGTCCAGAGCGAACCCGATATTCCGACGAAACATAAATGGTTCTGGAACAGTACAAGAATGATCGGAATTTTATTCTAAAGGAATATTTTGAGCGCCCGTTACTGCAGAGCTGTCTTGCAATGCAATTAATCTTCTGTGATGAAAAAAATCTCCAGTGCCCAATTATCGTTACATGCCATGAACGCCTCGCTGTGAATGCAATAGGGACGAATACAAGACTTTTAGGCTTGCTGAGGACCGGCGACATCAAGACCTTCCAATCCTTGCATAGGATCCATTGGGCCATCTTGACCGTCTTCGTCTCCTTGAGCAGCCATACGGTCCTCATCACTGACCGCGTGCTTTGCAAGATATCCTTCCTGTACATTGGTCAGCACATGTCGTGTAAGAAATATTTGATCAAAAGACGAACCTGTTCCCAGATAGCAGTTTTGCTTCCGAGGCCTTCTCCTTCGGCCTTTTGCTCCTTGGCTAGGTTGACCTTGATCACACGACCGAAAAGTTCGCTCTGGTCCATGTTGTCTATAGACTCCTGGGCATCCTGGGGGCTCTCAAACTCAACATATCCAAAGCCGCGGTGAGGTTCGGGATTTGATGGTAGCTCCGGCTTGGGTAGTGAAATATTGACGATGGGACCAAATGGAATGAAGGCGTTGTGTAGAGTATGGCTGTCGACAGCAGAGGTCAAACCTCCGACGAACACGGTAGCTTTCGGTCTTGGTGCGTCAGACATGATTTGAGATTGTTCAGATTGTATAGACAGGCAGCAAGATAGTTTTGGTGATATGCAAAAGAGAGCAGAGTGGGTCTTTGATGCCAAGACCAGGCTGCGATCTGCCCCAGATTGAGGCGGGAGGCCAGGTGTGACGAAGGGCAAGTCGAAGCTCCCTTGTAACGCTGGTCAATAATTATCCCATACATAACCCCTTTCCGCCAATCCCACCGCAGTTTCCTTTTGTTTGCTTCATGCTTGGACAGAACTAAGCGTGCTGCTGACAAAGACCCAACAATGGTTCGATTGCGCGAGATTCCTCGCACTGCGGCCTTCGCATGGTCGCCCGGCTCAGCACCGCCATTGCTCGCTACCGGAACCCGCGCCGGTGCCGTCGACGACGACTTTTCCAACGATACTAACCTCGAGCTATGGGATTTGCAATTAGATCAGGTTGATGCTGATGAGCTGTCGCCCGTAGGCAGCATCTCTACCGACTCGAGGTGAGTACCCCACAACTTGACACGGTATAGCTCTGACGCAGTGCCAGGTTCTACGACATTGCATGGAGCCAACCTACCGCCGATCGCTCTCGTGGTATCATTGCTGGCGCCCTCGAAAATGGATCTCTCGACCTCTGGGATGCCGAGAAGCTCCGTTCTAGCCCTTCCGACTCGTTCATGTCTAGGACCACGAAGCACTCTGGAGCCATCAAGACTGTTCAGTTCAACCACTCGAAGCACGATCTACTCGCGACTGCCGGTGCTAAGGGTGAGCTTTTCATCTACGATTTGAACAACATCGCAAACCCCTTCAGATTGGGTGGAGGTGCCGCAAGAGCAGACGATTTTGAGTGTCTGGACTGGAACAAGGGCTCGAAAGTCCCTCATATTCTGGCTACCGGTTCAAGCGGCGGCTTCGTCACTATCTGGGATGTTAGACAAAAGAAGGAAAACCTTACACTCAACAACTACGGTCGCAAGCCAGTCAGCGCTGTTGCATGGGACCCCGACGTTGCGACCAAGCTCATGACAGCAATTCCCAACGATCAGGATCCTCTGATTCTCATGTGGGATTTGCGCAACTCTAGCGCGCCCGAGCGTGTTCTCCGCGGCCACGAGCTCGGTGTTCTTTCTCTGTCTTGGTGTCTGCAAGACTCGAGCCTGCTGCTTTCTTGCGGCAAGGACAACCGCACTGTTGCATGGAACCCTCACACCGGTGAGTCATACGGTGACTTCCCTGTAGTCACCAACTGGACCTTCCAGACCCGTTGGAACCCTCACAACCCCGGTCTGCTCGCCACTGCCTCCTTCGATGGCAAGATTACCGTCCAGACCATTCAGAACACAAACTCCAAGGACGACGAGAAGAAGACTGCTCAGCAAGCGCTGGAAGGAGAGGATTTCTTCAACCAGGTTCAGACACAACCTCAGCATGTTTCATTCTCCCTGCCCAAGGCTCCCAAGTGGATGGAGCGTCCCGCTGGTGTATCTTTCGGTTTTGGAGGAAAGCTTGTCAGACTTGCTACCGACTCCGCGTCGAGAAAGTCAACTGTCAGCATTGAAACCTTCGCCGTTGACTCTGCAGTCACCGAAGCCTCTCAAAAGTTCGAAGAATCCTTGAAGGGAGGTGATCTGGCCAGCATCTGCGAATCCAAAATTTCCGCAGCGACCGACGAGGAAGAGAAGGCTGACTGGCAGGTCATCGAGACGTTGAATGCTGGAAGGTCGAGAAAGAAGCTTAGAGAATATCTGGGCTTTACCGATGAGGCCGAGGTTAGCCAGAAGACGGCTGACCTTAACATCAACGGCGATGTTGAGAAGCCCAAGGAAGAGGACGACAGCAACTTCTTCGGCAGCGAAACCGCTGATGGAGAAGATGGCGATAACTTCCTGGCCGACCTTGCAGCGACCAAGGGTGCCAAGACCAACCAGCCTTTCCACATCTTCAGTGGTGAAGAGACAGATGCAGACAAGAACATCACCCGTGCTCTCATGCTCGGTAACTTCGAGTCTGCTCTTGATGTCTGTTTGAAGGACGGCCGCATGTCCGATGCTTTCATGATTGCTATTTGTGGCGGCCAGAAGTGCATGGATAAGGTGCAAACAGCTTACTTGAAGCAAAAGGCCAAGGGACCTAATTACCTACGCCTTCTGGCCTCGATTGTTGGCAAGAACTTGTGGGACGTCGTCCACAATGCTGATCTGTCCAACTGGAAGGAGGTCATGGCGACCTTGTGCACCTTTGCCGACGAGACTGAGTTCTCCGACTTATGCGAGGCCCTGGGTGACCGCCTTGAGGAGTCTCTCGCAGATGCTACCGACAAGGGCTCCCTGAGAAGAGATGCATCATTCTGTTTCCTTGCTGGATCTAAGCTCGAGAAGGTCGTTACAATTTGGGCCCAGGAGCTGCAAGAGAAGGAGAGCGCCGGCTTGGAAGCCGCTGACGGCGAGACTAGCTTCTCTGTCCACGCCAGATCTTTGCAAGACTTTATCGAGAAGGTCACTGTCTTCCGCCAGGTTGTCAGCTTCCAGGATTCTGACAAGCAGGCAACCGAGAACTGGAAACTTGCTCCTCTTTATTCCAAGTACACCGAGTATGCCGATATCTTGGCCAGTCATGGCCAACTGCAAGTTGCTGAGAAGTATCTCGACCTGCTACCTTCCAAGTTCCCTGCAGCAGAGGTTGCTCAGCAAAGAGTCAAGCTTGCCAACAGAAGCAAGCCCGTGGCTCCTCAAGTCCAAAGACAGCCAGCGGCTGCAACGCGTGTTTCCGCCCCCATGGCGCCTTACTCTGCTGCTCCCACCCCTGCACCCATGGCTGCTGCAAACGCTTACGCTCCCAGCGGTGGCATCATGTCGACGCCTGCACCTGCTGGTATTCCAAACGCTTACGCTCCTCCTGGCGCTGTCCAGCCTGCTGCTGCATCAAACCCATATGCACCTCCTACGCAAGCGTACGCCCCCATGGGATACCAACCCCAGCAGAATTCTGCGTACGGTCAACCAGGACCTTATGGCGCGTCTGCTGCTCCCATGGCGCCTCCTCGCGGTGTGACTCCTAGCGCTCTCCCCCCACCCCCAAAGAAGGGTGAGACACAACAATGGAATGACCTTCCTGAAGGCTTCACTAAGCCGGTCCAACCTGCAAGAAGGAACACACCTGGATTGGCCGCCGTGTCTTCTCCCTTCCCCAACGCTCCTAGTGTCATGTCTCCCCCGCCGCCAGGTAGCGCATACGGCCAACAGCCTGCTCCTGCCGCCTTGCCTCCACCACCTAAGGCTGGACAGATGCCTTCTCGGGTGATGTCTCCCCTCTCAGGGCCTCCCCAGATTCAGCGACCTATGTCGGCTGCATCAAATGCATACATGCCGCAGCCCTCTGCACAGCAGTCGCCTGCTTCGACATTGCCCCCGCCGCCACAAGCACCTCCCCTCGGCCGTGGCCCGTCTCCATACAACCCTCCTCCTACCACGACCGCATCTGGCCCACCTTCCAATCGTTACGCACCGGCGCCCGGATCTCAACCTACACCCGCCGTCGGTGGCCTCCCCCCACCACGTAACGTTGCTCCTCCGCCCAACCCATACGGCTCTGCAGCTCCTTCACCTTACGCGCCGGCAGCTTCGGCATATGCACCGAGGGCACCAGCAGCGCCCTACGCACAAGCACCCGCGCCGTCGCAGCCCCCCACACCTCAGGCTATTCCACCACCGCCACAAGGACCACCTCGTGGACCCCCGCAGGGCCCACCTAGAGCTGCACCTCCACCTCAAGCCACACCTGCTCAGGCCACCCCTCCCCCATCAGCCGCCCCTCAACAGATGCCTTCGCGACCCAGCACTGCGCAATCTCAGAGATCCGCCCCTGCAGCCGCCAAGTATCGTAAGTCATTTTCCACGCACCTATCTCAATCTATGAATGCTAACATATCAACAACAGCCCCTGGCGACCGCACCCACATTCCCAGCAACGCAATGCCTGTCTATGAAATCTTGTCCTCAGACATGGCACGCGTGAAATCCCGCGCACCTGCATCGTTTGCTGCTCAAGTCAACGACACAGAAAAGCGCCTCAACATTCTTTTCGACCACCTCAACAACGAGACTTTGATCAAGCCTGATACCATTGCACAATTGGCCGACATTGCCCAAGCACTACAAGCCAGAGACTTTGATCGCGCCGGATCTATCTTGACAGAGGTTATGAAAATCAAGCTTGAGTCTGAAGGTGCTCATTGGATGGTCGGCGTCAAGAGATTGGTTGCCATGAGTAAAGCTACTCCCGCTTAAAAACATTGAGCGTTAAGAATAGGATTAGTAGAGTTGGAAGGGAGGAAGAGGTGGAAGAGGTAGAGGTGTTGTCATCATCATCATCAGTCTTTTAGTATCTTTTTGCCATGAACATGTTCTCTTTTCTGTATCATCTCTTGCTTCCTACTCCCACCGCGTCTTGCGACTCGATACCTGTCGTACTGCCTTTTTCTACTCCTCTCCCTCTGGACGCCTAATCGATTCTCAAATCTATCGTGTATTGCAACAGTAGTATTGACGGACTGCAATGAGGTTTGGAGTGAAAGTCGGACATGTGTTCGTCATCACTATTTGATGTCTACCTTTACCATCACTACTACCTATCGTCTACCATCATCACTGATCTGATGGGTCTTTCGGTTTTTTGAGCATGTTGTTTACCATGGCTGCTTTATGATCGTGGACCTCGGATTACTGACTATATAGACGTTTGCTCCCGAAGCTCGACTTGCCTGTCATCTCATTACGAATCCAAGAAACCTTTAAGTTTGGAGGACCTTTGGAAGAAATCTTGGAGATGATCGGCTCACCTTCTTATCGCGCAATTCTGCCATAGACTGGGCATGAAAATTGATGTTAGAAGGATTGCTTTTTTACTGTGATGAAGAAGAATAAGGAACGCTTGGATAGGTCATGGCAGGTTGTTGAATATTTCTGGTGGTATATGATATGGTTTATGAATGGATTTGGCAGTATTGCTGCATCCTGTTATATTGTTGATATTCGAAACATGGTTCTAGGGTTTCTTTGCACATGTTTCTTTGAGGAAGTTAAAGGATGTTTTTTTGAGGCTGTGAGAAAATTTCGACCCTTTGAAGGCTTTTTTGGATTTCTAGATCTCTAAAAACGGCTTGATATGGACTTGTATATCAGAGGCGGCGTAGGTGCGAACGGAGGGTCTCGTACATCTTCGGAGTTTAGGCTTGGCTGAGGAGTCAGAAGTCAGCCATATACAATCCAGCAATGATTCCTATGGTAGGTTCCCCAAAGAAAACAATATCCAAATACGAGACCAAGAGTTAAACTGTACAAACCTCTTGGTGTCCAATCAATTCTATACATCAATACAATAACCAAATGCCGCCTTTGCATCATGCTCTTTTACTTTTTCATACTCTCATTCATTCCTCATAATTTTTCCTTCCTTCAAGCAGCGACTCACGTAGTGTTTGCTCTTCCCTCCTCAACACTACCTCCATCCTCCCTCAAACTATCCTCTCGCTCTTGCGCCTCGGCCAATGCAAGCGCATGCTCAACTCCACGTACGAAATGACTTTCGCCACCACAAACCTCCACAATCCCACTGGCCACCATAAGTTTCCAAACCTGACTCCTTCGACTGGGTACCCTGCAGAAGAAAACCCTAGTCCCACGTTCGCGATATCCAGTCACGATTTCCAACAGCACTTGCGAGGCAGCAGGGTCCAGAGAAGTCACGCCGTGGATATCAAACACGACATTACGGTTATGTTGATCGTGTCTGACGCGTGGGAGGGCAGGGTGAGCGGCAGAAGTACCATGGTTTTCCAACCTCCTCAGGCGATCTTTGAGACTTCCCGTGTTTGCAAAGGTAAGCGGTTCCGGAATCCTCACAATAAGCACATGGGGTACGAATTCCAAGCCTCCATGTTCAGCAGAGTCGAATTGGTTTTGTGTACCGGGAACACGGCCTAGGATTTGGATGCGTGGACGAGTGGCGTGTTTGAGGAGACGGAGGAGGGAAAGTCCGATTCCTACGGCGATGCCGATGCGGAGGTTCCAGAAGAAAGTTGTTAGGAAGATTAGGGCCATGAGGGCAAGTTCCGAGTAGCCGCGGATAGAGTAGAAAAAGTGGATGTCGTGGGGTGCTTCTTCGATCAGCGAGTAAGCTACCACTGAGATCATGGCTGCGAGGACGCCTTTCTGTTCAAGTTGTCAGTATCAAAATGCTTGTTTTGTCGTGATGCAGTAGACTTACCGGAATATAGTAAAAGTACGGCAACAAGAAAAGAATGCAGAAGACAGTGATTAATGACAAGAATACACTGCTCATAGGTGTCTTGCCACCAGTGCTCTTGTTGACAAGACTCCTTCCATATCCACCGAAAGCAGGGATTCCCATGAACAGACCGCCAAAGATGTTCGCCACACCCAAAGCAACCAACTCGCGGTTAGCAGAGACGTTCATGTTGACGATACCATCGGCCTCTTCATACTCATTGCCATCCTTGTCGATTTTCTTCTCGATCTTTGCAGTGCTGTTGGCGAGAGATTTTGCAGCTACACTGGACTCGAAGAAACCTAAGAGTGCAATGAGGAAGGAGGTCGAGAAGGCGTCGGTGACATGTTCCATCATGGAAGGTTGGAAAGGGAAGTGCACTTGGAAGGGTTTGCCTGTGGTTTTGAGATCGCCGAGGATATCGAGACCTTGTTTGTCCCAGGAGAAGCCCCAGGTGAAGAGGGCAGAGAAGACAACGACGAGGAACCGATCAGGGAAGTAGGCTACCGAGGGATATCTTGGTTGCAAGCTTCTCTTGAGCTGTCTGAAGACCATGACAATGGCGAAGGCGCCAAAGGAGACAGCGCAAGTCAACCTGTGTGCTTTGTCGGCATTCTTGATGAGGTAGATGATCTTTGTCAAGGAACTGCCATGAGCAGCACCACTAGGATCATGTTCGATGAGCGCACTCATTCCAGTTTCCGGTACAAGTTGATCGACAAAAATGACAACACCAATAGCACTGATAAAGCCGCGCAAGAAAGGTCGGCTGAGGACACTATCCAAGAAGCCAAGTCTGAAGAGACCTGCAAGCAAAATAATGGCTCCGGCGATTCCAGTCACCATTCCGGCGATCTGAGTGTTACTCGCAAAATCGTTGTCTCTGTGTTTTCCGGAACTGATGTTCTCGCGCACGACCTGTCCAGTAAGGAGAGATCCAGCGGCTTCGGGACCAACAACCAATTGGGGTACAGTACCAAAAATGGCGTAGATGAATGGATTGAAGACGAATGCGTAGAGACCATTGATGGGTGGTAGGTGGGCCAAATTCGAGGCGTATGACAGGGACATAGGGATATAGAAGGAAGCCATAGTCAAAGCGGCAATTAAGTCACCACGCAGGAACTTCCAGCGATACTGGCGAATCCAATTGGTCACAGGGAGATAGTATTGCAAATACCTGGAAGAATAAGAACAGGCTCAAAAAGCGGATAGAGAATTGTATTGGGGATAGGAGACTCGGCTACATACATGGCTCGCTCATTCTTGACACCATGCTGCTTGGCCAGCCATCTGGTTGTGCTCATATTGCTACCAGAGGCAGAACCGAGGAGACCGTCGGTGGCATTGTCGTCCAACAGACTGTGAGGAGTGACAGTACCACTCTCGAGACCTTCTCTTGGATCGTATGAATTGGTACTGAAGGTACTGCCATAGTGTTGCATGAACTTTGGTCTCTGGTCCCAACTCTGTTGTTCGATGAGACGGGTGTGAACAGTGGGCTCCGAGTGTTCGTCATTGGACGATGAACGCGTATCAGGCATGGCCTCTGGCGACTTGACCCGCTCCCCGGCGCCCATAATCATGGACGGATTCTCAGGCGACGAGACGGTATGCGACTGGCGCAATCCACTTGGATTCGTAGGCACGTGGGCCATTACCGGGCGGGGTTGAGCCGGTGTCGACGAGGCGCGCGAAGACGACGGCGATGGAGATTGCGCCGGCGACGGCATTCTATCGGTCGTTGTGTGACGGAGGAAGTTGCGACTGTAGGTGCCCGAGACAGGCCAGGAACAAAACACTGAAAATGTACCGCAGGAAGGACTTCGACAAGTAGCCCGAGCTTCTTAGGACACAGTTAGTCTCGACACTCACCGCAAGATTATTGCCGGCCCCTTAAGTGCTAATCTGGAGCGTCTCTAGCCTCAGCATGAGAGATAAACAGCGCAGGACAATTCGCGCTCAAGGCTTCTTCCCAAGACTGCTTGTTCTCCGTCACGAGTCCCCGCATCGTGTTTGCTTCCTTTTCCAACAGAATGGTCAGCGGGTTCGAACAGGCCATGCTATTGGATCCTAAGAGATGGACCCTGCCAAGCCATGTATGCATGCTTCCGCCAATTCGTCATCAACATCTCTCGGCTTAGTCGAACTTATGCCAGAGCCGACATGATTGTTTCTTACATTCACAACATAAAGTCCTACTTGTACTTACAAACCTCTGATACTCTTTGAAATACGCATATCACAAAGCTGAATTATCATGCTGGACCCTCGAACCTTCCCTCGTCCGCCAGCCTTACAGCAGATCAAAAAGAACATATTGATCAAGTTCAAGGATGGCCAAACAATCGCATCTACAGATCGTGCTTATTGGGTCCTGGAGACATATCACCCACCAACCTACTACTTACCGCCAGACTCAATCAAGTTAAACCTGACTCCCACCTCTCGACGCACCTTTTGTGAGTGGAAGGGGGTTGCCACATACTTCAGCTTTACCACACCAGGAGGCGAACAAGTAGACAGTCGAGCTTGGACATACGAAGAACCTACTCCAACTTTCGCCGAGATCAAGGACTATGTCTCGTTCTATGCTGACCCGCGTTGGGAATGCTATGTGGACGGGGAGCTAGTTGAGCCTCAGCCTGGTGACTTTTACGGTGGCTGGATGACCAGCGATATCGTCCGCAAGTCCGTCAAGGGTGCACCTGGCACCCGAGGTTGGTGAGGTCGTTATTGCTCTAGAACTTGTGTCGTTTGGAGGCCATGTATGACCATAATTTAATTCAAGAACAGAATTCAAACTTATTCTTGATCATTCTCCTCTCAAGACATTGCAACTGAAGAGACGCACGACGATTTCCATGCACTTCAATTGATCACAGAAATGAGCAACTGGACAGGCCCTCGCTTGACACCACTCTGATTTGGGAGCTATCGTGCATTTGGATAGCTACGTATGTGACAGTCTCCAGGACATGAGGAGGCATTCCCAGACGCGTAAAGCTGAGACAGGGTTCCTGTAGACGATCAACACGAGGAGGCTTTCAAAGTCCCTCGTATCAATATCATCGACGCTCCGATCACACCCGCATCTTTCATGCCTGGCGTTCTATATGGAGTGAACTATCAGACCGGGCGCCAGAAAAACGGTAACCCCCTGGGGTATGGTCTGTTCCAGATCTACGCAGAACACAATATCGAAAGAAGTGGATTCTACCCCAGAGCCTCCTTCTCCAGACCCCGGAGGATCTTCGTAGCCGGTTCGGCATGGAGGAAACGATATCTTGGGGAAAGCATACGGATGTCACCCAAAATCAGAAGATTATACAAATTTGTCAACGGTAATTTCTCGTAGGTTACGTGGACTTGGGTAACGTTCCGAGTGGCTGACTCGTCTGACGAATCTGGCTATACCATGCTCCGGAATCAGATTGCTACCGTCTGTCCACTGTCCATCTGCTGCCAAAGCGAATACTACGCAGTACTTTCCATATTCTAGCAGTGCTTCGCTGTGCGAAAATACAAACAATCCTTCCACGTTCTCCGTCATCAACGCGTATGCCAAGTTTAAGAAGCTCATGAGCAAATGCTTGTCAAGCCCAAGGATAACGCCACTAACTTGCCATACCGCATCTGGAGTGTGTATCGACCGAGGCTCTCATGAATTCTCGTCCGTTCAAGGCCTTCTCCCCGAGAAATCAACGTCTTTCCCTCCCACGAGACGGCCCGTCTTGCTGCTGCTGATCAAAAGGCCGAAAATCGGCAAGGAACATTGCGGAGGCGGGCTATATCTGAGGAGTACTCCACGTCTCTCCAGCTTAAACTAACCTTCTTTGGCAATAGCGGGCTGCTAGCGCGGAGATGTTGATTTTCCCCAGTGCATGAGCCAATCTTTGCTTTTAAACCCGGAGGATCGATATGAGGTTTCTCAGGGTATATAAGGAGGGTGGGCGACCCATGTTGTGTCACTCGATCAGCGCATCTCTCTTGTCTTTCGACATTGGCATCTCAAGCCAGACTTCCTCGCAGCGTCGCAATCTATCTTTCGATCATCTGTTACGGGTATGATCCTCCTCTCTTGACCTCTGGGCGTTTTGTCTGGGCAATGAGCTTGTTAAGCCCTTGGCACATACCAAGCTCCGATAAGCTCTTTTCGAGCTCTCAGCATCGTTTCCTCATCACGAATTTGTTCTGACAACTCGAACAGACAGATACATCCACCGCAGCAATGGAAAAGGACTACCCTCACGCTGAGCACCAGGAGGGCTTGCCCGGTACTGGCGAAACCAACGAGAAGATGTCTGCCGGACGTTATCTGGCTACGAGAATCTCGACGCTCAAGCCTCCGATGACCAAGGTCAGAAACCCGATTAGTCTTCTGAGAATGCTCAACACACAACAATGGCTCTTCTTCTCTGTCGCATTCATCGCATGGACCTGGGACGCCTTCGACTTCTTTACTGTGTCACTCACCGTCTCCGACCTAGCTAAGGACTTTGGAAAGACCACAAAGGACATCACCTGGGGTATTACTCTTGTATTGATGTTCCGTTCCGTTGGCTCTATCATCTTCGGTATTGCAGCAGATCGCTATGGAAGAAAATGGTAAGACTAAGCTTTATGGCACACCTGTACACCAATAACAATGCTAACTCGCGCAGGCCCTTCGTTGTCAACAACATGCTTTTCATTGTCCTTGAACTTGGCACAGGGTTCTGCCAAACCTATAACCAGTTCCTTGCCGTTCGTGCTCTCTTCGGTATCGCAATGGGTGGACTGTACGGCAACGCTGCTGCTACCGCACTGGAAGATGTTCCTGACGAAGCACGCGGTATCATCTCTGGCATGCTACAACAGGGATACGCCTTCGGATACCTGTTGGCAGTAGTGTTTGCGCGTGGTCTTGTCAATACTACTCCCCATGGATGGCGCCCCCTTTTCTGGTTCGGCGCATGCCCCCCTGTTCTGATCATTCTGTTCAGGCTGTGCCTCCCTGAAACCCAGGCATACCGCGAGCGCCAGGCCGTGCGCGAGTCCGGAAGCCCAAGTGTTGGTAGCACCTTCATTGCCGAAGGAAAGGTTGCCCTGAAACGCCATTGGATGCTTCTTACTTATATGGTCCTCCTTATGGCTGGATTCAACTTCATGTCCCATGGCTCGCAGGATCTGTACCCTACCATGCTCAAGAACCAGTACAGCTTCGATGCGAACTCTGTGACCATCACTCAAGTTGTGGCCAATTTGGGAGCGATTGCAGGTGGTACAACCATGGGCTACTGCTCAACCATCTTCGGTCGTCGTCTTACCATCATCGTCGCATGCGTAGTAGGTGGTAGTCTACTCTACCCTTACACCTTCACGTCAAGCAAAGCCGTCATGGCCGCCGCATTCTTCGAGCAATTCTGCGTCCAAGGAGCATGGGGAGTCATCCCCATCCACCTTATGGAGCTTTCGCCTGGAGCTTTCAGAACCTTTGTTGTCGGTACTTCCTACCAGCTTGGTAACCTTGCTTCCAGCGCAAGTTCGACCATCGAGGCCCAGATTGGTGAGCAGTTTCCTCTTCCTCCTAAAGGCAAGGTTGAGAGGTATCAGTACGGAAAGGTTATCTGTATCTTCTTAGGCTGTGTCTATGCCTACGTTATTGTCCTCACACTCCTCGGCCCCGAGTTCAAGGGCCGTGACATGAGCGTTCACAACGATGAAGATACTGCAGAGGCCCTCGGACAGACCACCTACCACGAGAAGCGTCAAGACTCCGAGTACGCCGACCGCATCGAGCGTGCCTGAGATAGCAGGAACTGATGTCGTTTCGTTGGGCCGGAGATGCCAGTTTATGAATGTCCTTTTTTGATACAATTTTGTCAAGATACCACGATAAGAATGAAATTTCTCTCATACCAAAGATACACATTTCTGCAAGTTCCGGGGTAGTGCACCGTGGTTTCTTAGCTGAGAGACATCGTGCATGATAAGAACAACGGAGAGCACTCGGTCTAATTATTGTGCGTTTCTTCTCATCTCCTCTTAACTTTTAGCGAATTCGAGCGCTGGAGGAGTTGATAGCAAACGTTCTGCTGATACTACACAGCAGACACAAGCACGTGCTCACTTCGTCTCCGCAGACACAGCACGTTTGTAAATTCTGCTCCCTCCATAGAATCGGCTGTCAAAGCAACTTTCAGCTGCAATGGAAGATCTGTGGAGAAGCACCGAAGGATCTGTGGAAGGCGATCGTCGATATCGATCGGCCTTCATGCATCAAGATGAAGCGTCAAAGTTCAAGCAGATGTAAGAATTACGAAACAGAGATGGCTATCCTTTTCGGTCTCGCCGTCCTCGGTACGTTTTGTATGAACTTTCAACGGAACGTGTCCTCTTCGGTCACTTGCTCGGTGCTTTTCTTTCTGTCGCTTCTGTCTTGGCTATGCCCCTTCCTGGTTCGCGTCCTCTCCGCACGACGAGGATAACACACTACGAGACTCTATCGCGATACCCCATGGGAAAGGTTATCTCTGACAGTAAGACGTGACTTTGTTGTCTCGCTATGCCGACGTTAGCAGAGGGTCTCGTTCTTGCCGATTAACAATTGCACGCGTTCGCCACGGCTACCGACGGGCCTGGGATCGCCGGGACGCCATCTGGAACCAAGAGGCTATTCGGGAGAGGAGCACCGACCCGACCACCCCATGGAGAAGAAGGTCACCGTTGCACTAATGTCCTTTGACGTTCCAACCATTCGGTTTCTATATGGTCATCGCGTGCACCTTGCTTAAGGTCTCGGCCCCATGATTGGCTCCCTGGAGTGACTTCTATCTTCCTCGTTTGAGAGAGACAACACCGCTGTACGAAATTCAATGCACAGCGTTGTCCGAAATCTGAAATTCTGCCAAAGTATGTGGGCGAGCGGACAGTCACGCAGCACAAGGCAAAGATCTGCTGTGAAGAATGGTCCACGAGAAGCAACGCAGGTCCAGCTCTGTACAAGCTGCCTACCAAGCATTGGAACATCTCTTGGAACACTTCTTTGCTTGCTTATCTGCTTTTTTACATCTCTTGTTGAGTAGGCCGAGATGCCAAATGGCAGTTGGTCTCGTTCTGTGAAAGCCGTTGTTGCTTCGCCTAGCGTGGTCTTACCAAAACCTTCAACGGTTCCAGGTGCGCCACTGGATTCTAGAAGCCCACGCGACCTGAGCTGCTCTGAGGAGATTAAATACCCATACCATGGCCCTCCTCCCCAGCAGTTCATCAGCAAACCACAATCACTTCCAGTTCAGTCATTCGTTAGACGAACTCCCTTCCTCTCTTTCTATCTTCACATTCTTTTTCCATCCACAAGATGGATTCAAACAAGGCTTTCGATGCCGAGAAGGGCCTTGCCCCTACTGTCAGCGAGTCACCTGAATATGAGATTCAGGCTGGTCAGCAGAATGAGCTCAAGCGTTCGCTCAAGAACAGACACATGCAGATGATTGCCATCGGTGGTGCCATTGGTGCTGGTTTCTTTGTTGGTGCTGGTGGAGCACTCTCGACAGGAGGACCTGCATCCTTGATCATCGGCTTCTCTATCACAGGCCTCATGCTGCTCATGACGATGCAAGCTTTGGGAGAACTTACAGTCTTGTACCCCGTCAACGGTGCATTCTTCACGTAAGTCTATCTCGAGCTCTATGATCTTACTCCAGGCCCTAACAATCTGTTCAGATACGCCTGCCGTTTCATTCACGAGTCCTGGGGTTTCGCTATCGGTTGGCAATACGCCATCCAATGGTTGACCATTCTTCCCTTCGAACTTACCGCCGCCTCGATCACCATTGACTTCTGGAAAGGAGCTGCCAACATCAACGTTGGTGTATGGATTGCCGTCTTCCTCGTTGCTCTCTCTGCCATTCAATTCTTCGGTGTCCGTGCTTACGGCGAAGTTGAATTTGTCCTCTCCATCATCAAGATCATCGCATGTGTTGGCTTCATCATTCTTGGTATTGTCATCGACACCGGCGCTGTTCCTACCGATACCCGCGGCTACATTGGTGCAAAGTACTGGAGCGAGCCTGGAGCATTCCGCAATGGCTTCAAGGGTTTCTGCAGTGTCTTCGTTACCGCCTCTTTCGCCTTCGGTGGTACCGAGTTGGTCGGTCTTGCTGCTGCTGAGTCTGCCAACCCCAGAAAGGCTCTCCCCCAGGCTGTCAAGCAGGTCTTCTGGCGCATTGCCTTCTTCTACATCGTCGGTCTTTTCATCCTCGGCCTCGTTGTTCCCTCGGACAACCCTAACCTCCTCCACGCCCACGGTGCCAACTCTCAATACTCTCCCTTCGTCATTGCCATCAGACTCGCCGGCATCAAGACCTTGCCCTCGATTTTCAACGCTGTCATCACTGTTTCAGTTATTAGTGTTGCCAACAGCTCCGCTTTTGCCTCTACTCGCACCCTTCAAGCTTTGGCTGTTCGCGGCATGGCCCCCAAGTTCCTCGCCTACGTCGACAAGAAGGGTCGCCCTATCCCCACCATCATCCTCCAGATGTCCTTCGGTCTCTTGGCTTTCGTCAACTTGGCTGCTGCTGGTAGCGTTCTCTTCACCTGGCTTTTGTCCCTTACCGGTCTCGCCAACTTCTTTGTCTGGGGTAGCATCAACCTTTCTCACATTCGTTTCCGCAAGGGTTGGGCACACTCTGGCCGCACTCTTGAGCAGCTTCCTTACAAGGCCAAGTTTGGTGTCATCGGAAGTTACATTGGTCTCTTCCTCAACATCATCTGCCTTATCGCCCAGTTCTACGTTGCTCTTTTCCCCATTGGTGGCAAGCCTGACGTTACCAACTTCTTCGAGTCTTACCTCGCTGGTCCCGTCATCTTCACCCTCTTCGTTGGCTGGAAGGTTTGGACTCGTGACTGGAAGATGTGGATCAGCGCCTCCGACATGGATGTCACCACCGATGCTCGCGAGTTCGACCCCGCTGAGGATGAGGAGGCTAAGCCCTCTACTGGCTTCATGGGCAAGCTCAAGTCTGGTGCCAGTGCTTTCTTCTAAGCGACTTGTCTTGTGCATTTGAATTTTACGATATAGCGATGGGTGTCTGGGAAACGACACATTTGGGTCAAAAGCCTTTTTTATGATTAAGCATTATACCTTCTTCGGATGAAGACATAGCTACGAACCAGAATTATGATTATTCTTTATCTTTCAAAAAACATTTTTCGCGTTCATGATCCTTTGTGTTTCCAAATCTGAAGCTCCAGAAAAAGGGGCTGATCATCCGTTTGTCATCAAGTCCAATCACCTAAGACACGTCCCTTCTTTTCTTCTTCGAATGTCTGTTCTAGTTGAATCCACACATCGGCATGATGTTTTGCACCTTGTTGAGCTTGCTTGCGACAGACGTGCTTGTAGAAGACGCTATGGTTCCCGAAAGAGATGCGCATTGCGACAGCGACTTATTGGATACCCGATACTGGTGGGCCATCCAACATTGCTCAACTCATCACACTGGCATAGATTTATTGTCTAATACCTGAGCATACCCGAGATCAAGCACACTCAGACTGTCCTGACCGCCGCGTAGGTCAAGCCGTCACTGGAACTCACGATCTTGAGGAAGGTGCTTCTCCCAGCGAATCTGCATTCTGCATCTGCCATGAATCTCTGCAGCAATGCAAAGTTGAATTGCAATCACCATGACGAATTTCCAGAGTCCGCCGCCGAAGCAGCCATCTCAGGCAATCGCGTCCGCCGGCTTCTCTCGTTCTTGCCATCATTCATACTCAGATCGTCATCACAATAGATCTCGGATCTCCAGTCATCCTTCTTCCATCAACAAAAATATTCTTACGTCTGCATTTCAGCTGCAGCCTTACCAGTATCGGCATTGAACACCATTCAAAGCCCTCGAGATGGAGAATCCCAACTATATCGTCGTGCGTAGCGCTTGCTCTCAGTGTCAACAACAACTCACACCTGAACGCCGAGTTCCTGATGAGTTTCTGCCAAATTGCTGCTCCACTTTGAGGACCTTCTGCTATGCTTGCCTACGAAAATGGATGATCGAACAACTCGTCGGGCCACCTAGCATGATGTGCGAATGTCCATGGTGCAATTGTCAATGGTTCCGACCAGCCTTCAGCGACTGGGAGAAAGCGATGAGAATGCACGTGGTGAGCGAAATCAGACTGTCTAGCTCTGATTGGAATTGACGTCTTTTGCTACGCCAGGAGAAACATCCAACATTCCGCTGGTGTCGGAACGAAGCCCTTCCTGAGTGTGATCATGGTCAGATACTCTCCTCGGCTGCATACTTGGGAGCAAATGTTGTTCGCTGTGATGAGTGCGGAACCTTCAATTGCTTTCGTTGCAGGAGTCTTTCCCATCACGGCAAGACATGCACGCAATACCTGGATCTTCCAAGCTCGGCGGAATTAAAACAAGCACTACGTGCCAAATCGAAACGCTGCCCTCACTGTTACCATGCCTTCGTTTTTGACGGCGAAATCGATATAGTTGAATGTGCGTGGGTAGCTCTGAACCTGCAATGTGCAAGGCTAACCTCAACTTTAGGTCAAAAGTGCAGAGAGTACTTTCACGTCGCCATGGCTGCCCAGTTCTAGGCCGTTCGCAACATCATCATTCGTTTCGACATTCGTATCTCTCAGCTACGGCTTGGATTGGAGAGGCTCTACGTAGAAAGGTCATCGATGACAGATCCTATTCGTCAGTTACATATCAGTTCTCGTTCATTCTAGGCTCTGTATAAACTTCTCAACAATGGTACAAGCATCAATCATCATTGGTAACTTCATCTTCTCACTCCGAGAGACGAACGTTCGCATGAGCAAAAGGCTGACCCTCTATGAACCAAGTAGTCCCTAATATCTTCCAATACCTTCCAACAACGCAGCAGCCCATTTTTCAGGCTGCGTCATGAACCCGACATGTCCACCAGGTAACCTCAACATCTCCCTCCCCACAGCACCAGCAATAGCAGCAATAGGCGCAACACCAACACCCATACCCGAATCCTCCCCAGCAGCAGGAACAAATTTCTCCTTGAGCTTCACAAGCCCCTCGACATCCACATCAGCACAAGGATACTGCCTCAACTCAAATTCAAACCAAAACATGGAATTAGCTCTGATTTCGTAGGAGGAGGAAGGATGCATCAGGGAACGCATGAGCGTGGCTTCAGAGCCTGTGTCTAGGCCGGCGGTAAATTCTTCCATGGCGGTAATGGGGCCAAGGGTGCGGTATTGGTTGTAGATGTGATTGATGACATGTTCTCCTTTGGCGCGGAAATCAGGAGGCAGAGCGCCGAAAGCAGGAGGTTCGTGTGAGATGAGTTTTGATACGCGGTCGGGGTGACGAAGGAGTAAAGTTTGCGAGACTATGGCGCCGGAGGAGTTGCCGACGACAATGGCAGTGTTGGTGGGGCTTAGGTGTTCGATGAGGAGGGCGGCATCGTCTGCATCTGTGTTTAGACGGTTGGTGTAGTCTTGGGTGCCTTTGATATGGCTGGCCGAGTACCCGCGGCGGTCATAGGAGATGACTGTGTGATGGGCTGAGAGGTGTTTTGCTAGAGGGTGCCAAACGGAGCCGCGACCATCGGCACCGGTGATCAAGAGAAGAACAGGACCGCTCCCAAAGGTATCATAGTGCAACTCCGCACCCGGGACTTCGAGAGTTGGCATCTTGATGCTAGAACGAGGTGTAAAAGAGTAGTCTGAGTGACAATGATTATTTCTTGAGAGTGGTGCTGAGAAGACTGAGGAAGTTCCAATCTAAGGTTATATATAAGTCTACAGCGTATGCTAAGTCATCACGGTTCTTCAGTATTCCGAGAAGATTCGCAGAGGCACAGCACTGTTCCGAAGTATTTGGTGGTTGAAGTCATGGTTCCGAGAAATACTTCGGAAGCATCCCGAAATTTGGGTTGAAGCACCGGGATGGCGCAAGATGCCGGCCGAACGAATCCTAGAGGTTGTCGCGATCGTATCTGATGACATTGTTGATGATTTGGTCGTGTTTGACAAGGTGCTGACAAGAGGAAGTTGAGAGTGGTGAGCTGGTGGACGAAAGTTGGTGCTTGGCGAGGTCGGACATGATCAGCGACGTCGGACTTGGTTGTGGATTCAAGATGGACCAACTCTCTCGACTCAAATTGTCATGCGCCGATGAATTTCTGGTCGCGTGCATGGAAGCCTTCTTTGTCTCGTAACATTCCAATTCGCAACTTCCACATCAGCTTCAAGATGCAGGGCGATTACAATGTAAGACTATCGCGTGGAAGACGTATATGCGACAAGACTGACGCAGTCACAGGCGGCCGTAGCGGCATTGAACACGCTGCAGAGCAACTTCTCCATCGTCGACGCAATTCGCAAGTCTGGAAGAGGGATGAACAAGAATGCCATTCCTGAGATGATTGAATGGGTCAACAAGCTGGGCTACGAGGTGTGCGTTCCACCGTCACAAGCAGCATCGGTATAGAAGACTGACAGTCTACAACAACAGCCCGCCGATTTCGACAGACTGAAGGCCGTCCACGTCGCCGGAACAAAGGGAAAGGGCTCGACCAGCTCCTTCGTCTCATCCATCCTTGGACAGTATGTCGCAGAAGGCAAAGTCAACAAGACGGGCCTCTACACCTCACCCCACCTACGCTTCGTACGCGAACGCATCCAGATCGACAACAAGCCCTTGACGGAAGAGCAATTTGCCAAATACTTCTTTGAGACTTGGAACAGACTCGAGGCTGCCGCCAAAGCTGCTGGTCATCCCGATCCCTCGAGCAAGGAGACCAAGCCTGTCTACTTCCGCTTCCTTACCTTGATGGCCCTCCACACATACATCAGCGAAGGTGTGGATGCTGCTGTCATTGAGTGCGGTATTGGAGGCGAGTTCGACAGCACAAACATCTTGGTCAAGCCCAGCGTTACTGCTGTGACAAGCTTGGGCATCGACCATGTCGCCATGCTGGGTGACACAATCGACTCGATTGCCTGGCACAAGGCCGGTGTCTTCAAACCCGGCGTCCCTGCCTTCTCAGCCCCTCAACCCGAGGAAGCCGTCCGCGTTTTGCACGAGCGTGCAGCTGAACGCAACACTACACTCGAAGTCGTCAACACCCATCCCGAACTCGAGAAGATCAAGCTCGGCCTCGCTGCAGACTTCCAAAAGACAAACGCTTCAGTCGCCATTGCTGCCGCTGGAGCATACCTGCGTCAAGTCGGCGTCGAAGATCTACCCACCTCCACATACCTGCCCTCCGCCTTCCGCGCAGGCCTCGAACAAGTCCACCTCGGCGGCCGCTGCGAAACACGCACAGACACCGTGGCCCAAAATCTAAAATGGCACATCGATGGCGGCCACACACTCGAAAGCATCGAATTAGCCGCCCGCTGGTTCGGCAGTTTAATCTCGACCTCATCATCCTCCCCGCGCATCTTGATCTTCAACCAACAAACCCGCGACGCCTCTTCATTGGCCTTGAAACTCCACTCCACTCTCGCCCAAGCACTCAAAGAGCAGAAACCCTTCTCACATGCCTTTTTCTGCACGAATACTACATATGCTGAGAGCGGGTTCCGTCCCGATTTGACCAGTATCAACACCAATGCTAGTGATGTGGAGACATTGAGCGTGCAGAATGCTCTGGCGGAGACTTGGAAAGGTGTGGATGGGACTTGTGATGTTAGGGTGTTGAGGACAGTTGAAGAGGCTGTCAAGGCCGCCAGAGAGGTTGCAGGTGAGGCAGAGGAGGAGGTCATGGTGCTTGCTACTGGTAGTTTGCATTTGGTCGGTGGTGTTGTCGAGGTGCTCGAGGGTGGAAACGCTTAGTTTCTTCGACATTTGGGCAATACCAGTTTTTATCATTGCTTGTATCTCTAGCATTCGAAGATCTTGCATCGTCTAACCGTCGCTTTGTTTACACTGCAGATGGTCATCTGGTCTACATCATCCATCCTCCATCTCCGAATCCCTCCCCCTCCAACCCATCAACCTGTCTACTCAACCAAGCACTAGGATTGACCCACCAATCAAACTCCTCCAGCCCTTCAAGCCCTTCAAGCCCTTCGAGCCCTTGTGATAGATCCTCTCCTTGCTCCATGTCCCTTGGTATAAACATCTCATGTGTCGAACGAGTAGTAATTTCCTTTTCCACAGCTATCTCACGTTCGAGATTTTGCAGCGAATGTACAGCTTGTGAAGATACAGCAATACTCCGTTCCAATGTTCCAAGTATACGATAGCAATGTTGAAGAGATTTATTGATGTTCACATCGACGTCAATGTCGAAATCAATCGATGGAAAAGACGAATTCGATCTAGATTTGAAGATCGCGAGGAGGGAAGTGGCGGCTGTAAAAGTTACTGTGCAAGGTGGTGGGTATTCCAGTCAGTCATTTTGACTTGGCGTTTTTTCTTTTTCTTTCGAACTTACTGTATACGATGTGCCAGTCTGGCATACGTAGGGGAGAGGAAAGGTTGTGGTGTAATATTCCAATGACTCGCGAGCAGGCTCTGGCACAGACATCGATGGCATGCGTAAGGATATGAGGATTCGGAGATGTGTGGCTTTCTTGCGACATGTCGGGGTTTCCCACATGTAGTAGGAGTGCTGGACGAAGGAGAAGGATTTTGGTGTACAGGAATCTACGAGCTGGTTAGCCCAGAGTCGAGCAAGGCAGACCTTCGATGGCAGTAGCGATACCTGCAGGATATGGCTTGTTGATGTATGAGTATGGTGTCGGATACCGTGTTTGCTGTTGGAGGCTCGGTCTCTTCGATGAACGAGCGAATGTATGGAGGTGTTGAAATTAGATATGCATCTAACCTCCCATTCAACCCCATTATATGTGATAGAGTCTGGGACGCTTGATTTTGAGCTGCGGTCGTACGTAACAAGGCTCCGTTGTTTTGATAGATCGTTGATAGGATTTCCCCGAGAATACCGAATAAGTCGCATGTGCTTCTGAAAACACAGAGATCGGAAGACGTGTCGACGCCAGATAAGGTGTTGCCGGCCTCGAGACTGAGAGCATTGTCACTCAGTATGGGTAATGGTATAGTACACTCACCCTGAACCATCATCGGCCAACCAAAGGTAGCAGCCGCCAATCTACGCACTTACGTCAGGTCCCTCTCATCAGAACTGATGTCAAAAATACTGACCTGTCCAGCACAATACAACACCACCAAAGCCTTCTTCCCATCTCAAGCTCCAACTGTGTCTTTTTCCTGCCCTGAGTTCCCTCAGCATGTAATCCTAAGCTCTGCGCCATCCTCACAGCAACACCGATGACATTCCAACATCTTGAAACCTCGGTAGTGGATTGCAAGTACACGCCCTGTAGCAATACCATCTGCAGTACAGGAAGCGAGCCAAAGTCCAATAAATCGTAGGGAAAGTTCAACCTGGCTCTGCGGTGGAATCGTTTGCTCGTGATTTCCTTTTCGGTGGAGGGGATGGAGCTGCAAAATCGTGTCCCTAGTGCGAAGATGATGTTCAGGGTGGAGAAGAATAGGGCTTCTTTAATCTCTCCAGGATTATCTGAGGTGGGTTTGGGTGTTGCATGTGGTATTGGTTGATCGGAGGTCCAAGATTTCTTGTATGCGGCTGTGAAGGTCGGTTCATGTAGAATTGGAAAAAGAGGATGCATGTATTGCCAATAGCAATTTATCAGGTCGTCTGCAATTCTACGGATGGGTAGTACTGCTGATTGTTTGGTGGACCTATCCAGTCTCAAGGGGCCACTGTCTGATTCAGTCGGAGCGAACAATGGTGGTCGATCCTTCTGGCCAGCTTCATGAGATAACTGTTGCAGAAAAGTCGCGGTCGAAGATACACCAAACACTACATCTGGAGAGGACGCATCTGAATTTGCACCCACGTGGGCTGATGCAGTTGCTGTAAAGATACCAGACTGCCCTGAGTCTGGTTGTTGCATTGATTCCGAGGATGCATCCTGCGACGCCTGAACATACACGTGGCCTCCAAGGTCCGTGATACGATTCTGCAGTTCCTCGATATATCTTTGCTGTGTTGCTTGCGGGCTACTTTCGTAGATGCAGGTATAGGTTTTCCTGCTCGTCATGCAGGGAGAGCATGTTGGTTGATTACCATCGCATCGGACTTTGCGCTTCCGGCATGGCTCGCAGGCGATTGCTATCTTGCGACGTCTACTTGTAGGCGATTTCGAACTTTGTAAATGGCCAACTCTGCCATTTGTGGTCATCTTCTTTCGGGAGAAGGTGTTGTCGTTGGTTGGGCTGCCTCTTGCTGGAGCCGAGTGTGTGAGTGCAATTTACGAAACATCGAGCCTCCAAAGCGAAAGAAGTCATTCAGCGTGACAGCACACCTTCTCAGTGACACAAAAGTAACAGTTACTGTACCTTATCAGCCTCTTGAGGATCCCAAAGTGTTCGATATACATATAGTCATCACTTATTGAAGTCATTAAGACATTTGTTTTCTGAGCGGGTTGCTAGAGGTACGACCCTGTCAACCGAGCCATGAGACCTCTTGCCTCGGTGCACCTAGACCTCCCTTTTCCGGAGGCAATCCTTGG